TGACAAACGATACGATGCTTATGATAACGAGCGATATTAAAGACGTAGGGGAAGAAAATAAAACGAGGTTGACGATTATTGTCTTGATTTTCCACATTATTGTGAAATTATCGCATCTGACATTTGAGACATTTTAACGATGAAAAGTCTTTCTTTCGTCAGTTTTCATGAATAATTTCTCCAATACGTCTTTTTATTTTCATTTCTTTAAAGGAAGACTTCTTTCTTTATGTTTTAATGTGATGCTAAAAATGTTGCTTCATTGAAATTATTCAAATTTTTGTAACATGATTATCTAGATATTGAAAGAAAATAAAGTACTTAAGAAGTCTCCGGAATTTTAATCGATTTTTAGATAAACCTTAAGTTACAATTTCGTCACTCATTGTAAGTGGACTATATAAATCTGTTTTTCCTATCTCTTTTGGCTAATAAAAGCCTCTTTCCGGGGAGATGAGAAGATATTTCTTTAATTTATTATTACACAGAGCGTAATAAAATGGCATGAATAATAAATTAAAAATCCCACAAACAGGCTTTATTAGCATAATTAGGAAGTCGGTTTTTCTTCTTCGTTGAAAAATATTTGCAAATTTTAATCTCTTGGAAGAACGAACAGTCTCTGATGTTTGTCATGAGCAATATGGGTCGTGCTTGGTACAAATTTTGCCTGTAATAACAACAGAAAAGGAAAAGAAAAAGAATAAATATTGCAAGCTTCTGAATTAAATTGAGACGTCTTTTTCAAAATGAAAATCGTGGATATTTTTCCGGAGTTCTCCTCCCACGACTTCAGCAAAAAAGATCATTTTTCAATGTGACAAATGACAAAAGAAAGGCGTAAAGAAAAGAAAAAGTTCATATAAATGAAAGTAAAGCTTTCACATACAAACTCCTAAAAATGATATTTGCGCACATTATTTTGACTTGAATTAATGCTTTATACAAAGACATGTGACGTTTAAATTTGAATTTGAAAGGTCGAAACGACGAATGTCAGACATGAGAAAATGAAAATTGAAATAAATGCGGAAGCAAAGTTTTTCAAGTTGTGCTCCTATTTTGTTTCTAATTCTGTTATTGTAGCTTAAATGCACAAATAAATAACTAAATAAATTTGTAGGCTAATTCAGTTATCTAACATGTCGAATGTGTTTTAGGCAATGATAAATTCATGAACATTTGGGAAATAATCTTGCATTAAATGACATCGAATTTTGCAAAATTCATTCTTTACAAATTATAAGCTTCGTGTCATGTTCAATAACCTTTATGTTTTAATCGATATTAGATTAGTATGCTTCCATGTTAGACTGAATGAACTAAATGTCTATTCACCCTTTTACGTATTTCCATCAACTAATCGTTATGATATCGTATCTCTTTAAATAACATCCGTCTTTTGTCCCCAGAGAGTATGTGAAAGCTTTAGAAAAAAGAAAGAATTTTATCAGAATAGAAAAAGTCATTTCATCACTCAAACGGAAGTTTTTATTTTATAAACAGAATACTGAACTATTCTCAACATTTCCTCGTATCAAACACTTAATTTAAGCTCCCATGAGTTTGAATGGGAATTGAAAGCTCAAATATACCTTTCCGTGCTCTATTCAATAGAGAAGTTGTATGCTCTTCGTTAAATATTATGTTTATTTGCATAACGTTCCAATTATCATAATTATAAAAGTGTGTAAAAAAGTAGTAAAAGGAATAAAAGAAAGCTAATATTTGTATCCATCGATCAGAAGGTTGTACTCATCAGAAAGTTACAGCAATTCTCGTTTATTCATAATTTGTGGCTCGTAAAAGAGCTTCCTTTAATGATTATTTTTATGGCGTATTAGCACGAGTATTCTCACAAAAGAAACATAAAAAAGATATGTCTTCAATAGGGGCTTTTATAAGATTCCCTTTCAAGTATTGAAGAAGAAAATAACTCGAGTGATTATCAATACAAAGGAAATTTCTGTTCTCTTCAAGCATCAAACATTGCTTCTGACTAAATAAATTAAAGTAACTTCTTTAACCCATAGAAAATTAAATTGTGTTAAAAGTTGAACATGTTAGCTAATCGTGGGAGAAATGAAGAAGAAAAGATCTCACAACATATTTCTATGAATGAAAAAGTTGTATTCATGTTGAAGCTTGTTCTCTAACTCAATTTAAAACTTATGAGTGACTCGAATTGGTAGAAGAAGAAGAAGTTTGTAGTCTCTAAACTTACACTTGTTAAATATTTAAAGTAGAAAACCGGAACGATAAAGGATTCTTATCTAAATTCTACCGTGTAAACTTTTTCACTTTCTGCAGAAGTCATTGATGAGCTTGGAAATCCTGCTTCACACCTTAAGGCGATGTTTACCTAGAGAAAATTGAAGCATGCTTTATTCAAGAAGTGTTTACCGTGCTTTTGCAAGAAATATTCAAATTAAGTTGTAAACTTTTTTTTTCTGAAAATTGCTTCATATGAATGAAACTCAGATTGAAAAGAGATCTTTTTTTCTATTCAATGAAGATTGCTTGAGATAAGAAGGAAAAAGTTTGTAACGCTTGTGGTGATTGACACAAGCATCGAAAGCACACGTAACGAAGAATATTCAGTTTTGTTTTTCTTTCGAATCAATTCTCTGGGTGCTTTTAAGAAAGTGCTTTATTCAAGGTTTCTCTGCGAGAATGTGTAAACATATAACGATAGCATTAAATCACTGTAGCAACTGATTTTGCTTAAAAATGAAACATATAATTTAGAAATACGTTACTTTGCATTAAAATCAGGAATTAAATTTCATTGATCATCAAATTTCTTTAACCGTAAAGCACAGTGTTGAATGGAATGATTTTCCAGTGAAAGGTTTATTTCATAAGATTTCGCGCATAAAGAAACATTTACGTAACGATGTTTCTGAATTTTATTTGATCATGAAATGTTAAATATGTATGAGAAGCTTCAGACAAATTCTTCCATAACATAACTCCTACGTCTTAAAAATTACGACATCTGAGGAGTTTGACATTTGACCTTTTTGTTTGAAATATCACGCAGGGAAAAGAATAGATTTGTTTTTGAAGAAGAGGAAGGAAATTGACGTTGATTGCTCAAGATGCTCAATGATTTTTTTACTGTCACATTCCTTAACTCAATTCTTGGAAGGAAGGCCTTGAAACAAGCAAAAAGCTTTTATATCTTTAATCTTAATCTGAGTGTACCTTACGAAATGAAACTTTTTAAATCACTCAATTACAAAATCCGAAAGTTAAACAAAAGTTAGCGAACTTCAATAAAGCATTTCCCTCTTCTCTTGTTACTTTAATTCTAACTTGATGTAAATAAATATCGCAGGAACTTTGAGAGGATATTTATCTTGTCTTAGAAAATTACATTATTTACCGACTGCTCGTTTTGTTGTTGCAGATGAGAAAACAATATGAAATGCCAAGGATGCTTTCAATCTGATTTAAGCTGCAATTAAATGTTCACACGAAATTTCAGTAAAACTGACCCTTAGCAAGGAAAAAGGTTTATTAAAAGGAAGAATGAAAAAAGATCTTTAATCAATCTCCTATCTCATCCTAAGGGACTTGAAAAAACATATCTTCAATTAATATTAATTCTTCATTTATGATGATGGCCTCTTCCTTTCCTTTTCGCAAAATTAAGTTGTTTATTATCTTTTCATCACAATGCTTTTTTTCACTTTTCCAACAACTATGCAGAGAGAGCTTCAATCTTTTTTCACTGAGTATTATTGACCAAAAACACAAAACATCACACCAGCAGATTGTTTCACCGTCTTCGGCATGTCGAACATGTATAAAAAGGAAATCATGACCTAGGGAAAGCTTTTCTGTTAATCATCCCAATACTGGGCTTCATACATAAATATTTCCTTTCTCTAATTAAATTTTCTCACGTTGAATGTTTTTGTATCTTGTAAAATCCGAAATATTTTCCAACCTTACCTCACCTTACATTTACGGGAAAAAATTTAGGATGAAAACATCCTGAAAAATTTTAATGAGGTTAATGAACACACTGACTTCATTAGAGAATAAGGGAATAGATATAATTAAAATCGATAAGATACTCTTTTAATAAGTAAACTTAAACCTCCTAAACCGAAGCTTTAATTGTTTCTTATTATTATTGTTATTAGATGTTAATGAGGAATTTTACAATTTCTTTGGAATTAATGAAGAAATCCACAACGAAATTTTTTTTGATTTGAATCTGATTAAATTAACTGATTCCATTCAAGCATTTTCTGCATAGGTTTAAATTTTGCATGAATAAATTTTGATCAATTTGAGATTACAGAAAAAATTATTCAGAAATATTTAAAGTCAAAATGAGCGAGGCTTACAAGAAGAAGAATAAGGTCAATCCCTTGTGAGTTCATCAACGAGAAGAATCCTAATTAGATTTCTGCTTTTTGAAGCTGACCGTTCTTCCTTCTTTTATATTCATCCATAAATTTTTTTTGTAGTCGACTTTCAATTATAAAAATTTTTAGGTTTTACAAATTTTTTTATTTATAAATTATTTATGATTTTGAAATATTTTTCAAAAATGTCTGCAAGTCTCAAGAGAAAGAAAAACATTTTCAATTATTCTACTAAAATTTCAATGATTCTCATAAATTAAGACCTTTGTAAATATTTAAATTCCACTTGCGTTGTTCTGGTCTTAAAATTGTATGAAATTTGCATGATGAAAAGTTTGAAAAAACATGCACATGAAGTAAAAACGAATAAAACTGACACAGGGCAAGCTTCTGAATGCTATCAGTCAACATTACTTTATAAATAATCCTCATTCTGCTTTTTATTGTTTTCCACAGAGTATAATCATGGCATCGAAAGAGGATAGTGAAAAAATCTCAGCGGATAATCCAATCGCTTCATCTTCCGACGAAACTTCTAAGCTGCTTAATGAACCGATTTCAAACAGCTTAAATGGACCAACAAATCAAGCAAATTCCTCTACCTCCACAACCAAACCAATGCTAATACGTCAGGATAGAACATATTTAGCTAGTCCACAGCTTTCGGCGACGGGTACACATTTAGGTGGTTCTGAAGAAAGTGCTGATGATTTTAGAACAGATGAAAATGTCAGATCAGCACCTGATATGCTTCAGGATTTAAATACTCCTAAGATCTCAATCTCACAAGAGGCTTACAACGACGAGAACGCTCAAATTCTATCTCCTTTCCCCACCACGAGATGTCGGACCTGTCGCCGTTCATCAACTTCTCCTACCTCAATTGTTTATTTCGATCGCTCAACGTCAAAAGATAGCATTGTTCATGGACATTTACGACCTCATCTTTTTGTACATCATCATTCCACAACAATCCCACCCGTTTTCATATCAGGATCACCCACGAGATCATCGAGGGTGATTCGTCAAAGTTCTCAACCCGAACCAAGTTCCTTATGTGCCAGTCATTGCTCTCATGCGCACCAAACGTCATCTTTACGTCAACTTAAGGATCCAAGTGATGCTTTGAGTGGCATTGCAGCTGATGCTCTAAGAGTGAGTTAAAAATAATTTTCTTTTCAATCTTCTCATATTTAATCATAATTCCATCTTTCAGATGACGGGAGGAATGAAAAGCTTTAAACAAGTGAGTTAATATATTTTGTACAAATTTAACGGTTAAAATCATTTTGAATTTAAACTTTCATTCTGCATTACCGACTCTGACTGATTCATTCTCTCTCGCACATTTTTTGATATAAATATCATAAGTAGGAGGAAAGCTCAAAAAATTAAATTTTGAACATGACTTAGATTATAAATTAATTACTGATGTTTATTAGATTAATAACATAGCGGAAGAAACCATTTATTAGCTATTAAAAAATTGTAGAACAAATTCTTGGGCTTTTCTTAAACTTTTTCCTGATAAATTCATTAAATTTTCCACAAAAGCATTTTCACTTCATAGATACTTTTCGTACCTTATGTTTTTGTCTTTTCAACTTTTTCGTTCATTTTTAAGTTTTCTACTCTATGATGTGATGATAAAAGAACAAAAGCAAAAAAAAGTATGAATAAATTACTATTTTTCATCGTTGCAAGTAGAAGCACTGAATGGAAGGAGTTAATAAATCAACAGCACATTGTTGAGCAATGGATTACAGATGTTCATTTGCCTCCTATGCATATTTTTCATCCCAGTTTTTTGTCGTATTCGATTATAAGACCAAAAGTATTTTATTCCATAACTAATTTTGTTGTGAATTTGTCAACTGATCTTTATCACATCGTTAAATTATTCATACATTGTTGAAACGTCGTGATTAGCTTTTAGAAAGTTCTCGTTGCAATCTACAATGGTGATGCTTGTTCTGTCCTTTTTCTGAATGAATGGCGATTGAATGACTGATGCAGAAATTTCTTCTTCTATCTCTATAGCCATGGCAACTTAAATATTGTTGAGAATCTCATTTTCTTCCATGCTGTTGTGAAAAGAAGCATTCAACTGTAGCGATATAAAAATACGTCAGTTTAATTGAGTCAATAATGTGTTGAAAAATTGATGTTTAGTCTGTCAGCGATTGCTTCACAATGTGTTTTCATCTTCTGATGTATTTTTAGGATGATTACCTTCGCTAATTGATGGACATGAAGACAGATTTTAATATTAAACAACATCAATAATTCCCTTTATTAAGATTATAGAATGTTTTACAATTCATTTCACTTCAAAATCGATTATCGTTAAGCTCAAGTTATGACATGGCAATACAAGAAACTATTCCATCAAATTGGATTCCCATAACTTACTTCAATTTCACATAAAAAATAAATAAATTGAAAGGTTTCAATTGAACATTTCAACGATATAAAATTTAATCTCAGAATTCCACAACTTGTGGAAAGAATTTCTACAAATAAATTTGTCCTTTAATCATATGATGCGATGGTCGATATGAAATCGAATAAAACATTTTCTCTATCGATATTGCATTTAAGGGCAAAAACTTTTTATAGGAAAATGTAAAGTTTCCACATCGTTAAATAAAATAAATTTTAAAAGATGTGTCTTGCTGACAACGTTTGAAAAGAGGAATCATTGAATGAGATAAATGGATAGTTAATGTTGCAAATGGAAAGTTAGCTAGAATTGCTACATTTAGAAATGAATGTCGACATTGAGAGTAAAACTAATTACCTACTTAAATGAATCAACTGACCGGGAAGAAGAAAAACATTTCTCAGAATCAAAAAGTTTACGACGTGATGTTCATTGTAAACATAGTGAAAGCTGTATAGGATGAATACCAACAGTTAGTTGGTTTGCATTGTTTATGAATTTCATAGCAAATGTTTTAAATAAATCATTTCAATGTACGATGGAAGGTCTTCTCTGCTTATGAAGGATTTACGGATCATGAAATATGTCTAATGCGACAAATCAATTTGTGTTAAATTATGTAGAAGCCTCTCAGAAAATTCCAAGAATTCTTATGTTGATTACCATGAAGAAAAATTTGAAGCATTTTGGATTATTCATTTTCTGTTTACTATATTAACTTGTTAGCAAAGTATGCAGCGAATAACATCACTCTTATAACTGATGATGTTATCAATTTCAGGTAGCTACCAAGCAATTTATTTTCATGGACTTTATTTTCCCAAGACTCATGAAATAAAATGAAGTCATTAAATTATTGCTGCATCTCTTCACTTCTGGGGAAAAAATTCACTTCTATAGAGAAATTACTTTCAAGTTTATCAAACGACAGTAAAAACCGCTTTTGCTTCCTTAATAAAAACTGGAATAATGGGAAAATTTATTTTCGTTATTTTTTATAAAGAAGGAGAGCTTCTTAAAGAGCAGTAAAAGGTTGCGCATTAAAATTCTTTTTATTCGACTCGTTGCAGTTCATTAGTACTTAGATCTTAAATTATTCATATTGCTAATTTATTGTTTTAGTGAATTCTCACGAGATACATTTTTCTGTCATGTTCTTCTTGTGTTTTAATTCCTCTGAGTGTCTTTGTCGAACTGGCGTCATTTGTGCAATAAACTGAACTAATTTAGTTTTTTGACTCATTTTTATTTCTATGTTAATTATCTAATTAATATGTAAAATGTTATGACTAAGTTGGTGTACATTTAATCTTTGATTAGTAATTTTTATGTTAGAACTTAATTAATTATTTTTCCTTTAATTTATTTCATTCACATTAATTTCTCACAACATTCATTAAACAGAAATCTATGCACATCCCTTTCCAAATCATTCACAGGATGCAATTTAACGTGTTCTTTTAAGACAAATCATTTTATAATGTTATAAAGAGAAGAAAAGCCACTACCTTAATAAAACTATCGATCCAGAAGTTAATTAAGTAAACCTAAAGGTTTAATTATTTAAAAAAATTGACTTTGTTAATGTGTGATGTGTATCGGCCTAAAGCAACCCACAAATTTTCTGTTTTTCTTTTGTAAATGCTTACTTTTACTAAAAAAGTATATAATTTATCTGGACACACCAAACTTCAATTAAATATCAGTGAAGGCTTGATATACAATAAACTAACCTTCAAACTTATGTTTTCGTGTTGAAAGTAGAAATAACAGAAGCCCTTTGATCGATAGTTTTATTAAACACATTCGTGTTCTGGGTGTTGTGTGCGTTGATTACAACTTTCGTACCATCAATGACGACCTGTTTAGGAAACAAAATAATGTCACAAAAAAAGGAAGAAAGAAAATTCGAAATATTTTTGTATTCCATCTCTCTTTCTCACTTTATCGCTATCACTCTTCTGCTATTTCACCAAATCTATTTTAGGGATTATTGCTGTGCCCCCAAACACTTTCCCAAAACAGACGCAAAAGGCTCCGACGAGCCTTCACCGAGGCAACTAGTGATACACTTTCATATGTCAAAACGGTACAGATCTGTGTATTTATTTCACAATTTATAATTTCATCTTCATAATTTCGGTCTTTAATTAGATATGAAGAATTATTATTAGAAATAATTTTGTGTAAGGTAAATTTAAAATTAATTGCTTTTCACTACAGCATGATAAACTGCTAGACTGTTGTTTTCATTAACCTTTAGATGACAGGTTTTTGTGTTATGTCTTGTCATTTGTTGTCATTAACAGTGTGAGGTATTTCTATGTTTATGCTTCACAGTAGAATAATATAATGTCTAAGAAATATAACTTACTTCAGATCTAATAATACAACAATGTTCTATAATTACATAGTAGGAAATCGAACAGATCTGGTGAAATAAATTGATTTCCTTTCATTGTTTGATTTAGATCTATAATTACTGAGCATATTCAATTATCCTACAATTTTTGTTTTAAAAACGTTCTTTAGGAATTGAATTAATATTTAAACCTATGAAGTTCATAAGTCACGAAATCCATTTTGTTGATCAGAAACCATTATCAAAGTTTTAATTTGTGTTATAAAGTACTTTGTGGTTGAATAATTGTTTAAGCATGCACAAAAAAGTTTACGATAATAATTAAAGGTCAACAGCTTTCCGACATTTATTAACACAATCTTGCACTTTTTAAGGAGAACTAATTAAATCTTTTAATGAAATTTATAACACTTATATAGTGCACAAAGCTAACGAGGATGTTGATTAACTCTTTAAAAAACTTCATTAATTTACGATACGATTTTGCTTTGAGATGGTCATAAAAAGGTTGGAAAGTTTAACTTAACAATTTTTTAATGTTTTAGATGATGAAAAAGTTTTCCACATGAATAAAATATTAACGCATGTAACATGCGGCATGTTTAAGCTTTTATAACGTCAGTGAATTTTGTTTTCATAATTCTGAATGAAAAACGATTTTCAACATTAAGAGAAAGTTTCGTAACTAAAAATAACTGTGGCCGGAAAATGAAAACATGAAAGTTTTTAGACGAATAAAAATATTTCGAAGGCTAATGATCAATCAGATTATTAAAGATTCTAACATGCCACGTACTAAATAAATGTTAGTTAAACTAACGAAATAATTAACCTGAAATGATATTCAAAGCTATTCAATAAAAATAATTATTGTAGATAATGATGGAACCAGACTAGAAGCATCGTACTAATAAAGTTTCATGAATTATTAATGATGAAGCTTTTGTCATTAAGCTTACTTCCCGTTGTAAATAAGTTGTTTACATATCTACAAGGATATCAATAAAATCTGACATGAATTTTTTAAAATTAGATTTTATTCTGCTACGAAATTTTACGAACCACCGCACCGCGACGATTTTTCACTTCCACAGTAATGACATGCGCTTGTTTTTTCAACAACTTGCTAAGCCTGGGTTATAAATAGCTTGTTCATCTTCCAGTCGATGTATAGAAGCACAGCTGAAATACACTTTAGAAAAAAAATAAATTGCAATAAAACTGTCAGTTTTCCATCTGTTTAAGCGTTTCTCATTTTCCACTTTCGGTTGTGTTTCATCTCATTTTTCAGTATTGAATGCCACGTGAGAATCGTTAATCGAGAGGATGAGAGGAGTTTCCCTCGAATGTTAGTGTAGTGAAGCGAGAATCATATAGAATCGGGAGGAAAATTCTCATTTTCTCAACACAACCGTAATTGTGTCACTGTGCCAGTGGGAAAGCACACGAAAAGCAGAGAATATGTAAGAGGAGGAAAAGTTTTTCCTCAATTCTAAAGGAAAATTCAAATTTCTCTCAGTCTGTGTTTGGATTTTGATTCACGTTAAACGTTTAACATGTTTTGCCTCGGCAGGCTCGAATAAATGAAAAGAAAAGAAAAATATTTTTCTATTTCATTTATGTGACCGAAAAGTAAATAAAATATTAAAATTTATTCAAAAAGGAAGAAGTGCAGAGGAAAAAGAAAACTTATTCCGAAAAGAAATGTAGAAAAATTCATGAAATCGTGTGAAAAAGTCGACATGTTACCAGTCGATGTTTATAAGAAAAAATCACGAAAATAAAATCGAAAAAGAAAAAAAAATCATTGAAAAATGTGTCGCAAAAATCGTAAAGCCAAAGCAACCGTAACTCTCATTAGTTTATTGAGTTTCAATCGTAATGTTAGTCATAAGATTGATAAAATCTTGAAACGAGAAAAAATTCGTCATCGATTTCGTCTTCTCAGTTAACAATGTGTTGGTATAAGGAGAAAACAGCCTGGCGCCTCCATTTATTGTCGATAAAACTTTTCAAGAAGATTCATTTGGAAGCTGGAAAGTTTTCAACTTATTTTCACTTTTTGATGTAGTGGCTTAACTCCAAGGCCGACTATTATAGTGAGCCTGATCTGCGACCATCATGTTCAAGATGAAGAAGTTGAATGTCGCTGCTATGCTTTAGTCGGCTTAAATGAAAAATATGAATTGAAAAAGTTACGAAGGAAATTCCACTCTTCAAACTTTTCATTGTAAAGATGTGTGCGCGCATAACCTTTCATGTATTCACTTTTTTTCATGTTCATTTACTTAGTTGTGTATATTACTACAACATCATGTTGTGATATGAAAAGCCAACAACACGAGAGAACAACGAACATTTTTTTTCCCTACTTTGTATTTATAAAAAAGAATCCAACAAAAGGATGAGCTTTTCGGCTCGAAAGGAAGAAAAATGTGTTATGTTATGTTGCGTTCTATTTTTAATGCTGTAATTTATGTTTCGCTTTGCTGAAAGCCTTTTAAAGGTTTACGGTGCGTTACACTCCCTAATCGTAGCGCAAAATGAAAGCCATCTTAATATCCACACCAACGGACGATATCAAAGGAGAAAATATTTTTGTTTTTCCATTTTCACTTTGATTTTCTTTCCTGAAATTCGTTTCTCCAAAACATGAAAGCGCCATTTGATGGAAAGTTCTTTAATGTTTTTCTGTCGACTATTGTTGTTTTCCTCCTTTTTTCCTCGATTAATCCTCATTATGAGAGAAAACTTCAATCATCAAAATGGAAACGAAATGATCGAGCGCGCCCCTAAAACTCTCACGAATATTTTCTTTGGATTCAATTCATGAGAATCTTTCGCGTGCTAAATGGCTTTATGATTAACGTAAAGAATCTCTTTTTACTGATTTTTTTCTTCTTATTTCATTTCGATTTTCAAATGTTTTTATAAATAGAAATATTATTTGTAGAGTAAAAGAATAAGTAAGAAGGCCCACACCACCGCAACGTAAAATGCTGCTTGTGGTATAATAAGAGGATAAAATAAGAGTCTAGAGTTTGTTAAAAAGAAAAGTGCTTGTAATGACTCGACGCAACCCTGAAATGAGTGATTCACACTAAATCATAAGAAATACAATTATTCATAAGTAATTGAGGCGGAAAAATAAGTTTCCTTCTTTATGTCAAAAAAGAAGTATAATAAAGTGAATTTGCATAAAGAGAAAGTTTTTAAAATAGCAAACATTATAATTAATTGGATGTGTCATGAAGCTGATATGAAAGTCGCGGATTAATCAATCAAGCAGCTTGAGTTTTGTCAGAACAATTTTCCACCTCAAAGCAAGTTCGTTTCATTTGTAAAGCGCGCGTGATACGCGATTATTAAGAGTACTGGTGAAAAGTTGAATGATAACGTTATGGAATCAAGTCGAAAAGTTGTTTTTTATCAATGACTTGACGACGGAGAGACAGCCGCACCTTAACGTATCATCTTAAGGTATTGAAAAAGAGAAAAATTTATCTTAGTTATAATTTTTTTGATTTATTTTGTTTGTCACTATCAATTCTGTTGGGTTAAATAATTTAATATTGTTAATCAAGGTGCATCAAACTTCCTATCATAATTAAAATACTTTCAATAAAGAACTAGAACTGTATAAAATTGCTGATTAAAAAACTTTTTCCATTTCATTTTTTCCGCTTTCATTTTAATGTATTTCACGTAATAGGATGATACGCCTGTCACATAAATTATATCAGAAGCACTTGAAGGTGCGCTAGTGCGATTTGTCTCAAGAGAGTGTCAGACACGCTTATTGTTTTATACAAAGACAAATTTCCGTTGTTCTTGCTTTCATAATTGTTTAATATTAACAAAATATTGGCACAAAAAGAGCAAAGAGAGCACGAAAAGGTGCAAAATCGCAGATGTTTGGAAACATAATGCCTCTCATAATTCATTGCAATTCGAAGCGTGTCAAGCAACTGAAAACAGAAATAAATCTCGGAGTTTCTATTTACACGATATTATTAGAAATAAAATCGTGGAGAATGCACAATTTAATGATTTTTTAAGTTGTTCAAATAAACTTAAGAAGTTTATTTTATTGACAATAAATTTTGAGCTTTTTTATTAGTTGAATCGATTGAATTTTTCATGATTGTTCAATTAAACTTCACATGTACAACTTTCGTTTTAATCACATCGCAATAGATTCATGTTTCGATCGAACAATTGAGACATTAAATACATAGCATAAACTTTTTATTTTGTTTTCGGTGAATTAAATGAAGCGCTTCGCTTTTCAAAAACTTTTTTATTAATTCTGTCGAACTCTCGAACTTACTAATGGAAAAGTGGATTAGGAAATTGTTCATGAAGAGGTGAAAATTTTATTTCTATTCGTCAGGGTGGAAGTAAAATTAATAAAGATTTACGATACCAAAGTGAAAGACGGAACTAATTAATAAAAAGCAGATTGAGTTTCTTTATGGAAAAAACTTGTTAGCATGAACAATGAAAGACATTTCAAGAATGCTTCGTTTGCGATAAATACGAGAGAACAAATAAAGAAGGCGAAAATTTCAACATTTCTGTGCGATCATCATTGTTATTTATTCCCTTGCTTATTTCTTATTAAGCGATGATTCAGCCAAAAGGAGTTGAGTTCCATCGCGAAATCTGATATCAACTTGCTTGCCACGTTACTATGAATATTTATAACCTGCCTTGAACCTAGGTCAACTTTGTCAGTCGTTATTTCGAATATCAATAAAAGTTTATCATTATTAACCTCGGTTTTCCTTCCCGTAATTTAATCTTGATTATCAACTCCATGCGTGAAGTTAATGGCACAAATTTATATTTCCGCTTTTAAAACTTTATATTTTGCTGATGAAGTTGGTTTGATGGATGAGTGAACAATTTTTTAGGAAATTGAAACGAAAGAGAAAAAAATATCCAAAGCAAACTTGATAGATTTTTTGTGAAAGCATCGAAACATAAAAATTTTACTACATTTTCTCACCCAAATTCTTGAAATAAAATGCTAGAAGATATTTTTCAAGCCTCAACCATCACGATAAAGTGTTTACCATACTTTTATTGACCGTAAAACCGACTTTGAGCCCTTCATGAATCGATGAATAATGCTTATGCTAAAAAATATATACAAAAAGAAGGTTGACTTGAATGTGAAATCAATTCAGATGTGAAAAAGTTTCATTTTTAATAAAAAAGAAATATGTTTAGAAGTTGTCACTTGTCAATGTTGCCAGAGCTTTCTCCCATATAAAAGATATATTTAGATAGTTTAAGATGATAAAATAAAACATTATCATTTTTTTTCTCATCTTTTGTTTGACTTTTCATTGTAAAATGACAGATAATTGAAGAAAGAAAATGTCGAAGAAGCAGTTTAGAAGTCACGTCATAAAAAGTTGTCATAAAAAGCATTATGAAACATTCTTATGATTGTATTATGACGAATATCAAATTTCGTGAAGATTTGCTCAGATAAAAAACTGCCAAGTAATAACAGAAATATTTATTGTCGGAAAGAGTAGAGCATCATCGATTTTCCCTCCCTCTGAGACATAAAGTTGAACTTTTGAATAAGGTCAGTTATGTATTTTAAGAAAAATTGAGAAAAAATAAATCGACAGTGAGACTGAAATGTTTGAACATAAACTTGGAAAATAATAATGTGACATTGTTGACGAAGGGTCAACATTGAAGGGGATCAAAATCAATTGAATTGAATTTTAGAAATGAGTTCATTTTCAGTCACTCAATTCAATATGAAAGTTTGTGGATTCGTTGAAAACTTTAAATTAAGATTGACTCTCAATGCTTTTCAACACACATTTATAAAGTTTATGGAAGCTTTTCAATCTAAATTAAAAACTCGTTTCACAAATAAACTTTAACCAATAGTTACGGAGCTATCTAAAACTATCTGACATCAAAATATTCTATCAACATTCCTTTATCTCTTGCAAAGAGTTTTATTTACAAACAATTAACATTCTAATGTTCTATGGAGTTAAAATATTTAAATGACAACATGTAGAGTATAATTGATTCTCAGATGGTTGATGAATACAAGATGACATTTTCATCTTAAGTTGAGAGTTAAGAAACATCACTTTAGTATGATTAATATTAAATCAAGTGTTTTTTAATTGGCATTTTGTACTAAAGTTGAGAACGATTGAAATAATTTTTAGTTCTTGTTTGCAAATGGGATTTCGATGTGATTTCATGATGAACTTTTCATTCTGAAATTCAAGTTAAAATTTAAACTGAAATAGATTGAGCGATGAACTAATTTCTTAGAATGCCATACGTGTGATAGCGTGTTGGCTGACTGCTACTGGACTATTAAGTCCCGTTGTGCTTCGTTATTTTATTCTCAGTTCAAGTGATAATGGGAAAGCCTGCAGATGCAGCAATCCACAATCTTCAGAGTATTGTAGCGGAGTGTAAGTAAGCGTTTATGTTATCCAAAAGGAAAGTGCCACTACATGTACATGAAATGCATTAAATTCCCATTGGATTATCGGAAATGGTGTTGATTTTCTGCTCTTTTCGTACGATGAGAAAAATGTTGAATATTTTTAAAAGAAAATGGAATGAATGTGGAATGTCAATTTCTCGTCATTTGCAAAACTTTTTGCGAATCCCTTGGATTTTATGTGTCAGCCGAACAAGAAAATAAAAGTAATTAAAACATGAAATTATAACAAATGACCTCAAAAATTCTGAGGAAAATTGAAAAATGAGCTTGCGGAAAAATATGAAAACGAATCTTAAAGTTTTCATTTCAACGAAAATAAAATTTATTTCATGGTTTCTCAAGCAAAAGCCTTTATCACGAAAATTTTCCTCGTCTTGTAGTATAAGAAATTCTAACTAAGAATGTGAAAGTTTTTCATCCCAATTTCCCTCGCATAAAATATTCTCAAAACTTTTGAAAGCCAAAAAGATGTTTGCATTGAACAATTGTTTAAATATTTGTGGATATCTCGTGTCAACATTGCAAGTTGCAAAGGAAAATATTTCATCGGAAATTTTCTCTGTTACATAAATCTAATCACAAGAGAAAACAAGAACAGTATGTAAAGTAAAAATTTTCTATTCCATCAAGATCTGTTCGTTCAAGCAGTGAGCTTCTTGTTTTTTTATCAGGGAAATCACAAAAATATTTCTGCGGTGAACTTTTACCATTTTCATTTAGATTTTTTTTATCGCAACATAACGAGCTAAGGCATTCGTTTTTCTGTGCCGACTTCTACTTTTCCAGCTTTTGCCATAAGAAATCGTATCTTGAATATTTGATGCATACTGTGAAAAGAGAATTGAGATAAGTAAAGTAAGGAAAGCGAAAATCAATTGAGTTTCCTTTTTTATTCTCTCTAATGAAGTTTTCACCTTTTTTTGAAATTCTTTTGCAATCGGAAAAACGTGAGTAAAATAAATATAAAATTTTTTTACTTCTGTCTCGATGCCTCCTAAGCTCATTTAGGGAAACACAACGAATTTCCTTCACACGCCGCCATTGAACTCAACTTTTGAATAATTGAAGATGCTTCACAGAAATCGTCGTGGGGAGGCGCATATAATTGATGGGAAAAAAACCTTGATGATGTTTATAGTGTTGTAAAAGTATCATCAAAAATCAATAAAGTATTACTCATGTTACTCGTCCGATACATAAATAACACGTCGGGGCGCTTTGAAGTTTAAAGTTCTTTATAAATATGAGAGAAAATTTATTCATATGACGATTGAAATCAATTTATGTTGCATTTAAATTTTTTTGGATAAATGATTTCCGGTTTCCTGTACTGAGTAAGCAGATAAAGTAATTAAAAACATTAATTAGCTTTTAAGATTAAGAATCTGAATATCATTAGAATGAGAATGGATAAATTAATATAAATGGAATATTTCTTAATAAAATTAATGTTAATCCACTATGAATAAAATAATTTAAGAAGTTTAAGAAGGAAAATTGATTCTAAACACGGAAATACAAGGCAATGAGTAAAGTTGAAAAATCTTTTCTAAATCAACAAAGACGCTAATTGCACCTGCCGCAATAACATTTTTCTCTACCTCTCTCTCTTACAAGTTGTGGGTGAAAAGCATGAGAAATAAAAATTAACAGATTAACTGACAAGTGAAGCAAGATGTTGCGAGTAGCATGCTGTTCCCAAAAATATTCTTAATGGGAATCACCATTCTTCAGTCGTCTCGATCTCAATCTCAGATGAGCTTGTATCTTTATAAAAAAAATGTCGGCATCTGTTCAGATAATGAAGCTACAAGGGGAGATTTCTATTCTTCTTCTTTACATCTCAAATTTTATACGAGCACTTGCCATGGGAACAAAAGTCTAATTTGTAGCAATGAAATTTTCATCTGAATTGCAGATGTATGGAAATGAATGAGTGAACACGAACATGTATTTGAAAAGGCGAATGATTCGCTTTGCTCCTCAAAACCGCCTTGAGACTTTTCATACTGCTATTTCTCACGAGATTGTATACTCTTAATGTAAGAACACCAGAAAACTTTCTTCACTTCTTAGATTCTATTCTTCTCCTCGTTTGTCAAATGATTTCCCACGCAAACGAAATAAATTCATGGCTTTACAGGAAGGCGTAGCTTTCTCGCTTCTACATTTCTTTATTTCTAAAATCCCACCAGCAATTTTCACTTCTTTACCCCAAACAAAGGAGGAAAGCTTCATTTGATAGAAAAGCCTAAACGGAAAATAAATATCAAGGAAAAAAATCTGATTTATGGATTTTTCTTCTTCTTCTCTCATTTCAAGGCAATCTATTTCACCGAGCGATGTTAAGGGAATTGAGAAAGTTTCAAGAGCTAATTTAGAAGCATTGAACTATCGGAAGTTTTACTACAATATCTTGAAACTAAAGCAATGATAGTTGGGATGATATGAGAAGTTGCGATCTAAATGTGTGAAGCTTCATGAAGTTATAAAAGTTTGAAGTTTTTTTATACACTTATTTGTGCTCGAGAATCAAGAAAAAAAACGAACAAAAAAGAAAGAAAGAATAAATAGACATGAAAACGAGTTGTAAATCCGGAAAGTTTAACATTTCAATTTTTTTATTGTTGCTTTCCGATGTTTATCCTTGTCAGTTTTTTAATTATTTGTGACATACATATTAACGTATTTTGAATGTTACTCGATGTTTCGTTACTCAGCATCACAGATGTTTGTTGTGTTTTGATGAAAAACAAAAGCCAAAAGTTTTCCAAGCGAGTAATGAAAAAAAAACGAACCCGAAAAGTTTGATGTAAATAAAGTTTTTGTTTTCGTTTATCAACAAAGGTTTCCGAACAGGAAATAATCAATATGACAAACGGGATCGCTAACAAGAATAAAAGTATATAGAATAAACATTAAAATTGGAGGAAATAAAATATCTGAAGATTAACCTTTTGTGCTTCCTGAATGTAAATTGAATTTTCTCTCCTTCTTGTTCGCACTGCTGCTTTTTTTAACTTCTCGCTATTCCCTTTTGAAACTTTTAACCCATTTCAGTTAACTACTTGAAATTCAAATGATTCTTTAAAGTACTTCATACCGAAAGTGCTGAAGAATTTTCATATTAGAGCGTAGAAGAATTCAAAGCCTAAACATAATTTGCATCTCCATGGTTTCGGTATAAGACTAACGCCTTACAATAAGTGAAGAGGTTGAAGTGACTCAACAGAAACCGAGATGACTCCTTCCATCAGGTTCTTAATTTGTTCGTAGATAAGTAGAGAATACCAAAATGTTATTGCATTTATAAGAATGACTCAGCGTTATGAAACTTTACTTCTTTATTTTTATATTCACAGATACATAGCCAAAGCTTTAGTATTTGTTTTAACAGGAATAATGTAATTGAATGCTCTTATTTCTCCCATCAAACATGAAATGAAACATCATTGGGGATATCTTTGCGACTTTATCTGGCACAATTGAAAAGGATACGATCTACACAATGTCAAATATAATGAGAAATAATAGAAATATTTTCATTTCTCCTTTCACCCTCGTAAGAGTCGTAAAATAAACGATTTTATTGCGATGGCGTTTGTCAATGTAGATGTGATATCTTCAAAAGAAAATAAACTTCTTAGAATTGAGTTCCAAGTTGTCAAAGATCAGATCATGAAGAAATGAAAGGCTGAACAAACCAAAACTTTAAAGTTTTCAATTCATGAGAAATTTAAACTTGTATGCGAATAATTCAATTGGGAACAATCAAGAAAAAACTTTTTTATTTATTTTGTTCATAAATAATGTAACGAAGAGTTCAATTTTATGTAGTTTTCCAAAGTAAACAAATAAATAAAGTTGGGAAGAATTATTGAACGGAAAATTTACTCGTACATTGTTTAAGTAGCCATTCGATCGGTCACTTAGCTAGCCAGTAATCCAACATTGAAACTTATTTTTTCTGAACAAAACAATAGAAGAAAACTATCTGAAGAAAGCATAAAAATAAAGTTTCGTTAAACTTGCTTATAAATAAAAGTAGTTCAGCACACGAAGGAGTATAAAAATGCTTTCAATTGCATTTTTCTTACGGAAACTTCTTAGCTTGAAAGTTTTATTTTATTTACACCCACTCATGCATGATAGATTTGATTAATGAATAATTCCACATAGATATCTGGTAAATATTAAACTTTGTCGTGGGTGCAATATCGATTATGTAAACATTTCGCTCTTGATTTTTATTATGCCACATTGTTTAATAAATTAGATAATTTATTTGTAAAGCGTAGAATTTTTACTTTATGTATTTTTTGTGTCCTTATTTATTTTTTTTATTCTACATTATGTTGTTGTCAGTTTGTTACAATTCATTATGTTCTCGTTACAGCTCCGAAAACCAGTTTCAACGCAGTCAATTCCATCGATGAAAAGTGGTAATCGTGACAACAATAAAGATTCTGCATGCAACGAAGAAGCTGGTGTCGCACTTGTTGGTGTTCATTCAGAATATCCCAGGTGAGTGAGAAATTATTTGATAAATTACGAGCAGTAAATTGAATTTATTGCCGATAATTGAAACTCATCGAATAGACATAAATTTTATTTTTCCTTCCTACGTTTTACTTCTCGCTTTATTTATTTCATGCCTTTTCTCTTCTTCAATCATTATTCATAAAAAAATGAATATATGAACAACAGGTACATGGAGGAGCGGGGTTTAGGTGGCGGCATTTATAAAGGTGCCTCAGAATCACAGGATAAAGGCGGAAAGCAGAAACCAAATGTCGGATATCGTCTTGGCCGACGGAAAGCACTCTTTGAAAAACGAAAGCGGATCAGTGACTACGCCCTCGTGATGGGAATGTTTGGAATTATTGTTATGGTTATTGAGAATGAATTGAGCAGCGCGGGAGTATATACGAAGGTAAGCTTTTAATTAAAAATGATTGTTATGAGATTGGAAATCGCTTCAATCATTTTTTAAATCAAGAACAAATATTTACGAGTCGTGAAATTGAAAATTCTGTCATCACTCTTGTGATCTATCAACTTTCATATCATTTTAATAAACATCTACTGCTGATGTGGATATTTACATAAGTATGCACAGGGAAAAACAAAATCAAAAAATGACACAAATTTCTTCCGCTATCTTGAAACGTGACATAATCAACACACGAACTCGAATGTTCATGACATGAATTTATTTCTGCCAATACAAATACATACACACAATCACGAATAGAACTTTTATTGACAAACTGCTATCTTGTTCAACGTTTCAAGAGTTTTCCTTTACTTAAGTGCTGCATAAAGGAAATCTCAATTTGCTTTGAATTCCATTCCTTATTTCTTGCTTCAACCAATATCAATGCTTTTCATTATTATCTTCATACAAAGGCAGATTGTTGAGGTAAACTGATAAACATCATCACAAGCCGCATCATATTCCATAATTCTGTCTTTCATCTTGTTTTTTATGATATAAATTAAGGGCTCTTTACAGCAATGTTGCAACTTTCATTTTGTTGTACATAGTAAATTGTAACAATGTTGAAAATCACTGCATCGTCTTGGAGATGACATTAATTTAAAGATTTTGTTGAAACTTGAGAACAACTTGAAGAATTCATGAAAGACTTTTCATAGTTCCTCGAATTTTCCAAAAATCTTTTTAATAATTTCTATAAATTCCTTCGCAGTAAGTAATAAAATGAATAAATTGTGCATTGGAGACTTAAACAACGTAGTACCAATTGCGTTTGATTGAATATTAAAGCAGAACTACGCAAATACTCAATCGATTTTCTGAATGTATTTGATACAGTTTTTCCATAAGGAAATTCAAACAGTTTATTCAAGAAAAAGAACTTTAACTACATACTTATGTAGTGGAAAACTTTTTTGTCATCATTTCCCATTTCTTTGCTTGTTTTTCGTCGAAAAAACTATTCTTATAATGAAGCCAACTTTATTCTTTTACTTCAATAAGACGATCAATAATTTCTTGTTAGCATGTGTCGTCACATCGTTGTAGTTTTGTTGAACTTGTATTAGATTGTGGAAAACATAGGAAACAATAGATCCACTTAAAATAACACAAAATTCAATTAACTTGACGCCCTGAAATTTATTTCCGTACCATTGAGTCACGTATTTTCTTATTCTTCCTAAAAAGAAAAATTTTCTGGTGCCATTTATTTTATGAAAATATTTAATATTTAATTATATTCATTAATTCATGCAGCTATCTTGTAAATGGTACAAAACACTTCAATTTTAATTTATTCACTAGACTGACAATAGTCTCACTTTATGCAGATTGTCTTTCAGTGGCTTGTTAATTATAAAATGTTTTTAATGAGAGACTTCTTTGGAATCCATTTATGACATCACCCTTTTGTCATTATTACTGTGCTTAAGAAAATGAATTAAAAGTTAAGAAAAGATTCAATAATTATAAAAAAAAGGGAAAAGCTAATTTAGATTTACTCTTTTCGAGGGTTTCAAAAGCTTTTTACAAGTTGTAGTAATCGATTTAACTTTGGAAAAGAAAAAAGGTTTCTGATGAAATCTCATTTGCGCAATTGGTGCGGAAGACACATAATTTTAAGAAAAGATTTTAATTAAGGAGTTAAAGAAATTCAGTACGTAATCTAACTTTTACTTGGCTTTTTCATGATGGAATATCAAAACGAAATATAAACAAATTGTGACATCTTGAGTGCTTCGGTTGTTTTAATTTACGTCATTTCATTATTGAGTGTTCAAAAGTTTTATGGGTGGGCTGAAAATTCAGAAGCATTCAAAATTTCTCAGTTGTTATTAAAATTCCACAATCAAATTATAAAACCAATTAAAGTTAGTTCCAAAGTTGTTCACTGTTGCAATGTGTTACTAAGCCTCTTTGCGGTCGTTGATTTGATGCTAATAAAAAATATCTATTGGCACTCAAAAGACTTTACGAAATTTGTTCATTGAATCATATTTGAGGATAAAATTTCTCTCAGGGTAACAAAATGATAAATTTGTGAAGTTGAAATTAGAATATTTATGCATGTTTGTCGCATTCTCGTCCCTAAATGTCGGAAACTGTTTTTTAACCAACATACGTCTTGAACAATTGTAGATAAAACTTAAAAATTTCACTGTTTTAAATAATATGTTTCATTGTAACTTTCCTGCAACAAACGACAGCAAGACAGATGGTATAACATCTTTCAGAAACAGCTAGAAAATGATATATTCTTTGGTAAGCCAAAACCAAAATATGAAAAACCGAGAAATGTGAGAAAAATTACTTATGGTATCGGATGCACTCTCTGAGGTGTAGCTTAACATTTTGATCAGACTTCTCATAGCAGAAATCATTTCTAATAAGAATGAATATGTGGAAGCTCATGTGTCTGTATCATAAGCCCATTTCTGTTCTTATAGAATGATATCCGATACTCTCACACCATACAGAAGTTAAACTTGATTGCATTATTTTCTGATAATGTTCAAACAGAAGAATATCAAAATTGTTAAGTTGAGCAGTTGAAATTGTAAATCTGGAAGGCTTCAATGATTCTCTTTAGTAATCTACACACAAGTTATGGTGCTTATGAGAGTTAAATGGTTACAAATGAACACACACCAAAAGTTTTCGATGCCTCATCTCATGTATCGATGAGTTCATGTTCTCCTTCAACATTTATCAAAAATAAGTGACAACATTCATGTATGTATGTAAACAATATATTGAACTGGGTACATGTCGTCATTATGGATTAGATAGGGAATCATGTACATAATAAATTTTGTTATCCATAGGGAATAACAGCTTTAGTTAGGGGAACTGAACCAACAATGAGAAAAAGAACAGCAATTTAAATTATAGGCTTTGAGCTTCAGCTTCATTCTAATATATGAGACGACACTCTAATCCCTCCAAAATAAGGGAGAATCAAAGGCATTTATTTATAGACTTTGACAGCCTCGCAAATTGTATACTTGAGCTCCAAATTTGGTAATATGAATCTCTCAACACTCTGATAATCATCGTGTCGAAAGAGGCCGAAAATTTCAGCCAAGGGAATAATTAACAAGTGAATTCAATTGAATTCTGTTTTATGGGCTGCAAATGTCTGTTGTAAAGAAGGAAAGGTAATAATTAGGAGATCGGTTAACTCTGATAGAGGATTTTAATGTTGTCGTGAAAGGATATTATGTGTTATTTTTTGTCATAATTTAAAGCCAGGTTTGTTTAGGTGTGAAAAGAATGACAGAATGAAAAACATAAATTTAATTATGCCCTCTGAATTAAAAATAAAAAAAGGGACAATAATGCAGTGATTTCAATCTTAATTTCTCACGCTTCATTGAAATAATTTTAATTATATACAAGCTGTTTAAAGCGAAGGTAATTAAATGAAACAAAATTTTCATGACAAACGAATCTTTACGAGTTTTCAATTTTCCTCCTTGTCTCATAATTTTATTTCTTTTTTTCACGTCATGTTATGGGTGGATGAATAAATATCATCAATACGCGTAAACAATCTTCATTTTACGACTGAAATGAATCACATTAAAAGATTCCAAACAACTCTCAAAGCGTTCTTAACATGGATTTCTTCATTCTTATTTTAATCTCTTAATTTGACGTTTGAATTTCAAATTTATAATCAAAATCGTATAAAGTTATAAACATAAAGCCTATGAAAGTTTACAAATTCTATTCAAAATATCTTTTGTTCAATTCACATCACAAAGTATTCAAAGTTATTCGCGTCGAGTCGTTGATTTTATTACATTTTGAAGCTGAATGATAAGCACATCAAAACCATATCTGTTTATGGCATGCTGGTCAATTGATGTTAATAATATTCACCATCATATAGTCCCCCTTAGTGATATTTGCATGTAATAAAATAAACAAAATAAAAACATCTCGCATAAAAACTTGCTGCTGCTATTTATCACGTTTCATGAGTATTTGAAAATCTTCGAATGTTTTTGATTTCAATGAGACTTGACTCGGGTGGGTGCTGCAAGAAATATGAATAAAATTGAGGCTAACAATGGCTTACGAATGACGAATGGCTTCTTAACGTTATTTTTCTGAAATCTTTTGTTGTTTTTCCACGATTTCAATGACAAAGCAAAAAGAAACTTTTATCTAACAAGAAAATAATTTGGTAGCGAAGTAATGATGAAAGTCACGTTTTTTATTATGACACAGCGTCATATTTGCAAGTAAGATTAAGATGAATAAGAAAGAAGTTTTCAATATCCACGATATTTACAAATCAAGTTATCAATTCCAGACTTGAAATTAATTTGTTTGTAATATTTTTTTCCTTTACAGGCATCATTTTATTCAACTGCGTTAAAGACACTAATATCTGTATCGACTGTGATTTTACTTGGTCTTATAGTTGCTTATCATGCTTTGGAAGTTCAGGTGAGTTCACGATTAAACGAGAAATTTTTAACTTCAATATTTGAAGAAGGTTTCAATTTCATTTATTAAAGCAAATGAATTTTGGGGGAAGTTTCCAGCTACACTTTAACTTCTACTCGCTTAAATAAACTTTCAAACAAAAACTTTATAGATCGAATTTTCTTTACATTCACAATGAAGAAGAAATTTCAGATATCCTTGAAATGCAGTGAAAAATCTTTTCAAAATGAAGAGATGACTTTAGAATGCATTTCAGTGCAGATTGTATTACTTGCACAGTACGTTTCACATCGAATGAAATTTTTCTTCCATAGAAATTCAACTCCAAGACTAGACGTTAAATTTATCATACAAAAAAGCTCAGAATTTGTCCAAAGTGCTAGGAAATATTATATCCAAAGCATAAAGCTTGCAATCTAAATGCAAATATCTTGGCATGATTGCACATAGGAACATACGATATCTTAATTAATTTAATTGAATCTTCTCCAAGCATTAAACATGCTTGGTTTGAAATTAAAGAAAATTATATGTTTCAAAGCATGTTGAATATGATAGAAACAACATGTGAAGCCTGTATTAAACTACAGAAGCGTCGTTATAAACAAAGCGAATTAAAAAAAAGTGGATGAATTTTAATTACAGTTATAAATTCAATGCTTTCAAGATCTTATCTAGAAATGTCATTAAGCTAATTATTTCGAAATAATTTGTGATTTCAGTTATTCATGACGGACAATTGTGCAGATGATTGGCGTATTGCAATGACGTGGCAACGAATCAGTCAGATAGCATTAGAATTAGTTATATGTGCAATACATCCCATTCCAGGCGAATATTACTTTCGTTGGGAAACAAAATTATCGAACAAAAATAAGGCTCCTGGCTTTGCTGACGTGCCATTCGATGTGGTGCTATCATTGCCAATGTTCCTCCGTTTGTACCTGATTTGTCGTGTTATGCTGCTACATTCGAAACTTTTTACCGACGCCTCGTCGCGTAGTATAGGTGCATTAAACCGTATTAACTTTAATACTAGGTAAGCTTTTCATGCGCTATATCTCCTCATTTTCTCTATTCAACCATTCACTTTTCTGTTTCAATTAATTTCAGATTTGTTTTTAAAACCCTAATGACAATATGCCCCGGCACCGTATTATTAGTTTTTATGGTCTCGCTATGGATAATTGCATCATGGACGCTTCGGCAATGTGAAAGGTAAATTGATAATTTAATGCTTTCAAAAAGTCATGCGCCTTCTTTAAAAAATTATTCTTTAACATTTCTATTAATCGTTAATAAATGAAACGAAGATGATATGAAAGTTTTATCCACTTTTCCCAATTTTTAATAAATTCTTTTTATTTCATGAAAATATAAACTTCCTCAAAGCTTTTAATATTTAAGATCTTAAGAATTACTGGGCTTTGCAGAAAAGCTTTGCTAACTTTTAGAGAAGGAAAATCAGATTGCCATACATAAAACTCTTATCCTTAATAAAAAGGAAACTTTCATTTTCTTTAATATAAAATGACGCTTGATATCAGACAACAAAAAATGAAGCTCTTCGAAGAGAAACAGAAAATATTTATTTTAATTGAAAACAATTCAGACTTTTCTTTAGTATGATTGGATATGTACATGTTTATTGATTGCATCTTTATTTTTATCTCGATAATCGACAAAGAAGTTTCTCTCTTAATCATTGTTTGTCTGACTTTATCATTCAACCAAGATTTGTTTTTGAAGTTTATTTTTTATATGTAGGATTCATGCTGTAAAATTGCTAATAATTTTATTCCCCCCGAACCCGTAAAATTTTTGTCCTTGCTAGATAATAATAGTTGTTTCTATTTTAATTTTCCCTTGCATATAATTGAGCATAAGAAAGCTTTTGATGCTTCATTCAAATATGAGTTATCATTCACCGAGAAGCTTTTGAAGATGGGACATACAAAAAGCTTTATTTGAATCCATTTCTCTTTTTGTTTCCTCCCCTTTAAATTTTTCATAATAGAGTAACCTTTTGAAAAGTTTCAGACATTTTTCATATCTTTTCATTGTGCTTTTGAGCTTACACGCTTATTTTTGCTATCACTGACATAATTCAAAGCTCATTCTATTAAAGCAAAAATGAGCGTGGAAGGCATTTGAATCATTGCATTTTTCTCTTTTGTTCTCATTTACTTTTTATCAAGCATGAACCTTTTTTTTGAATAATTTTACATAGAAATTCATAAAGAAAATAAAAAATTTTCTATAGTTATTTATGTACTCCCGTTAATTACTTCAAAACTTCTCGACAAAACGATATCAACCAAAGTGAAAAGCTTTACTTGTCAATTCAATTAAATAAAATTGATTTCAGTTACTTTAATTTTATTAATATTTCTTTTGAAGGAAGAGAGGTTTTCACTTTCATTGTGTTCTTGTACCGCTAAGTATCTAATTTCTAATCTCATCTTATGATAGACAAGAAAAGAAATTGTACAAAAGCCTGTATTGATACATTTGATTATATTTTTGATCAAAAAAATAAAAGTAATAACAACACATAAAAGAGTTATAGCCAGCTTGAGTCAATGGAGTTTAGCAGAAAACAAAGTTAAACGCAAAGCGAAAAAAATCACCCAAAACGATTAAATTATGGAATACGAAAAGTAATGTCTAAAAATTAGAAAACTGCCACAAAAACACTTAAATATTTTGCAAAATTTTTGTCTTAATAAATGAAAAGGTAGTGTAACTATAAATTTATAGATTTGTTTTCTAACTACACTCACACATTTAACTTATTGATAGAAGTTTATATAACTCCACTCTTTTATCCAACAATCTAAACCACTTTCTTGTTTATCCTTTACTTTCTTTCTTCCCACATCTTGTCTTAATCTTTTTCTACGTTCTCAAACATTTTTTTAAAGACTTTCTAAGGAAACAATTTCTGATTAATCATACCTATACATGAAACATGCTCAATAAACTTATACTTCACACTTGTTACTACTCTAGTTGGCATGCTCTAGTATCGATCTTTCTATCTTTCTATCTTCTCTAGTTTTCATAATTCAGAAAAAAAACTGACACCAGAATTTTCTTTTCATTCTTCTTTGCTTTTCTTGTATCTAATAAAAAGTTGTTGACTTCTGTTTTATATCTGTTTTCTTTTTATTTATATTCTTCTTATTTTGATTCAGACAATACCGATAACAATGACATGATTTGATCGATTTGGGTGATTGCTTTCCTTGCACAATTTATTTTCTTTCATTCAGATTTGGTTTTGTTGAGCACTTTAATATGTCTTTATTTCATTTCTTTTGATTAATGTTTTATTGTTGAATTTTCATCTTGATGCATTCAAATTACATATCCTCATCTTCTTATGGATGTTGCATTAGATTTCATCAGTAACTTTTCTTTGTATTTTATGTGATAAGTAGTTCAATAGTCGTTTAGATTTCTCTGTTAGATTCCTTGTTGAAGGCTATTAAAATATTTACATCACCCTTCTCTTCAGAAAAGCGGGTGCGTGTTGCAAGACTTGTTCTCCTTTTTTCCATCTATTCAAGAAACCAAAAGAATTTCATTGTGAACCGATGAAACATTTTCCATCTAAATATTGGAATTTATTGTGCGTATTCTTTTCCTTTTCGTTTACTTTAGCGTGGCTGATGAAATATTTTATAGCTCATTTTGACATTCAAACGTAACACACTTTATGTGATCAGATTACGCAATTTACCAACACATTTTGTTCTTTGTGTGACACTCAAACAGCAATATCCATCTTTGTAGTGATATGTTTCGTAATTTCTGTTTTCCGTGTTCTTTCGCAATTGTTTCTTACTAACAACAAGTTTCTTTATTTCAATTCTCAAATACATGAATATATTTTCATTTTAAGCACATAATCTATTCATGTGAAAGCTTTTATAAATTGTTTTGGAGTTGCGGATAAAATTATACAGGAAGCTTCCACGAACATAACACAAAATGGCAGCAACATTAACACTTTCATAACACAATCGCTTTTTCTCATCGGTCTCAACACCTCATATTTTCTATCTATTACAAATAATTTTATGCACAAGTTACTACCATTTACTTTTATTTCGCCCTTAAACCTTCTTATTTACAAGCTTATACAAAGACATATTTCTCCTGTTTTATTTGGAAAAAAGAAAAGTTTTAATGCTGAGCTTTCAAGCGTACCAATTATTTATATTACAAATGTCTACTTATCTCCATTGAGAAAAGGAAAATTCCATCCATCTGAAATTACTCGTAATCGCAATTTTACATTACGCAACCTACGGAAATTTTCTTATTATGTAGTAATTTTCTCGTTTCTTCAACTTCTATCAGAGATATTAAAATTCTTTTAAATTAAGTACATGAAATTTTAGGCTTTCTTCTCTCCTTATCTCGCGCTTTCTTTTTTCTCTCTTTCTTTTAAAGCCAATCTTTGCGCTATGCAGAAATATCTAATATCAATATCAAATATTAAAAAAATATGAAAATTGTTATGTATGCGTTTTAAAAATTTTCTTTTCTTTTTTTCTTTTTTAAAATTATCTCACTACATCCCACCGTTATCACATCTTCACCATCACGAAATTTATTTTGAAAAAAAAATTAAATAAATGATAATAATAAAACAAATCAATTTCACTTTCGATAATCACAACCATCACGTCGATTCCCTAATTTTGACGAACAAAAAAAAAAATTAAAATGTAATGAAATAANTTACTTGTTTTATTTTCACTCGACATTATTTTTATTTCAAGTATGAATATTTATTAATAAATTTCATTCACTTCTTTTCACAGTTGAAAAACGCAGCGGCAAATGTTTTGAGGGAGACTTGGCTCATTTACAAGCACACAAGATTAGTGAAGCGAGTAAATCCTGGTCGAGTGCGAACACATCAAAGGAAATTTCTGCTAGCCATTTATGCGTAAGTTTTTCTCATTGATTTTCCATCTGGAGGATAATTTCATCGAGATACTGAAATATCGTTTTGTAGAAAGAATGAAGAAAAATTGTGCAATTGCACCAGTTTGCAATAAATTTCATTTATCATTTGCAGTGGATACAAAACGAAGCATTGCATCTTGAATTTAAAGAAACAGAAAAGTTCTTTAAGTGCATTAAATTTACATTATTTCTCTTGTTATTTACTTCTGCGCCATGTTTTATATATTTAATGATAAATTATTTTCATTTACACAGATTGCGAAAGGTTAAAATGGATCAAAGAAAATTAATGGACAACGCAAACACAATCACAGACATGGCAAAGGTTGGTAGGAAAAATTTATGAAATTTATCCAGCAATAAGTATGTTGAAATTAATCATACTGGCTCTCAGTTTATGTTTAGAACATAAAATCAGAAAGAGAAAAACTTTGTTTAAACCTTAATTTAATTTTTTTTCTAATTAGAGATGAAAGAAATTAAGGAAAGCTCGTTTTAAAACTTTCTAGGATGTTCTTACATCACGAACATTCATATCATTTGTCATGGCTCAGTTAATTTTATATTCTCTAATTTATTACTCGTATAATTTTTTCCCACACGTCAACATCAGACTTCAAATACGGTTTACGAAATTGTTTCGGATATGTCATCGCGCCAAGATGCTTTAGAAGAAAGATTATCGAGTCTCGAGGATAAACTACAAGGACTTCAAGTGAGTATTTTCATGCTATCAAAGGATGTGTAGGGACAATTATCAACTTTCATAGTGAAAAAACTTCCATTTAAATTCATGTGAACTGAGTTTATAAAAGAAACTTTAAAAATCAAATAAACGATCCAATGATGCAGCGAATAGCTTCAAGCAAAGTTGACTGAATATTGTGCAACAAAATGTAAAATGATTCACAGATCTCTATAAACAGCGACAGTCAACTTCATCAAATTGCCACTACAGGGAAATATTCAACAAGTTGGTAGCAAAAAAAGAACAAAATGTAAAAAACTGCAATCATTGAAGCCCAATGCGGATTTGAATATTTTAAAGCTTCAGTCTTTACTATTTGCTGCTTCATCCACTCAATCTGTTATACAAAAAATGAATATGTACTCATTTTCATATCTTCAACTTTATTATCTTAGGATCAACTCGAAGCATTGCCAGAACTTCTCACAAAATGTCTCGCACAACATCAAGAACGTCTCGAACAAAGGAGAAACTTTTTACATCCAGACATGGCCGCTAGCTCTTCGCCAGCAAGTCTACAAATGCCTGCAACACCAACAATAGGTTCGCCTTTAATACTTCCTCATTCTAGGTAAGTGTAGTTGTTTACACAAGCGCGCGCACACTGGCACCTCTCCACGCAATCCGTTGAGATCTTCTATCCTTTAATTAACATTTTTTTCCAAACACAAAACACCTACACTTACACCGCTGTACAGTAATTTAATTTAACTATGTGTGTGTGTGTTTAATATTGTTTTCAGCGATAGTTTTTCCAGTGAAAGCTTCGCTGAAAGCATTATTAAGAATGTCAAGCTAATTAGATTGCTTTTTATAAAATGTTTATTGTTTCGATTGTTTAGCAAAAATCCTACTATAGAAAATGATTACAACTACCAAGAGCATCCTCATGAACAACCAGCAGATGATTCCATATCCAAATGATAAACTTAGAGACATAAGAAGAAAAAAGTAGAATAAAAGAACCGATTGACGTGTGATAAACGAAAAAAAAGCTTCATCTACATAAATATAAGAAGAAGAAAAAAATGAATAAATCAAACATTATAAACTCATTAGTGTAAATAGAAAGTTAAATGATTGAGTTTATAAAATTGATGATTCTCGCTTTGACATAACGTTAGGTTCAAAGCCAAATGTAGCGAATCATCAGCAGCACACAACGACAACCCGTTAGAATAATTAGGACGATGTGTGGCTAATTTCCTTTATTTAATTTTTGTTTTGTCCGCCCCCTGCCTGTTTGCCTGCAAATCCAATCAACCATTCTCTCTATCTCCATGATCCATCATAAATGCTTCTTTAATTACATCCAAAATCAGTTGATTTGTTATCATTTCCAAAGCTTATGACGAACTTTTCGAAGTGAAGTTTATGTTGGTAATTATTTATTTTTATGATTTTCTTTTACTTGGATGTCGTTGATATTCATGTAGTGACAAACTTTTGTTTTTCTTTCCCGATCTCCTTCTATTTTCTTTGACATCTTGACAAAAATCACTTCGAATCTTCGATTGAAACAACTGCATCACAATGAATTATCGGAAAACTGAAGTTACCCTTTTAGAAGCGTACAATCCACAGTTTCATCAACAATATCATCACCTACAACAGCAACAGAAGAACCAACAACAATTACATCGTCAACAGGCCATTACCAATGGCCCCCAAGTCCCATACTACCCCCAATCTCCAGACGAATTGCTCATTTAACACCATCAACAATAACGAACGATGACGCGTTATTAACCGAGAATCATCAACCTAATACATCCTTTTACGACGACTTCATTAATGCACAGCAGCACAATTCATCATCCAGTCGTGAGCGTGACACGAACATCACCAAAATCACTAATCACAAGAACAGAAACTGAATCTCAACAGTAAGCTCAACAACGACAATGATGAATTGAACAATAATCATGACGCACTGGAACGGGTTGTTGTGAAAATTGCGTTGATTAATTTATTATGAACGAAAAAGAATAAAATGCGTAGCTACTAGCTAGAAATATTAAGCAACGTTACAAGTTTAGGAAGTGAAAAATAAGAGAAGCAAAAGCACGATATGGAAGAATAAAGTTGTGGCCTACGAATGAAGCAGCAAGCGAGAGAACAGCTGAAAGTCTCACGAAGCAAACACTCAATTATTAAGAGACAGTAACATATAGCAAACTTTCGGAGATATATGATGTCTATGTTTCTATATATGTTTCAACATGTTGCTTTCCATAAAAGCTCTCGCTATAATTTAAGTACACAGCTATAGATGTCAGACACTTTTCTCTCAGCCAAAATATATTTAAAACTTACTTTAATGAAAAACCAACTCAATCCTTCGAAATGATTTTGAAAGTTTTTCCAAAAGCGATTCTAAAGTTTAAACTATGTCAGGATTGAGAAGAAAGAGAACAGAACAAAGCTCAAAATACTTATATAACTTTAAAAATTAATTACTTTTAGTTCGTTAACACCAGATTTTCAAATGTTATGAGTTCCTCCCTTCTACGGGAAAATGAGTTTGAATAAAAATTTCAAAGAAATTGCATTAATGGGTGTGCCTGAAATGAAAATTGCATTCAATTTGCATTCAACATTAATTTATGAAAATTAAAAGTTAAATCGTGCAGCGAACGGTCGAAATGTGGATGAAAACATTAAGAAAGTTCTTGTTTTGTTACTTTTTCAAAGTTTTCATTTGCTGACGAAATATTTAAATTTTTTTTCTTTCCATGACCAACACGCCTTTTAACTAATTAAGAAAATTAAGAAAATTAAATATGAATAAAATTGAAAATTATATTAAGACATGATAAAGAATATTTCTCGCCAATTACCACACGTAAAGGTTTTAATCTTTTATTTCCACATTAATGAAAAACCAAGTTGAACAAACGATGGAAAATGTAGGTAAATTAGCTTTAAGTAGAATAAATAACGAGATCAACAGATGAAAATAATTTGATTGATTTAGTGTCTAAAAAGATAATTAAATATTTATAAAATGATAACAGATTAGCACAAAATCATCTTATTAAGATTTAAACAATTCATTTATGAACCTAATGATAACTTTTTCTCGTTTTAATTGAAAAGACATTTGATAAGTTAAACGAGTCACAACACATGAAATGAAACTTCTTACAATAATACTTTTAAGCGTTTATGTAACATGTTATTATAATGCGGAATATGATAAATATGAAATTAACTTTCCTGTAACGAATACTTTAACATTTACTTATACAAAAACCATTTTGACGATTAGCAGAATGGAAATAGAAATTCTAAAAATGGTTCCGAAAATTAAATTGAAATCGTAGCATTATTAGATAATTTCATTTTCTAAGAAAGAAACATAAATCCACGGTATGATGCTGATAACATCATGAACTCAACAACAACAACATGAAACCAACTTAATTCTTAACAACAGATACGGAAACTCCGTGAAGCATAGCGACAGAATTAATCCAAACGCTGTGCGTACGTTTCCACCCCCAATTCCCTCTTCTCTCATCGAAGGATTTCTTTCGCATTAGGTTTCTTCTTTTTTTCCTTCTCAAGATAGTTACATAACAAAAGCCAAAGATGAAAGATCTGAAAGTAGATTCTACAATGTTCTTCTATATAAATGTAAATTTTCGTAAATTTATAAATGAAATCTAAAACTGTTCTTTATCTATAATCGTGATGTTTACCTTTTCATACGAGGATGTGTCTAAAAATGTTTTCCTCTTCCTTTAAAATATTAAATATGTTTATCTCTCGAAGCATTAAAGCTAACTTACATAAATAAAGTTCAATCCCTGCTTAAATAAACAAAATGAAAACTTCGAAATTATGTAAACGTTGATAAAACTTCGAAGAAAAGAAAATTTGCCTAGGTTAGTTAACTAAATTTAACAAAGAAAATACACCATTTATGTGATATTTAAGAAAAGTTTAAAAGCTTTTCAATTGATATTCAACATGAAGAAAATGAAAACAATTTAAATCATGTTAAGTAAAATAATTCTGAATAAAATTCACGTCATTTATGACAGAACCAAATACTTTATGCAAAAATGCACAAACTTTGAGTTTGATGTTGATAAATAAATAAAATAAAAATGATCAACATTGAAATGGAAAAAAATATTCTAAAGCTCTGCATGTTCTGAAGAAAGTTTTTTAGTCTCTCTGTTGTTGATCTGTGGCACTTGCCTCAAAGCTTTTTCTTTGCACGATGTAAATTTATTCCAAAAAGTTTCAAATAATTTTTATTTTGAGCCTTAAGCATTTTCCACAAAATTTTGGGTCAGATTTATTTATAAAACTAATTAATTACATGAATCATTTCGAAAACAACCGATTGCATACTATAGTAGTCCAATTAGTTGCCTTTAATGCGCCTTAACACTTTCAAACTTTTTTATTAATTATTCTTAACAAAGAATATAAATTCATTCGTTTCAAAGAGTGAAATTCAATCAACGAACCCAATAAAAGACCAATGGCTCTTAGCATGTCATATTGAAATACTTAGAATAAAGACAGATTAAATGGATTTGTGCTTAAAGAATTGAATTCCATTGCTAATTTATTTCATAACTAAAGTAAATAAATAGACATGAGAATCAATTAGGTAATGTTATTTATAACTTATTAAATATATGTTAAAGGAAAGTTAAAAAGTTCAGAAAGTTGTTGCAACAAACGAATGTTAAGATGAAAGAAAAAATTGTTAAATAGTTTTTAATATAAACATAAAGAACAATTATCATGTGAGGAAATGTTATGGAATTAAAATATTGTAATCTCATTTGCATATCTAAAAGAAATAAGATAAAATAAAAAAGTTTGTAAAGGAAAATAAATTACGATTTGTTTCTTATTATTTACACTTTTGCAGCATACATAAATAAGCGAAGAATATGGCGTTAAAGATTATCATATTTATTCAGAATAAAGCTGACAACTGCTCGCAGATGTGTCGTCGAAATTGCATATGAATACAGTGGAACTTCGATAAACAGAAGGCTCAAGGTGGATCAGTTTATCAAGGTTATCAGTTTATCGAGGCAATCTTTGATAAGTTTTCGATTCAAGGGGGACAAAAAACATTTGTTTATCGAGGCAACTGTTTATCGAAGTTCCACTGTATAACCAAACCTTTCTTACCATAACTTCGCAACATGCTGCTACATAAAAACCTGAAATTATTCAATTGATTTTTAAAACATCGCAAGAGAAAGAACAATTTATTTGTTTATATCTTTAAATCTGTATTTGTTTTTCTTCTTTTCTATTAATGTTAGATACAACTTAACAATTTTTTTTATTTCTAATCATCGAGTTTCTTACAGTCATTGAAGGGTAGATATCGAAGCAAGTTTCAAAAATATAAATGATGTTCATTAATTTTACTTATTTCCTCATCGTCATCATCATAGTTTCGACTGAAATTTATTTAGATACTTTTGAAGTGGATTTTAGACAGTGAAAACTGACTATGGATTGGTCAGGGGAAGATATTTCTATAATTTATCATAATGCTAATTTTTTTAATATATTTAAGAATAATGTAATTATGCAATTTTTTTGGTTGGGAATTACGTAAATATTTTTTAGGAAAAAATCTTGGTTGGTGCAGTGATTCTCATTTATTGACTATTTGCATTTATTTGAAGCTTTCTTAAAGGAAACACAAAATCTTCGCTTAATCAATAGTTCAGTGCTAAATGTGAATTTCTCAATGTCTCTAAATGTTATCATTTATATTTCTTACCTTATGAAGTAAAGAATTTCTAGTAAAAAATACTTTACAAAACTTCAAAGTTCGAGTGTCACAATGTTTAATGGCTTTAGTCTACTGACATAATAAATAAGAGAACAGAAAAACTTAAAACAAAATTCTGATCATATTCGAAAACAAAAATAATGATAAGAAAAATAAGTCTCAACTTTTAAGAATTAATATCACATTGTGTGTTTTTTTTCATTTAATTCAAATGCTTCTATTAATATAAATATGATCGTGTTGTTTGTGTATCGACGAAAGTTCAGTAGACCGCAATTATTAATTTTGCAAAACGTTTTCACCACAATCATTTGATAAATCTGTGCGTTTCCGCAGATGAAATGTCACTATTTAGGTTAAGTACTTCAACATTTAATTCACGTTGAATTCGTTTTCTATTTCTACTTCTGTCCTAAATCGATGCGTGTTTCGCTATTTCCTAGATTTGTTCATTTGTTTTTATTTCAGCAAAGTATCGTGTGTGATAACATTGTCATTTTCTCCTACTTAATATCTAATTAAAAGTTTTCATTATTAAATGTCTAATTAATTTAAATGAACAGATTTTCAATAACGTCATTTTGAATGACTTTTGTTTATGAAATGAAGTGAAGAATTTAATTATATTCCTTTTGGAGGCACCAAGTTTGATAACAAAACATGATACTAAAATACCTAGTTATGTATCTGTTTATGCTACTGATTTGCTTCAAAGCTAATTTAAAAGCTGAAAGAAGTTACTTACTTATCCAAAACATCAGTTGACAATCTCTTGAAAATATGTTCAAGGGAGATTGAAATTTTTAATATTTATATCGAAATTGAACATAGATATAGCAAAAAGTGGATTGTCACCAAAACTCTCTTTTTTTCAAATATGTTGTGATTTTGACATTGTGACATTTATGGATGTTCATTTATATAAATCTAAATAGAATTGTTGACTTTTTCATAAACTACGCAATAAGTTTAATTATGTTATGCGTAGGATTTTGTTTCTATGTAAAGCTTTTCATTCTTGTAGACTGACTAGACTTGTTTGAAGTTAAAAATATAAACATAAAAAATGATTTTTCTATATTTATTTACTTTTGTTAAGATTTTGAATTTTTCTTCTTCCAAGAAGGTCGTTTAATCCTAGTCAGCCCACGATGTTTCTTTTCTATGCAGCTACTCTGCTTTCTATATTCTTTGAATATCAAAAACAGCTCAAAATTTGGTTCCTCGAAATTCGGTAGCGGGTTAGAGATAACTTCCGAAAATTCTTAACTGAATTTGTGAATTCCGTCATGACTTTATTCTGGCGGCTGAAAGATAGAAAATTTTTCTTTTTCATAAAAAGATTTCCAATTCAGCATTTCCAACATTCTTTCCTTTTATCGTTCATCAATAAGTAGATTTCTTCGACGTGACAAAATTTACAAACATTCTAAGAGGATTCGACAGGAAGTTTATCTTTCACTTATCTGTCAATCATTATCCTGATTTGTGAGAAAGCTTTCAGTTTCATATTTGAGTAAGTTTCATGTCTCTTATTTTTCTTTTATGTCTTTTCGTGTGATCGGCTCACAACCGTATAGTATCAAATTAATCGACCCTGAAATTCCATTGTCACCCATATGGTGGTAAGTTCTTCTGAATCTTTTATATTTATTTCTCTTTCTTCTCTTTTCAATGACTTTTAATCCTATTTGTGTGCTTCCAATTTTTCAATAATGTTTATTGATTGACGCATTTCATTCTTTCAAGAAGATGGAGGCTTGAAAGAAGTTGTTTAGATTTGCGATAACGGATTACACTTTTCTTTAAATATTCTAAGATTTATCTATGCTACGTGATGCACGTTCCCTTTGACGTGTGAATTTACTGAAACTTCCATTACCACTACTCACACTAGTTTGCAAAGTGCTGTGAAAAAGATTTTTACTCGACGTCTCGCTATCATAATCTGAGATTCAACTGCCGCTGCTTTTATGATGATGATTATGTGTTGGGTTGTTATGAGCTGAATTTGCTATGGCCATCTGATGTGATGATGATGGTGTCACTGTATCTGGGACTAAATGAGGTGTTCGGCTGGAGACGGGTGGCAGTATGGGGCTACTGGGCCATTGATAAGTTGAGGCTTGAGTGGTGTTTGGTGATGGAATGCTTCTAAAGAAGGAATATTTCATTAGATGTTAAAGTTTCTCTCAAAATTCTTTGGTAATAAAATAAACAAAATTTAGATAAAGCGAAATATGCTTAGATACACAAAGTAGATGTTGCGTGATATTTATTTCTTTGTCATGGAAGAACATAATAACGATAGTTTTAAGTAATTTCTTTTAAGTTGCTTAACAATAAGTCATTGCATCCAAAAGTAAAATTTTAAAGTCTTGCAAGTATCAAAGAAATTCATTTTAGAAGATTTGAAAGATAACATCGTGCTGTTGAAAAATTTTGCTACTTTTATTAATATCAATATAATGAGTATGATAAGAATGTGCATTTCTAACTTCATACATCAAGTGACTATTTAATTTCTCAATCCATGAAGGAAAGATTGAACTATGAACATATTTTGATCATAATTATTATTAGCATTAATCTCATTATATCAAAATTAGTTAGTATTACCAACCAGTTACTTGTGCATCTGAGTATATTTGTCTCCAAACATAGATAAAACATAAATGCTAAAGTAACGTGAACACATTACTCAAACACATACAAATCATGATATTTTCTTGATTTTAGCTATAAACTAACTTGTTAATTCAATAAAAGAACTTTGAAATTCGTGATTCACTGCACTGCGTTGGCATACAGAGATAGATAAGCCAGAACTATATTATTGGCATGCTTTAAATAATAAGATTAAATAGTTAAGAAAAGCATTTTTGTTTAATATCTATAATAAAAGTTAAAAAGTAAAGTTTGCAATGTTTGCTGTAAGTGTAGGTGTAGTATTTTGGTTTCTCATTGAACTTCTTCTCCATTTTATAATTTATTTAAATGGATTAATTCATCCATTTCTCTCTTTAAAAATTCTGTTTTGTTCTGTTTTGTGGCAACATCTACACTTACCTAGAATGTGGAAATAAAGGCGAACCTATTGTGGGTGGTTGCGATTGCAAGCCTCCTGTTGATGATGCTGCCAGCATTGCGGTGTCGGGGTGAAGAAAGTTCCGTCTCTGATCGACTCTGTCTTGATGTTGGGTGAGACATCTGGTAAGAACTTCAGGAAGTGATTCAAGTTGCTCCTGTTAATGACAGTTGTCAGTTAAGTTAATGAATATCTCCACAAGCATCTTGTCATTATCTCAAATCAATATTTACCTGAACTGTTTGAATTTTTTCTTCCAAGCTCGATATTCTTTCTTCTAAGGCATCTTGTCGCGTTGACATATCGGAAACAATTTCGTACACAGTATTCTGAGTTTTTGCCATGTCCGTAATTGTGTTCGCATTATCCATGAGTTTTCGTTGATCCATTTTTACTTTACGTAGTCTGTAATGAGTAAATAAGATGGAATGGCATGAAGAAAATGTGTTTAATAGACAGTTAATGTTCATTAACTTACGCATAAATGGCTAGCAGAAATTTCCTTTGATGTGTTCGCACTCGACCAGGGTTTACTCGCTTCACTAATCTTGTGTGCTTGTAAATGAGCCAAGTCTCCCTCAAAACATTTGCCGCTGCGTTTTTCAACTGAAAATAATTGAAAACTTCGTCACTTTAAAAAGAAATTTGTCAGCTATAATCTTATTGAAAATCTTTTTCTAAAGTAAGAAGCTTAATTAATTTTACACAACCCCTTAATTTAAAACTGAAGCATGATGAGACTTACCCTCTTTGTTAGTTGAGTGTCCATCATGAAATTGTGAACGTGCTTCTCAGCTCTAGTCAATTCCAATTTTCTAGAAACAACCGCAACAAGCAATGCTGTACAACCGGCACCCTAGGAAGATTTTAATAAGACATATCATAAGATAGGAAGTAAAAGATGAAGAATTCTAATTCACTCATGTAGATTGAAAGTTCATTTTAAAACTCTTGGAATTGTTTTTGATAAATTGAAAAATCTTCATTCACCGATTTGATTTCAAAATTCAAAAATATAACAAAAAGGCAGACAAAAATGTGAAGTCGTGAATTATTCATGGAGCATCTGCCAGTTATTTAAGCTGTGAATTTTTTTTCCACATTCGTAAAGCTCACTAGGAGAAAGAAAAGTAAATGTTTGCTACTTATTCGAAAATCGGTAATTGAAAACCTTTCACTCGCTTGAAATGCTCGACTGATTCAGAAATGAAAGACGTAAGTACTCGAAAGCCACTCAAACAAATTGCTCATTCTAGTGCTTAACATTCTTTTCCCATGAAAGTGAAAATAGGATCGATAGACATTTAATGAATTTTCCTCTCATTTCTATCTTCTTGCTTATATTTTTCTTCATATTTATAAATAAAAAACGTGAAAAGAGTTTCAAACTATCGTTAGTTAAGAATAAATTCCGACTCAATCAACAATTCTTTGAACTTCTAAAGTTTCCACTTTAAAACTTTTCACAAATCTCCAGACAGATGAAGATATCAAAGTTCACTTTCTTTCCACAAGAAGATCATAAAAAAACCTTTTATTGCTATTCTCAAGGTGAAATTTAGTTTCATCAGTTAGAAATGAAATTTAATGCTTTTGTGATTTTCACAAATTTCATGCGATAATGTTAAATGAGAATAGATTGCAATCACCATCTTCCATGAAAGAAAGCATTTTGTTTCCAATTTTTGCAGAGAGAAAACCATTGAAATTTTCGCTTAAAATTCAAGTCAGAATCATTTTAAATAATTGTCCCTTGTGAATGCTTTCGAATATATTTTCACAAAGCTGGCAGTTACGATTTCGGGTATCACATGGACAAGAAAAATACAGAATAAAGCTTATAAAATATAAATATAAATATCCCTGTCACGAGTTTTCGTATTGTTTCGAAATCTTGAAAGGAAATGAAAGAAAAATCTTGTGAAAGGTGCGGCCAGGGAAAGTAATCGGAAAATTACTTGTAAACATAGAAAGGGAAATCCCACCAGAGAATTCTCAACAAAATAAAAATAGTGAAATGTTTTTTCCCACCATTAAATTCTTATTTCTTTCATATTCCCTTAATCAACGCACTTGACATTATACACTCCATTAAATCCAAACGTCACCACAAACGATAAGGAATGTTAAAAAATTAAAAATAAAGTAACGTAATAGGTGGAAATGGGAAATATTTTTGTAGTGTTTGGAGCACTTCCTTAATTAACATTGATAAAGATTTCTTTCGAAAACCTTTGTGAAAAATAAACTCACCATAATGCCCGTACTGACGGCAATGCCTCGACCACAGTAAGTGTTAGGCACGATATCGCCAAAGCCCACACTCAAAAACGTGATCGCAATCAGCCACATTGAGTTGAGTAAATTGGCGTGTTCATCATCATGAAACCTTTTTTGACGAAAAGAAAAGTTTAGTTTAAATTGCTGTTACTTAAGCTTTGTAGTATAAAAATAAATGAAAGATTGCCATGCTTTGGAAACCTGAAGATTAATGTGAAGAAAATATGTTAAGATATAATAAAATATAACGATTTGCGACGAGACGACCATGAAAATTTATTTTTCTTCGACTTTTTCTTGCAACAAAGTATGAATAACGCAAACTTATTCATAAAATAAAAATAAAATTCCACGAACTTTGATTACAAAAACCGCACAATTTAACAATTCACAGATTTAAAGTCTCGTTTCCATGTCGCAGAACTTTGAAAGTTCATTTTAAGTTGAAAACGATGAAAATCGCTTCACGTCTGTGACATAATAACAGTCAAAGATTTTTCTTTTTTATTCTTTTTTTCTTGTCTTGATGCTCCTAAGTAGTAAAATCCAATTTTTCCATTTTATTTTCATCGTAGTCTAAGTACATTTTCTTTATAGGAGAAAAAATAGAATAAAAATCGCCACACTGCTGACGATGTCACAATGATCCGTGTGTTGGATGGCAGATGCGAAGAGCGTGCTCGAATACTTTTAAGACTTTTAAGAAGAAGGAACAACCAAGAAACGAAAAACTCTTTTTAATGAACACCAATTTTTAGATTTTCAGTGTCGAGAATTTAAATGGGATATCGTGTGTCAGACATTTATCTACGTGATTCGTGATGATGACGACAAAAAGAAAGATTTTTTTTCGTCACTTCAAGATTCATGAGCTACATGTCAAGATATAGAGAGAAAGAAAAATTTCAAATATTTATATGCATGTCTTTGAATGTCAAGAGCCGAGTAGAAGGTGATATATACAATGATATGGTATTGCGAAGCGTTATTAAGATTCCAAGTAAATTCCAACGCTAAAGCTTAGAGATGATTGTCGTACGCTTTCCATGTCAACTTAAATATTCCAAGACTGTTGAAGTAACTATTTAGATACACGAATTTTCCAACAATTAATTCACACAAACAGAACAAAGCGTGATACAGATACAAGGGTTGAAAAATGATTCAAAAGGATGGAGGGTGAAGCATTTTGCGTGATAAATGATCATTAACTGAAGTCACACGAATGTCTATTACTAGACTAACCAACAAAAAAGAATTATGAAAAGCCACAAAATATTTCAAAACGTCATGCTTTTCTCGGTTGACTTTAATTTTCAAAATTTAATATTTCTGTCCTTCTTCGAATTAAATAAACATGGAGCATGAGTTTAAATTTTAATTGAGCGTAACGTTAATGAAATAAGAAATACAGTCGACGATCTATACAGTCCGCTTATAAGCGGAAGCTGAAGGAGGGCTCGCTCATGGAGCTTTTCTTCTCATAGAGCTTCCGCTTATAGAGCATCGACTGTATTTAAAACTTAAATGATGACAAGTCAAATTTGAGAAATGGCAGAAAAATTTTATTGGTTTTTAATATTTTAGCAAAAGCAATTTAAGGATCCCACAATGCAATCTGTCAGTAAAAGCATAGAATTTTATTTTAACAGACATCAAAAAGTGATTTAGTTATCAAGTTCACATAAAGCAACAGCAAAAAAAAGGAGTTAAATGTTCGTGATGAAATGATGTTGCGAAAAAGCTTAAATTTGAAGATAAATTAACAGTTTTGTTTACATAACAAAGTCTACCGACTTGTTATTTCCTAGGCAAGCGATATGCTTCACAGCTTAGTTAGATATTTCAGTTAATGAGTTGGTTTAACTTTGGGAGTAAAGTATTTTGTTTTTCCATTCTGCAGACGTGGCAACTGTAGCGTCAGATATAAAAACTTTGATATTCGTAGAAAATCTGTTTTGTAAAACCAGCAATGGCTTTGACGTAAACTTTTAGAAAAAATGAAGCTGGAAGTTCACTGGTTTATATCTGTAAATTAAATTTACATAAAGTTTGAAATAAATGTGAAGCTGAGTTTATGATTCTGTTTCATGGCTTTATTTCCAGTAATGATATTTAAAGTTTAGAACATGGCAGATCCCAATTCATAAATTTGAAAATGAAGATTTCTGAATTAATTTCTACAAGATTCTCGATAATATTTATTGGCAGAGTATACTTTAAAGTGTCTAAAAGTGTCAATTGATTATTTTTAAAAACACTTGAAGTCGATTTTTTAGCTATGAAACTTTACCAATGCAAAAAAATGATGCATAATACAATTTTGACGATATTTTGCATCATTCTTATTTTCAATTAAAACAACGATTTTCTGGAAATGTTTTGATGCAACTTTTTAGTAAACATGTCATAGTTTAAGATGGCATTTACACTTTTTTAATTTATTTTATATTGCGCTCAAGAAAAGCGTATATAAAAACACTAACAAATTCACCGTCATACGAACAACGAAAACATCAATAAGTTTGATTTATTCTGAAACTTATTAAACAACCTATGCCAATAATTTTAAAAATGTAACTTAAAACCAAGTACTAAATTGTGACATACTTAGATTTTCATGCTCAGAGGAAAAAATTTTTGTAATGAAGCTTCCAAATAGCGTCATACGTGATACGAGCAACGAAAATGTTCCTACTTTAAAAAAAATGTAAATATTGCAGGATTTCAATGAGAAGATTAAACTTTTGGTTTATTTAAGTACAGTTGTTTTCAGTTACTAAAATATTGAGTTAGAGATTTTGAGCATGTCTCACACATGGTGTGATAGACGTTAGATATGGAAAAAGTGAAAGAACAAAATAAAAAACTTAAACTATAAGATTTAGGTACAAGGTGTGTTTGAGAAAGTTGTTCCTTAATGCATCCCACAATTTTTTTTTCTTTATCGTACTTCAATATACTGACACCAGATGGCGGTGGAGACAAAAAAGTTAAGAAAAATTGAAAAAACTTAATTACAGCTTAAACTACAAAGTTTAGGTATAAGATGTGTTTGAAAAAGTTGTTCCTTGACACCTGCTGCAACTTTTCTCCTTGCATTATATTTTGGTTGGGTGACACCAGATGGCAGTAGAGGTGATTTTTTAACTAATTTGCCTCTGCTGCCCTCTGGTGACACCCATCCAAAATATAATGCAAAGAGAAAAGTTGCAGCAGATGTCAAGGAACAACTTTTCCAAACACATCTTATATCTAAACTTTGTAGTTTAAGCTGTAATTGGGTTTTTTAAATTTTATTGGTTGCTTATCTCTAGCGCCCTCTGGTGTCACTTTGATGAAATATGACATACGAGAAAAAATTGCAGCAGACATTAAGAAACAACTTTTCTAAACATACCTTATACCTAAATGCTATAGTTTAAGTTTTATATTCTATTTTCATTCGCAAATTCAGAGCGTCATTCGAGCAACGAACACGAGCAACGATAAGGTTCTGGTAGAAAATTTACAGGAAAAAAAGTAGTTGCTCAAATTTCTTGCAATTCTCAGAAATCTATCTTTAATAGTTCCACAACTTCTTCTGAGTTTTTCAGATTTTTTACTCAAATACTTTTAGAGTTTGAAATTGAACGTAAAAAGAGGTGGTAAAAAAGTGAACATGAGCAACGGTACATAAAGCATCATAAAAAATTTCCTGCTTAGATATTCGCTTATATTTTTCTATCTAAAAACAGTACTTGGTAAGCTCTATTTAAAAGTGCAAATGGTTTCAGAAAAATCTGAAGCTAAAAATATTATATTCAGCTTTGAATTTTGTGACCGTCATACGAGCAACGCTGGGATTAGCCACATCTTAAAGTTTCATTTATTAACAAGACATCTCAATCATACTTTCTGACATTCTTCAAATATTTCTTTAGCTTCAAAAAACTTCGACAGGATTTAGTAGCAAAAGCCAATAACAAAATTAACTTGATAGAAGATATCAAGTTCAACAATTTATTTTATCTTCAAAAATTTCATTATGAGATCCTTAAATTGACCTAACTTTGCAAAATTGCAATAAAAAACCGTGAAATAAATTATTTTAATTAAAATTCACCAAGTTTTTACTCAATCTACATGCAAAACTGATGATGTTTTAATTTTGCTGAAACGAAAACTTTTTCTGATTAAATTTTAACAGTTTTTATCTTTCGGTTGTATTTTTAAATTATTTCTGCTTTTAATAAATTTTTAAATGATCATAAATCTCACGACATTGCCACAGAATAGTCCGTGCTTACGAAAGTACCTTTTTATCCATCATTTATTTGGAATAAATTAATAAATATTCATATCCACTTTATTATGTTTTCATTTTAATTAATTTCCGATGCTTTCATTTTATTTATTGTGACTGGTAGTAATATCATCATTATCAAATCAGATATTAATTATCATATATCGATAATCGATCAGTTATTAATATCAGTATGTGCAATAAATTATGTACATATATGATATGTACTCGAACCTAAATGACCTCAAATTCTTTAATTAAATGTTTCATAATTTACGATCCGAATGTTGATGTTCTCAACTGATAACTTTTACTCGTTGCCTTTGTATTACTTGATTCAACTATTATAGAAATTTCTATAAAATATTTCCATAACTTTGAATTTATTTTTCTTGAATTTTCAAACATTATAAAAGATTCGCTCTCGTCATCTGAAAGACTTAAATCTAATTTCTTATTCAACAGAGCATCAAATTTATTTATCAAAATTTACAAATTCAATTTCGAAAATTTATTTGTAAGATGAAAAGTTCCTTTCAAAAGAATATCAAACAAATATTAGAATAGATTTCCATTTTCCAATGATTAAAATACCGAACGAAGCTATTGACTGTAAAATTTATTTCAAGTTCGAAATGATGAAAATTTAATTCGAACGATTGATAATCATTAGTTAAGATAACAAAATATTTCTCTTCGCTGTCGAATGCAAATCGTCTTTAAGTTATTCAAGAATCCGAATAAAGAAAAATGAAAATCTTTTATGAAATGGAAGAACATCAAGTATTTTCTTAGCTGACTCATGATTCGGCATAAAATTGACGATAATGAAGCGTATACTAATCCTTAACGTCATTAATGAGGGAAGAAATTTGAATCTTGTATGGCTTCAAGATAAGACTAGTTAAACACTCCACTGAATATTTTCCAGCAGTTTTCATCAAAGAAAATTCTTATTTTAAACATTTAAATTCCCTTGCATTCTTCGTTGTTTTAAGGTAGTTTGCTTAATTAAAGCACCACGAGTGTCATAGAACAAAGAAACATTATTTTCTTTCACGTCGTTAAAAATTGTGAATTCCTTTCAACGCTTTCTTTTCAGCGACCACGTTTCAACACATTCAATCCTTGTAAAATTTCTGAAGCTTTTAACGTGAAAATGTGATGAAAAAATTTGAAGGAGGGAAGTAAAATGTTGTTGAAACCTTTCTTTTAGTAAATTAAATCATAAACGTCATCGGTCGGAATGAACATTCTTTGTGGGAATACTTAGAAAGAGATTCCAGAAAAGTCGCATTAGATTATTTTTTTTTATGACAGAGGAATGAAAGAACTCATATGATTGAAAGAACCCCACGATTCTAGCTTGAAAACGTGCTGCATTATATTTATGACGTAACTAGATTAAATTTTTTCATTAAATCATTAATGGTCACTAATGTCAGGTTCATGTTGGAAAAAAGAAAACAAGAAAAATTTAAAAAATGTCATTCGATATAACTTTTCATCTTCAATGGCTGGCTTATCCTTAATTATCCCTTTATGTCAAAAATCAACCACTAACTATTATTCAGGCTTCCAAAGCTTGGTCATTCAGCTTATTCCTATCTACATGTATTTAATAATAGCTCACCTTTCACATTGACGAAGCGTCCACGAGGCAATTATCCATAGTGAAACCATAAACACTAATAATACCGTACCGGGACATATTGTCATTAGAGTTTTTAAAACGAATCTAAATAAATGGAAAATAGAAACGATGAATAATCAAATTTTATTGCTTTAGAATTTCTTCTTTTTTTTCAAAGCGATTTAAATAATTAATAAAGTGGAGGAAATGTTGAGTAGCTGATTAATCATAACATGACATTATCGTGATGGCATAAAATGCTGATTTCTTAAGTAGTTTAGAACTCACCTAGTGTTAAAGTTAATACGATTTAATGCACCTATACTACGCGACGAGGCATCGGTAAAAAGTTTCGAATGTAGCAGCATAACACGACAAATCAGGTACAATCGGAAAAACATTGGCAATGATAACGCCACATCCAGCGGAACGATCGCCTCTCCCAATTCTTTATTTTTGTTGGACAGTTTCGTTGTCCATTTGAATTTGTAGTCTCCTGGAATGGGATGTATTGCGCATATAACTAACTCTAATGCTATCTGAGTTATTCGTTGCCATGTCATTGCGATACGCCAATCGTCGGCGCAATTATCAATCATGAATAACTGTGAATTATATAAAAAAGGTGAAGGAAAAAAGGTTAATTGGTAGCCAGCCACACCATCATGTTGATGGATTTATTGTTAGATTGCAAAACCAGATAATGACTTGCATGTTAGTTGAACAAATGCTAATTCTAGTCATGATTATTTCCACCGTTGAATCCATTAAAAAGTTCATTGATATATCTTGTTAGACATGTTTGTTAGGAATTTTTTCAGATAATTCCTTCGCGCCAGAATCCACATAACATGTTAACTAAAGAGTGCTTAAAAATTCGTTAAAATATCAAATCGAAATGATTTAATCAATGGGACGTGCACATATATCTGTTCAATGTGACGCACACACCAAATGACGTGATTTAAATTAGAAATTATTTAAATAATTTAATGAAATCCAATATGTAACCGGCGATGGATATAAATAATTCATAATTTTTTTTTTCTCTCACACTCACGAACTGAATTTCAATTGAAAAACTGATACTTTTTCTTAAAGAAGAAGCCTCCAGATAAATTCGACTGTAGGTGGAAGAAAATATTTATTTTTATCTAGATTGAGAGAGTATCAAATGATTAAAACGAAAGCATTTACGTCATACGCTGTTGTTCAGTTGTGAAGTGGATTATTTTGATGTGATCGAAAGATTCGATAAGCTTTATTCAATCTTCTTACTTCACGTTATTATATAAATTGAAATATAATCACTTATAGAAATAAAAGTTCAATTCCTATTAAAAGAAGACGATATTGAGCACTTTTATGCCAGTTTAATTAACTCCCAAGAGTTTTCAGATTATTTATTCAATTGAAATGAAACCTGAGCAGAAGTTTTGCAATTTAAAACAGAGTTCTAGATACTAGACCTGACGTTTTCAAATATATTACCTGCACTTCCAAAGCATGATAAGCTACTATAAGTCCCAGTAAAATCACAGTCGATACAGATATCAGCGTTTTCAGTGCAGTTGAATAGAACTCGTGCTGCGAATAAGAGAAGAAAGGAAACATATTTGAATTGGAAATTTTTTTGTACATATTTGTGTGTGTGAGTGGGAAAACTCAATACAAGTCTCGATTTCTCATAGTTTGCTACATACACAAAAAGGTTTGTAGAGATACTTAATTGTTTCATCGGTCAAAAAGTCGTGATATTAATGGAACTATCTGAATGTGATCAAAGTTCATTAAGGATGAAAATGTCAGATTAAATAATTAAGTATTGTCGTGCCCTTACATGTTCTTTTCATTTTGATGGTACTAACGAGAAACTAGGGTGGGGCCTCCGTAAAAGATTTAAAGAAAAGGCCCTCACGTAATTATCTACTAATCGCTATGGAAATTATCATTATCAGAAGGTTTCATCACTATCGTTGGTCTTGGTGACGACGATAATGACGATGATGGCGAAGTCACATACAAGGAAAAGTTGTGGGTGGGTACGCAAAGTTTAGGGAAATATTCATTGTTTGCCTTTTCCTCGAATGTTGAATGGCGTCAATAAACAAAGTTTATCCATTCAATTTGCATATAATTTTCCGCTTCTTCCTGAACATTATAAAAGATTTAATAACATCTCGTTGGTGGATTCAAAAGACGATGAACAAGAACGAGAGTAACTGTAATTAAATTCAAATGCTGTCCTTTTTCTTACGATATAATCTCATCTCGATGCCATAACATTTATTTTATTAAAATTCCTTCTTGCGTTCTTTTTTTATTATCTAATTTACAATTTTTTGAATGGTTGAAAAATTCCTTCAATATCTCGAGTTGAGATATTCCTTCCTTTATAAAATTAGGTCAAGTGAGATTATAAAATTTATTAAATTCCACCTCAGAAATCAGCTCTTGAAAGTTAACAAAGTTTTATTAAGCGTGACAAGTATTTGTTTGCTTTTCGTGATTTTGTATATTAAGCTTTTCATTTAAAAGGTTCTCGTGTTGCTTCTTCAACCAAATCCTAATTAAAATTTACATCGCAAGTCTAAAACATCATCAAAAGCACTTAGCAATCTCAACATGGAACAATCAATTACCGAAAAACATTCGTTTTGAGTGTATTTTGAGATTCTTCAGAAGGAACCTTTTTCCCAACCGCCATCAACTGCACTGATTTGATCCTCGTCTATATGTACACCGTTTGAATACACACAATTGAAAGGCTTTCTTCTTCTCGTTATTATTATTATTATTCGAGTAGAATCGTAATTATGAATCTGGAATTAAACAACAACGTACGTTGTTTTGCTGTTTGATTTAATTTTTTTTCTCTTCAAGGAAAGTTGAAAATTAATTATAAAAACATTGTGATTTATTTACGACATCATAACGCTTCAGTGTTTAGCATGGCTTTCTAAAACATTGTCCTGTTTTAATAAAATCACTTGTTATGCTGTTGTAGTCGGTCTGTGGGACAATTAAAATTCAAATAAATTTCCATCAAGATATTCCCATCATAAAAGTAACTGACAATGGCTTATGAAGTTGCATAAAATTGCTGTAAACATTTGTAAAAAATATTTACATTTGTTTATGAAGAACAAAGAAATGTCGGTTTCAAAGGGTTATTAATGTCAATGTTGTCAGAACGTGCATCTCGTGAATAATCCATAGCCAAGTTTCGATTTATTTCCGCTGACTTTCCTGCTACGAAGGCATTAAAATTTTATGGATTGGAAAATGCTTCTTCATCATCAGTCATTAATAACCCAGTTTCTACTTCTTTTCTCGTCCTTCGTAGCTTTTCATTTCCGAAGCGTTCATTCACGTCTTTGCACCACAATTTCACCAAACGATGAAGGCAGATTCTTAATTTTTTTTTCTGCTTTTACGACGAAATTATCTTTCGCTTCACTTCATTCACTCGTTATTTTCTTCTTTGCATTGTTGTGCGTGCGTCAAATTTACACGAGAAGTGGTAAACAAATCTTTGAGATAAAGTATACGATGCTGAAGATAATCGCTTTTACATTTTACGCGGCTTATCACGAAATTTTTTACTAATCTTGCCAAGTGAGTTGACGCTGATAGTAAAAAGAAATGGGGAAGGAGTAATTAAAGATCCAGCTGGTTTTCTTGCAGTTTAACCAGAAACATTTAATGAAATTTTTCGGAAGATTAACTTTCAAGCTTTCTGAGACACTCAATGACTGTTTCTACTTGAGAAATTATCCGTAAAGCTTATCAGTTGATTATCTTCATCCTTAAATCATTGATAATTTAATTGAAGTATTTAATTAATCGTCTTGATTATTCAATCGATCGAAATACTAGAAGAACACTTAAGAGGTTCGTTCATTGAATTGTAAATCGTTTTTCTTCTTCTCTTCTTTTTTTTGTATAATATCTGACATAAATATTTACTGTGCAATCACTGTCACGATTAAGTAGACTCATCTTTAAGTACAACAAGGAAATTGACTTACCTTCGTATATACTCCCGCGCTGCTCAATTCATTCTCAATAACCATAACAATAATTCCAAACATTCCCATCACGAGGGCGTAGTCACTGATACGCTTTCGCTTCTCGAAGAGCGCTTTTCTTCGACCGAGACGGTATCCGACATTTGGTTTCTGCTTTCCACCTTTATCATCTGAGACACCTCTATAAATGCCGCCTCCCAAGCCTCGCTCCTCCATGTACCTGTTAATGTGACAAATGTTAAAAAACTATTTAATATCTAATAAGAAAAAATGTCATTACCTGGGATATTCTGATCGAACACCAACAAGTGCTACACCAGCTTCTTCGTTGCATACAGATTCTCCTTTATTCTCTCGATTACCAAAACCACTTTTCATTGAAGGTATCGAGAGGGTTGAAACGGGCTTTCGGAGCTGCAAGGAAACGATTATAAGAGAAACGAGAATTAATGTCTTTCTCTTGGGGTTCTATCTCTCAATTCTTTCGCCAGCATTCAATTCAATAAAGTCATAAATTATATGGCAAGCAAAAATTGTAAGTTGGAAGAAATAAGTAGATTCAGACTAGAAAAAAAGTTCATATGCGAGTTAAGAAGCGTTCATGATTTATCATTATTTTACTTCGCTCACATGACAGTCTTGACAGTTTATGCAAAATTATTTTTTATAGTGCAATTTGCAATCAAAATCTCTTTAACTTCTAATAAAATTCTTTAAAGTATTTTAAGTAATAAATTTGTAAAGTTATTGGCGAGAAAAGTTTTTCGCTCTGTTCATGTTTCCAACATTCTTGCATGCAAAGCTGTTAAGCTTTCATTAAGTAGTCTTTATTTTATAACATTGAATCAGCTTACACGCCAGTCAAAAGAAAAATAAGAAAACGAAGTTTCATGCAAGAAGAATTTCTATCTAATTGATTTAATTTAAAAAATCTTAAATCAAAAAGTGAAATATTTGAAAATTTTCATATATTTTGGAGCAAGATGAAATGAATAAAATTTTAAATTTTAATACAGTTAGGGTTGAAAGTTTAAAAGGAAATCCTTTCCAAAGACATTCATGAATAAGTCATAAGCATCAAAAGTCGAAACCGCTCCAAAGAAGGAATTTTTGGTACATTTCATTTTTTGCTTGGTGAATTTTTAAATTGAATCATTCTAAATCACTAAAATTAGCAATTTGGCTTTGCTGGGCTTATGTTCTAATCTTATTTATCAATGTTCCATTTCATTAAGCATTTCAATTCAATTATCTATAGACTTCAGAATAAGAACATGAACAGTTCTTTTTTTCTATCAAGAATTGAATTCGGTGATTGTTCCAAACAATGGAATCCCATCCAACTTCATGTGTGTATACAAAAGCATTGAATCAGATTGAAGGGACTCTAAGTACAACATTTCCTATTAGCAATTGAATGATGAAAATGGGAAAGTTTCCAAAACGGGACGAATGAGAAACGACCCAGAAAGAAATAATCGACTTTTGCCAATAGCATGACTTTCGTAGCATTAATAACTTGTCATTAAAAAGTTTAATTATCGACGTGATCAACGATTCCACATTCAATTACGTCAACCATCTGCTCAATGCTCACAAATTGAATGAAAGTCACATCTGTGCGAATCGAATCATAAATCAAAATCAATAAAATCGATGGATGTGAAAGGTAAAGCAAATTTGTAATTGATTATCTTTCTTGGGTGTGAGCCTACCCTGTCACATGTGAATAATAACTTTCATTTTCTCATTTGTCGGAAAAGTAGCCACAACGGATGGTGTCGTGTTTTTCGTCTTTCATCAGTTCAGATGATGTCATTAATTTTACGGTCGAACAAATTAGGAAATTTATTATTTCAGCATCAATCAAAAGCGCATATGTATCAAGATGATAATCCTACGTTCATTGAGACTCTAACGATATTCGTTATTCGTCCATTAAATGAAGACATCAACAAAAGATCTAGATAAAGCTTTCAACATTAATCCATAAGAATTGTTATAAATTGATCTGCTTCCTATTTATTCGGTGTGGAATAGAATCATTGGCCATAAATAACATTATAAATAAATTAAGAAATCGTTCAGAAGTCAGAATAAATAATGTTCGGCAATACATTTGATGACGGTAGGCGTTGGAAATTTAATATCATCATCATTATCATCGATTTTTTAAAGTGAAAAAGTTTAACAAGCCATTTATTAGAAAAACTGCTTCTGAAACATCCCAACTCATGATCATTTCAATAAAACTTTTAACAAATCGTCAAGCATTTTGTTTTGTGTGAAAACTTAAATTTTCATGAGACAAGACAGGATAAATATTAAAGTTGGAAATGTCGAGGGATAATTCTTACAATCTTCAATACATTTATCTTTTATATTTCCCTAAAAAGCCGCAACAATAGAAGGTATCAGAGGTCGCATCTTCTATGTTCCCTTACAAACTATACAAGATCTTCGTTTTTCGCATCCACAATAAAATTCTCAACTAAACTTTCTGTATCTGCCATCCTTTTTCGACATTCACATTCTAAAGTGCTGAGGAGGGACACAGATATTGATAATCGAATCAAATTTTCCAACTTTTTGATTTTAAGTAAAAAAGGATGAATAAAAGAAGGGTCGAGAATGGAACCTTCGTCCAATTGTATGTAAATAAATAGAAATAAGCTTGTCATACAGTTGCTTTTCAGTTACGTAAATGAGAATCTATTGAAGAAAAGAAATCTCATTTATTTAATCAGATGAGAGTAGAAGAACTTTGTCATCGTTTCTCGAAAGAGCAACGAGAGATGTTAAGAAGGAAAGCTCAGCTCATTAAACGCATAAATATGATAATGGCTGGCATCAACTATGAAGAAGAGAAGAAATAAAGCAAATCGTATAAATTATAAAGATACGCAAAAGGCAATGAGGTTGCAGTTATTTATGAGTCGTGGCCTTCATCGGAGTTTCATAATCAACCATAGCTTTGTTAGAATCGCGAGATAACTAATTGAGTCACAGAAAAGCTTCCCAACTGTCATATTTATCAAAGTTGGAAGTTTTTAATCTAAGCTAAAAATGTCATTTAGCATACGACTTCGTTGTGGAAGTTATTCATTCGTATTTTCCATCATAACTTGTGAAATGCGAAACGAGAGAGAAACAATAAATTTAATAATTCAACATGAAACGTTCCAACAGCTTTGAAAGTCTTTAAACGCATCAATTGTGTCAGGAAATCTTGTTAATTTAATTAAAAATTGATATAACGATCCATAATCATTTTCTCATGTCTATAAAACATTGGAGAACCACAACAGATTTCATAAAGTAACTAAACTGCTCTGTTGCCATTCCAATGTTGATTATTGTGGCGATTTTGAGGTTTGCATTAAATAATTGTGTGCGTTCTCTTTGTACTTAAAAAATACAAAATTGTATGTTCAAGAGAGATTTATCGTTGGTTAAACCGGGATTATTTATTTTAATTCAAGAAAAATAAAATGTTTCAGTTTCGTCGGTTAATTTAAAATTTATACTTTTTATCATACGTCAAAATTTAATGAAATTTCATTTAACGATGCTGAAGTTTCCCCAAACTCAATCAGCAGATATTTATTCTTTTGTGAGCGAGTCTGTTATCATAGTTTTATGAGATAAAAAGCATCGCAACAAAAGAAAAACAGAAAAGAACGATAAAACGTTTATTTATGTTCATATTCAAGTTATGTTCAATTACCATACACAAAAGCATCGTAAAAAAAATTGTGCTGAGTTTTTTTGTGTCCGTTTTGAGAGTAGAAGCGTATAAACAGAAACCCAATCGCATAATTATTGAAAGTGATCATAAAGTCTGGTAAATGTTTTCATTTGTCAGAAAACTTTTTCTTTTCCACTTCTTAAAGTAATTTTGTTGTAAGAATTGTAATGAGTGAAGGGAAAATTGTTCTTTTGTCAGCTCAATTCTTTCATTTACTAGTGCTTCATTATTTACAGCGAATCTTAACCGGCCAGCTTGGTTTAATTATTTAAACTTCAATGACTAAATTTCATTTCGTTTTCCAATTCTTTCGCTCTTCATTATCTACAGAATTTCTAATGATTTGGTACATTTAGCTCGTGTTGAGTTAAATTGAAAGAATAAATTCTTAATTCAGAGAAAACTTTGATCCAACTTAACGATTGACTCATTTTATTCATAAGAAACTTATTCATGAAACACTGTAGCTAACTAAATCAATTTACATTTTAATATTTCTGTTGAAACTTTTTTTTTAAATTTGATGGATGAAAACTTTGAACTTTTGAATATGAAATTAATTGATCGGGAAGTTGTAACTAGAGAGTGTATTGGAAAACTTTGTATAAATATCTATCAGCCATTGAATTTTAATTTTCAAACTTTCAGTGAACGAACAGATGGCAGCTATCTAGCAATTTGTTTTCACTTAATATTGACATAAGCATTAGCTTGCAAGTATTGAAATCATCATGACAGTTTCAATTGATGATGAAAAGTTTCAACTTAAATCATTTCAGAGCATCGAAAATTCCAATAGTTTCAATTATGAGATTGCAAAATTGATTAAACTAAGTAAAATTGATTAGATAAGCTAATTGTTTGATCTGCTTAATTAAATTTCATTATTTACTGATAAGGAATTTGCCAACCATTTAAAGTTTCAATTTTATTTTCGCAAGGTACTCACGAAATTTATTTCATGTTTTAAAAGTTCATTGAATTTAATTAACCTTCAAAGCAAATTATAATTAAAATATTTTTATACGATCTGAAAAATATATTTTGATTATTTTTTATCAAGCCACGTTGATCAAGCCAACAGCATTTTAATTAAATATCTTTAATGCTGAAAAGCCTATCATTTTGTCTTTTAAGAAGTTTGTCTAATTTTAAAACGCTGATGCTATCAAAGCATTCCCAATTTTGATTACTGTTGTCGGGTAGCGTAGAAAAGAAGATTCATCTTGAACGTGATGAAACACATTTCGCAAAGTGGTTGGGCCTGTTTCTTTAGAGTTCTTAAACCTTTTTCATAGCTTTTAGTGCCTTTCTTTCGCAATTCAATTTCCTAACAAATTTCTTTTTATTGAATCACATAAAACATGAAGCAAAAGAAAGAAAGAGATACAAAAACCTAGCAGCCAGATTTTACATTGGAAAGTTTAACGGCGCACAGTCAGCTTAGTCAATCCGATGATGCAAAAAGGGGAAACTCCGAATCTTTAAAGAAAGACAAGCAATTTTTCTATGGCTTTCAAATCAATCGATGGAAATTATTCGCAATCAAATTAATGTAAAAGGTCGTTAAACATCTTTCTATTGTTAGCTAAAGAAGGTTACTTGACATCTTGTAGTATGAAATCCCCGACAACATGGGGAAGAAAGTATGTTTGAAGATCCCCATAAAAAGTTTTCTTCTTTTTTTGCGGTGGTAAAGCGTTTATAAGCATACCTGAGAAAGGTCATAGGGAAAGGGTTCCTGTCATAATTCATCCATTGATAGAAAGACAAAAGGGAATGGAAACGTTGAAACAAAAAATAAGAAAAAAGAAAAACCTGCCCAGAACGAAAATTAATCTATAATTCATAATCAACATTCAAACCTTCACGGCACATGTGCGTTTTGTCTATTTCATTCACATTATCGTTTATTTAGTAGCAATTACTTGAAATATGAGTCGTAAACAGATTGAAAAACGTACTGAGAATATTAAAGTAAGACAGAAAAATTGGTCTACTCCTAATACTTCAAGCTGCAGCCCAGTTTAGGGGTTAAAAGAAGTCGTAAAAAATTTTCATCTCAGTGAAAAAAAATGTTTCAAGTTGTTTGTCCAAAATATTGGATCAAACTTTCTTTTTTGAGAAAAGTATAAGCGAAAAGTTCTCATTCAATGGCTTTCATGCAGTAGATAGTAGTAGAAGTATCCTAAATAAATATATGTGATATGTCTTAGTCGCACAAGAGTCTTTGGCCTTTCTCTTCGATTTTTTCTCTCTCTCTCTCTCGACTCCATACTATTGTCTCATGCTTCCAATATTTATTTGTTTACTTGTTCTAGCACGCCTTGTGACGCCGTTAATACTTTCTTATTTGAATTCGTAGAGTTATTTATTCACACAAGTATTAGGAGTTGTTCACAAATCGGAATAAATAGAGCGAAAAAGAATTCTTGTCTTGTCTTGTCCTCCCTTTCCTTTCCCGTTCAACCAGTCACTTTAATTTATCGACATTTCTTCAGCAACACCGGCTAAAGACGAGGAATTAAAACCTCCAGAGAGCAATAATATTAAGTAATTTTCGAAATAGCATCGTCGTGCAGGGATTTCAAAGGAGAACTATCAATAAATCGAAGAATTTACATAAGATTTAAGTTTGAACTTTTATCTTCGTTTTTGATCACTTAAAGGACGTTCAAAGACATTGAAATCGATAAAAAGTTTTTCAACTCTCGCACGATGTGAAACCACATGTATACATTGGATTGAGATAAGGGCTCGAAGGTTAAGCAAGCTAAGATATCTTTCTACTCCCAAGATTTCATGGTTCGGTTTCTTTTTTGTTTGGCTCTTTGAATTTCTAAGTTGAGAGGGAAAGGAAAGTAAAACCATCAAATTTATCTCTGTCGCTCGACGTTAATTTTACGCTTCTTTAACGACGTGCTCCATTTTTTGATAACATTTCACTCGTCCGTGCATGAACAACAAAGTTTTTGGCATCGAATAATTTGTAATCATTTTCTTTCTTTTGCTCCGCAATCATGTGGTTGTTGGTAATGTTACTGGTAGAGATAATGTTGATGATACCGAATGTTTTTGATTAAAATCATAAACAAACTGAAATTGCAGAAGCATCGAACTTTCATACTGCTTACAAATATCCCAGCTGTTGTGGAAATAAGTGATATTGGGAAGTTCCCAAACCAATACTCGATAATCAAGATGTTAATCTGAAATCGATTTCCAATTTATGTATGCAAAGTTTTATTATCGTTTTGTTTTAATTGTATTTATGAAAAGCGATTTTTATTTCAATCATCAAACAAACGTCTCGTGTTTTTTCTAAAATAAGCGATTGATTTAAACCCAGTTTTTCTATTTATAAATAAACACAAAAAGTAGTTTTGTTCGAGCAAAAAAATGAAAGAAGTTTACATGAGAGAGTTTCGTTAATGATGTGGATTTTGTATTTCAAATATTTATATTGTGACTTTCGGAGGCAATTATTGGATCATTTAAACATTCAAAGATTGCATAGATTGTTATTTGATTTAAATTATTTACATATTTACAGAGTTTTTCATTATGTCTAGAAGTTTGAGTTGAAGAAAAGCTAGTAATACTTATCTACAAGGAAAAACCAATAAATTCGTCAAGGAAAATCCTTGGTTAAACATTTAATTCATAAGAACATAAACTCTTGAATGCTTTGAAGTTTTACGAATGAGATTTTCAGATAAAACTGAATCACTTGACGAAATATTTCTGAATCGATCAATTGTAGATTGATATGTGTAAAGACTTAAAATTCCACTCAACTCGTCTGCACTTTTTATTGAATAACACTCCAAAAGACTAACTGACGAATATTTATTCCGACAATCAAAGTCTTGAATCATTCAACTGACTTTTCATGAAGTTCATAGACGAGATAAGTTCAATCTTGTCTGAAGTGTAAGAAGTGCATTTATCGCATTATTTTTTGTTATTTCATTTCATCTGAGATGGAAATGTGAGATAAAAAACAACTCGTTAGTTGACAGTGATTGAATTTTACTTTTTCCATGTTCATCTATTCAATGTCAAGATTCTTGTTATATAATAAATTAATAAGTTAAGTCACTTAAATTAATTTCCATTAGTTTGTCTATTTCAACGTTCATTTTGGTTGTCAGTTATGGTTAAAAAATTTTAGATAAAAGTTAACAAAAAGAGAGATCTCGACAGCATGAAGCAATCTAAGAAAAAGTTCTCAACTGGTGCTTTGTAACAATCATTTTCATCTCGGTTCCGTATTTTTATTGCTGACGCCAAAATTCTGCACAAATCTTTTATCATAATGTGCAAGAGAGCGAGCATTATGTTGGCAAACATAGATAGCTATGATATGGAACATGAGCTTTATATTTTGAAACAAAAAGCTTCTGATGAGCAACTTTATCATATTCATGCATTACTTAATTGTGGATGTAATTTGCATTCAAATCTACTGTAATTAAATTTATTTAAATTGACTTCAAATATTATATTGCCCTAGATGCATTCAGCTGCTACCTTCGAAACCGTTTAAAATTTCTTGGCAAAGTTATATGACTGAATTTTATCACGTGCCGTGCGGTTCACCTACGACAATAATTCATGTTAAAAAGTTCATGCCAAGCCCTCTTCGCATTTAGTTCAACAAAATAAATTCATATTAAATATTGTGACGGCAATTCCGTTCTGCAAACAAAAAAAAAATCTTTCCATTGCAATTCAAGCATTCTAAAACCGATTTCAATTGCTAAAGTACACACAACACTTTTCCGGGTTCTTTTAAAACATTCAAAGCAATTAAGTATTTAAATGGAGCAGAAATTATTACGAAAGCTTTTTGGTGTTCGCTTATTTTTTCTGTTTCATTTCACTGTTTCCTTGCTGTTGATTTAGGCAAAAATCTTTTCGTTGAAATTTGCAATTTAAAAGAAACATTTCTTTGAATTAAGAATCGAGTGCTTACATTGAGCAAACTCATTTTGTTGTGCTTCGTAAATTTTAGATTCACACAAAATTAAGAAATTTCTTATCACAATTATTTCAATTTCTTCACCATAAACCGATGACAACTCTTTCTTCGAGCAATATTAAGCAAACTAATGAGCGGTAAAAGGGAGAACAAAAAATAAATCGAAGCTGTTGTAGTTGTGGTTCCGTTTCAATGTTCAATAGTTAATTGAATTACATTTTTACTCACATCAATCGATTACGACTTTTGCTCTATTTAACTTTATTTAGAAGTTGCAATTTGTTTTTAAAAACATCTGCATCAAAAAAATAAAAATCGCTTTTAATGTTGAAAAATATTTGAAAGTTTGTGACAAAACCAACACAACTTAGTCAAACACTTTTTCGCATCGAGTTTGTTTCAATAATTCACTTGATTCGAAAAAGAAATAAACTCGTTTCTTATTGAACATTATTGTTGTTTTTATTTACAAAAATAACGCGAAACCTGTTTTATGTTCTTCAGAAAACATTTAAAAGTTGATATGGAAAGAAAGAATTTTGAGGTGTTCAAAATAATTTGAAATATTTATTCATGATTTTAATTAAATCTCGATCTTATTCAATTGCTAAATGCTTAAATTTATTTATATGACAATGCACAGTCGGTGGTCGATATGCAACGATGACTGTAACGTTAAATAGATGAACAGTGTTCCAAATCGATGCTTTTTATGTTTGCCAACTAGAAGAAATATTTTCAGCATTTTCTTGTTATTTTCGGAAACGAATGAAGAAACATCGTCATGAATTTGAAGTCATTAAAACGTCATGAACCAAGGACGATCGAATAGAAAATTAAACAATAATCACAAGTTCGGTTCAATAAAAGCGAGAAAAGTGTTTTCATTTTCGTATATCTTACTCTAATGTTCCAATGAATCTCCCCATGAGTTCAGCTGCTGGCAGCTTCGCGAAAGAAAATTTCAAACATTTCTCATCTATTTTTAAATCCCAAAGGAGAAAAGAAAAGAAGAACCATTTTATATGCGGTACTAAAATGAAAACGTGGGGCTAAATATATTACTTGCGCGGCGGCCTCACTCTCTGGTTTGGATGAGTGTGCCTATGCCATCATGGCATTGTATGGCATGATACGGAGGGTTATGAAAAAATGTATCTCATGGAACATAAAAATAATATAAATTTTTTTTGCTTATGGATCTTTTCTAAGCTATTAAATGCTTTTCATAATTTAAAATATATACTTCAAGCTGTTAGCCCTGATTTGATGTTATCAGCGATAACCATATGACTTTCAGTATCGTTTCATTTCTTTATGATCCTCATAAGATCTGTGTATCCATCATTGGAAAAATTTTACAAATCTCTTGAGATATTTAAGAAGAATTTTTTTCTTCTTCATTTCATCTTCCCAAGTGGTCGAATATTTGTAGCTCAATATGCAAAAAAAAATTTCTGAGATAATTTATGACTAAAAACATCAATCATTATGACAAGTTGATCCTTACGTAAGAATGAGAGCACACCAACAACATAAATTCTCTGCAATTGCTTCTGCTTACATCGGCAAACGTTGATGAACTTCGATGACATCTTATTTTATAAACTATTTTTGTGCAAAGCACACACACTCACAAAAGCCCAACAAGGGACTAAACTAAAAGCTTTTTTTGTTTCTTTTTTTAAATTCGTTCTTTCGTAAATTTAATTTATGTTTCTCATCGTTTCATCGTCTGTACCAAAGTCTGCACCATTTGAAATATAATAAGACAATTATTCATGCACACTTTATTTACACAATAAAAGTGACAGAGCTTGGGTGAAAGTGTTTTTCCATTTTCTTCTTTTTCTGCGATTTATTCTGCTTGCTTATCGTTTTGAAAGAAAGATAAATTGGTTGAAGCTAAGAAAACTTGTTTCGTTCTATTCTTAGTTCAAGCGCAATTGTTCTGCCTTCTTTTATTTTTATTTATTCACTTTCTAACTAACAGCGGTGAACTTCTTTCTGTTCTTTCATTTCACTGCAATTTCCTTCTGTCTGGTTTTCTGATTTTCTTTCTTCGAATATATGTGAGAGGCAATAAGAAAATTATTTTTTGTGTGGATAGTTTGATACTTATCGAAATACAAAAAAAAAGAGAATCTTTTGAGCTTTTCATTGCTTTACAATCAACATCAACCTTTATTTATAATAATTGTCTGGCGAGTAAATTTGAAACTCAATTAGCTCGTAAATTCATTAATCGATTTGATATTCTTATATTGGAAATTGGCATTAAAAGCAATTCTCAATTTTACTTGCCAGATTGATGATAAACACACATAAAACATCGTGCCACGAGCGTCTTGATTTTTCTTTGATATTCTTTTAATTTGTGTAATTGATTCTGCGAATGCTAACAAAAAACAAAGCTAGTCGCTCGTATAAATTCTGAAAGTGTTTAAGATAAGTAATTCGAAAAGTTTTTTATGTCCGAAAAAAGGAATCTTCATAGCAATAAAATGAAATCATTTATGAATGTAGATATGGGCTGAGAAAAAGCTACAACAGCACTCAAATGTAATGTTTAAGATATCAATGGAAACGCTTCAACTATGCGCAACATCACACAATCATTTTCTTCCGCTCACAAATTTTTCATTTTCGCAATAAAAAAGGAAAAGAATAGAAAGAAGTATCAAGTCGACTCTTGCTTTCGATGTCTTTCAGTATTTAAAAAACGAAAAGTTTTCATGTCGCCTGACTATAAAACAATAAGAAAAACACAATTTACTTCGTTTTTATCGCCTTCCACACTTGCTTATGCTCCGATGTCGGCCGCTTTTCGTTTTGTTTTGACAAATCTTTCTTTCATCTGTACACGCCGAAAAGAAAAAAACGATCCAAGAGGAAGGAATCTAAATGAGGTGAAGTCGGTGTGTCGCTTTCGAGAAAGAAAAAGTTTGTCATCCGTTCCACATTTTCTACAGATTTTTCTTTTTCACTCTGCGGATATTTAGTGAAAATTTAAGTTCTATTTTTCTTTTCTTGTATAAAAAAACACTTCAAGTTTTCGCTTCTTATTTTATAATAAACATAAGCCGTTCATCGAGCGAGTGATCGCAAATTTTCCTACGTCTTCTTATTTCTTTTTTCTTTTTCAATATTTGTTCTGTTGTTTAATCTTCACAGCACTTTTCATCAATCAAAAAATAGAAATTGAAACCAAAAAAAATGAAGTGGAGAAAAAAAAAGTCAACTTCACCAATTTTTACGGCACGCGAGGGATAGCAAGAATAACATATAATCGAATCAAATCCTAAACAGAGACTGATGAGATATAGAAGAGTCTTTCTTGTGAATTTTCAAGCACATTGAAAAAGATGAAAGAGAACGGAAAAAAATTTTCTTTTTCGAGCGACGAAAAATATATTTTTTATGTGTTTTATCGTGTTTCAGACAATAGAGTGAAGACACAACCACACTCAACCGCTTTATAAATACACGATCGAAAGCACTCGTGAGAGGAAATTTCCTTCTACATTTGAGAGAATTAAATTTTCCTTTGCTCTCCGCAATTTTTCCGAATCATTTTACTATCAATTGTCAGAAATGAAAAATGAAACACGATTATGAGCGCAGCCATGCTTTCTTTGTATCTGAGATTATTTTTATTATTTTTCTTTCGATATTAACTTTGTAGCTCATACCATTTGAAACATTGCCAAATAAAAAAGAAGAAAAGAAAATTTGAATACATTTTAACGATGACGTTTGTCGTGAGTTATGAAAATATTTAAACTCCACTAACTTCTTATCAGTAAAAACTTAAGTATTGTTCCAATCAGAGTTTCGTTTCAATAAACATGTATCCGGTTTCCAAGCTGAATTAACAATCTAAAGCAAAGCGAGCAGAGTAATTACTAATTACACTATAAAGTATTTTCTCAGAGATTTTAAACCTCGATAAGACACTTTATTATACAAAGAAAATCCTTCTTAGATTTGTTTAATGCCTTTAAAATGATTTCCTGATGACGCTATGAAGCTTTAGATTAATCTGCTAATAATACGATACGTGGGAAATTTCTTGATCATGCAACACCTGGTCTGCATACGAATAGATGTTTAGTTTATCAACATTCCCAAAATCTAAAGTTATTTCTAACTTGATAAAGCTTCAGTTCTTCATAATTGATCAACTTTGATGTTAAAATATGAGTTGTTTTATTTGCATGAACTGTAAACCTCGAATGAGATTGTAAATAATTCATTTGTACATCATATGTACAAAACCATTCTTAAGTAAATTTCATTTTGCGTTGCAGAAAGTAAACAAACTAACATTTGAAGTACGGGAAATGCATTCAGTTGGGAAAAAGGAAGCATGTTTAATAACATGAAATTGATAATTTTCCCTGCCCTTTCTTCAACTTCCTCCACTTTTATGCTTTGAAAATTTGATTAGCTGTAGCAGATGTTTGTTTAACGTTGTGGTCTGAAAAACTTGACTTGATCTATTATTTACATATTGGCTTGAATGTGAAAGGTTCAACAAATAATGCAAAACTAAACGTTAACTTTCTGTTCAACGCTTCCGAAAGTCTTTGATATTTTTAACAACTTTTTTCCGGATTAAAAGTTCTTCAAATTTCTAGGATGGCACGAGCAACGTTTTAAGTAGAAAGTATTTAAAAAAACTATCTTGTTTGATATGAAAAGCTATAAACTCAAGTTTAATTATTGATACAACTTTTTTATGCTTTATTTTTTCATTAAGTTAAGATGAGTATAAGCAGTTTTGAAAGAAACTTGATACTTTATATAAAATTTCCCCCAAGGGTTGCACATCTTAAACTCTCGTTGTCTTTAACAAGCAAGAGTTCACTTGCAACATTCATAAAATGATTCCACTGATTGAGATTTCACAAGTTTCGAATTTAAGTTACCTTAGACGATAGTCTTTCGGATAGAATGATTAAATTACATTTCAGATCCCGAGGTATCAATTCAAAAAATTGAATTCCTTCAAACAAGCGTTAACCTTTCAAAATGGTTTAACTTTTCAGAGTAACAAGTTTTGAAGTATAAACTCAGAAAGTTTTATAAGTCAAGTGTCAATCTTTCAAAAACAAATTGAAATCTACTTAATTTTAACTACAAATTGAAAGAGCTTTAAGCGATAGTTCAAAAATGCATGGAAATGAGCAAAAAAATTGAAGAAGAAAAATCACATGCTGTGCAAACGCAAATGGGTTTGCACTCAAAATGTCATAAAAACAATTTGCAACTATCTAAGTTTTCTCTTCTGGCAAGAGAGAAGCAGACGATGAATATTTCTTTTCATCTTTGCGAGCTTCTTTTATTCATATCTCAGGCCGTCTATGGAAGCATGAATGAAAAATTTCTCATGAAAATAAAATACAAGAAAACATTCTTCAAAAGAAAAAAGCTTCTATTTCATATTTTTCTGCATAAAATCATTCAAAATCTATGCTATGGAAAGAAGATTGCATTCATAAGTATTCACAACAAGTTGAATACCGTTCTAGCATAAGTCAATGTTTCGCTTGTCGCTTCGGTGAAAGCTCGATGAAGTTCTGATCGTCTAGCCTGGGACAATGTCCGTGGACATAACATAACACCCTAAAGAATGATAGATTTGATGAGCATAATTTTAAATTTCTAATCTCATAAAAATGGTGAGAAAGATTTATTATAAATTAAATAATTTCATTGGCAACAACATTCAAAAATAGAAGAGAGTATAATGATGAAATATTTATTATTAAGTAGTCTTTTAATTATCTACTAATTCATTTGCAAATTAGTTTAATGACTATTTTAATTAAAGGCGGTTAAATGAAACACTAGTTTTGTATTTAACTATCATCGCTTTATAAATGAACTAATTGAAAAAGAAAAGTCAAATCATAATAAAACAATTTGAATGTGGAATATGATACGTGATGAAAGAAAGTTAAATTTTATGGATGTCGATGAGTTATTGCTGATGATGAAGGCGAAAATCCTTCCTGAAAATTGTACGAACTCAAATTGAAATTTTATTTACGATGTCAAAAGGTCATGTAAAATATTTATAGAGAAATATTTTTATTTTTAGCATAAGCTGTCGGAAAATCTTTCATACATCATGCGAATTGTTTGCACTTTTAATTCTAATTATTAACTCAACATTTTGTTGTTTTGACTCACAACTGCGTTTGTTGTTGTTGAAAACCATCTTCAATGTAACTTCTAAATTCATGAGAACTCTTCAATATTTTATAAGATGCAAAACAAATTTCCTCGACATTATGCAAACTCAAATCAGTTCTACATGAAACTCGTTTGTTTAGAAAGAAAAATCTCCGAAAGAAAAATGTCAATTTGTTTATCTTGAGATTGTGTTGACAATAGAGAGATAATTGAAGTATCATTCTAATAGACAATGTCATTAAACTATCATTTGTATAGTCAACAAACATTTCTATTTGTCAATGCTATCCATCAGCCTTCATATCTTAAAATAAATTTACATGTATCTCGATTTCTGTTAAAAAAATCTGTTTTGAAACTTCCACGTCATCGGCTGTTGAGGAAAAAAATAGCGAGAAACATTAATGACGTTTATCAACATTACTTTACTTTCGTTTATTTTTCGTTCAACGCAAACAAACACAGAGATGGGCAAATGTTCCGTTCAACTCGATTGACTGACTGACTGACATGTCAATGTCTTTCAGTCAGTCAGTCAGTCAGTCAAAATCGCGAACAAAAATATTCGCTTGTTGGGACACGTTCATATAAATGTTCCGCTCAAGTCGTTTGACTGACTGAGTGACAAGTCAATGTCTGTCAGTCAGTCAGTCAAATCCCAACTCTGAACAAACATGCAGAAGAAAATTCTTGAGATTCTCATCGTAAACTTGGCGTCTAACGTAATTTCTTATAAACTACCGCCGATGCCTCTTTCAACCTATTAATAGCCAACAAGTTTACTCTTCTCTCTATAAACTCCGGATGAAAATAAACAATGAGGAAAATCAAGATCATCATTCGCGACGTTTTATAGACACATCATTATTTTTCTCTTGCCTACTAAACTTTTTCTTAATTATAAAATTAATGAGAATATTTAAATTGGTCCGTGGAAACAGGCAAATTAGAAAAGCGAAAAAAATATTTTCACCTCAAAAAAACATTAATGACGACAACGAAAGGTTAAACAATTTAATCCTCGGTGTATTCTCATCTTAAATGTTTTGACCATATGTTATGTTATGATAAAAAATTTCAAGTAATGTAAACATACTTTAACGAAATAAATTTGCTCTCCAAGGAGAATCATATCGTGGGAAATTTTTAGCGAAGGGTGACTAGAAAAAGTGTTTGCTTTATTTGAAAGTAAGCAAACATTGACCTTACGTTTATATTTTATGTTTATGTGTATTTAGTTTTTCTAACGTATACCGGTTTAGGAAAAGCTATTGAATCAGTTAATACTCTTAATAATTAAACACGTTTGATCATGATCACAACATTTAAGAGATTGTTTACGTAAGCACATGAAATATTACATTTATTTTGTTACGCTTCATTGTGTGTTCATGTTCATCGATGTTCTTTCACGACGAAAATGTTAAACGAAGTGATTGTTAACGAACATGATTTTCCATTATGATTTTTCTGACATAATGAAATCTTTTTCAAAAGGTGTACTTTGCGTCGATGAAAACGATTAATATGAATGACATGAAATCGATTTTGATGTTTGTGAAGAAGCAATCATCCAGCAAAGTAACTGAAAATTAGGTTAAATTTATGAATTTCATGCATGTTTACTCACTGAATAAAGGATTTAATTTTGTAGATCGATTTTTCGTCAACTTAATTAAATTTTAAACATTTTACTTAAAATGATTTTTCGAACTAGAAGTTCCAGGAAAATGTATGAAGACTTCAGGACATGAAGATTATTGTTTGAAATAATTTAAAAATATCACACAATACAAAACAGGAAGAGAAAGGAAAGTTTTCTCATTTCTCGTTTAGTTAAACTTTTCTTCATTGTTTTATCTTTGAGCATTAAAATATCAAATAAAAATGTATTCTCACACAAAAGAATGAGTGAGTTACCTCAGTAAAAAGAATAATAAATATATCTTTAACTTCCAAAGTTTGTTCACACAAAACTTAATACTTTTAATAGTCACAACTTCTTTTGTAGATTTTTTGTTGGGTCGGCAAAGCAGTTTTGAACGAGAGAGAAAAAGCTCAAAAAAGCTTTGCTTTGTGTTTACTTACCTTGCTAAAAGGTTTCAGTGCTGGCCCATTAATCTAAAAAAACAAAAGATAAGAAAAAAAAGTTAATAACTTTTAATTTAAAGAAAGTTTCAATGAAATCTCACTCTCAATGCATCAACGGCTATTCCAGAAATTTGATCACTTGGATCTGTTTTTAATTGACGTAAAGATGACGTTTGGTGCGCATGAGTACATGTTGGAGCACTGCAACATGAAAGGGTGCTTGCTTCTGGCTGTGAACTTTGTCGAATTATTCTAGAATTTATTTTCGGTGATCCAGTTATAAAAACGGGAGGAATTGATGAAGAATGTGGCTGCACAAGTGAACTTGAAGTTAAACGTCCAACACTTTCCTTTGATGCAGATCTTGGAAGGTAAATCACTGATGCTGGTGAAATTGAAGAACGACGTTCATTTGAGCGACACGTTCGACATCTATTGGTGGGTGTGTTAGGCATTAACTGATACGATATTGCCTTGGCATTATCATCATCTGATGTTTCTTCGGATGTTCCAAAACCTGAAAATTGTGGACTTGCAAGATACGACGATGTTCTGTCTTGTCGAATAAGTATCGGTTTACTTGTTGCTCCACTTGATAATGACTGTTGTGTTACAAGGCCACTTGACGTGGTTGGTCCATTAGTTGAACATGAGTAAGAATGTGCTTTTTGTAATCTCGCCGAATCGCTATTGTTATTATTGTTACCAATCTCTATTGTTGTCTCTCCCTGTTGTCTTGAAGTCTCTTCAGACACACCTAAACTCGTACTCTTCGTTACTTGTTCCGGTTCATGTTGAAGCGACATTTTTCTTTAAATATATTTTATTTTTGTTACGTTCTGTAATGTAAAAGGAGAAAAAATTATCGTTGGTTGTTAGATTGGAATGATAGTTTAAATCTGTGTGGAATTCCATAATATTCTCGTCCGACTAAGCACAATTTTTATGACTGTCACAGTCATTTTAAAATATCTCTTGACTCATTTATATAATTTATATAATTTATAGCAAACATCAAATGTGAACTTGTGACATTAGAGACCGTTTCAAATGATATGTCATGAAAAGAAAATTGACAATTGATTGAAGTTGAAAAAAGACAAACTTTTCGTTGAATAATTAATGAATAAAATTTTAGTTGGATGGGTAGATAAATTATATGGTTTATTTTTAAATATCCTTCGTATGTTAAATCATCAATCGATAATGTATGAAGTTCATTAAATGTTGATGATTATTCTTTCATTAAATACATTAAAATATTAGAAATGGCGTCATAAAATTTTATCTTTCATTGCCATATTCAAAATCCACGTGTATGTCAAACAAAAAATAGTAACAAATAACTCAACTAACAAGATGAAACGTTTTTCTTGTCACTGTTTCAAGTTTCTCTCAAGTTCCAATTATTCTTTTCATTTGTTCAAAGACTTAACAGATTCTCGAGAGACTCGTGACTTTGTTTCTGTTTTCTTCCCTTAGTTTCTTCATTTTAACTTTTTGTTTCCATCGTGTTATTATATACTTAGATACTTAAGGCTTGAAATTTCATTCTATTTCAGTGATGCACAACCAACATATTTGGTTTTTGAAAGCTTTGTAAATACACTTTTAGACCTTTTTTAAATCATTGTTTATAGAGCTCTTGCTCTTTCTGGTGATATTGACAAAAACAATTGAATCGGTCGCTCAAGTGATTTTAGCAAAAAAAAATCCTTCTCGGGATCATAAATTTCTTTTGGTTCAAACAAACAACACCTGATGCCACATGATACTGAACATGATCCATCAAATATGTTCGCAGAATTACAAATCATTTCTAGTCTTGGGTCATTTGATGTACGACATGTCCACCATCACTTTGTCTTTTTTTTCGTTTACAAGCGAAATATTTAGAAGGAAAAGCTTATCAATCGAAAATCTCGATAGAAAACCAAATAAATATTTCATTACATTTTATCTACATATCTTTATGAAGGGTTTGTTTCCCTCGATTGAATATAAGTATTAAGCTTTCGAATTCAATACAATTCAATTCAATAGTGGATAAATGATGAGAGGTTTATATTCCGTGACTGGGTTGAAATGCGTCTACGAATCCCTTTGTTCATTCATCCAAATGTTTTATGAACAACATCAAAGACAGGCCTGGCTATCATCGGTCAGTTTGCGTTGAAGTAATTTATTCCTTTTCAGGGACTAGGTAGCAAACCACAAGTTCACATTGAGGACGTGAATATATTTATACGGAATTCCCTTGTGCTGACCTCTCATACGAAATTCATTTGGAGGGTCTGTTTACATTTCGAAGAAGAATCCAAGACGATAAGCGTTTTTATATTCAAGTTAATCGTTCAAAAACGTAAAATCAATAAATCGAATATATGTTGAGAAATGGAATAAAAGTTGCACATATTTGAACAATTCAACTGGGAAAAGACTAAACCATAACATAAAATATATCGTTGAACATCCTTGCGATCATTTTGATTGTTTAAAAGTCACATAAATCTTCTTTAAAGCGATACTTTCAAACATCCCTCACAGCAATGATATTTAGGCTAATAGTGAGGTGTCGCTTACATTCCGAGTCATTAAATTTCAATCTAAAAAAAGAATTTGAACAACCTTTTCTGTTTCATTACGCTGCATCATCCCATGACAGCAATTTTAGATCGGAGACGTTTTTTCCCTAGAAGTCCATCCACTTCATCAAATGAAATGATTTTAAAGCATGAGAATGTTTTTTGGCATTCAAAAGATTATCTTTTTAATGCTTAATCATCCACAGATAAATTCAAAACATTATTCCGACATTATAAATATTTTTCGAGTTAAGTTTGTTAATCTATGATTACACGAGTACATTATCAACATCTTTTTTCACATCATAAATCGATCTGTTCTCTCCGGAGATTGCTTACGCTGAAAATAAGAATCAGCATAAAATGAATACGACATAACAACGGTGGATTTCAAGAAGAAATATTTTTTCCACATTTTTATCTATTCTCTGAAGAGTAATTTGAAGAACATTGAGTGAGGCTTGTAACGATTACAGCATACGCAAAGGTTCCTAGTGTTCCTTCTACTCCAAACTCATTAACATGAATTTCTTTCTCATAAAATATTTTTGTCTCCATTTTATGTCTCGAATGTATTTCAGCTTGAAATATTTTTCAAGTAGTCGTGCAGTGCTGTTGAGAACTGATATTGTCGAGAACATCGAAAGCTGTTCTCCTTTTGTACCTTCAAACCATGGCAATGTGAAAGTCATTGTTCTCGTATATGCACGAAGTAATTTATGGATTTTCATTTCTTTCAGTACTTTTCGAGACCAGCTTTCGTTTATTTCTAGGTACAATGTGTATGGTGAACATACGAACATATGATGACTTTTATTGGAAAAACAATTTCACTACAATTTTCTTTCCTTTTTTGTTTTACAATAAGGTGAAAAATAAATTGAATAACAAGACTTAAATGAAACATTTTCAACTTTGGAAGTTATTGATTTTATATTTAAGTTCGTGAATTTTCTGACGATTCCTAAATCTCTTCATTTCACTCGTTTCGGAATTTCCTGAACCAAATATAATTCAAACGAGACGAGCCCCCATCTTCAAACATTTGTTATGTGCAAATGATTTTTCTCTCTTTTGAACTTTCAATGTTTTTCTCTTGGAAGAAGTTTATGAAATCATAAATTTCCATTCATACAGAAAGAAAGGGAATTACTAAACAATTCATCGGAAATACTGAATTATTGAGTGGTTTTATTCAAGAATGGTTAACAAAACTTCAGTGGATAAACATTAAGAATATTTAAGTATCTGGATAATCAATCTAGCGTAGGAGGTAGAAGATGAACCTCATTTATTAATTATATTAAACATTCATTGTTGGCAATGCCAACAAATCCGAAGATTCCTCAAAAATGTTTACTGAACCATAAAACGAGTCATTCAAATTCTTTAAAGAGTTTCGAATAAATTTTTGTGTTATTTTTGTTGACAGAGGATTGAGAAAATTTTTTATCTATCAAATTTAATTCTCTTTTAAAAATTTCTCATGCGAAACATGTTTAACATAATTTGCATAAAGCAAACTCCCACATCGCAACAACTCACGATCCCAATACTTTAAATAGATTTAAGCTCTCGCTTGTCAACCTAGGTATAGACGGAAAGTTATTTCATGCTGTCCAACTGTCGCCAACTGCAATCATTGTAATCTTTATTCAACATAAAGCCTTTTGCTTCAATGTGGCGCTGCGTCATTGCTGATGATGATTCATTTAATTATGATAGTTTACGAGTGTTTGGTCTGCACATAATTAAATTGTACATACTACAAATTGATACTGACGCCTCAAGGGTCATAGCATAGATAGATCTAAACGTTATCACCAATATCGCGGAAAGTTTTGTCACGAGATCTCCCATAAACGTTTGTACACAAAAGTGGGTAAAGTAATTAAAAAAACATCAGAATGAATTGGAAAAGTTTAATTGTTATTTCTTTTTTTGAATGGACGCAAAAGCGCATTCAACAATCAACATTTAAAGCAAATAATTTATGTTAGTTAAAGAGTAATTTCTGTTTTCAAAGCATAAAAATAATTGATGATTCATAAATACTGATTTGTAATCTTTCATAAGAATCATTCATTCTTAGTTTGCACACATTTATTGTGGCTGTTACCTTAATTTATGATGATATTTAAAGCGACAGCTGGTTCAATACTTGAGAATCGTTAAAAGTAACGAATCAATAAATGTTACTGTGATCGATTGCTTTCTCTTTCTGTCGAATCGACTTTCATCGCTAGTAGCTTGAGTAAAGGGAGAAAGACACGAACACGAACAGTTTGTAATTCAACATTCTAAATATAACTACAATTTTAATTAAATAGAAAGTCTTCTTCTTATTCCAAAGGGCTAGGAAGTGAAGAAGTCTACATTTTTATTAAGGTAACAAATAGCAAATAAAACTAAAACTACCCGAAATCTCATGAGGATGAGAATTAACTACACAAAAGCTTCTCCACACCTGCTATCGCATACAATTAGATTGGAGGATAGTTCATGCTGATGAATGGTAAATGAGACTTGTGCCGCTGAAACTTTTAGTGTTTGTCACACAATTCGAGTCTCGCGAGATCGCTAATAAAATTCCGTTTTATTCATTAGTGTTAATATGAAAAGTTTCTTCATTAAACGATGACTTTTTATAGTTGTAATGTAATGATAACCTTGGAAACAGAGCCACAATAACGAACCAATGGTTATTGATTCTTTTGGAAATGAGAAATGAAAGACAAAGCATTACATATAAAGCTTATAATGTCTTATGAACTTTAAAAAGTAACACAATAATGTGTGAGCCACTATATCGAGTGAAGTATGTAGTACATATAAATGTCAATTAACTTTGCCCTTTCCTTTTTTTTCATGTCTGAAAGTGATAAATGATGTATACATTAGTAGCCACATAAGCAAGAAGAAATGCTTACATCAATTTGTCTCAATGATTGTGGTGTGATGATGATGATGAAAAAACGATAAATAGTTTGAGACAATGATTTTAAATGAAACAAATTGGATAGTTAAATATTCATTGGATGATGTTGGGATTGAGTCTCTTTATTATACTTATAATCATAAGTCTTATGTGTACGTTATGGAAGTCTGTTGAAAGAACGAAAGAAGATTTCGCAAAGGTATTGTAACATTATTTGTCATATTTTCTACTTCAGCGTCTTTAAGGAGAAGATAAAGCCAAAAATAATTATGTCATGTTTTTGGAAGAAGAATGAGATGAGATACTTTGTAAGGAAGCATAATTCATTTTTATCATGAGAATTATTATTCAATTTAGTCTCTGAATAAATGTCGAGGTTGTGACATTGAGTACCGTGCTTTACCCTCGGTAAAAGGTATTTGAAATTATTTAAAAGCTTCTGCTTTTCCTAATGTGAAAATTTATATTTTCATTGCTTAAAGCAAAGGTCTATGTACGGAAGTAACTGAATTTTAAATTGTTTTAAAGGATATTTATGTTTTGTTTTCACTGAAACGACAAAGAAAATTTATAAATCCGGTCTGAAATTAAAATTTTTCATTTAGAAAATAATGAAATTTGACACTTTTGATGGGCAAAGTTATCAACTGTGAAAGCTTCATTAAGAATTAATTTTTTTCAACAGATTTTTAATCAAAGTCATCAGAAATTTCATAAAATAAATCGATGAAAGGTTCATACATAAATTTATGAATTCAATTCACTGTTTGAAGCCGTTTCTATTGATTTTAGATAAAATTGTTATAAATATGCAATGCAAATGTTCTTATGAATATTTATTCTCGTTACATGTTTTTATGTAAAGATCATATTTAAAAGGATCTATGTTAATTATGGGGATTTATGATGTTTATATGCAGGGGAAAAGAAAAAGTGAAGTGAAAGAAATATTTATTCTAGCGCAAATTAATTAGCGAACTCAGATGATTATCCTTCTTACGAAGAGGTTGAATTATGAAATTAGATTTCAGGGGAATTTATGTGCGGATTGGTAAGATTACACTCGTTATTTCCCCATTCATAAATCATAATTTTAGCAATCACATAAAAGAGACATAAATGGCATCTAAAAGCCGCATTGAAACTCACTTGAATACAATAAATTTGAAGTATAAAAGAATTATTTTTATGTCGCTAATAAATATGAGCTCAGCGTTCTTATCAAAACAGTAAAAAAAAAGCATTAAAACTTATGCAAGCTTTGTTTTTCTGATGTTTCTTTTTTTGTAATTTGATACAAAAATAAACTAAATAGTGAACAATATATTTATCGAAATGTAACACGCGATCCATCTCTCATATCTACTTATTAAAACGTCTCATAGTCGAAACATATCACATATTGTTGTGTTTGCTTTCGATGGCAGTAGAATGTCATATGTGATATAATTCAGAAAGAAATGATTGCTAAAATATGCTTGCTTGACAACATTTAATGTTGAAACCATTAAAGATAGTTGAACTTACTTACATTAATATTTTACCGAAACAATATTGTTTAATACGCACCCAAAACGATGGAATCATGAAGACATAAAGATAGAAATCTACAAAAAAACAGAAGCTCAACACGTTGTTGAGAAAAACATCACAAGGAATGAAAAGAGTGGGAGGTTTTATCTTTATTTTTTGTTTTTCTGTGTTGTGGACGTTTAACCATGAATAGATCAAGGAAGGAGAGAGAACTTCAGAGATTTTTTGATATTAGTTGCTTGTGACAGTAAGCAAGTTTATAAGTAGAATAATCTGTTCAAGCCGGTTAGAGATAGAAGTAAAAGTTTTTGTAGAAATTTAGGAACATTTAGTTGTCTTGAGTTATTTATAAAACTTCATGACGAGTTAGGAATCATTTCTCACCTTCATTATTTATTTAAAGGAAAAAACACTTTTCAACTCAAAAAAGTATAAATGTCAATGAAGAAATGAGATTTGAAACTACGATAAGTAATTAAATATCTATTAAGAAAGGGAAAAAGTGAGCGAGCTTCATGACAGCGAACTGTTAATCATGGTTTTTGTTTTTAAGAAGCTAAAGTTTGAAATTCAAAAACTTTAGGGAATTTCTAAAAAGACTTAATCTAAATAAAAATGAATTATTAATCCCAAGCGTCATTATGCAATATCCAATAAATCTCTTTACTATGTTCTTTTAGAAAAAAATGAATAAATAGCATGAGCTTAAGAAGGGTGAAAAGCTTTCACCACATTGAGTGTTCTTTTATTGTCTCTCGACACTTTTCTCTTGCTTTGGGTAGGGATAAACTTTTCATTAAGAAAGGATTTCGCTCGTATTTATCTATCGATTTTTCTTTGACATATTAGAAGAGGGAGATCGTTTAACCGCGTCTATTACTTATTATGAAGATTATGAGGAAAATGAAATGAAAGCTTTTCCTTGCTGTATTTGCCGGTTTAAGGAGGGAAAAAATAATTTCCATTATGCAGATGCTAATCCTGAAAAATTCACAAGAAAAAATATTTTTCCTTTTCAACAATGAAAATGAGCTTCATTTTCATTTATGTTCAATCTCAAATTATGTTATAAAATAATAATTAGTCAAAGCTACTCAAAATAGCAAAAGGAAATTGAAACCAAAAATAATTTTCCTGACATAATTTTCAATTATCATTTAAATCCGCTTAAAGCGATTGTTGTACCATCACACGCCATTGAAATTACATCGCCTAATTTTGAATGACGACAAAACAGTCATAAGCAAGTAAGCACTCAATTGATTTTTCTGTCCCTAATCTGCATGTCAATTCAAAATCGAATTAGAGTTTCATGACATTTTCCTTTCATGAATGCTTTCTTCTTCATTACTTTGCCCATCCCCACTTGAGAAAATACTTGAAAATGCCAGAGATTCATTCTCTCCATCAACATAAATATTGAAAAATCGTGAATCAATAATTTAACTAAGATATGATTAATTATTCATGTAAAATGATAAATCAATCCCGAGAGAAAAAAAACAGTGAGAAAGATTCAAATTTCTCGAAAAATTACTCCGCATTGCTTTTAACGACAGAAACAATTTTTGAAATTGAGGAAGTAAGCACTTACTCATTCTTTTTAATATCGACAGGAAAATTAAAGAACAAATAATAATTTTCAGTACTTTTTAATGGCATGTTTCATTGAATAAACAAACATGTGTTGTTGTTGCTGCGTCTGTTCCATGTGTTTATGAATTGCATGAGAACAAAAAAAACGAAAAGGTGTTTTCAGCATGAGCAGTAAAAGCAAATAAGTTGCTTTTTTTTATTGTTATCAAGATGAAACAACTCTTTTTTCATACGGAAGCTTTTATTAGTTCCCATTATGTCAAAGGCAGTCGGTGTAGGTGGCATGACATTGAAAATAAGCTAAAGATGTGTCTTTTAGTGTTATTTTTATCTTACATCTTGTTTAAAAAAGTTTAACATGTCAAAAATGGTTTTAATAAAATAATTTTCAAGTCATGATTGTGTTCGTGATTTTTCTTCTACTTCCCTGCTATGAATTTTCATCTTTTTTTTCGAAACGAAAAGGGAGGAAAGGATCTTGAAATTTCTTCCGGTTCTGTCAGTTTTCAGATTCAACATTTAAGCTCGACAAAAGCTTTTTACAAGAGTGCCATTGTAAAACTAGGAAAATTCATGTTAGTACCGAACAAATGCTGATGATAAAAGCTTTAGTATCTCTTAGCCTTTTAACTGAGAGTCATGAAATGCACAATTTTACATAAATGCACAGTAAGCTGTAAAATATTTTATTCAGGGAGAGTGAAAATCTGATAAATGCACAGTCGAGATTACTCATGAGATATGTTTGCATAGTTGATGTTCAAAAAAACCTTAAATTGTAAATATTTACGCATGGAATTGCTTGGAAATGTTTACAATGGAAAGCAAAACAAGACAAGAGAAGTGTTGGCGATATTTATGAGTCAAAAAAGTTTTTTTTCCGGTTCAACGTCACAATTTTCTTCAGCATACTTTTCCGCATATTTGTTTTAACGATTATGATGATTGTGAAATTTATGGCGCGAGTTTTTCTCTCTACTTTTTTTTTGTCTAACCAAATAAGAAGGAAAATAAACAAGAAACATCATTTGGCTAAACAAGATGAAACAATGAATAAAAGCTTGAACATTACGTTTTGTTTTAATTCATCAATAGTCGTTGAAGGTCGAACATTTGTAAACTTTACCGCTATTATGTGTCTTATTATCAATCATATAAATGTGCGGCACGATCTTTAAATTAAACATTTGATATTCATTCAAATTAAATGGAAAATTATCGCTTTTTGCTTTCAAATGGACGCCAGACGAAAATCAAGAGTAATTTGATCTACAAAACGAAAACGTTGGGGGTTGATCTCTTTTCTTGTGGTCGTGGGTGAGTGTCGTGGGTGAAGTTAATCGCTGGAGAAAACTTCAAGCCATCAAAATTATTTGCAACGATGATTCCAATGTAAAGTACTTTCAAACATTCATAAAGTTATAAAATTCATTTTTAAAAAGGGCAAAGTACTTAAACACAATGTTTTCTTTTCAAATGTGTCTCGGATCTTGATGATCACCTACGTGTGAGTATTTTAAGAAATCCAATCAAAAATTTATGAGAACAAGAATAATAAGGCACACGAGTACATTTCGTTTATTCTGAAACTTTTGAGACACCTCAACGCAAACCGCTTTTATTAATATGAAATTTGTTGGCAGGTGAGCAATTTTAATGAAAGTGCGAGATTTGTTTTTCTTTCGTTACGATATAAAGGAAAAAGATCGTTCAGTGGAGCGAATTTGTTAAAAGCGAACATTCCGTAAGCGAAATGTTTCATAAATTTCCTTACAAAAAGTTCTCTGGCGCTCAGTATCTGATGATGATGAGCGTATTTTATGCATTTCATTTTTGGCCTTCACAAACAGAAAACGGGGAATTTTTAATGATTTTACATTTCAATTAACTTTATTTTTTGATTTGCACATTTCATTCATTTACATGCTTTTATTTCTTACACACAATATAAGTTCGTTGCTCTTGTGTTTTGCTTGATTCAATTTTGCTTTTAATGTAAATACAAAAGCAAGTTGTACGTTTTTAATGTAAATTTTCATTATCGTCACTGTTAAGATTTAACATCAGTTGAAAATGTTTCAGTAGTAAAGTTGAAAATTTTAATTCAACAATCAAAACTTTTGTAATTGATATAACGAGGTTAATCTCTTGTTAGTTTAATCTATTTTTTTTATTTTTTAGTTGTAGAAAGCATTAATCAGAAAGTTAATCTTAATGAGAATTTTTGTGACCATGTGTCAATGAGGTTGTTTGTTCTAAATCATTATCATGAATCATTCATCAGAATGTTTTCTGTGTTTTTTAACTCTGATTCAACCTAACGAGACTTTCGTGACATTGGCCTTTGAAGCTTTCATTTATCTTTTTTGGGGTGTTATCAAATTCACCCTTAACATTATTTGAATGAAAGTGTGGAAAAATCTATCGAAGCTTTAAGTAGGATTTATTTAAATTCATTCAGACGTTTCCAAACAAATTCGATTTAAAGTTAAAACCTTCGAACTTAGACAGAAAATTGAAATTGGTCGACTTCCCTAGATTATCCGGCTAAACATCATTTTAAGCTTCTTACTTAAGCTAATAATGATGAAAATTTGGCGTCAACTTTTATGTCACCCATTTAAAAATATTTAATTTCAGTTAAAGTGATTTAGATGATTGAAATTTTTGTTTGGATACTCAGCTAAATTTATTCGGCATTCCACTTTATGTTTACACAAGTAGCGTAAACTTTCTGAAAAGGATTCGATTTCATGTGGCAACATATTTATATAAAATGTGGTGAAGACTTTTAAAAGACTTAAAGTCAATCATCATCGAAGCAAAATAGGAAAATAGAGAAATGAAACAAACAAAGAAAGGGAAAATAAGTTTCATTTATATGCGATCGTAAGTAACCCCAATCTACCCTAAACATTTCAAAATTTCCTTCTGTCCCGTATACATATATATGCTTCATTAAATCGAGTTGAAAATTTCTAAAACATAAATTTTATTCATCGATCAACACTCACATTTAAAGTTTTTTTCACATCATTTAATGAAAAACAATTTCTTTTATTTCATTTCTTTCTCCATCAAGTTCTCACTTCACGTGTGTAAGAATTTCGATTTCATTGGAAACGATATCTGCTGCCTACACCATGCAATACATTTTTTATTTTGCTGTTCATTAAACAACACTCAACGCGACATCAAACAAGCTCACGCGTGATGTCGTTTAAAATATCAGTAAAGTGTCACTTTAATTTATTTTCACAGTCTCTCAAAAATGTTAAAACTCAACAGAAAACAGAAAGAAATTATTTATTCCGCACTTTGTAAGACATCCAACTCGCAACTGATGAGTTGATGAGCAAAACAAATTTTCACGTTACTTCTCGTCGAGCTGTAAAACTAAACTAAACAAGCGTGATTGCCGGAGAGAGTGAGACGAAAATTTGTGTGCTTCTGTTGTAAGGAAAAAGAAGGAAAACCTATAACAACAAACCGAAAAAAATGTGAAAAAATATATATTCTCATGTCAGGCGCAGCGCATGTTACTTTGCATTCATTCTTTTCCAATATTGTTCGTGAGTGAACGTGTTACGAACGGAATTTTCATCATTTCTCTTAACCGGAAATAGATTTAAGAGATTCTCTCTATTTATTGTTGCACTTTACCTCGTTGTGTTCTCAGCTTTTGTTTTCTTCGATAATTTTCCAGATATTTTATATCTTCATATACTGCAATGTACTTCATTGAAAAAGGTCACAACAAATAAGGTAAAAATAAAAGAAAAACTTTTTTCTGTTATGATTCAAAAGTTTTCATTATAATTCTACAGATTTTTTCTCTCAAGTGTTTTATTCCAAGGTACACCTTCGAGGCTTACAACGCTTTGCTTAATTATACAAAGTTTTAAAGGTACAGATGTTGACATTTTTTAAATTTATTCCATTTCTCCTTCCTTTCTCCAAATATCTAACCAACCAACTTGACCTGGAAAATTCAAGATTTTTATTCTTTTATTGTCGATAAGCTTCAGTTGCAACGATTGCGGTAGAAGATGGTGAGAATAGCACTTTGGAAAAATAAAATGCAAACGAAGTTGAAAATAAATTATAAAATGACTTCAAGGTGCTACATTGAAAAGAAACCTGGATGATGGCCAGACAAAATTAGAAAAGAAAGGAACGAGATTTATTATCAAACAAAATATATTTACAACCAGGCGGCTAATTAATGATCATTAGTGTTGATTGATAAACTGTGTGATGATGAACTAGAGACGTGAAAAGCGAGGAAAACTACGTTGAAGATAAACGAGAAGCACCCCACCGACAGTCTCCAAACTGTAGTCATCGCCAAGTGGTTATAAATTTAACTTCCGATACTAAAATCAAGAAGATTTTGATTTATGACTTTTTAAATCTAATTCAATTAGTAATAACACGGATGTTAATGAATACATCTGTCAAAGAAATTTTTTTCTTAGATTTTTAACTCGTTAATTTAAAATTTTCTCGATGCTTTTTCTTTTATAATTCCGTGGAGAAACTTGAAGAAAAGAAATTTTTCTTGGCTATATGTAAGTAACAAAAATTAAAGTGAAATGAGAGGGAAAGGAAAGAGTCGAGAAAATTTATGGTTTTTGGCAAATGATCAAGATGAAGAGAGAAACGTTCAGAGAATTGGTTGAAAGGGGTTCAGCAATGATGATTGAAATAACTGAGCTAATCATTCGACTTCATTAATACATAAAATCTGTGTCGTCGTAAGTTGAAGCCTAAAGCAAGAGTAAAGTGACAAATTACATGCTTGTTAGAATGAAAATTTCAACATTTGTCTCTTGATAATTCCTAAGATTAATTCCATTAAACTCTTCGTTAGCAAACATTTTGAATATTTTCAGATTTTCTCTCAAACGAAAGCCGAAAACAAGGAATTATTATTTAATGAGTCAGAGAATTTTATGTTTTATATTTTTAATGTTCATTCATTAATAAAGACAAAAAAATATTCCGCATTTTTTCAAATCACGTTTCGTAATGACATGTTTTCATCTTTCATTTCATATCTTGTCGTTGTCGTTCGTTGTCCCTTATGTTGCATGTTTATAGAAAAAATATAATAATAATGAAGTAAAGAAAAGTTTCATTTATAGACGAATAAAATAAATCAACTCAATTCAACCGACAATGCTAGAAACAAGAGTCAAGGGAGTTTTCGTGTCACAACAGTTTTTAAACTCACTCGTAAACAAGACATCACGATCTGAAAAATCAAAAGCAAAAAAAAGTCATGTAAAACTCGAAAGTAAAATAAAAAATTAAAATTAATTGTCTGCAGTACAATGCTCCCATTTGTGCAAGCATTTGTGTTTCAAGGAGACGTCAATCGCTGATGATGTGTTCGTTTTCTTTGAAGAAACATTTGAGTCGACTTTGTGGTAATTGCCAAATTGACTTCACTCAAGAATATCGCCTTGCAAAAAAAAACAGATTTAAACGAAAAGTCTTGTTGTTTATTTCTTTCACTCGGCTATTATGAAGCGAGAAAGTAAAAATATGAAATTGGAACACGGCAGTGATTTTTAAAAGGTTTTTCATCATTTTGTGGAAAATAAATATGCAAAGTAAAATGCAGAAAACAGAAAGTTTTTGATCAAATAAACAACTTTTGAAATTGCCTGAAGTTTGATTAGCATAGCTAAGAATAAATTTTAAATTTTGTGTCTGTATTTCTACTTGACAAGTTTATTTATTTTTATTTGTGGTATCTTATTTTGCTATCAATTACATCAAATATGTACTAAGTATTAACATATCGTTGACATGCTTTTACCCTGAACAAATCATTTTATTTTTCTTTTTTTTTATTTCCCTCCGCGAAAAGCAGCAATGTCAAAGGAATTTGGAAGGAGAAGAAAGAAATATAATGATATACAAACATTTATTGTATGTCGAAATGTTGAAAACAGCTGAAAAAATCGAGACAATTCCATTCCTTTCTGCGTTCACTTTGTATTGTTTTTTTCTTCTGGAAGACTTGGCCTTCAGCATATTTAACTTTTGCATATCTATGGAATGAAAAGTAATAAATGTTTACTTATGTTAACTTTTATTCCTTAACATTTGATAATATTGCAAAGATAATTGGAAATCAACAAAGGAAGAATTTTCCTCCTTTATTGACTGCTGCGCCTCTATCGGTCGGAATAAATGACAAGATAAGTTAATTCTATCTTATGCAAACTAGGGGAAAACAGGAGTTATGTGTACAAACAAACTAATTGTCGCTAACGGTTCAAAGAACCTCTGTGGAAATTTTAATCTTAAAAAATTGTAAAATACTGAAGAAAACCGCTTTTCAAGTGGAGTGTACCTCCATGCGTTTTAATTTGTCCCATAACTCCTGTTTTCCCCTTTGTGTGGTTCCCTTAAAGGGTTTGTCATTTCTGACAACTCCTTTCAATCGCAGTTCGAACCTTTCTCAAAAACAAAGTTTTAAGTTATCAACATGTCGCTGACTTTGAGCTTTGATTGACAATATTTCGATATTTTTTTCTTTCTTTAATTTATTTATTTTCACGAGCAACTTGATGGTCTTTCTCATAAGTTGACATTTGAAATGGGATTGCAGAAAGGCTAAGTCAGTGAACTCATCAAATATTAATCAAACAATTTTCTTTCGATTTCTTTGTTAATAACTGTTCATGTAAATTATTTAAGGTGAAGAGAATTTCATGTTAACAAGTGAATGAGATTAAGAATATGTAAGGTAAGTGTTAAAGCTAATGGGGCTGGTGTTACCATTAAACTAAGCTACTTAGCATAACATCTTCTCTGTGTCTTCATAAGATTCTTCTGATCATCATTTGACATCAAATTAAGTGTAAAAGCTTTCTCATGCTTGCTTATCTTGAATTTTTATAGAAAAATTGACCTTTTGAATGTAGACACAATCCAAACAGCGATCAATGTTTTATTCAAGAGAAAACATAAACTTACATAGTTCAACAGAACGTTCATGCATATGTTGACGTAGTTCAAGTTTTCATAGAAACATAAGATTAAAAGTTAAACTTCGTAAATATTTTGAGACTTTAACCGAACAAACTTCGTTGATATTATCATCACATATTTTGGAGGAAAAGTTCATTTTAAATGGTTAGGATCTGGTGTCACATGAGACTAAGGGAAAGCTGGAAATAAATATGTCTAAGCTTCAGTGAATCTGAGACAAACTCTATCATCATCAAATTTATAGTTTTTCGATGAAATTCTTGCTAGAAACCAACACCAACTAAAATAAATGTAGAAACAATTTTCATTACTCAAGGAAATAAAAAAAAGGAATCAAAGAAACATAAAGTCATTCGACTGAATGACAGACATTGTACGCCATGAAATTCAATGAACAATTTCATTTGTCGTTATCTGATGGTGAAATCAATTTATTGGAAAGCAAGGAACAAAAGATAAACGCTTCCAGTTTGGGCTTTGTTTCTTCAATTATGAACATGAATCTATCAAAAGCTCGCAAATTTATGCAATTTTATTCATCAAATCATTATCTGAAACGATATCATTTCCATTGTGTTTCACATTGTCCGAAATAAAAGCTTCAACCACTTCATCCTTTGTTCAGTAACAAAGAGAGTAAAAAAAATTCCATTTTACTCTCAGAATTTTCCTCTCGGAAAATTTTTCTTCTCTTTACATAAGAAAAACTTGCATGAGAAAGGTTCAAGCACGTGTGAAGCACGAAATCAAAGAAAACGAAAACATTTTTACTCACAAAATGATTTCATTCATAACGACGACGATGAAAAAGTTTTTCAAACATTTTAAGTAAAATTTACAATTTTTTTATTTCGTTAGAAAATTCAAATTCATAAAATTAAATGTCGCCAAGATGAGTTTTTGGAGCTTTTTTCGGCCAAGCTTCTTTGGCATATTTCTTCTTCGTAGTCTTTGGTTCATTGAGATCAAAGTCCATCGGCTCATGATCTGCATGTTGTAAGGATTTGAATTGAACTTGTGACACAATTGGTTTATTGGAAACTTCTATTTCAGGTGCAGGATTAGGCATCGGGAGCAATGTCGACGCGTACATATTAAATGATTCTTCACTATCATGTTCACCAATAGATTCATTAGAAGTTGATGGCAATCCAGAGTATAAATTGGGAGCTGATATAATCGGATGATGTAAGATTTGTTTGTGTTCAATATGCGGTGCTACAGGGAAACTAAATGACGCCGAACCATCCAATTTCATTCTTTTGTTGTTTAAAGGAACAACAGTTGATTGAATAAGATTTCTGAACTTTCCAATGGAATCATCAATATCTTCAGGATTTATAACAATCTCATCTTCATTGAAATGAACTCGCTTCCTTTTTGATCCCTTTTTAGCGACAAATGATTCGGTTATTCCCAATGTGGAGATTTTTCTATTGTGTGCTGTGTTGTATTCAGTTAAATTCTAAATAGGATGAAGAAATTAATTAAGGAAGTTATAAAAAAAATGGATAATCTTAAACTTACATCAACATCATCTTGATTCTCTGGTAGTCCCGATATTTGATCAGACATTGGAATATCTTCAACAATGTTCTGTGTCGTTTTCGGTCGTTCTCTAAGGGTGTAATTTCTGGTGCTGGCGCCGAAATGAAAAACACTTCCAATCTGAACAACGGTAGGCTTATGACCCTCCAATCTTATACTACCGATGAAAGTCCCATGAGTTGATCCCAAATCTACTAAGTAAGTTAAATTTAAATGTTTATGGTACACAAGTGCTGCATGAACACGGGAACATGATGAATGGTCGATACGAAAATCGTTTAATTCAGGATTTCTTCCAAACAAGTAACACTGTAAAATATAGTCATGTTAGATATTGAGAAATTATCAGAATTTATGTAATTTACCTTTTTTTCGTCAATCATAATTTTTTGAACGAATTTGTCATCCTTAAAGATGTCCAGATGCAGCCCAGGTGGTGGTTTACCTGCCCACGATGGAACTTCATAAGCACTTGCCATATTTTTTTAGTTTATATACCAAAAATATTATTAGGTAAATTCTTATATTTTAAGGATTGTCTTAATTTTTCTCTGATTTTGTTGAAAATTTGTAAACACAGATTAGGGGAAGGAAACTTTTTTCATTTTCCTGCCATTATTCAAATATGTTTTAGCCGTTATTTTTATCCACGTTATAAATTTAGTTTTTCGTTTCTTTTTATTTTCCTAATTTTAATCAAATAAAATGTTCTGTTGTCTCGATAAATTACATTGATGATATTACATTTATTTTTTTTCTTCTTTTTATTGGATTTATAATATCCAACAATTCGATCGTGAATGTATTAATTATGTTCATAACGCTTAGAAATTAATCGGCTTTCCAATATAGGCAGCAAGATTAGCCTCTCTGAGAGCTTCAGCGCAGGTCTATAAGAAGTAAAATGATATAAATTTGTTTGTTTAGATAACATTTTGTTAAATAACTTACAGGATGGGCATGACACACACGAGCAACGTCCTCGGCTGACGCTCCATATTCCATTGCCAAAACAGATTCATTAATGAGTTCACCAGCACCCTATCATCAATTAAAGACTCAATAAATATTTAAAGATAAGAGATAATTGAAGGAAAATTACCGGTCCAATCATATGTGTCCCCAAAATGCGATCTGTTGCCTTATCAGCAAGAACTTTCACGAATCCATCAGTTTCGTTGTTTGTCTTTGCACGAGAGTTTGCCATGTACGGGAATTTTCCAATTTTATATTCAACACCTTCTTTCTTCAGATCCTCTTCTGTCTTTCCAACCCATGCAACTTCTGGATGTGTGTACACAACCGACGGTACACAATTATAATCAAGATGAACATGTCCACCTAAGATTCCTTCAACACAAATGATGCCTTCATCTTCTGCTTTATGTGCCAACATTGGTCCATGAATAACGTCACCGATAGCATGAATATTGGGGACAATTGTTTGAAGTTGTGCATTTACTGGAATTCTGCCTCGATCATCTAAAGCAATTCCAACATTTTCTAATCCCAAACAATCAGTATAAGGACGACGTCCGACACAAACTAATAGAACATCACATTCAAGATCTTCTTTAGCTCCATCCTTAACTGATTCTACTGATACTGTGATTGAGCCACTTCCTGTTCTTGAGGCTCCTGTGACTTTTGTCCCAAGTTTGAATTTCAATCCTTGTTTCGTAAGAATCTTCTGGAAAGATTTTGAAACTTCGCCATCGATTCCAGCTCCACCAATAGAGTTTAAAAATTCAACAGCAATGACTTCTGATCCAAGACGTGACCATACTGAACCCAACTCGAGTCCAATGACACCAGCACCAATGACAACCATTCGTTTTGGAACTTCTTTAAGTGACAAAGCACCTGTGCTTGAAACAATTGTTTCTTCATCGATTTCGATTCCAGGGAATGGTGTGACTTCAGAGCCAGTTGCAACAATCATGTATTTAGTGTTGACAGTTTCCACTGATCCATCAGCCATTTTCGCTTGAACTGTATTGGGACCGGTTATGGTTCCCCATCCATTTAAGTGTGTTACTTTGTTCTTCTTGAAAAGCTGTGCAATGCCACCAGTTAAGGATTTTACAGCGTTGGATTTCTGTCCCATCAACTTCTCAAGATCGAGTTTGACTTCACCAACTTCAATTCCACGACTGGCTAAGTCACCGGAATGAGCCATATGGTAATAGTGAGAGTTGTTTAGAAGAGCTTTTGATGGGATACATCCAACATTTAAACACGTTCCACCGAGTGTGTCTCCTTTCTCGATGCATACAGTGTTGAGACCCATTTGTGCTGCTTTGATTGCTGCTACATATCCACCAGGACCGGAACCAACTACCACAACATCAGCTTCATGTTGACTGGAATAATGTCGACAATAAAGAGCACTCGATGCACGGAAAGTGTTAAAATTTGTCTGTAATTATAAAAAAAGATTTTTCGACATGAAAATTTGTTAAAAAGAAAAAAAATTGCATAACACGCGTAAATTTCCTTTAATTAATGTAATATAGCCACTGTTTTACCTTTGACAACAATGACACCAGCTGTCTCATATTTGCCTGCATAGCGATTAATGTTTTGATACAATTTAGCGGTGTTTATCCAATAAATTATCACTGCTCGCCGAAGATTATCGGTAGAAAAAGTGGATGAGAAAAACTCTAATGAAAATGTGACTTGTTTGAGTTACACTTCAGATGGGCTAAAATGCTGTGAGTATTCCAGGGGTTTTTGAATTTCTGTTGAAGGATCTTGTTTAATTTTGCATTTTAAAATGTATTTAATGAAGAGTGCTGGAAAAACTTCTGAGTTTATCACCTTATTTAATTTTCTTGAAGTAAATTTTTATTTATTGTTAAGCAATGTTACACCTATTACAAGAGTGATTTACAACAGCATCTCTGTCCCTTCTCACAGCTGATTGTGTTTGCTGACTGATAACATAAATTCACAGTTCTGATTTATCAAATAATTAAAGAAGAATAAAGACATACAGTATACGCGTCATAAATGCAAGATATATGTCTACAAATGTTATTTGCTATATTAAATCTCTATTGACCATGAACATTTGTAATGAAAATACCCTCCACAAATGCGTACATAGTGAAGCTTTCAAATGTAGTATAACATTTTTGGAATTCTTCAAATAAAAGAAATTCTTTTTACTTTTTCATCACTTTATCTAAATGTTTTCAAATCTGCAAAAAAACAATATTAAGCTTTCAAGAATCATTCTGTTTTTGCAGAATTATGATTAATGTTGCAAAACTACAACTAATCTTTAGTTTCCTTATTGCTCTCATGTTAATAACAAGAAATATTTCTCCGTGATTCACGAAGATTTTTTATTTTAATCAGAATGATCAATTTGAGTTGAATTCTTTTCATTTTCACTGTTTCATAGAGGGTCATATATAAATAGGAGGAGTTCATATATAAATAGATTAATATTTTATTTATATTTTGGTGAAAAGAGCTTTGACAAGAAAGTTTCTCTCGGTCTTATGTCAGTGACCCGTTGTATAAAATGCAGATAACAGTTTCAGATTTTAAGCTTGAAAATGAAGTCATTTGTCGTTTGTCATCAAACCAGCAGACACAACGTTCGCAAATATCTATTTTGCTTTCAAGTAAGAAAAATATCGGATTCAGAAAACTTTTTCCCAATTATTTTTTTTCATATTTCATGGCGTGCCAAAGGAAATCGTCAACAAAAAAAAACAGTGAACGATAAGAATATCAGCTGATTAAGCAAGTGAATACTTAAGCAAGAGTCATCAAAATAATGACAGAAAACGATGACGTTAATATTTTACTCAACTCAAACTCTGTTGAAGATCATTCCAGCCAATTTTGGAATTTTAAATTGGAGCCGGCTTTGATGTTTTTGTTCTTTGGATACAATTTGGCACAATCAATTGTTCCAAATCAATTATTGAAGGACACTTGTTTGATGTACGGTTATAATGTGTCTGAATGTTCTCGATTAGGTGCAAATAATGACACGAAATATATTGAAGAGAACATTCAACCTCATGTCGCCGAAATCATGATGACGAATTCGCTTTTATATAGAATAATCCCAGCAGTTTTGAGTTTATTTCTCGTTCCATGGAGTGACAAGTTTGGAAGAAAGAAAGTTTTCTGTGCTACTTTCATTGGATTTTCATTGAAGCTTGTCGCACTTTGTATCATTTCGATTATTTCTGATAAATTGACAGTGATCAATCCTTGGGTTTACACATTTGCTTATATTCCATTAATAATCACCGGTGGCTGGCCAACAATGGTTGTGTCAATTAATTGTTATGTTACGGATTTAACAACTGAAGTCAACAGATCAACACGATTAACATTAATAGAATTTTTGACATTCATCGCCGTTTTATGTGGAACAGCATCAAGTAGTTACATCTTGACTCTCACTTCACCAACCACAGTTTTCTTCATATCAACGATTATTGTGATAATTTCAACAATTTATTCAATTGTGTTTGTTGATGAGTCAGTGCAAGAAGTTGAAACAGCTTCAAAATGCGATCAAATCCAGGAATTAATTTCATATGCCCCAATCATCGAAATGATTAAAACTTGCTTTAAAAGGAGATTATTTAAAGAAAGAAGAATTCTTTGGTGCCTTATAATGATTCTTGTTTTTTTGTCAATGAATGGATCAAGTGGCATCTTCTATCTCTTCGTTCGGGAACAATTTCAATGGACTTTAAAGGAAGCAACACTCTTCGATTCTGTGACAATGTTGATATCAATTATAGGATGTACCGTTGGTCTTGTACTGTTCAAGAAACTCTTAAAACTCTCAGACTTAACTATTGCAATCATCGCTATCATAAGTGGAACTATTGATTCATTAGTAAGAGCATTTGCACAAACACCAAATATTATGTACATATCAGCAGTTGTTTGCCTTTTTAAAGTCATTTGTTTGCCTATGTGTCGTTCGATGATTGCATCAATAATTCCAACAAATGAAATTGGAAAAGTTTACAGTATCACAAGTTCCTTTGAAGCTGTTTCAAGTTTGATTGCTTCTCCACTTTACACTTACATTTACTCACAAACTTTTACCACTTTCGCCGGTGCTTTTTATCTTTTGACTGCTGGCGTTTACATTGTGAACTTTGGACTTATAATTTGTGTCATGAAAATGAAGAAAACGAGAGAAATGTTTATGGATCAGTACTCACCAATTCCACCAGTCCAAGACCAGGAAGGAAACCGTAAAGATCAGTAAAACAAATTCTGAAAATCAATTAATTTTACCATGAAGTGAGTTATGAGGAGTTGGTAGACAACTTTCGTGAAATCAGCTTTGACTGTGAAAATTGTGATGATTTCGAAAAAAAAAATTAAAATTAAAAAATCTGATAAAATCAAAGACTCGTAAAAAACCGATCGTAAAAATGCTGAAAATTGTTAACAGGTGCTAGGTAGTTAAAAATACACAAAATCTTAAGAAACTTGCATAACTATGTGTTTTTCTGGATAATTCAAATGTTCTTTGGATGCTCTATGCCCATCATTAAACAAAAAGATTAAAGTTTGAAGTGTGTTTAAGAAGGTTTGTTCTTTACTACATGTAGCAAATTTTTATCATGAATTAGGTAGGTATGTTTCAGTAGGACGACACAAGAGGTGAATTTTTAATTAATTTTATTTAATCCTGCGCTTTCTGATGCAACCTGGTCATACTGAACTAGGTCCATACCAGCGGGTATTTTTTCTTTAAAAAACTTTAGTATACATTAAACTGTGTGACCCACAGATTATTCATTCAAAAAATTTAACGGTTGCTTTTTTCTACCGAGTTGCTTAGAAAAAATGGTTGCTAAACCTTTGAAAGTTGATTGATTCGACAGTTTTCGTCCGTGAATAAACCTTTCATTAATGATAATAAAGGTAGGTACTAACTTTTTCTACAATTCAAAACATGCTGTCATTTTCTTTGGAATGTTGTCCCTATTGGAAGAATTATTTACAACAGCATCTCTGCCCCTACTCACAGCTGTTTGTGTTTGTTGACTGATAACATAAATTGACTTTTTCTGATAATTCAAAAGATCATAAAAGGATAAAGTTTTATCGCATTTTATTATCAATAGTGACTTATAAAAATAAACAAAAAGCAAAACGAATTATCTCGCTAATGACTGGCTCGTCGCATTGTAAAATGCAGATAACAATACTTCTGTAAACAAAGAAGTTGATACATAAAAACTCTGATTAAAATAGCAAAAAAAATTACTTAGAAGCTATGTTCGATTTATCTTAGTATGAAAACGAAGTCATTTGTCGTTTGTCATTAAACGAGCAGACATTGAGTTCCATTTTTAGAAGGTAAATATTTTTTTTCTAACTGTGCAAAATCATGTTACGCATGAGAAAAAAATATCAGTTAACACAAACATTCGCAAATATCTATTTTGCTTTAAAAGTGAGCAAAATATCGGGTTCAGAGTACAAGAGTTTTCTCAATTGATTTTTTTTCTTATTGTATAAACAGTGGGCAAAGGACATCGTCAAGAAAATCAAAAAAGCAGTGAACGATAAGAATATCAGCTGATTAATCAAGAGAATACTTAAGCAAAAGTAAACAAAGCAATGACTGACAATGACGACGTTAATATTTTACTCAACTCAAACACGGCTCAAGGTCATTCCAGCAAATTTTGGAATTTTAAATTGGAACCGGCTTTGATGTTTATGTTCTTTGGATACAATTTGGCACAATCAATTGTTCCAAATCAATTATTAAAGGATACTTGTTTGATGTACGGTTATAATGTGTCAGAGTGTTCTCGATTAGGTGCAAATAATGACACGAAATATATTGAAGAGAAGATTCAACCTCATGTCGCCGAAATCATGATGATAAATACACTTTTAAATTCAATAATCCCAGCAGTTTTGAGTTTATTTCTCGGACCATGGAGTGACAAGTTCGGAAGGAAGAAAGTTTTCTGTGCAACTTTTATTGGATTTTCATTGACACTTGTCGCACTTTGTATCATTTCGATGATTTCTGATAAATTAACAGTGATCAATCCTTGGGTTTACACATTTGCTTATATTCCTTTAATAATTACCGGTGGCTGGCCAACAATGATAGTGTCAATTCTTTGTTATGTTACGGATTTAACAACTGAAGTCAATCGATCAGTGCGATTAACATTAATCGAACTTTTAATTTTTGTTGGCGTTTTATTTGGAACAGCATCAAGTAGTTACATCTTGACTCTCACTTCACCAACCACAGTCTTCTTAATATCAACGATTATTGTGATAATTTCAACAATCTACTCAATTGTGTATGTTGATGAGTCAGTGCAAGAAGTTGAAACAACTTCAAAATGTAATCAAATCCAGGAATTAATTTCATACGCACCAGTTATTGAAATGCTCAAAACTTGCTTTAAAAGGAGATTATTTAAAGAAAGAAGAATCCTTTGGTGCCTTATAATGATTCTTGTCTTTTTGATATTCTCAATGAATGGATCTAGTGGCGTCTTCTACCTCTTCGTTCGGGAACAATTTCAATGGACTTTAAAGGAAGCAACACTTTTCGATTCTGTAACAATGTTGATATCAATTATAGGATGTACCGTTGGTCTCGTGTTGTTCAAGAATCTTTTGAAACTCTCAGACTTAACTGTTGCAATCATCGCTATCATAAGTGGAACTATTGATACATTAGTGAGAGCATTTGCACAGACACCAAATATTATGTACATATCAGCAGTTGTTTGCCTTTTTAAAGTCATTTGTTTGCCTATGTGTCGTTCGATGATTGCATCAATAATTCCAACAAATGAAATTGGAAAAGTTTACAGTATCACAAGTTCCTTTGAAGCGGTTTCAAGTTTGATTGCTTCTCCACTTTACACTTACATTTATACACAAACTTTTACCACTTTCGCCGGTGCTTTTTATCTTTTGACTGCTGGCGTTTACATTGTGAACTTTGGACTTATAATTTGTGTCATGAAAATGAAGAAAACAAGAGAAGTGCTTTTGAATCCGTACACACCAATCAACAGTTGATTGAACGAATAATGTTGCACATTTGATCATTCAATCTACATGTCTTGTGTACACAATTTCTATTTATTTCTATTACAAATTTTGAAAATGATATTAAAGATATTTTATGGATTTTAATTAATTTTCTCTTTTTCTGATTATTGATTTATCTTCTAAGTTCACAACGATTCCAGGTTCAAGTCCGTAGAAAATTTGTCGTGGATCTTTTGTTTCACTCAACATTTCATAGTCAACATCGTCTTCAATTTTCGGCAGTTCATAGCCGTACTTTTGTGCCAGCACTAAACGTTCGTGAGAAATTGCTTCGGGATCGGCGAGATATCCTCGATTTTTAGGATTCGAATAGTATTCGATGGCATCTTGTGGTGGAATCATTCGTCTTGGAATTGGTACTCCTCTTTCGAAAAACTTTTTTGGATTACGAAGAGCTTGAAGAGAATAAGGATCGAAATAAGCTGTTCGAATGACTCCGCCGTTCTTCTCAATTGTCGCAATCACTAATTCATTTGCATGTTGAACTTCAATATTCACTTTTGTTTTAAAGATGTTTGCACCTTCATCTGTTAGCTGATAACCATATTGTCGTTGATCAGGAAAGAAATCGTAAAGACCAGTTAAACAAATTCTACAAAATAAAATTTAATTTTTAAGTGAGAAGAAATTTTGATTTTGGTTACTTACGTTGCTAAATCAATTGGTTTTGTAGTGTCGATTCTATCTGTGTCTATCATAGTTTGTAATTGATTCAGTGATATCGGAGGATATTCTCGTCGAAGGCTATATGAAATAAAATCATTTAATTATATTAAATTTATCATTTAAAATTTCTACTTACTGGTGATCTTTATAATATGACTCGTAGGTAAATCTGAGATAAAATGGAGTGTTTCCAGTTTCATATCCTAATCTCATATAATTACAATGAGACTTCATTCCATCTCCATGTTTATCACCGCCTGTAAGAGAAAAATCATTTAATGTGAGATTTTACAAATAAGAAAAATTAACCAAATTACCATGTTGAGCTCTTCCTCGCTTTTGAGTCTTATAAGCTCCTGGATTGTTTCTTATATTGTTTAATTTAACGCGTGGCAGTTGACGCATTAATTGGAGTGCTCGTTCTGTTGTATGCTTAACAGTTGACATTTTTATAAAAATTTATTTTTTCCGCAATTCATAACAAAATTGAAAATGCAGGGTCTAGAAGAAGGGTTTTCGCTTCATCATCGGCTCTTTTGCTTCATTTTTCGCTTCATTACTTCATTTTCGCTTCATTTCGCTACAAATAATAAAAATTCACAGATTTACACCATTAATTAGAGCAATAATAGACGAACTATATTAAAATGAATGCAGCAGAAGTCACGAAGCTTATGTCAGAACTTAAAGTTGCTGTTAAACCACGCCATCGTAGATTAAAAAATCCTGGTGGATCAGAAGGCAGATTAATAAATTTAAGCAAAACTGTTACTGCTCTTCTGAAATATGAACGAATTGAGGTTCACTACAGTCGTGGAGATGAAGCTCGTGGATATGCTGAAAGAGTAAGCTTTCTATTTATTAAAAGAATTATTTAATATTTCTTGGTTATTTAAGTTAATTTCGGATGCGATCAGATATGGTGACCAACATAAGCCAACGATGGAAATGGCAGACTTTTGGTTGCGTGATAAATCTGTCATTCATAAACTATTCAAAGTTTTATGTCCACGTTTTGAGAATTACAAAGGTTCAGCAACACGAATGTTCATGGCTCCGAGATCATACAACTTGGACAACAAAGATGTCCTTAAGAAGTATAAACTCTTATCAGTTTTGGAATTAAATGGAAATCCATATCCACCTGTACTTCCTGACCGATCTCAAAAGAACAGACGTCTTATCCATAATGTTTTGTTGAACGAAGCAAGGAAAGAATTTTATCTTCAAAAACAAAAATCAGAATCAGACAAAGATGTGAACGAAGAAATTGTCACAAAACATCCTGTTGAAAATATCAATGAAACAGAAACGAAATAGAATTAATTTGTAACTTTTATTAGAAATACTTTATAATAAAGAATTAAAGAATTAGAAAACTTAAATCCAAGGATCCCATCCTAAGTACATATTGGCGAGAATTGCTTTGTCTGTTGCCATCTCAATTAAGCATTGAACTTGATCTTCTACCGACAAGTCTTTCTCGCCAATTTGACTTCTGAAATTGTTTTCGTCACCTTCGGCTAAATTACAGTATGCATCGTACAATTGTTTGTTGTTTGCAATTTCCGACACTGACATTTCATCTTTAACAATTCGAACAGGATTTTCGCCTTTAAGTTTGCGTTCAACAATTGCGATTCTTTGTTCAGGATTCCAATCAGATATTCCCATCGAAACATTTGCATTTTCGATGTTCTTTTTCATCTTTGACCCATGAAGCCAGTCAAGGGTCGGTTCCCTTACAAACATTTCGAGACAAATCAAAATCGTCTGACTGAAATGACGAAAACATCTCATAACATGATTCATGTTCTTTCTAATCATTCCATTAACGCCCAAAGGTTCAACGACATTAACAAAATGCGATGTTAGTCGGAAGGGAACGAGCTCAGGAATTGAAAGAGTCGTCGCAGCACCAAATGCTACACCAAAATCGATTCCAATTAACTTTCCCGTTTTCATATCGATGAGAATGTTGTTCATGTGACGATCACCAATTCCTAGCAGCCAATGTGCGACATTCATCGCTGTCATGCTTGTGATAAAGTTTTGACGAAGGATGTAATAAGTTTCCATTGAAAATGCCGATTCCATTAACGATCGTCGAATGATGTCTTGAGGCAATAAAGCTTCGAACGATGCAAACTCTTCAGCCATCGCTCCTTTACCACGACGGAGTAATGCATTTGTGTAAGCATTCGAAAACGTCGTGAAATTTTCATTTCCAATGAGAAAGTTTTTATATTCATTACGAATTTCCGGGATGAAATCGTACAAAGATTTCTGCAGGAAGTTGGACGTAGTTTTATTAAGAAAGTCTGCCATTGTCGTTGCATCTTCCACAACCGAAATCATTCCGCAAGTTGAATTGATTGGAACAACTTCATAAGTCTGAATCTTTAATTTATTCTTCAAACAATTTTTATCCATTGTAAGCTGACGTGACATTGTGCAAAGCGCTTGTTGAATTCGTTGATCTTGTCGAAGATCTTCACCGTATTTAATGATGAAGCTGTAAGACTTTCCATCACTGCCATACATTTTTATTTCAATTGGTTGTTGTTTCGATCGGAAAACCTTCAAACGAGTCTCAAATCTAACAATTTTTACGTGCTGTTCAATGAAAGGTTTTCGATCGCCAACATATTGTCCGGGAATTTCAATGAAATCATTTTCACCGCACCATTTATATTCAGCGAACCAATTGCAAAGTTTATGAACTTCAAGAGTTTCAATACCGCGTCGATGTTTCCCTAAATTCTCGATTTGAAATCGAAGCTCATGCAAAAAGCTTTTTGTTTTCTGATTCCATTTCATGTTGAATACTTCGCGAATCTTTGCCTTAAACTCGTGAATAATCGAGAAACTTGTTCCCTTTAAATTTTCATTATTTTCAAAAACATTTTTATAGAAAACTTTGACAGCATCTTGAAACATTTTCGTGTTCATTTCAGGAAGTTTCGATTCAATTTCAAACTCAAAATCCTTAAAATGAGCTTGAATCATTTTCTCTGGAACTACAAGACATTGAAGGCATTTCATGAACATGTCAATGGTTGGATTTGAAATTGTTTCTCTGATTTTGAAAACATTTTCTTTCATCTTTGTTGTGATTTTATTATGATTGTTGAATGATAATTCGAAGGGGAAATAAAGAGCTGTGGGTGGGTGGGGAAATTAATTTGTTAATTATTTTCACTTAAATTAATTATCAAACTTACCGTTAGGATATTTGGTTGCAATCCTCATTAACAATTCATCGAGATAACAATCAGCTTCGAAATCATAGTTTGACATCATTTGAGAAATGTAAGAAATGAAATTCCATTCGGGAACTAACGTCAATTGATTATTAAACTGACTTGTTAGTTCATTGTTTTTCAAGTAGGGAAGTTGAAGAATCCAAGGGATGAAGAACTTTGCGTCACTTGATCCATGAGTAATTGCACGAAAAATCGATTCGAGAATTTTTATTTGAATTTCTTTTGACTAATTAATGAGAAGAAAAAGAAAAGTTAAATAACGCTTCATTATAATTAAGTTAAATTTACCGTTAACGCTCCACTTTCATAAACTTGATAGTAGAATTGGCCCAATTTATGATGAACTTCTCCAAGCATCGTTTCGTTCTCCATGCTGTAGTTTGTGTCTAAAATTTTTTGCGCTAACTTCCTGCCAAACTTCAAAGATAACTCAGAAAATCTCAACAAGTGATCAGTGACATTGGAAGTGTCAACGTCATCTGACACATCAAGAAGTTTAAGAATTTCTCGACTAAAATCAGCTGGAATTTCAATCGTTTCGTCTTCACTGCATTTCTTATAAATCCTCCATAATCTCAAAGATATTTCACTGGCACAAGAGTAAGCTTCAATTTTAATTTGTGGAACTTCAACCTCGCCTTCTATTTCAGCTTTGATGATACCATTGACAAGACTCTTCATTCCATTGTAAAGTTTCATCATTTTTTCATCAACTGATGTCAGTTTTTGATCCGCAACCATCATCGAATATTTTCCAACTGCTAATTTATATTTCTTGATCATTTCATTGCTTGACTTCTTTCGAATCTCATCTTTCAATCCATTAATGATGAACTTTGCAGCATCACAATTCTTCTGTGCAAATGCAACGTTTGAAATGTTTCTTTGAATGTTTAAAAGATAATCGAAAGAATCTTCTGTAACATTTCCAAACTTTTCATAATTTTCTTCAAGAATTCGATGGAAATTTCGACGATAAGCGAGAAGATCATGCCAAAGAACGAGTGAATCTGATGGTATTGGTTTCGATGTCTTCCAACTATGCAAAAGCTGCTTGACTTTCTTTTCAATCATCGAAACATCAGTTGACGTAGTGAGATGAATGAAATTTGTTAGTTCAGCGATATTTCTGGCTTTCAATAAACATTTATGTTTCTCATCGAACCGCTCAAGTCCACTAAACTCTTCACAACAAAAACGAATCGCTTTCTCAGCTTCCAATTGCCCTTCAGCAATCTTTGAATCTAAAATATGCAACATGATGATCTCTTCAGGAAAGTTTTCCTTCAAATATTTGCATTTCACGTCATCGTTGATCCACTCTTCAAGAATCTTCATAAACTCATCATCGACGTCTTGATCGTTGTTTAGAATCATTCGAAGTTCACTCTTCATTAAATGCGGCAATAAAGTTTCCTTATAAAAAGGAAATTTCTCATCCCAAGCATCATTGTAAGAGTTAAATTGATTACGAATTTCTTCAGTAATCACACGCCAATCGCTGAGCTTCTCCAAACAAAAGAATTTTGACTGATAATAAAATTCCTTCTCACTTGTATTCCTCCACAAGTTTTGATGAATTAATTTATCGTAAATTCCATTTGCATCAAAAAATCTTTCATTTGACTCGTAATCAATCGCTTTAATCAATTGATGTCGTGTTTCTGGCATTAAATTTAATTTTTCTGTGAATATTCCGGCAATAACTTCATACTCGTTCATCTTGTAATATAGTTCAATAAGTTTAAGCCAATGATGAAGTTTTATGTCGTCGTTGTTATCAAGTTTTATTCGTTTTTGTTGTGGCTCTTCAATTTCATCAGTTTCATTATTTTCTTCATTATTTAACAAATAATTTAATTGCGATTCAAGAAACAAAACACCAGTCACCATCATGTTGTTCATAACTGAAATATTTACCAACACATCAGGTGAAATTTCCAAATATTTTCCACTCTTCATTGTCATCTCAATCAATGTCATCATTAAAAACGTATCAGAATTCTTTGAATTAAGATTTTGTTTAAGAATCGACATGATTGAGTTGTTGATGGATTGGAAGAAATCGTTTTCAGTTTCCTCTCCCGATTCTTTTTGTTTCAGTATTTGAATGATGGATTGAAAGATGGAAATGAAGACATCGCGCGCTATTTGATCGTCAATCTTTGCGAGTGCTTGAAGTGGAAGAAGAACAGCTAAAGTGTTGAAGAAAAAGTCTGGAAGTTCACCAAGACGATAACGACGATAAAGTTTCACTTCTTTGCCTTCTCGTGATTGTCTGAATTTCTCTCGGCTTCTCGCTTCTTGGAAGTTTCTTCGGTCAATCGCTTTCATTGCGTAATCTTTCGAACGATTCTCTTCATGCTGTCGCAAAATTCGATGACGTAAATAATCAAAAGCTTCGTCATGTCTCTTCCCTTCCTTTTTTCTTGCTATTCGAGCTTCAATGTCATCATCAGCAGCTGAATTTGGAGTGAAACTTCTCGATCTCATGTCAAGATATTGCGGCTTAAGATTAAAGAAAAGTGAATTCTGTGTTTGTTGAAAGTTGAAACTTTGTGAAACTTGTGTGAGAATCATCGGATCTTGCGTGGGTGTAAACATCATCGTGTCATTGCCAAGTTGCGTTGCACGAACCATTTGATCGTAATAAGAACCATCACCAGCAATTAAAGTCTTCTGCTGCGATTGAACAAATAATGGTGGCAATGATCGTTTGCTGTTCATTTTGGTCTCGATTGGATATTCAAAGAAATCTTTATCTTTGGTTGAGTCGTAATCAAGAAGTCGTTCTTTCGATTGAGGATTTCTGATGGAAATGTCAAGCAAAAGTTGGGTTGAGTAATGAAGAAATTCACGTCCAATATTTGGATCGTAAAACTTCTCCAAAAGAACACGAAATCGACCAATAAAATCCTTCGGAAGTTCATTGTCAAGACTTAAAAAGTTTGCCACGCGATTTCTTATTTCAACGTTGTTGTCAATGAAACCTTTGAGAATAATTTCGATCGCTTTCTTTCGTATCAATGAAGACATTTCATCACTTTTAAATCTTTCAACAATGAAAATCATCATTTCGTAAAGAATTCTTCTGACATCATCACGTGGTGAGTTCACCAATGGCATTAAATCATTCATAAGACTTTCAATCTCATCATTCTTAAGATATTCCAAAGATTTATTCGCAATGTGAAGAGAAATTAATTGAAATTCATTTTGCTTGAGAAGATTTTTGATTCCCATCGAAATAATTTCACGATAAACAAATTCGCCTTCAATCTCGAGACGTGCAAGAAACATTTCCAAATAAATTGTTTTAATCTTTCCAATCGCTTTCGGAATGCTAAATTTAATCAAAGTCATGAATGGATCGAGAATTCTTGGAAAACTTTTCTGAATTCCATACAAAAGTTGAAGAAAAGCATTAAAATCATTTCCAGCCTTTCGTCTGATCTTTTCAAGTCTCTCTGTGATGTCACTGACAATTTGAAAGTTTTCATCACCTTCAACCATTTGACAATCGCCAACTATTTGATGCAAACACATTCCAAGAAGTTGTGCAGCTGCTCGATAAATTTGCGAATTTGAATGACGAAAACAATTCACAATTGCAGCGATAAACTGTTTCCTTTGTTCAGAATCTTTCCATGGAACGATGTCATTGATAAGCAAAACTGCATTCAATTGAATTCCACATCGAAGATTTAAATTCATTTCTTCTTCCAAAGGCTTTTGCAGTAAATCCAGCAATGTTTGTGATGGAATTTTAACAACTAAAATTTCTTTCCATGTCTCGACGAGCTTTTTGATCAACTCCAAGTTTAATCGAAAAATTTCACTTCGTTCGTTGTAAGCATTTTCCATGAGAAACTTCATAATAAAGCAAGCATCTTCCTTCTCGCTCATCGTTGTTGGCTTATAAACGGGACTCCATGATAACAACATCGTCACTAAATCCGTGATGAAGAAATTCATTTTCAATCCACAACATTTGTCGGCGATGACTGACATGACTGGTCCAAGCAAGAACTTCGCATAGTAAACAAAAACATCGCGACAATTCTCAATGAGCTTTGCCAGAAACATTCGAACATTCTTATGGACATTTCGACTTCTTAATGGTTCAGCTAATGACAAAACCCATTCGAATTTCTTCTCATCACATTTCTCAAAATCCATAAACGGCGTAATTCGACATTTATGCATGTGATTAACAACACCAACAAGCACTGACATCACTTCATGATTATTTATTGGAGTTGATTCAAGTTGAAGTCGCATCGTTCTTTGTTGTTCATCTTCCATTCGTTGCTGTTGACGTTGAAGTGCTTCACGATTTGAGAACACAACTGAATGTGACAAATCAGTTTTCGTCAGTGATTGACTCAACGAATGTTCGAAAATTGACGAAGAAATTTTTCTCTGACTCGATGTCGTTGATGCTGTTTGAAGGTCTTTAATGCTGACAATGTATTCCCTAAGTGACGGCAATTCATCAAATTCTTGTGTGAAATTTCCATACAAATCTTCGTTTTTAGTGTCAATAAAGTTTCGCCAAATGTAACCAGTTTTAGACGATTCTTTAAACAACGCAAGATTATAAATCAAAGGATTGTCTTTCGTGTTGGAAACAATTGAAGCTAAAGCTCGATAACAATAGCAATGAAATTGTCGGAATAATTCTTGTCGCTTTGGATCATCAACAATAAATGTGATGACAGTTCGAACTTCCATCGCTTTCTTGATAAAATCTTTAATTAGTTCCGTGCCTTTAACTTCCAATTTCCCTCCATAAGTGAAACTTTCTTTCTCAATGATTGAACATGGAACAGTCGCTGCAAATGCTTCAATGATCATGTAACCAGCACATCGATTCACAAAACCATTTTCCATGTCAACATTTAAAGGCGCTTCAATTAAACTCCAAATCAAGTTCATCTTTTGTCGAATGAAAGATTTCATCACATTTACATGAGAATTCTTCATGATTGTTAACAAAAATCGTGAAACAAATTTAAGGCGAATTTCTGGTTCACATTTATTGGTTGAAAATTCATCAAATGTTTGGTTCATGATAACTTCTTGTTCTGTTGATGACAATCGTTCCATTAAATTGACTTGAACACGTTGAAGTTTTGATTCCATGATGTAAGCATCGTCAGATATTGTGATGTTGATAATGAATCGATAAACAGCTGGCGAACGACTCGTCAAAAGTGCTTGAAATAATTCTTCTGTGAATCTCACAAGTCCAACTCTTGCCAGACTTCCCTCAGGAAATTCGCGCGATCTTAATGGCATATTGTATTGCATTGAGTTCAAATCATTCATCAACTTCTCATTCAACGCCGTGTCATTGCTACTTGCAACACATGGAAGGAGAAAAACTCCTTTCGACTTTAGTTCAAATGAATAATTTCGATTTTGAAGGAAATTAAAAAGCCAAATTTGTAAATTTTCAAGACGATTTCCAAGTTCATGAAGTTCAATTGGAGATGTCAAAGCCATTTTTGTGATGAGATTGATGATCGCCAGATCAACTGAGTTAAGATTATTGTCCATTTCTTGTGATATTTGATAAATTATTGGCCAATGTTTAATCATTGTTTGCAAGTTAACATCGAGAAGTTCTTTGTTGTCAGTGCAATGTTTAAAAATGTAATCGTTGAGTTCACTGAGAACTGCAACAATTCTCAACCGATTCGTATCGTTTGTTGTTTTCATTTCATTCACCAATAGTTGAATCGTTTCTTTGATGTTTGATGTGAATAATTTGAAAATTGGCTGCTTAAATGTTTCAATGAAATGTTCGCCATGTCTGATGCTAGAAGATTGCGAGATCATCAACTGCATGTCATTGAATGAGAAAGTCACAGTTGTTGATAGGAAATCATTGATTTTCAAGCATAATTGAATGATGTTCGAGGCATAAGCTTTTGCTGAAGGTGTCAATAATTTTGGTCGTTTAACATTCAATTTTTCTTCCACAACACATTGGAAAAGTTTCTTCAACAAAACTTCCGCGGTTTTGACGAGTAATTGTTGAGCTAACGCATCGAACGACAAAACATGTTTCAATTGAATTAACATCAAGTCAATTCCACGTAATTTGTTGCTTTCTAGCAAACTTATCGTTTTCTCATTCAACGACTTGTCACAATTTTGCCAAACTTCGTTGAAATTCGTGATGACTTCAGTACGCAGAACTTCAATCAAAGATTCTTTAAATTCATTTGGTGCATGGTCGTTGATTGATGAGATGAATTTGATAATTCTTTCGGGTAATTTAATCAAAGAATTTTTCGTTTTATAAGAATATCCAAGACGTTGTGGTAAGAAAATCAATTGCTTTGTTATATCGAAGATTTCAAATTGATATTTCGTAAGAAATTCACTCACTTCATCGATCTCGATGGAAATTGTGAATAAATCAATAATTTTCACAAGAATCAAACTTCGAATGACGCTAATATTGTCAACATTTCGATTATACATTCTCGCTTCACGATTCATTTGACTTGTATTGATGTGCGATTCATTTGCTAATTCAACAATGTCGATGATGTCTTTGTTGATGAAACCTTTGAGAAAGAAATAAATGATTTTCAGCACAACTGAATGTTTGAAAAGTTCATTCTTTTGCTCGCTATTGACGAGATCATTCGTCAAGATCCAATGATAAAAGTCCAATGAACTTAAGAACGATTCCATCCATTTGCAGATTTCTTTGAAAATTGATCCATAAATGCCCGCTTTGATGTGACTTAAATGCTTCAAATCAGGTGTTGTTGCAATTCCGTTTCGCTCACCAACGACGAGAATCTTCTCAACGTTCAAAATCTTCCCACAAATTTCTTCTTTGACACCGCACACTGGAAGAATTTTAAGGAACATCTCCATGCAATTGTGCCTGTATCTGGAATGATGTTGATGACATCCACTCTCCTTAAACAGCCATTTTAAGACATCAATCAAAGTTTTTCCTTCAAAGCCATTGGGTCGGATTCTTTCGGTACTTGCACGATGAAAAATGTCACTTCGCTCGACAAAGACACGAGTTAAGTGACTCATTGTTGCAGTTATTTGTTCGAATTGTTCACTGTTGTCGTCAAGATTCACTGAGAAGTCTTCGCTGTTTCTGTAAATGATAAGAAATTAAATTTAATGTGAAGAATTTCGAATTGAAAGAAAGTTACTTGAAATTTATCGCAAACGTGTCTAATAAATAAATCCAATAAACATCGATTAAAGCTTCATCTTCTCTCACAATTCGATAGATGTTGTTAAAAGCCAAAGTCGCCCCAATTCGTCTTGAAACGTTCGTTTCGATTGACATCTTTCTTAGCTCAAAGAATAAATCTACAAGTTTGATTGGTGAAGCTTGTCTTTGGTTTCTGTTTGTCGTTTTGTTCACCCATAAAATAAATTCACGAAGTAATCGAGCTGACAAATCTTGAACTCCGCTGCTTTTTTTATAGGAAATCATTTCCATGAGTACTTCAATTATCACAGTCGTCAATGAACTTAAGATCTGTGATGGTTGTGCAAAGTAATGCATCATTTGCATAAGAAGTGGTTCGAACAATTGACGCACTGTTTGATCTTGATCAGTTGCAAGAACTATCAGATTTTTACAAATTTCTTTCCACAATGGAAGCGTTTCAGCTCCATCAAGATTCTTGCCCATGATGTACAGAACCAAACCATGAAGTAGCTCACAAGCAGCAATTTTCGTTGTCCTTTCACTCGATGACAAAGCCAATTGGCAAACACGTTCAATAAGATTGTCAAGAAAGATGTTTGGGATCAAAGGATCTTCACAAAGTAATCGAATTCGAAAAACATTTGCGACATGATCGCGCACCAACTTTTGATCGAATTTCGAGAGAATAAATTTGACATCGTTGGGGTCAAACCTGCCCAATGTCAATAAAATTCTCTTTTTGAAACGTGTCAAATCAGTTTCAATCGTCGTTTGAATGATGAAAGAATTCTTCAACGATTTCTGGAAATCTTTTGAATCTCCCGAATCACGAGTAGACAGAAATGATTCCAAACATGGCAAAACTTCTTGCAATAATTTTTCTCTTGTCTTTGGGTCATCGGAAAGTGAATCGAGCATTTTATCGAAACACGTTAAAGCTTGATTTGCAATCGACAATAAACTTCTTCCAACATTAAATCCAATGACGAAAATCGGAATAAATTCATCAGCAAACTCAATAAGAATGTCAATTGGAACTTGAAAGACAAGTCGAAGAGTCGCAATTTGAAGTTCACTTGATAAAAGTTGACATCGGGAAATGATCATCGATTTGATATAAAAACTCAGCGATTCTTCGATTTTCGTCATGTCAAAGTCGGTTGCATTTGTAACATTCAAACGATTGATAACTTTAAGAGCAGTTTCAATTAATTGAAGAAATCCCGACACGAGCGGATGCTTAAACGACAATTTTATGCTATTTTCCAACCACATCTCAATCCATTGCAAGAAGTTCTTCTCCAAACATTCATTTGACTGCAACAATATTAAATCACTGTAGAAGTGAACGATGTTGTACAGAACTTGAAAGTTCTCAGCTCGTAATGGTTCCAAATCTAAACTTGGATCGCTGAATGAAAATTCCTTTTCGACATTGTTGGATTCGTCATAAAATTTTCTCTTTTTCGTGCTTAAATCCAAAGACTCGACGATTTTAAACAAATTATTAATAAAATGCATGTAAACAAGACTTGAAATTTCTTCATGATTCTCATCTAATGGTGACAATAAACGACTCCAAAGTGGTAAATATTTCTTATAAGTTATCGTTTCCTTCCAATCTTTAACATTCTCAAGATTCTCTTCAAGATCATAAACTGATTGATGACTGCAAGTCCACAGAATTCCTTGCCAAACAATCGACTCCATAACATCGTGTAACATTTTTCCACCTAACATTCAATGAATTAAATTAAGTTAAATCAAATTAACAACTTTTTTATACTCACCAAGTTTCTGAAGATTTAATAAAGTTTCCAACAATGAAGAGGCCACCAATGGATGATGCGCCGTTGATAGAAAATGAAAATCTTTAATCAAAATCACCATAATTGTCTCAAGCGATTGCAATTGTAAGCCAGAAATTTCATTTAAATGTGTCATAATCTTGGAAAGTGATTCGACATAATGTGGAAGATGTTCGAGAACATCTCGTCGTTTTAATCGATCGTTAGTGTAATAAGAATATTGAGTTCGTTGCATCACAAGATCGAAACGTTCACTTAAATATTTCGATTCCAAAAGAACTTGACAAGCACCAGCCATGATTCCAAATCCACGAATTGCTATTCGAATTTCATGTGGTTGAGAATTTGGCGATTCCAAAGTTTCTTGAAAATATTTCATGAAGAACAAAAGAATTTGTTTGTCTTCGATTGAATTACGATTCTCAATTGTTGTCGCGATGAATTGATGGAATGCATTTGTCGCAAAAATTCCCACACTTTTGTCTTCGTAAAGTTTCGCATTCGTCCATTTCTTTAATGTTTTATGCCAACTTTTATAATCACGAAAGAAAAATGTTGGAATTTCATGTAAACCGCCGTAATTTTCAATCAATTGAAGATTGTTACGAAAGGCCACACGTGTTGTTGGGTTTGGAAGTCTATCAGGATCTGACAATTGAAACATGCACTCATAAAGTTTCTCACTAAATTGAGGATCTTCATCAATTGTCGGTGTGAAATGAATCAAATGACTTTTAAGTCCTTCGACAGCTCCACTAATCACAACCATTGATATCGACGCTTTGTCATCTTTGAAGAGTGATTGAACGGTTGCAATCATTTGATTTCTCAACTCAATTGCTTGGCTGTCGAGAAACTTTTCTGGATGATTTTTCGAAAGTAAACCCAGAAGTTGATATGAATGTTGTTGAAACCGCATTGGCGGATTTTTCTGCTTGAAAATCGATGCGACGTCTGTTATAACTTTACTTAAATCAACATCATCTCCAAAAGCATTATTTGATAGGACTTCGTGAATAGTTTGAACGGCACTTTCCTTTTCAATGGCACTTGTGCTGACATTTTGAATGTAAATTGTGCAAATGTCAACAATATTTTTTGAATATATTTTGATTTTATCAGGATGTTTCTTTGTGAGTGTTTGAATCAACTCAAAAACTTTCTTATTACATTCGTTGAACTTTTCACTCTTCAATATGTGCAAGGATTTGGCGAGAAATCTCAAAACGTCAATTTTTTGTTCATTCCATTCCAAAAGAAGTTCAACAGCGTAGTCTTTAAACAAAATTAAATTTAATATGTATGAATAAATTTACTTAAAAATGTTTTGCTTACAAACTTCTGATGGTGATGCTAAACCTTCAATATGCTCTGTAAGAATTCCAATAATTTCCAAACATTTACTTTGATTCTTGTTCTTAAGCTGCTGGCGTAGTTTTTCTAGCAATCTTTTAACAACATCTTGGTCCGACATTTTTATCACCAAACCTCTTTCAATTCTTTAACCATCACCATGAAATAAAAATAAATGAAACAATTTCACAATTTGTTGTTAACATAAGAAAATTAATTGTTCAGTGTTAAATTGTAAATTACACCACGAAATTCATTTTGATTTCATTCACTTTTAAATTATTTATGACACTAAAACAATAAACTTACATTTTCTTTCTACATTTAACATTTATTTGATTAAATAAGCTTCTTTTTAATTTATTTTTTGTTTGACGCGCTAAATTTGTTTTGGTTTTTGCAGGGATCCCGCAATTTTATTCACACCGGTAAACGACCTATTTCTTCCTAAACTTTAAATTTACTTTTTTCGTGCGGTATCTTGAGAGTAAGACAGTAATTTGAATGTTTTGGTTTCAGAAATTTTAGAATAAATTTTATTTCCCAGAGTTTTGCTTTCAACGACCTTATATAGAAAAATTCTGTACTAATTTATAATATTTTTATTATGGAGCAACCAACAAATGTAAGTTTTATGAAGGTGAATATTTTTATGAAAGTTTTTCAATTTTAAAATTTTAGTCGAGTAGAATCTTGAAAAATGGCTTTAAAAATTCACTATTGAAAAGAAAACATGAATCGATCAGTGAATATATACTCCAACAAAAGGATTCTAACAAAATTTTTGTCGTTGAGCAACCAGAAAGAATTGAAAACCAATCAATTCAATACACGGGAAGTTTCTATTCTGATAAGATTCTCAATGAGTAAGCTTTTTATCTAATTTACGAATAGTTAACTACGACTTGTTAATTTCAGAACCGATCCATTAAATGACTTAGATGATCTCATTAGTTACAGTCCAGAACCAAATAACTTCGAACTTGAGGAAACATCACAGAACAAAATTTCCACTCAAGAAATTTCATTGGAGTCAAATTCAACTCAAAATTTCTTCCTTCAACAAGAAAATTGTTTCGAAACATCACAAATTCTTCCTCAATGCATCGAATGTAAAGAAGATCCAAATGCTAGTAAATATAATTGCAGATTTTATGAATTTCGAAAAATTCAAAGAACAAATGGAGACGATTTGAAAGTTGCTGGATTTCTCGATCCTCACTGTGATCCCAAAGATGAAGATGTTAATTTGTGGACCAAGTCATACTACAAAGTCGATAAAGATTCATCCGATTACATTCTAAGCTTCATCGCTAGTCAATTTTGTGAAATTTCTGAAACCGAATTAAAAGTCAAGAAAAGTCAACAACAAGTCGCTTGGAAACGTTCAGTTCTTCAAGTTCGAGAGATTTGTGATGTTTGTGAGACATCATTGTTTAATCTTCATTGGAGTTGTACAAATTGCGGTACTTGTGTTTGTTTCGATTGCAGTACGGAGAGATCCGCAGGATTTGCTAGATGGAAGCCTAAAACAAGAGTCGATAAAACCACACGAGACAACTTTTATTGGTATAAATGTCATAACAATGCCAATCACAACATGCTTTTAACACAAATGATCACAAACGATGCTTTGACAATTCTTAATGACACTTTACATAAACAATGTGAGGAACGAAGCATCACACAAAATTGCGGCTGCAGTTTAAGAATAAAAAATTGTTTGAAGATGGAATCAAAGAAATTACTGCTAGGTCAACCGAGAACTGACTCTTACCACAATGTTCTTCGTCAAGTAATGAAATGTCAGAGACATAAAAGCATTAAAATGAATCCTTCACGACGATTAAGTCTAATGGATCAAAAAAGACTTAACCAATGTGTAAAGTTCACTTATTTAGTTCAAAATCGTGTTATAAAGTTTTTGGAACCATCAGAATCAGAAGAAATGTACAAACTCTTCCAGAACCATTGGGAACGTGGAGTGCCAATTGTTGTCGCAAATATAACAAAAAATATGAATAAAATTATTTGGTCGCCAGAATATTTTAGTTCAAGATTTGGTGATGAGAAACATGTCATGATAAATTGTTCGAACGGCGTTGCAATAAATCGTGTAGCAATGAAATATTTTTGGGATGGATTCGAGTCAGTTAAGAAGCGATTACCAAAGGAAAATGATGAAGAAAAACTCGTTTTAAAACTGAAAGATTGGCCAACTAGTGATGACTTTGCTGATGTCATGAAGGAACATTTCGATGATTTAATGAAAGCACTTCCATTGAAAGCTTACACAAAACGAAATGGAAAGTTTAATTTAGTTCGCTATCTTCCTGATTTCTTCTCACTGCCAGATTTAGGACCGAAAATGTATTCAGCATATTCACAATCACATCCATCAAAGCAAGGTTCGACTAATCTTCATCTCGATGTTTCTGATGCAATCAATGTGATGGTTCATGTGAGTAAACCTTTTGATTGGCATTTAGCTCCAAATCAATACAGTGCCGAAGCAATAAACAAAGCTTTAGATGCAGCTGGAGCTGATAAGGTTGATAAATATTTCCATTTGAACAATGTTAAGTTGCCGGGTGCAATTTGGCATATTTATCCAGCACATCAAGCTGATGAGATTCGAAAAATTTTAAATGCAGTTGCAATAGAGAGAGGAAAACCTTTGGGAGTTAATGACGATCCAATACACGATCAAAATTGGTACATCGATGTTGAACTTAGACAACGCTTTAAGGAAAACGACATCGAAGAGTATATGATCGTTCAGTATGAAGGTGACGCTGTCTTCATTCCAGCTGGAGCTCCACATCAAGTTCTCAATGTTCTTGATTGTATTAAAGTTGCATTGGATTTTGTTGCACCGGAAAACATTTCTGAATGTTTAAATTTAACAGAAGAATTTCGCATTCTTAGTACACGACATCAAAATCGGGAAGATAAATTACAAATCAAAAATATTTTGTATCACACAATCAAAAATTTGATTTGGGACAAAAGTGATTTATGACTTTCGGATGCAGCCTTGTTTCAATCAGAGTTTTGATGTAAGAGAATAGATAAATTGTGAAAGTACAAAAACTTTCTTTCCAGTGATAAAATTTAGTCTCAAATCGAGAGTTCTTTTCAGTTCCAAATATTTGTGTGTAAAAATCTTTTTTTATTCAATCAATGTATAAATATAATTTATTCTTCATAAAATTCATTCAGAAGATTAATAAAAAACTGTTTTGTCATCATCAAATGGAACTTTCCGATAGGGATCGCTGAAGCGACGTTTATGATACAAATCTTCCTCCATATTGTAGTATGAATAAGGATGATAAGAATAATACTCAGGATTTTTATAATCTTTTGTTTTATCGACATTATTTGATGGGCCCAGTCTTACTTCACTTGGAGAGTCATAAAATGCTCGAGGTCGAACTTCACAAGGTTTATAAAATTTGAGATTCCATTGAAAAGGTTGCTGATAATTTTCTTTTGGCTTTTTCCATGGTCTTGGAATGAGAACAATGCGATAATAACAAATTTTACAGAAATGTCGAAAAAGTGACATCGAAAAATATTAAAATTTAATTTCAGGTAAATATATTAAGTGGCAATCAATGACTACTATCACTTTTAAAATTTGATGATTTTTGGAATTTTTGGATCAGGAAATTCAACTTTTTGTTGGTAACCAGTGCAAGCATCAAAATGTTTTGCAAGCTTTGATGTTCCAATAACGCATTGACAAATTGGACACATTGAGAAGACAATCGAATGATTAATGAAATCTTGAGCGTATTTTGTTGTGGTTGTCGCAGACTTATCTTCATCATCTTCATCGTCAATATTGACAACTTCACAAAGATTCTCAACTTTCGGGCCGTTGTCATTTGTGATGTCAATGACTTCACGAACTTGAATTGAAGTCTTCAAATGATTTCGTGAATTGTTTTTGAGTGGAGGACGCGGTTTTGGAAACATGTAATGAACATTCCTTAAATATTTCTTTTCTACTTGTTTTGTCTTTTGATTGATGCGAGATATTTCAAAAAGTTTAAAGAACTGACCGCCACCTATATAAATGAATTGTTATAAATGAATTTAATTAAGTTATGACAAATGAAGTTATTTAAACTTACATTTCGTTTCGTGAGTTTCCAAATAACTGTGTGATGAATTAGGCATTGATGTACTTCGAATGACACCATAGAATGGAGCATAATTTTCACAAGTTCCTACACATTTAAACCACTGCGTTGGATAATTTTCTTCATCAGGAGATGATTGAAAGTTGTGGCAAGCCTGTGGATGATCAGAACGTTATAAAATGAATTACATTTGTAATTTTATTAGAAATTTACTGTGATTTGTGTTCCTATTTTATTGTTGAGAAACCTCATAATTTGCAGAAAATTCTCATCATGATCATATAAGCTGATAGATCCATTTGAAACAGCTTTGAGATATAAATGGATTAGAAAATGAAAGAGAAGAGAAATCAGCTGAATTCGAGGACGAACCAAAGCCGTATGTTCAACAAGTAGGCCTCTGTATACTTCAGATATCAAATAAAATGAACCACAGCTGGGCAGTTCTGATGTCTTCCATTTAACAGTCCAGTTGGCGTTCTTTAGCCATTTTTCCATGTAATGCTTTTTCAATTTATTAAATATGATTTGGATATCTGCTTCAATATTTACTAAACTCCAGTCTGGTTTGTTGTCTATATCAATGTAGGTGTTTATGATCGGCATGAAATAATCATCTGGTGAACCTTTTTCACTGCGAATCTATTTGAATTAAACTCAAATATTTATGTTGATATCCTAAAAATTTCAAATTCTTACCCTTATTGTTTGTTGATTGTCATGAGTACTCTTTTCCACAATTTTATAGGATTCATTCGTTTGATTCGTGGATGATGATTCTTCATCAGATAGTTCAATTACACTTTGATCATTTTGATTACTATGAGCTAACAAACAAATATCAACAATTTATCGTATAAATCAGTTATTTTGACTCACTTGTTGCTTGTATTCCGTTTAATTCTTCATGTAGGCGTTTAGCAACATGAAAATCATTTTCAATCAACGACATTATTAAATAAAATGTTAGAAATCAAAAAAATTTATAATTTTGATTCGCGGGAAAAAATCATTTGAACTTCTGTAATGTGGCATATTTGAAACAAAATGTGTCTTAGATATTTCAAATTTTAAAACCGCTGTAGAAAATTTTTCTTCCTCAAATAAAATATTCTGGAATATTGATTGAATTTAAGATGTAAAATTAAACAAAATATTGTCTTTTACACAGTTTTTTATTAGAATCTTCCGTGGTTATCACAAATTATTAATTATTTAATTGATTGTTTTGAAAGAAATTGTATATTTTTCAAATCTTCTATCCTATCTATGAAACTATATCAATACTATTTGATGCTGATGAATTGGTCGATATCTCTTCATCATCTTCTTCGCCATCCTCGTCACCATTTTCTTCTTCTTCAAGTTTAAATGGTAATTGTGTGTTGAGCGTGGGTGGAGGAAAAGAATATTGTCGTTGGCGTGAATATTTTGAATAAGACTTTGAATTCTTCTCACTTTGATCTACGTTTTTTGTCTGCATAATTTTTAAAGTGAAAAGAAAATTAAGTTCAACAATAATTTCGATGAAAATCATGCGGAAGCATAACTCACCAAAGAGAATGCATTTCTTCATGCACGTATTCAATTAAGAGTATTAGAAGTCAAACAAATTTGTCATACGACTAAACAAAAAGCTTAAAATTTATTCATGCACATTTTTAAGTAGGTTCCAACATAAAGACTACGTAGTCATATTTAAGAGTTATTTACTACATTGAAGATAAGTAAAATTTAATTTAAGATGCTAATTAAAATTGATGGCAACAAGAAACACATCAATTGTTTAATGAAATCTATCTAATGTTACTTCAGAGATTGATGACAGTGGTGCAAGATTTGCCAACGATGCAGGATCATTGCTTACCAACAAGTCGTCAGTATCATTCGCATTATCAATGTCATCGTCATTATTTGGTGATTTAATAGAATTTTGTGAGCCAACCAAGGACTCCCATTGGGGTTCGTGATCCATTAATTGACTCTCTGTGAACATGATTAATCATCATGATTGTGTTAATTGATTGAACAAAAAGTTGTTAATTAGAATAATTATTCATTCATTCACTTACCTCGATAGCCTCCATTAGAATCTTTAAGTGGCTTTTCTGTCTCGATTGTTTGTTTCGGAACACCAGCAGTTCCATTCTTCAAGATGCTGATTAAAGGTTCGGTCGATTTTGTTGCTTTAGCATCGGGATCTTCAAATGAAACAGGTTTATAAGAGATTTTCCTGGATCCAGGTGATTCAAGCATTTTAGCTGCTTGTTCTTTTGACCAAATTATACTTTCATCAGTTTCTCTTTCAATTCGTCTCTTATGCGCTCGATCGGAACGATAAACTTCAATCATGCAACAAATAATGATGACAAAGAAAAGTGTTATCAAAACTATGAACACAACTTGAGTTTGTTCTTCTTGTTCATCATTATCAACATAATTTGACTTGTATGGAATCCTAGCGGGACTGTCTTCGACCCAATTTTTATCAGTTCCCAAACTTATATTGAGTAGAGGCTCGTCAATAAGTTTTTGAACTATTTCAAAATGAGCATTACATTGTGCTGATCTTACACCAGATGGATTCAAAACAAGAATATTTTCAGCTTCAGTTTTTGTAAACAGCATGTATTCGTCAAGTGGTTTCAATGATTGATTGTTAACTTCCAAGAAAATATCTGAAAGAAAATTATTTATGAAAAAAAATTATCTTGTGACAGTTGCTGCAATAATTTGTGACAAAGTTTTGAAGTGATCGTACTAATGTGTCATCACTCATATAACATGTTGTTCTACTTCAGTCGGATACAACAACTTTGACACATGTGTTGCAGTGACGACAAATCTAAACTTTTCATGCAAATTGCAATTTTTAAGTTCTTACTTGATAAACATCCACTGTAGCTTTTATAAATAGCAAAGCGCGAATCAGTTGAGTTTATTCCACCAATATAAACTTTATTAGATGATTCAGTCATAGGTTGTGTGATATTTCGAAGAACATTCTCAGTGAGATTTACTTCCGCTTGATCAATAAGTAAAACTGCGTCATCAAAATCTCTAGAAATTGGTGGATTATAAAAGAATTGTTTAGTCATCAAAAAGAAAAAAAAGAAATATTAATTCAATTTTTTAAAACCTTTTGTAATAAACTGAATGTCTTGCATTATTAAGGAACTCATGTTGAATGGTCGCTGAATAAATTTGACCATTTCTGTCTTCTTCAAAGAATAAATATCCGTCAGTGTCAATGCCAACCATCAGATAATATGTCGGAATGTCTGTCTGCAGCAGAAGCATAATCCGATTAGCTCTTCTTAAGTCTCCACTTGAGAATGCAAGTTGAAGCTTCAAATGATCAATTTTCCCTTCCAAAGCATAAATTCTTTGTAATCCCGATTCGCCAGAAAATTCAGCGCCTTTCTCTTCCATGCAAAATTCTCCTAAGAAACTTGTATGTTCACAATTACAGAAAACTTTATGATCAGCGTCTTTTTTGGCGAAATTCTCAGTACAAATGCCACCATTCTTGCATGGTTCTGCATCACAATACATTTGGCAATCAGCAAGAACTCCATCAGATTCGTGAGCTTCATTAGCCTTTGCAAGTTCAGGAAGATCAACGAGATTATCACCAATCTTTAGTCCTCTTACACATCCAACGAGACCATCGAGAGAATTGCTGTTAACTCTCAAAAGATTTGAAGGATCATAACCAGCAATGTTAAGTTGAAAGTAGAAAACTGTTGGTGCCGGTGGTCGATGTGGTGACAAAACTTCAGCATCGGGATTCGTCCAAGGTTTGTTTGAATATTCTTCTAACAACAAGACGCCTTTCTCAAGTGTCATATTAAATTCATTCACATGAAGAATTGTTGATGTTTCACTTCGAATTACCGCAATCTGAATGCTTTTACCACTACTCAACTCTTTATTACTGACTGTCAAATTGACAATCTCATTTCCATGATTGAAAAGGTAAACAACTTGATTAGCATTCGTTATGTAAAGATGAATAAAGTTGTTGAAATTATCATGAGCATAAAGAATCAAAGCGTGATCGTCATAAGTTCGAATGTTGATTAATAAATTCTCTCGTAATATTCCACGAAGAAGTGACGAACCGTCAGTATCGTTAACAAATATTTTTTTCAAATACGAGACTCGATTTGTAAATGTTAATGCTTTTTCATTGTAATCTAAAAATGATCAAATTATTATTGTCAATAATATTTCATCAATCACCAAATAACTCACTTTTTTCACAAAATTCTCCAACATGTGCCCAAGGATTTTTACAAACACATTGAAAGTTCGACCAGAGTTCTTTGCATTGTCCACCATTCTTACATGGATTTGGAACACAACTTGGCTTACAATCTTTGATAATCTCTGATAGATGAACTGACATGTAGCTGTATATGTCAAGAATTTCTCCATTCACGACAAGACCTCTGAAGCATCCAATCAATCCTTGCTTGACTGAAGCTTTCTTTAAAAGATCTGCTGTTGCACCTCCGATATACATTGAACCTTCAAAAGGTCCAAACTCCTCTTCTGGTAACAAATTGACCATTTCGTAATCCGTATTGATCATAAATCTCACATGATAATCATTGTAGTCGATCCAAATCTTATGCCATTCACCACCATTGAGCTTCCGATTCGAGTTGATGACCATTTCACGTGATGTTCCCGTGTTTAATGTGAATGCAAATGTCAATTGATAATCTCCAGTCAAGGCAACCAAGAATGACGGGAAGTTTGGTCGAATAGGTGGTTGGAAAAGAAGAATCGCCTTTTCCCCAGTTGTTCTAAATGAGAAAGCAATGTCGCCTTTTCTCCATCCAGGAACTTCAATATACGATTGTGATGTTGTGAATGTCACGACATATTTCTGTGTATCTAAACGAAAAACAGTAATTAAAACTAAAAATAAATTTATAAATTAACTTTTTACTTGTCTCAACACATTCCAAAGGTCCCAAAGTGATTCTTCCTTGAGAATTTTCATCCAAAGTTTTCTGTTGAAGGAAGTACATGCTCGTGATGCCTAATGAATGCGGTTCACTGAAATATCCTTCATCAGATGACCACATTGTGTCACTTTTATCACAATTACATAATTGATTTGGATCTTCACATGATTTGGTTTTAGCACATGGACAAGAACCACTAAGAATGACAAAAATATTTTTAGAATTTCATTGAAAGTTGATGAGAAGTTTTAATCTCACCGCTTGTTATCACCAATGAAATCGATAATCGTTAAATTATTTTTATGTGACGACTTAAACCACGTAGCGCTGTTAAAGTCTAACGGAGCTTTCATGCAATCATATTTAATATGTTGCGTACAATATAATGAATGTGAAATTAATTCCTGAAGCATTTCAGCTGAAAATTCACGATATTTGATGTCGAAGCTGAAATCGTCGAGTGACGTCGAGCGAACGTCAACTTGCGATGGTAAATTATGTTCGACAATTGTTATTGTTTTAGTTGAATCTTCGAGGCTTTGGAAGTCACATTTGACATGTGCTGGTGGAAAGATTCCATTGCCATCAATATCGATTAAATAAACGTCAGACTTTGTGTAACCGAGAAGTGCTAATTCCTCGCATGTTTTTCGATATTTCGTAAAATGACAATTTTTTCCAACATATCCCGTTCCTTTGCAATCACAAGTCACACGATCATTCTTCACAATGCATTTTCCATTATGTTCGCAAGTATTTGGTCGTCGACATGGATCCACAAACTGACAATTGTCTAAAGCGATTTCCCCGACAACTCTCTCAGTTTTTACAACAAATCTTGGTTCAATATCCAGACCATTGATGCTCAAATCTCTCATACAACCAACGAGACCAGCGCCAGACGCTCTCAAGCTGCTCCCGATGATGATTTTGTTGCCAATATTAAACGAAAGTCCATACATTTGTGTCACTGTGTGCCTGTAATCGACCGTGAATTTGATGGTTTCATTCGTGTAAGAAAGTTCAATTGCATGCCATTGCGTGGGATTTTCAATCTTGATAAAAGTTGGAATTGTGATGTTATTTTCAGTGACAAGATCGAAGCTAATTTTATCGGTTGACAAACGAATCTCCCAATAGCCAGTACCTTCTTTAGTCTGAACTTCACTGTAAGCTAAAATCGCCGTGTTTCGACTACTCTTGAAATCAAACTTCACATTCATCTCTTTCGTTTCTTTAATTGGCCACCAAATGTGTGATGTTGCGAAAGGATAAGTGATTGGAATGACATCGACTTCAATTTCAACAAACTCAGGACTTAAAACGCCAATGTAATGAACTTTCGGGTTCTTCTTTTTCAATTCATAGAGAACTGAAATGTCGTTGTAGAAAACATTCTTGAATGATCCAGCAAAGTTGTTACTCGAAGCTAAACCTTTCTTCTTATTCAAATCAGGTCCACCACCAAAATAAATTTCCGGATCAAACAATAAATTTTTAGCACCTTCAAACACTTTCATTTGATCATCGAGAATAACTTTGACAGTCTTATGATCATGAAGAATTGTCAATTTATGCCAGTAGTAGCTTGTCAAGTCGTTTCCAAGTGTGCAATTCACTGGACCGTCACCGAAATCCATTTCTATGTATGTTGAGTTGTTTTTGATCGAAGCTCCAATATATTGTGACTTGATGGTCTCTCCACTAGCATAAAATAGAATTGAATCATCAAACCAGGTTTTAAACACCATACTGATGCGTGTCACTGAACTATGTGTTCGATCTTTCCAATCGTAAATTCTGTAAGAAACATAACTCGACCCTCTAAGTGTCAAAACCGTTGCAGCTGACGAAGGAAAGGAGAATATTAAAAAATGAATCAGAAATTAATGTTTGAATCATCTTACAATAAATATCACATTGTTCTCCTTCGTATTTTGTTCCAAAACAATCACAAGAGACTGACGAGAAATGATTAATACAATTCGATCCTTCGAAACATAAATTTTCTCTCGAATAGCATTTGTTGTGACAACCTTCAACGACGTTCTCATGTTTTGATGCTACCAATGGTGTGATTGGAAGTAAATCAGAAGCTGCTTTTCCACTCTTCAAGACAACATTTCGAATGCATCCAACAAATGATTCGATGATGTATTTAACACCGTGAAGTTTCTCTTCAGAACTTAAACCTTTTTTAAATTACCAAATTAGTTCATTGAACATTTTTTATCAGAAGAAAGTTTTCAACTCACCACCCACAAGCACAACAGAAGGTAAATTTGTTGACACGCCATAATTCGTATCGTGATTTAATCCCTTCAAATAAACTTCTTCTTGACTGTTATCAACTCTCGCTATCAATCGAGCACCATGAACATCGATTCTAACCACAACGCTATGCCATTCATCACGATTCAAACCTTCACCAACAATCACCTGTTGGAAATGAAAATTTTGAATTAATTTTTCTATATTTCTCTTCATTCTAAGAATTATTCACCGATGTCGAATGCTTTCCGAAAACATGAACCACTTTCAATTGACCTTTCTCAACAATCACGTAAAGCGCATAAGGATCAAGTTCAATTCCTTCTGGATTCTTCACATTATGATAAACAAGAAGTCCATGTGGAAGTCGCGTTCGAAATTGAAAACTTATTTCTCGACACAAACGAAGTTGAAATGTTTTTATTGTATCGCCGTCAATCTGAATGAAAGTATTGTTTTGTGCAAACATAAATTCCTTTTCAGGCTTTTCTTTCTCAGTTTCTTTAAACACCAACTCATCGCCATGTGACTCAATTGGATCAACTGTCACGTTCTTAACTGGAGTCACTTTATTATCCACATTAACATTTGTTGGTACATCTTTATTAATGATATTGGGAGTAATGGTTGTAGTTTGTGGTATTATATAAGGTGGCAATGTATCTGAAGAAATAATTAATTAAAATTTGTTAAACAATTCAATTCTAAAAATATTTACGATTTCCACCAATGCAATATGCTAAACATTCAACTTCTGTATCAAATCGGTTACTTGGATTACCACCACACCCGCCCCAGATAAACGTATTACACTCTTGAGTTGTCACTTCAAAGCGCCACTTATATAAAAAGCTTTTACAAGGTCCAGGTTCGCCTTTGATGTAAATTGAATAAATTGAAATAAGTTTTTTCGTCATCAATCAGTAACTTACCTGGTCCACGACACTTTTCATAAACAGTTTGTCGATTTTGTGTGGAATTCATCCCATTTATATTTTTTAAGCTCGTTAAGAAAAGCACGCAAAAAACTTTTGACCACATCTTTTCTCATTCAATTTACGCGTATCACAACACACAAATTGACTCAATCGTGTTTACTCAGATATTTATCTTTATCTCTCTTTTCACTGCCACTTGATGTCACTTCTTATTCCTTCTTTAAACTCAAATTTGTATGTAGATATCTGTTTTCGTTATCAATTTATGTTCTACATAAATATTTTTATGTTTTCTAACGACACAATGATTAGGTCGACATCAAGTGTGACGACGATTCAAAGTCAAGGTGAATGTACAAAAAATTAAATTGCTTGCATATCTTTTAATAAAAATAAATTTTCTTTAAGCTGATGATTGTCATGACGTTAGACAACAAATTCATTTAATAAACTTTTTTGTCATTTTAACGAATGCATTGTGTGTAGGAGTTTTGATGATTTATAGCGCCATGGAAAGTGTTTTTCTTCATAAGCTGACAGACGACAGTCAGACAAACAACATAATATTGAAAGCTTTAATTTGTTGGCTTTTCTGTCAAGAAATATGCCAATGATAAAGGCTACAAAATGTGATAAGATAAGATAGAAACTTGCAAATAATTTATGTGTTGTTGTTGTTGCCACCCCCACACAACAATTTTTCTTTATTTTATATAAATGTCAGGGTGGAAATTGAGGAAGAGCTAAAGGAATCATCAGTGTTGTTGTCAATTAAAACAATATCGAAGCACGGGGTTAAACAATTTATGATCGTTGTTAAGCACGACACGAAACAATATTGCATGCAATTTTAATTAAGAGATAACAATCGCGAGAATAAAGTTGGAGGGCGCGAGGTTTTACTGGAGCAGTGTGTTAATACTTACTAAGTTAACATCAACCGAGAATTATTCAGTAAACAACGCTAATTAAATTTAAATAGACGTAACCGACGAGAAGATATACGGCAAGAAGATATTGGAAGCAAATAAATAAACGCAAGTATAACGAGATTTTTTCAGGTGGTAGCTAAGTGAATTACTTCAACATATTTAATGGAAAACCTTGACAGTATTTTCCAAATATATTGATAAAGAAAAAAGAGCGCGAAGGAAGAAACACGCTAATTTTTTATTTCCATGCATGAATGAATTTTTAATGTTTGTAACAACAACTGACACTTCACAATGAAAGTTTTCTTACTGACGTTTTTCAGTTCTCATTCGAGAGTAAAAGTCTTTATGCAATAAAAGCATAATATCTACGATTTAAGAGTAATCTCAATTGAAAAATCGACTTCGTTATCTTAAATTCAATGACGTCGATAAAAGTTTCACGTGGCACTTTCATTACTTAATTGCCAATAATCATTTTCTTGTGGTTAAACGCAAGTTGATAATTACAAATCTATTGTTAAAGGTGGAATCGAGACGCCACTGGAATTTGCGGTCAGCTCATTTTCTCGCTTTAGACTCAATTTAATTCAATTGAAGCTAAGAAATGCTAAAGGAAGAGTTCGAAGAGATTTTAAAAAGTTTTCGAATGAAAAATTGTGTAGAAAATTCTATTTAATTTCTGATTTATGACTTAAACATTCGTCATCGATGTCGTTATCATCAATAATGAATTCCGCTAAATTTTCAATCAACGTCGAATTTTGAAACTGATTTTGAGTTATCTTCAGAAAGCATGGTTAAATATATAACGATAAACGTTCAAGCGATTCGTCATTGACTCTACTGATAAATCATAAATTTCCTAACGATTCATGGCAATCATTAAATTGTGCAACTTGTTTCACTGACATTCTTTCACAATGTCATCATATGATCATATGACTGAAAAACATCTTCGTTTTAAAGTTCACTTAAATGCATTTAGAATTTCATATTTCTTTATACTTTTTTATTTTCAAGATTCCACCCACACTTGATATCACCACCAATTTAAGACTTCGACCGTTCACTACAAGTTGACGACGATAACTGATTCTAACTGATAAGTGAAATAAAAAATTGTACAAAACTGAAATGAAAATGTGTGAGCTGACACATGAATCGGTTCAACTGAGAAAATTGAATTAACAATTCTCACCGGCGATGAATGTATTGGAAATCATATGTTTCGTTTTATTTACTCTCACTTCTTACTCACTTTTTCAATTGAGAAAGCCGCAAATGTTGTTTTGTTTACGTTTTAGTTTATATCTTATCAAGCTCTGGCGGTGATGACTGAAGCTGACGTCATTAAAAAAAGTACTTTAATGTTCAAGCTTTCGCTCTTCTTTTATTTCTCTCTTGAATGAAAGTTTCTCATAAAATTGCGAAGAATGACTAACAGTCTAAACATTAAAAATTTTTATCTAAACACATACAAAAGTTCTTAGAATATTTACATGTAAATAAGTGCTTTTAAAAAATCATTTCCAGAAATATCTTCATTCATTCACAATTCCATGTTGTCACTTATCCAGTTAATGTAATGACTAACTTTCGTGTAAACAGCGGGATGAGTTCCACAACTTACTCCAAACGAAACAATTCCATATTGAAATATTTTAACTTTTCCTGTTTTATCAATTTCTATTTCACTGATTAAAGGACCGCCACTGTCACCTTTGCATGAATCGTTTATCCCTTCATCACCAGCACATATTTGTCCTTTGGAAATCTTTTTGATTCTTTCTATTTTCTCATAAGTTTTATCACATTCTTCATTCTTTATAAATGAAACGTTTGTCTTCAGCATTATGTTTGACTTAAAACCAGATTCAGTTGTGCCAAATCCCATCACGGTGAATGTTTTATTGAAAGATGATTTCAGACGATCTTTTTTTGTCACTGGAAGACAAATTGGATTGACAGCAGGAGAAAACTTTACAGAAGTGTTCAACCGTATCAATGCAATGTCGTTGATGATAGAAATATTCGAGAACTTGGCATGAATAATGGTTTTCTCGATACCAACATCAATTGGTGGCTTACAACCATTGCAATCAATATTCTTGGAGCTGTCATGTTCGCCAAATCTCACTCCAATTCTAAAATAAAAAAATTTGTGTAAATAAGTCAAGTATTGAAGTCTCATGATCTACTTACAAACTATCAGTAATGCAGTGTGCTGCAGTAAGGACATACAAGTCTAACAAAAAATCAAATAAACCTTCATGAAAACCTTTTTAAAGAAAATTTTAGAATTTTTTTCTCACCAGAAATTAAACTTCCACCGCACATAATTCTAAAAGGCGTTTTTTTGCCTTTATACTTTAAAGCAGCATAGAATGGAAATTCACCTTCATAAGCTTTTGTGCCTCCGAAGATTCTTTTTTGAATTTTAATTCCACATTTTTTGTGATTTGTAAATTTTTTTCTCTTGGATGAAGGTAATTTGTTTGATTCATTATAAGTTTTCAATTTATTGGTGATGTTGTGTGGGCTTTTTAAAGGTATCAGTTCCTTCATTTCAATTCGATCAAGATCATTTTTTTCTTGGGCAATCATCGTTATCGTTTTTTCCTTCGAAGTGACATTAAGTGAAACGTCAATTGCTGAAGATTTCTTCAGTGAATTCTGACTAGAATCACTTTCATTATCAGATAGTTTCAAACAGCAAATCAAATTGTCATCAGAGCCACACGAAGAAACATCATCTTGGGAAATTCTCACATCAATTCTTGAATTTAAATCACAACACTTTTCCCTTTTAATGCACTTTCCTCCAACGCCATTAACTTTACATGATATTGGAACACTTTTTTGCTTTGGCGTCTTGTTATTTAGATAAATGACAGCAGAACAAAATAAAAATATGCTAAAAGCACTACAACAAACAACTTTTTTAGTCATTTTTAAAAGAAGGATTTTTAACTACTGAGGTTCGTCTTAGTCAGAGAAATTTGTACAAATGAATGATGATGAATATCAATGTAAGACTTAAATACTTTTTCGCTCTTTTTAGAATAACTCTTTTTATTTTTATCGTAATGTTTTCAGTGGAAAGATGTATAAATCTAAATGTTTACTCAATCAAGAGTTTTCTTTTAAGTTGCCTTTCTGTAATAAAAAGTACTTCAAATGCTTAGAAGCTCCTTGAAAATACTCTGAAAATATTCTTGATTCATATATGTACCTGAGTATTGCAGATTGAGTCACAGTTACCCACTGTTTTCTTAATTTTTATGCTGCAATTTAGATTAAATGAAACAAACATTTTCTTGTTTAAATGAAAAAAAAAAAAACAGAAAAAACTTTATTCATCATTATATATTTTTTGGTAAGCTTTACCTTACAATAGTCATTTGAGTATCAAAATTATTACTGAGACTCTTGATCGATAAAGTTTGATCTAAAGATCTCAAAAAGAAAAATGTCAATCCACACATCAATGTAAGTTATATTGAATGAGTGACAAAATGTCACAAGAGACAAAATGTTGCATCAGACGTTGCACGACAAGTTTCCATGTGATAGAAAATTTGTCGCTTTCATTCTTTTGATGAACTTTTTCACTCATTATTATCGTTTCAATCATAAGTTTTCTTAAATGCAAATCTTAAAGTCTAATTTTGAGAGGAAAATCCACAAAGCGAGTATAATTAGATAATCAATTAGAATATAAAATATGAATCTTTGGTATAAATTGAGAAATCGTTTCGAATCCTGTTTATGGCACAATCAAAATATAAACTGATGAGTGATGAATCTTAAAATTAACATGAATGTAAAAAATACTGTCGATTTCATTTGAGATCTTCAATACATTTGGTTTAAAGTTAGCAAATACATAATTTCATGTAAATATGTATATTAATAAATCAAAGTTTCAAAATTGAAACAAGGAAAGAAGGCGTTAAATGAACTAAACATTAAAAAGAACATTGATTCAAGTAAATTTACTTGAATGATCGTACACTTATAGTTGAGCCAGTAGTTGATGGTTGTCGATTCATGCTACCAGTATTGATCTCCATTTGATCGCCTAGAGAAAGTGAAAAAGAGAGAACAAAAATAAATAAAAATCAATTCAAATTTAGTTATTCAAACTCACGTCGCCTTTGCGATTGATACCAAACTCTCAATCGATGGACGATCTCTGCAAAATTTGGACGACGAACACTTTGTTCATGCCAACATTCAACCATCAAAGAATAAACTGCACTTGGACATGCTTCGGGACAAGCAAGCAACTGACGAGCACGAACCATATTGATGACTTCCTGGTTACTGTAACCGAAGTAAGGTTGAATTCCATACGAATAAATTTCCCACAAGACGACACCTTGGATTGTATAAGAAAGTCAAAGACAATCCTAACATATTTATCACTTTTCTACTTACCATAACTCCAAACATCTGACTCAGTTGTAAACTTTCCATATAAAATCGCTTCTGATGGCATCCAACGTACTGGCAAAAGACTTTTCGATTGAACACGATAATAATCGCTACTGTAAATGTCACGCGACAAACCAAAATCCGAAATTTTCACAATCATATCATCACCAACAAGACAATTACGTGCAGCAAGATCACGATGAACGTAATGATGATTCGATAAATATTCCATTCCTTCAGCTATTTGCAATGATATGAACAAGAACTGTTGTTGACTTAAATATTTTCCTTCATTCGGCGAATTTGATATTAAATATTCGTGAAGATCGCCATGTGACATGTACTCGAAAAGCATGCAAAGTGGTTCTTCCTTCAACACAACGCCAAGTATACAAACGATGTTAGTATGCTTCAAGTCAGATATCAATTCAATTTCACGACGAAAATCTTGTTGTGTCTTTGGTGATGCATTTTCCTTAAGTGCTTTAACAGCAACAAAAGTTTTTTCTCCATTCTTTTGAAACAATTCGCCTTTGTAAACTTTTCCAAATGCACCTTCACCCAACTCTTCAACAAACTTCACATCTTGAAGTCCATATTGAGGTATTTTCATGATGGAATTTCCTCTCGGATTTGTTGGATGGTGAAGATTTGACATTCCATTTGTAGCAAGTAATGATGTCATTTCAATTGGTGAACTATGTCGTGAGTTGCCATAAATGTTCTTATCAACATTAGGAACGGTGATGTTTTGAATATTTGATACGCTTTGTCGTCTCATTTTCTTACAACAAACGAGTATTGTGATGAACATTGTTGTCATTAAGAAGAGAATTAGAGCACAAATAATAACGAACCACATTTTATCGGAGCACTTTGGGATGTCACAGAGTTCAACAGTCTTCTGTTTATCAACATAACACCATGGCTTTGATTGTGATGCATCAGGATTTCGACAATAATTATTGTTGGCCAATTCAATGTGTGTGATTTCTCGGAGAACTTTTGACCACTTCAAGCATGGCTTACCATTGATTGATTTGTCTTTAATTCCACGATATTGATTTCCATTGTCCCAGAAACAAGTGTCGGAAGGATTAATGTCAACATTGATTCCCATACGAAGACAATCATCATCATCGGGAACTTCATTACAGTCTTCTAGTGGTAGAATTTGTCCAATTGTTGGATGACGTTTTGCAATTGCATATTCTTTCTGACAAATTTCATTTTCTAGCAGCTCACAATCAGCTCGACATATTCTTCGCAAATTTTCTGAATGCTTTGTCGGTGGATAAGCATTTCTAATACTTAAAAAGTCTACGTCAACATTTCGTCGTTTTCTGAGATGATTAAATGGATGATCAGTGGCATGATAAGAGCTCGGCTCATAATAAGAGTTAGAGTTACTTGAGAATTCAACATGATCATATTTCTCAGGTTTCTTAGTTGTCGAACTTGTCGATGAAATTGTTGTTGTCGTCGTCGATGCTGTTGTTAAAGCAAAAGCACTTTTGAAAACGAGACTTCTCGGCGTCGTTGTTTTCTTTTTATTCGATTTCTTAGCTTTCTTTGTTATGAACTTATCGACAGACTTTGCCTTGTTTTTATTCAGGAAGAAGTAATGATTGCTTTCTTCCGGTGTACGGCATATCGGAAGTACGGTAATACATAAACTTGGCACAGCAAACTTTGAACAAATTGTGTTCATGTCTTTCGATTCTTTGATGACACCGTAAGCTCTTGCTAACTTTTCTTCCAACATATCCATGGTTGTTTCTGGTGATATAAAAACTGTTTGATTTCTCATCCACCGTTCACAGATTTTTCCGGTGTATGGCTGGCAAATTCCCATTTCTGGTGATTCGTTGGAATCTAATACCTGATCAAAACTGAGAGGGAAAAATAAATTGTTATTATGTTTCTAAATTTAACTAAAAAAATGGATTAAGAGGGATTACCTCGGAATTCCATGGATGTTTGTGTCATCGAACTCATCTCCGATGGTGATATGTTGTTGAATGGAAATAGCACACAAGAACAATAAAAATAGTCCAACTAGAATCCAATTAGTCATGTTTATGTCAATACAATTGTTTTTCACTTGAGACTTTTAGGGTTTTTAAAATTTTCATAAATTTAGTGATTAAAACAAAATTTGTTTGTAAACTTAAAACTTCTATTGTCGATTTTGTAAATTAAAACTTCTTCAAATCGTGAACTTTTGTGCTTTGAAAGTGAGCTTCGATGGAGTTTATAAAATTTAATTTAAGGGAAATAAGAAATCACTGATACTAAGGCCATTTTTTCTAATTTTAAACTATTTTTCCGATAGTTTTTATGGAAAATAATAAATTTCACATAATTTGTCCATTTGGACCATTTTTGGGAACAAAACGCTGGTTGCGTAGTCATATGGTTTAAATTGTGAAAGCAGACAAAAACAGTGCAACAGAATCAGAACCATGCAATTGTTTCATAACATATTTTCAAGGGGTAATTAAACGAAGTTCTTTTGGTGTCCAATTTCTTTTGATGAAGTATCCCTTGATTTGGAATCGTTTGATTGCTGCATGAGATGATCACTCGTAAGTTTAATTCTTCATTATGTTACATTACTTAACTAAAAATTATTGAATTAAAAAACTTACAGAACAAAATCTTTTCGACACGTAATTTAATTTTGTAATAAAATCTTATTCTTCACTCCAATCGCAATAATCGATTAAAATCAGCTGTTTTCTCTCACCGGTATTTTTTTAATGAAATGCTTACGCAGAGATCTAAAAAAAAAGAGTAAAATCATGAGAAAAAAATTCACTTAATTCAGTAGAGACCGGACCGCGAGAGAGTGAACATCAAAATCGTTCGTGGTTGTAGATATTTATTTAAAAAAGGTTAAATTAAGATTCAATTTTACACAGTTATTAAAGTGAAATTGTAGTTCATTATACATATTTGAATAATATCTAAACACAGTTTCAAAGCTCAATACATTATTCGATTGCTAAAGGTGATAATCTTATTTTCAAATAAACAGTTTGACTTTAACATTCATGACACATTGAAAGAAGAAAGAAAGTAGGGAAATATTTTAACCCAGCGAATATATGCATGATAGCCACGCCAAAACCAAGCAATAACAAAAATAAAAATCACGTAAACAACAAGGCGATTGAACATTTGTGCATAATATGGGGCATTTTTAAAATATGTCACATTATACATTATTCGTGTCTTTAGTGAAAGTTTCATTTTCTTCTCATTTTTCGCGTGAAAATATGTTGAGTGACGAATGACAGCAGTGAATGTTGTTGTGACGAACATTAAAAATTTATGCCAAGATACTTATTGAGATGATTTACAAAGATGCCATAAAGTCGTCATCGACAAGTTGCAACGAATTTCATAAGCTTATCCCTTGTGACTGAATGATGACCAGCACGACAAGACATTCACTCAAAAAAGTATAAAATAAATAATAAAAGAAAAAGTTTTTAAAAATGCCTTTTGAAGTGTCTTCAAAAGTATTTATCAACTTACCAACACGCGTGCTTAATTTCATTTTCAAGCAAGTGTAAAAGCCACATACTAGTAATTACGCTTATTCATCCAATGATTTTATTTACTTATGATGTTTTCTTCACTTTCTCTTAAGAATTCTTCTTTCTAAATTATTTGTGAGATTTTCCAGTGAAATGAGTTTAATGAACTTGAACTTTTTGAAGAGATTGACGTAAATTGAAGCTTAAGCTACATAGAGAATGATTGTGATGTATTAATTTGTTCTTTTGCGTTTCATTTAAATGAAGCTTATCGCGATTTAAACAAAACGATCTATGTGAGCCACACATTTGTCAATTTTAAGTTGAATGTGAACGAATAGTTATTATTAACAAATTAAACCACGGATAATGATGTGGATGATTGCAAAAAAGGTTTTTTATTACTAAGTCAACCTGTTACGTTCGTTCTCATAACACGCATATCTACTTTAGATATAAATTTAAATATTCATGTCTGGTGGCGGCAATTTGCTTCCTGGTTTATTAACAATAAAAAAGAAGATTAAGTAAAACTATCTCATTGCATTTGATTTAAACGCATGAGTTGTTTCGTCATTTCGAAGTCAAATTGAATGAGAAAATGTTTTCTTTTGTGAAATTAATCAAACAAGATCATCTTGATTACATTGTTGTTTACATGTTGGAATATCTTTGAAGAAAACACATCTTGTTTGTGAAGATTCGCGATTAATTTAATGACGACAATCAGAGACGTTTTGTGTACAATCTCGTTGAATTAAATGTCAAATTTATTTATAAAATAACGAGATAGAAAGAGAATTCAACTAAGGAGATGAAACATAATTCATCGTTTTCATTGAGAATTCTTCAGTGAATGATTCGAGCTCTCATGAACTTCTTATCGAAACAGTTTCGTCAACAAATAACAATCAACTTTCAATTTCAACTCCATAGCGTATGATCTTGGTGCATGTAATTATCGCAATTGTTGTCATATAATTTGTCATGTCTTTGGATGTTGTTTTTATTTTAAATCCATTGAAAATTTTCGCGCTGAAACAAATTTAGCTTGTACTTCGCAAAGAATGAATGTAATTCATATTATTTGTTCTCGTGGACAATTCATTTATGTAATTCTCTCAAGTCATATGGAAATCCACACAACGACAATTCTCTAAAACGTTGTAATGAATGTTAAACGTTGTGAACAGTGTTGAAGTAGGTCATTAAATAAAATTCAGTTACGAAGAAGAAACTGTTTATAAAGTTAATCAAAACCTCTTGATGTTGACATTTTAGAAAGGAAGAAAGATCAAGAAAAGAATTAAGTTTGAAAGGGAATTTCTTCCCGTCATTTCAAAAAATATTTCTTATTTAATAAATTCGAAAATCGTCGGTCATACAAAAACCATTCTGAGAGGAATTTTGAATGAAATACTTAAAACAGCACATTCCCGTTAACTGATCTATCTTTTTGTGGAATTACTGGAGAGATGTTCGTTGGTGTTTGTGCTTGATTTCGTTTTGTGCTTCTCAATTTTGTCAGATCAACTAAATAGAAAAAAAAGATAAAATCTCAATCACAGTTTTAAATCAATTCAATTCACATCTCAACATTAATCATCACGGAACTTTTTCTTTTATTTTCTTTCAGATCAACTGTTATTAGTGCTTTAGATAAAACATTAAATCTGCTACTCAACTAGAATATGTCAAGATGAAACGTAGTTTTTTATTAGTTGCTACTTTGTCTCTCCTCGTGGGCTCCATAAACTGTAAGTTGATCATCTCACCATTAAATTCACTTCATTTTTTCTTTTAATTATTTATCTTTCAGCTTCTCCATTTAAAAAAGCAAACACAAATAATCGTCGACGACAGAGGTCAAGCTCAGTATGGAAACAACCAGAAGATAACTGGAACATTACAACCATTCCTCGAAGTGTTCACCCACACCTTGAAAACAAAAATTATACTCATTCACTTCCAGCACCTGGTCACATTATCTATAGGACAATTGATTCTGATGAACGTTTACTTATGAGATTTCATGAGATTAAAAACAATGCATCGGCACGAACACTTTGGGGAAAGTCAGACTCATCTGATCATCATTACTCACCATTTTTTGACAAAGCACTGAAGCTCTTAAATCTCCAACAAGTGGCTTTTGAAATTGAAAATAGTGTGATGTCAAAAATGTCATGTACGGCATGTAAAGCAGGCGCATCACTTCTCCAAAACTACATTAAATCCGGGAAAAGTAAAGAAGAAATTATCAAAACAATCTTTCAATATTGTGTAAATCTTCGAATTCAATCAGCGCAAGTTTGTGAAGGTGTCAGTCAATTGTTTGGCGGCGAAGTTATTTACGTTTTGAAACGAACAAATTTGGGTGCTGATGAGATTTGTAGTTTCATCATTGGCGAAGCTTGTGGCGATATTTATAACCCTTATCATGAATGGGAAGTTGAATTGCCACCAATTCCAAAGCCAATTGCACATGAACTTCCGATTCCCAAAGAAGGTGCGCCATCGTTTAAAGTTTTACATCTTTCTGATACTCATTATGATCCTTATTATGAACCCGGAGCCAACGCTGAATGTAAAGAAGGAATTTTATGTTGTCGACATTCAAGTGGACGTCCAACAACACCGAACGCAGCTGCAGGTAAATGGGGAGATTATAGAAAGTGTGACATGCCGAAGCGATCTTTGGATCACATGTATCAGCACATCGCAAGCACGCATCATGACATTGATTACATTTTATGGACTGGTGATTTACCACCTCATGATATTTGGAATCAAACGAAAGAAGAAAATCTGAAGATTTTAAAGGAAACTGTTAAACAAATGTCGGAAATGTTTCCTGGCGTTCCAATCTTTCCTGCTTTAGGCAATCATGAAAGTGCCCCAGTTAATTCATTTCCACCACCATATGTGAAACAAGTTGACAGTTCAATTGCTTGGCTTTACGATGCTTTAGATATTCAATGGCGTAAATGGTTGCCAGCAAGTGTTTCACATACAGTAAGGCGTGGAGCTTTTTATTCAGTGTTAGTTCGACCCGGCTTTCGAATCATTTCATTGAACATGAATTATTGCAACAATCTAAACTGGTGGCTTCTTTTAAATTCAACCGATCCGGCAACTGAACTTCAATGGTTCATATATGAACTTCAAAGTGCTGAATTCTTAAACGAAAAAGTTCATGTTATTGGACACATTCCACCAGGACATTCAGATTGCCTTAAAGTATGGTCAAGAAATTATTACAAGATTGTTCAACGTTATGAGAACACAATTACTGCACAATTCTTTGGTCACACACATTTTGATGAGTTTGAAGTGTTTTATGATTTGGAAGATATTTCGAGGGCAACGAGTGTCGCTTACATAGGCCCGAGTGTTACGCCTTAAATATTACAACTTAAATCCAGGGTACAGAATTTATTACGTTGATGGTGATCACGATGCTTCTACAAGGCTTGTTATCGATCATGAAACGTGGATTATGAATCTAAAGGAAGCAAATCTGTATGATTTTCCAATTTATTACAAACTTTATTCAGCAAGAGCGGCTTACAATATGAAAGCTCTAAGGCCGAATGATTGGGATGAGCTCATCAATACTTTGACTGATGATCAAGATAAGTTTGATCTTTATTACAAGTACGTTTGATAAATTTAATAATTCGTTCATATTATGAAGTGAATATTTTCTTAATAATAAAGAAATTATTGGAAAGTCTCACCCGTTCGACCAGCATGCGATGCTGACTGTAGAAAGCGATTACTTTGCGATGCTAAAAGTGGAAGAAGTCATGACAGGAAATTCTTTTGTGCTGAAGTTGAATCAAAGATTGACTCGTCAAATAATGGATGGAGATCGTGGATTTATAAAGGCATTAGTTTCTCGTATGTATACTTACATGAATGATTTAAATCCAACTGATTAACAAACACTTAAAACAAAAACAAAGACTTGGTGGTTGGCTTTTCAACTAAATAATCTTCAAATGTTTTCTTTCTCTTTCTTTCTTCATGCCATATCAATTGACATTTAGTAATAAAAAGAAATTATTTAACATAACAGCTTATCAGTTTTTGACCAATGAAGTTGGACAAGAATTTCATCCCGCAACATGAATAAAACATTTTTGAACAAACTCATCATGAACATGTACATTTTATCGGAAGACACATTTAATTATAATTTATATGTAAAAAGACAAAAGAAAATTGAAGGAAGGTTATGAAGTTTATGTTAATAAGTTAAAATATGTACACACGGGTAAATTGGTGATTGAATCGGTGTGTGTATTGATGGTCATTTAATTCAGGTAAAAAGATAAAAATTTAGTAAAAAAAAATTCAAGCAAATTAATTGAAAGCTTTTCTTGAATTCTTCCACAGCTTCAACGCTTTATACTCAGTGACAGCTAAAATTCCAAGCTTTGTGATGAGTCTTGGATAATAATTCAACAATTTAAGTTTTTTGAGTGGAAGCATAACAGTGATAACAGAAAAATGTTCAAAATCCAACATCAAAGTGAGAAAAAGACTCAAAATTTGTGTAATAAAATAATAAAAAGAAAAATTATTTAATTTGATTCGTCTTTTCGTTTTAAATATTTTTCATATTAATTTTCAGGACGAAAGCTTATAAAAAGTTTCTTTCAATTAAACCGAAAATCGAAAGCTTTTTTTTAAAGCATCTAAAATTTATTGAGAGATTTTCTCGGTTTTCGACAAGTGTTTCGTGAACAGTTACATAAGAAATACAATTTGCATACAATTAATTTAATTACCTACAAATTTCCAAGAATATTTTTGAGTTCAATAGAACATTTCTTCCAAATAATTTTTTACATGTTTTCAGAAAATGTCCTCATAATCTTTACATCATCTATCTACATGTGAATAAAATGAAGGAAATTAATCTTCTGTTTTATAAGTAAATTACTTCCTTTAGTTTCTTTTCAATTCAATTCACTCATAGTTCAAATGTAATTTTTTTACTTTAAGAAGCAAAATAATGAATTTCAATATTTTAACTCTCTTCATGTTAATTAATTATTTAAGTGCAAATTTTATTTACAAAGATTCGTCCAAAAACCATTTTTCAACTGCAATTAATGGAGTAGTGGAAAATTATTTTAACAAACATAACGAGAGGTTTGATATTATAAGTGCCGCAGAAAATGAATTTCATTTTGATGAAATTGTGAACGGAATTATGAAAACAACAAATCAAACAGTTCGAATAACTGAACTGCTACCAGATGAAGGGCCAGAAATAGTCATAAATGAATCAACAATTTTTCTTTTTGAAAACGATGACGTTTTTATTAGTTATCTGCAAATTATAAGATTTTCAACAAGTAAAAGAAACATTCACATTCTTTTTTACGTACCAAATCTGACAACCACAACTTTTAATCTAATTAACAAAAAGTTTGTGGTTCCTGGCTTAAAGCAGAAATCATTTCTTATCAATGAAAAAGGAAAACTTGTATTGAAATCTATTAGCAGATTCTCTCAACCAAACTGCAGAACTCAGAAACTAAAAGCTATCAATTATTTCTCGGAAACGAACCTGAAATGGTCATCGTCACGATTTTTCTTGGATAAAATCGACAACTTTCAAGGATGTGAAATTATATTTGGAGGAATCGTTTCGTTCCCCGCTGCTTATGAGGAATTACAAAAGAATAACATAATCAAAATTACAGGATATCATGTTGATTTAATTAACATTATTGCACCATATGCTAATTACAAAGTTAATATCAGTTTCTTCAAGAAGGTTTCTTCAGGAAGAAAAAAAAATATAAGTCCTGATGTTTTTATTTCATCCCTTCTGTTACATGGTACAAGAAACAGAGAACATAATTTTAATACGCCCACACAAGCAATTCATTACGAATTGATTCGAATTATTGTGCCACCAAGAGAATCATACACATCATTTGAGAAATTGTTATTGGCATTCGATAAACCAGTGTGGAATTTAATAATAATAACATTTGCTTTGGCCTTCATGGCAATCATCATATTGCGATTTTGTCCTCGATTTATCAGAGAGTTTGTCATTGGAAGAAATGTCAAAGAACCAGCTTTGAATGTTCTTATAGCATTTTTTGGAGTTGGACAAACGATTTTGCCACGACGAAATTTTGCAAGATTTCTTCTGATAATGTTCATTCTATACAGTTTGATCATTCGAACAGCTTACCAAGGAAAAAGCTTCGAATTTCTCCAGAAAGATATGAAAAGAAAAGGAGTTCAAACTGTCAAGGATTTATTTGATAAGAATTATACGATTTACACTAATAAATTTCTACAAACCGAATGGAAAACTGCTGACATAATAAAACAGTAAGTAATAATCACAAATTGATCTATTGACTTAACATTCTTCATATATCATAGTGCAAAGCCAGTAAAGTCATTCGTGACAGTCAAGAAGATGGTACAAGAAATCAGTACCAACTCTTCATCGCATTCAGCTTTCATTATGTACGAAAACAAGATCAAAATTATTTTTGCAGTTCTAAACCAAAACAATATAACAACTCCAATACATACGTTGGACGAAATTATTGCCGTTGCACCAAAATCAATGAGTTTTGTTGCTAATATGGAACTTTTCAAAACTTTCGATGAAAAGTTAACTCAGTTAAGAGAAGCGGGAATCATGGATCACATAAAAAAACCTTACTATGAACTTTACAAAGAAAAGCCAAATGATGATCCTAAAGTATTAACGATGGATGATTTATCAGCAGGTTTTGTAGTATTTCTGGTTTTCTTGCTGATTTCAATAGCATCATTTTCATTAGAGATAATAATTGATAAGCTGACAATGCTGTTTAATAAATACCTGAAAGGATGCGTCATAAATAAATAATTGTCCTATTGTCGTCGAAATAATTATTTTCCTTCACCTTTTTCGAACACGTTTCTTGTTGTTTCTTGAAATGTCATCTTAATCTTTACAACATCTTCACAATTAAAAGTAATAAAAAATTTTTGAACAATTCTTTTGTTAAATTAGTTTCTACTTTGATTTCAATTCAACCACAGTATAAATTCATTTCGAAGCATTTTAAATAAAAAGAGATTAAGGAAAAATGGATTTTTATATCATCATTCTTTTTATTTTAATCAATCCTTCAAACTCATTAATTGAAAGGAAAGAAATTCTCTCAATTGCATTAAACAGCATAGTGAAAAATCATTTTAATAAAAATAACGAGAGATTTGATATAGTTAGTGAAGCAGAAAATGAATTTTATTTTGACGATGTTATAAACGGAATCTTGAATGCAACAAATCAGACAGTTAAAATAACTAAGTCGCTGTCAAGCAAAATTAAAACAGAAGTTATCAATGAATCAACAATTTTCATTTTTCAAAACGATGATATTTTTCTTAATAATTTGCGTCACATGAAATTTGGAAAGAATTCAAGAAATATTCACATGCTCTTTTATGTACCAAATATGTCAAAAGACCCAATGATGGCTATATTTAAAATGAGTTATTTTCGTTGGTTAGGGCTTNTCTTAATTAAACTTTTATTTTTGTAACAAATTTAAATTAAGAACATTCTAGTTCTTTTTAATGTAGAACTAAAATAAAAATGTAAACAACAGTAGATAAAACACGCGCAAGTTGAAGAATATTGCTACACAAAAACTGCGCGAATCAACATTAAAGCGCTTGGCGAATCAACATCCAAATACTTACCATAACATTTTTATTAATTATGCTACAAATTGTTGATACTAAATAAAAATCTAAGTGTTTTTATTTAGTATATTAAATAAGGTAACATTTTGTTAAAACAGAAGTTTATTTTTTATGTCTTTAGACTTTTAAACTTCTGATGAAAATCGTTGAAGCTTTTTCTGAATGGTAGACCAAAACCATGAGAAAAAGCAAAATGAAATCTAACATCATCATCATCATCATCATCATCAGGTCTAAGACAGGGTCTGAAAAGACCCACACCCGCCTGTTAAAACAGTCGGGAGGCAATGGACATTTGTGGCAAATGACAATGACAACACTTTCCAATTCCAGCGGAAATTGGGTTGTGCTGACTAGTCACTGCCGCCCGTTTTGCATCCTCCTGATATCTATCATGACGATGATATCAGGTTGAATCTAACAAACTAATGCTAAAAGATAAGATAGTTGAGTGCATAGATCAGATGGTATGCTTGATGGTTCAAGAGGGCTGTATTGGCTGAATTATATTACTTTGTATGTGGGAAGGTAGAAGAAGTAACAAACGGAGCCTTTTTTCAGCATGAATCTCTCATTGTTCTCCTCAATGCAGACATTGATTTGAGACAAAGGGACTCAAGTCTGTTTTATCACCGTTTTTATTACTAGAAAGACCGCCCCGTTTACCAATATCCTAAGAATTTCTGTGTTTAGTCATGCATTTGTCAAGACCAATTTTCTTGATGAGTCTAATATAACTATTTAAGGGCAGGGTGTTAGCAAGGGTGTTGTCAATAGTGCGCTGTCCTAGGATGGCATATCTCTGATAGGTAAGCGATTTACAGTCAAAAAGTATGTGACTCATGGTCTCAGGGGCTATTTTGCAGAATCTACATTTATTACAAAAAATTTTACCAATGAGGAAAAGATACTGATTGAGACAACTATGACCAGTAAGGATGCTTATAGCGATTCTTAAGTCATTTTTCCGAAGTCCTAATAATTCTAACGTCATCTTTTTGTTGACTTTTTTGATCATTATCTTCGAGTGTCTGAAGTTAGTTTTTTGCCAATTTTCATTGATGGAGTGTTCCATGAAGTCGTTGATTAACTTTTTGCTGTAGGATGCTGGTGGGTAGATTTGAATATCGATATGTTCAACACTTGTACCTGATTTAGCTAGTATATCTGCTTTGGTGTTTCCTTCGATTTTACTATGACTTGGGATCCAAGATAGGGTAATTTCGTTGGAGATACAGGCTTTGTTAAGAGAACAGGTGCAATTTTTAACCACTTCGGTTTGAATTTCAAATTTCATGAGCGCTCTTAGAGCGGACTGTGAGTCTGTGAAGATTGTAACTTTTTCATTCATAATTTTGTTGTCATTGTAATAATCTGACACCATTTGAATAGCTTTGATTTCAGCTTGGACAATTGAGCAGTAATTTGGAAGTCTTTTACACCATTCCAATTTCTTTTTAGGACAGTAAATTCCGATTCCAACTTTTTCATTTTTTATGGATCCGTCCGTGTACCAAATGGAGTTTTTGTTGTTAATGAGAATCGCGATATTATCAGTTCCAGATATGTCGATTTTGAATCTTTTGTAGGAATAGAACTTAGAAATGTTGTCATTAGTATGATTGATATTGGCTGCTTCTACCTTTTGTGATAATGCGTTGGAGTGACTATTCGTCCATGAACAATCTATCCAGTGGTTAAATTTTTTCAATCTAAAGTAAGAATTAATGGCCCTACTCAAAGTTGTAATTTGGAGATCTGGTAAATTCAAAACGACATCTAAAGCTGCGCCTGGTGTTGTCTTAGACGCACCTGTAATCATGAGTTCAGCTAGTCTGTGGATCTTATTCAAGATTAGTGATTTAGATTTCTGTTCCATTTTATGCCACCATATTAAACATCCATATGTTATTCGAGGAATAACTATTTGAGTGTAAATCCATTTCATCATAAAGGGGGTTAGCCCCCAGTTCTTATTAATCATATTTTTCGTTGCCCATAACGTATTATAACCCTTTTTGGCCATTTGTTCAATATGTGTTTGGTAAGATAATTTGCTGTCTAGATAAACTCCAAGATATTTAACATTCTCTTTCAGTGCTATTGGTGTGTTGAATATTTTTACTGGTCTTGTGAGTTCAATATTCGTTCGGTTTCTTGTAAATCTAACTAATTCAGTTTTAGCTGGGTTGACATTCAGACCTGTCTCAATACACCATTTTTCTACTAGTTTCAGACAATGGTTCATTCTTGAACATGCACTATTGATATTTTTATCCGGTATGATAATGGCAACATCGTCTGCATAGCCAATTACCTTGCAATGAGGGGAAAGTTTAACCAGAAGTGTATCAATAACTATATTCCATATCAGAGGCGATATACAGCCACCTTGTGGGCATCCTTTGGTTGGCAAGATAGTGAAACTTTCGTTCTCTATGGACGCACAAGTCTTCCTGGTGGTTAACATCGCATGAATCCATTTTAAAATAATGTTTCTAGTTTTCCTCTCTTCGAGAGATTTGCAAATCGTGTTCACTGAGGTATTGTCAAATGCTCCTTCTATATCGATAAAGACTGCTAATGCAATTGACTTATTTTGAAAGGTTTTTTCAATCGTGGTTGCAAAATCGTGCAATGCTTCCTCTGTGCCTTTGTTTTCTAAGTATGCAAATTGTTTAGTGTGAATAGGGTTATCTGTTAATTCTTTATCCCTGAAATCCCTGTCAATAATTTTCTCTAGACCTTTAAGTTGAAATGAAGTGAGGCTTATCGGTCTAAACGACTTGGGATTTTCATAATCAGTTTTACCCGGTTTGGGGATAAAAACAACATTCGCTTCCGTCCAACATGATGGTATATGCGATAATGAAATACTTTTCTGATAAAGCTGTAGTAGAATGTTGTCAATATAGTCAAGAGGTTTTTGTAGCATGGCAGGAAATATTCCATCTTTACCTGGTGACTTAAAAGGTTGAAATGACATAATAGATCGCCTTACTTTCGAAATGTCAACAATGTCTTCAATTTCTGCATCATTGGTACTTTGCATGGAATAGTAAATGGGTGCTTTAACCTTCTCATTATTGATTAGTACACATTCTGGGAAGTGCTTTACAAGCAAAAGTGTCAAGCTTTCTTTGTGATTTTGGGTGTAAGCACCGTTATCATTTTTCAGTGAGCCTATTTTTGAAGAAGAGTTTTTCTCGAAAATCTTTTGAAATCTGGAAGCTTCTTTGATGGAGTCAATTTCTTCCATTTTTTCTTTCCATGATAGGAACTTCGCTTTCTTACATTCTTCCTTATAGTTCTTTGACATTGATTTGGCAATAGATTTTAGTTTCACGGAGTTAGAATTATTTGCTCGATACGTTGCCTTCAGGCTAACTTTTCTAAGATGAAGAAGAGTGGGAGTTTGCCAGCGAGATTTATAAGTTAAAATTTTTTTAATGGGTTTATTGTTGTTTTGGTAACAATCATATAATATATTTGTCAGTTTATCAGCGAAGAAATCAAGATCTTTACAAGATTTAATATCGCCTTCAGACCAAAAATCTTTAACTTTATTTTTAACATTCATGCAATACTTTACCCAATTCATTAATTTTTTGTTCCTAATAACACAGTCCTTTATAATTTTTTCCCCAAAATTTAAGTAGATAAAATTATGATCAAATGTGACATGGTTAAGTTCGACGTGCCAGTTTGTGATCAGATTATCTAGGTATAGATTAGTTACAGTAAGATCAATAACGGTTTCTCCTCTTCTCATTGTATGGTCACTGCCTTTATTGGAGATGATGCAATTATGTTTTGAGATGAAGGGCCAATAATAGCCATAAATGAATCAACAATTTTTCTTTTTGAAAACGATGACGTTTTTATTAGTTATCTGCAAATTATAAGATTTTCAACAAGTAAAAGAAACATTCACATTCTTTTTTACGTACCAAATCTGACAACCACAACTTTTAATCTAATTAACAAAAAGTTTGTGGTTCCTTGCTTAAGGCTTAATTCATTTCTTGTGAAAGTAAAAGGAAAACTTGTATTGAAATCTATTAGCAGATTCTCTCAACCAAACTGCAGAACTCAGAAACTAAAAGCTATCAATTATTTCTCGGAAACGGAATTAAAATGGTCATCGTCACAATTTTTCTTGGATAAAATCGACAACTTTCAAGGATGTGAAATTATATTTAGCGGGTACATTTCTCCTCCTGCTGCTTATGAGGAATTACAAGACAATAAAACAATTAAAATTACAGGATATCATGTTGATTTAATTAACATTATTGCACCATATGCTAATTATACAGTTAAAATCAGTTTCTTCATGAAAAGACAGAGAAAAACAAAACTTGATGTTTTTATTTCACCCCTTCTGTTACATGATGTACAGAAGAGACATCATTTTAATATGCCCACACAAGCAATTCACTACGAATCTGTTCGAGCTATTGTGCCACCAAGAGAATCATACACATCTTTTGAGAAACTGTTATTGGCATTCGATAAACCCGTGTGGAATTTAATAATAATAACATTTGCTTTGGCCTTCATGGCAATCATCATTTTGCGATTTTGTCCTCGATCTATCAGAGAGTTTGTCATTGGAAGAAATGTCAAAGAACCAGCTTTGAATGTTCTTATAGCATTTTTTGGAGTTGGTCAAACGATTTTGCCACGACGAAATTTTGCAAGATTTCTTCTGATAATGTTCATTCTATACAGTTTGATCATTCGAACAGCTTACCAAGGAAAAAGCTTCGAGTTTCTCCAAAAATATATGAAAAGAAAAGGAGTTCAAACTGTCAAGGATTTATTTGATAAGAATTATACGATTTACACTAATAAATTTCTACAAACCGAATGGAAAACTGCTGACATAGTAAAACAGTAAGTAATAATCACAAATTGATCTATTGACTTAACATTCTTCATATATTCATAGTGCAAAGCCAGTAAAGTCATTCGCGACAGTCAAGAAGATGGTACAAGAAATCAGTACCAACTCTTCATCGCATTCAGCTTTCATTATGTACGAAAACAAGATCAAAATTATTTTTAGAATGCTAAACCAAAACAATATAACAACTCCAATTCATATGTTGGACGAAATTATTGCTGTTGGACCGAAATCGATTAAGTTTGTTGCTAATATGGAACTTTTCAAAACTTTCGACGGAAAGTTAACTCAGTTAAGAGAAGCGGGAATCATGGATCACATAATAAAACCTTACTATAAACTTCACAAAGAAAAACCAAATAATGATCCTAAAGTATTGACGATGGACGATTTATCAGCAGGTTTTGTAGTATTTCTGGTTTTCTTGCTGATTTCAATAGCATCATTTTCATTAGAGATAATAATTGATAAGCTGACAATGCTGTTTAATAAATACCTGAAAGGATGCGTCATAAATAAATAATTGTCCAATTGTCGTCGAAATAATTATTCTCCTTCACCTTTTTCGAACACGTTTCTTGTTGTTTCTTGAAATGTCATCTTAATCTTTACAACATCTTCACAATTAAAAGTAATAAAAAAATTTTGAACAATTCTTTGTTAAATTAGTTTCTACTTTGATTTCAATTCAACCACAGTATAAATTCATTTCGAAGCATTTTAAATAAAAAGAGATTAAGGAAAAATGGATTTTTATATCATCATTCTTTTTATTTTAATCAATCCTTCAAACTCATTAATTGAAAGGAAAGAAATTCTCTCAATTGCATTAAACAGCATAGTGAAAAATCATTTTAATAAAAATAACGAGAGATTTGATATAGTTAGTGAAGCAGAAAATGAATTTTATTTTGACGATGTTATAAACNGAGAAAAAGACTCAAAATTTGTGTAATAAAATAATAAAAAGAAAAATTATTTAATTTGATTCGTCTTTTCGTTTTAAATATTTTTCATATTAATTTTCAGGACGAAAGCTTATAAAAAGTTTCTTTCAATTAAACCGAAAATCGAAAGCTTTTTTTTAAAGCATCTAAAATTTATTGAGAGATTTTCTCGGTTTTCGACAAGTGTTTCGTGAACAGTTACATAAGAAATACAATTTGCATACAATTAATTTAATTACCTACAAATTTCCAAGAATATTTTTGAGTTCAATAGAACATTTCTTCCAAATAATTTTTTACATGTTTTCAGAAAATGTCCTCATAATCTTTACATCATCTATCTACATGTGAATAAAATGAAGGAAATTAATCTTCTGTTTTATAAGTAAATTACTTCCTTTAGTTTCTTTTCAATTCAATTCACTCATAGTTCAAATGTAATTTTTTTACTTTAAGAAGCAAAATAATGAATTTCAATATTTTAACTCTCTTCATGTTAATTAATTATTTAAGTGCAAATTTTATTTACAAAGATTCGTCCAAAAACCATTTTTCAACTGCAATTAATGGAGTAGTGGAAAATTATTTTAACAAACATAACGAGAGGTTTGATATCATAAGTGCCGCAGAAAATGAATTTCATTTTGATGAAATTGTGAACGGAATTATGAAAACAACAAATCAAACAGTTCGAATAACTGAACTGCTACCAGATGAAGGGCCAATAATAGCCATAAATGAATCAACAATTTTTCTTTTCGAAAACGATGACGTTTTTATTAGTTATCTGCACTTTATAAGATTTTCAACAAATAAGAGAAACATTCACATTCTCTTTTTTGTACCAAATATGACAACCACAACTTTTTTCCTGATCAACAAGAAGCTTGGGATTCCTTGCTTAAGGCTTAATTCATTTCTTGTGAAAGTAAAAGGAAAACTTGTATTGAAATCTTTTAGCAGATTCTCTCAACCAAACTGCAGAACTCAGAAACTAAAAGCTATCAATTATTTCTCGGAAACGAACCTGAAATGGTCATCGTCACAATTTTTTTTGGATAAAATCGACAACTTTCAAGGATGTGAAATTATATTTGGAGGATTCTTTCGCTTCCCTACTGCTTATGGGGAATTACAAGAGAATAAAACAATTAAAATTACAGGATATCATGTTGATTTAATTAACATTATTGCACCATATGCTAATTATACAGTTAAAATCAGTTTCTCCAAGAGAAGACTGAGAAAAAGAAGATTTGATGTTTTTATTTCACCCCCCCTTCTGTTACATCATGTACAGAAGAGACATCATTTTAATATGCCCACACAAGCAATTCACTACGAATCTGTTCGAACTATTGTGCCACCAGGAGAATCATACACATCTTTTGAGAAACTGTTATTGGCATTCGATAAACCCGTGTGCAATTTAATAATAATAACATTTGCTTTAGCTTTCATAGTAATCATCATATTACGATTTTGTCCTCGATTTATCAGAGAGTTTGTCATTGGAAGAAACGTCAAAGAACCAGCTTTGAATGTTATTATAGCATTTTTTGGACTTGGACAAACGATTTTGCCACGACGAAATTTTGCAAGATTTCTTCTGATAATGTTCATTCTATACAGTTTGATCATTCGAACAGCTTACCAAGGAAAAAGCTTCGAATTTCTCCAGAAAGATATGAAAAGAAAAGGAGTTCAAACTGTCAAGGATTTATATGATAAGAATTATACGATTTACAGTGTAAAATCTCTACAAACCGAATGGAAAACTGCTGACATAATAAAACAGTAAGTAATAATCACAAATTGATCTATTGACTTAACATTCTTCATATATTCATAGTGCAATGCCACTTGGATCATTAGCGGCAATCAAAAAGATGGTACAAGAAATCAGTACCAAATCTTCATCGCATTCAGCTTTCATTATGTACGAAAACCATGTTAAAAATATTTTTGCAGTTCTAAACCAAAACAATATAACAACTCCAATACATACGTTGGACGAAATTATTGCCGTTGCACCAAAATCAATGAGTTTTGTTGCTAATATGGAACTTTTCAAAACTTTCGATGAAAAGTTAACTCAGTTAAGAGAAGCGGGAATCATGGATCACATAAAAAACCTTACTAAATATAAACTTCACAAAGAAAAACCAAATAATGATCCTAAAGTATTGACGATGGACGATTTATCAGCAGGTTTTGTAGTATTTCTGGTTTTCTTGCTGATTTCAATAGCATCATTTTCATTAGAGATAATAATTGATAAGCTGACAATGCTGTTTAATAAATACCTGAAAGGATGCGTCATAAATAAATAATTGTCCTATTGTCGTCGAAATAATTATTTTCCTTCACCTTTTTCGAACACGTTTCTTGTTGTTTCTTGAAATGTCATCTTAATCTTTACAACATCTTCACAATTAAAAGTAATAAAAATTTTTTGAACAATTCTTTTGTTATTTTAGTTTCTACTTTGATTTCAATTCAATCACAGTATAAATTCATTTCGAAGCATTTTAAATAAAAAGAGATTAAGGAAAAATGGATTTTTATATCATCATTCTTTTTATTTTAATCAATCCTTCAAACTCATTAATTGAAAGGAAAGAAATTCTCTCAATTGCATTAAACAGCATAGTGAAAAATCATTTTAATAAAAATAACGAGAGATTTGATATAGTTAGTGAAGCAGAAAATGAATTTTATTTTGACGATGTTATAAACGGAATCTTGAATGCAACAAATCAGACAGTTAAAATAACTAAGTCGCTGTCAAGCAAAATTAAAACAGAAGTTATCAATGAATCAACAATTTTCATTTTTCAAAACGATGATATTTTTCTTAATAATTTGCGTCACATGAAATTTGGAAAGAATTCAAGAAATATTCACATGCTCTTTTATGTACCAAATACGTCAAAAGATCCAATGATGGCTATATTTAAAATGAGTTATTTTCGTTGGTTAGGGCTTAATTCATTTCTTGTGAAAGTAAAAGGAAAACTTGTATTGAAATCTATTAGCAGATTCTCTCAACCAAACTGCAGAACTCAGAAACTAAAAGCTATCAATTATTTCTCGGAAACGAACCTGAAATGGTCATCGTCACAATTTTTTTTGGATAAAATCGACAACTTTCAAGGATGTGAAATTATATTTGGAGGATTCTTTCGCTTCCCTTTTGCTTATGAGGAATTACAAGAGAATAAAACAATTAAAATTACAGGATATAATGTTGATTTAATTAACATTATTGCACCATATGCTAATTATACAGTTAAAATCAGTTTCTCCAAGAGAAGACTGAGAAAAAGAAGATTTGATGTTTTTATTTCACCCCCCCTTCTGTTACATCATGTACAGAAGAGACATCATTTTAATATGCCCACACAAGCAATTCACTACGAATCTGTTCGAGCTATTGTGCCACCAAGAGAATCATACACATCTTTTGAGAAACTGTTATTGGCATTCGATAAACCAGTGTGGAGTTTAATAATAATAACATTTGCTTTAGCTTTCATAGTAATCATCATATTACGATTTTGTCCTCGATTTATCAGAGAGTTTGTCATTGGAAGAAATGTCAAAGAACCAGCTTTGAATGTTCTTATAGCATTTTTTGGAGTTGGACAAACGATTTTGCCACGACGAAATTTTGCAAGAATTCTTCTGATAATGTTCATTCTATACAGTTTGATCATTCGAACAGCTTACCAAGGAAAAAGCTTCGAATTTCTCCAGAAAGATATGAAAAGAAAAGGAGTTCAAACTGTCAAGGATTTATTTGATAAGAATTATACGATTTACACTAATAAATTTCTACAAACCGAATGGAAAACTGCTGACATAATAAAACAGTAAGTAATAATCACAAATTGATCTATTGACTTAACATTCTTCATATATTCATAGTTCAAAGCCAGTAAAGTCATCCGCGACAATCAAGAAGATGGTACAAGAAATCAGTACCAACTCTTCATCGCATTCAGCTTTCATTACGTACGAAAACTATGTTAAAAATATTTTTGCAGTTCTAAACCGAAACAATTTAACAACTCCAATACATACGTTGGACGAAATTATTGCCGTTGCACCAAGATCAATGAGTTTTGTTGCTAATATGGAACTTTTCAAAACTTTCGATGAAAAGTTAACTCAGTTAAGAGAAGCGGGAATCATGGATCACATAAAAAAACCTTACTATGAACTCTACAAAGAAAAGCCAAATAATGATCCTAAAGTATTGACGATGGACGATTTATCAGCAGGTTTTGTAGTATTTCTGGTTTTCTTGCTGATTTCAATAGCATCATTTTCATTAGAGATAATAATTGATAAGCTGACAATGCTGTTTAATAAATACCTGAAAGGATGCGTCATAAATAAATAATTGTCCTATTGTCGTCGAAATAATTATTTTCCTTCACCTTTTTCGAACACGTTTCTTGTTGTTTCTTGAAATGTCATCTTAATCTTTACAACATCTTCACAATTAAAAGTAATAAAATTTTTTTGAACAATTCTTTTGTTAAATTAGTTTCTACTTTGATTTCAATTCAACCACAGTATAAATTCATTTCGAAGCATTTTAAATAAAAAGGGATTAAGGAAAAATGGATTTTTATATCATCATTCTTTTTATTTTAATTAATCCTTCAAACTCATTAATTGAAAGGAAAGAAATTCTCTCAATTGCATTAAACAGCATAGTGAAAAATCATTTTAATAAAAATAACGAGAGATTTGATATAGTTAGTGAAGCAGAAAATGAATTTTATTTTGACGATGTTATAAACGGAATCTTGAATGCAACAAATCAGACAGTTAAAATAACTAAGTCGCTGTCAAGCAAAATTAAAACAGAAGTTATCAATGAATCAACAATTTTCATTTTTCAAAACGATGATATTTTTCTTAATAATTTGCGTCACATGAAATTTGGAAAGAATTCAAGAAATATTCACATGCTCTTTTATGTACCAAATATGTCAAAAGACACAATGATGACTATATATAAAATGAGTTATTTTCGTTGGTTAAGGCTTAATTCATTTCTTGTGAAAGTAAAAGGAAAACTTGTATTGAAATCTTTTAGCAGATTCTCTCAACCAAACTGCAGAACTCAGAAACTAAAAGCTATCAATTATTTCTCGGAAACGAACCTGAAATGGTCATCGTCACAATTTTTTTTGGATAAAATCGACAACTTTCAAGGATGTGAAATTATATTTGGAGGATTCTTTCGCTTCCCTACTGCTTATGGGGAATTACAAGAGAATAAAACAATNCAAGATTTACTAGCATTCAGTGATGCAAACTTTGGGGAATGCAGAATCGATGGTAAATCTAATTCCGGTGTAATATGTTTTGTTAATGGTGGTCCGATTGTTTGGTCAAGTAAAAAACAATCATTAGTAGCATTATCGACATGTGAAGCTGAATTTTACGCAATCACAGAAGCAACTAGAGAAATATTATGGCTAAAACAACTCATGGCAAGTTTCGATATAAAATTTCATAACCCAATTCCTATACTTTCAGACAACCAATCAAGTATCAATATGATTTACAATGGCGAGTCTATGCAACGCACTAAATATATCGGTGTAAGATATCATTTTATCCGTGATTGGATAAAGAGAAATTCAATCGAATTATTATACTGTCCATCTGAGTACAACATCGCAGACATGATGACCAAGCCTTTAAGTGGAGTAAAGATTAAAATGTTACGATCAGCAGCTGGACTTCTACCACCACCCACCATGCCTTCCATAGAAACAAACACAATTCTATCAAAAACATCATCCTGCATTCGTTGGAATAACACAAACTAAGACATCATAATTTCTTTATAATTTTTTTTAATTTACATACAAATTACATTGTTGCGGGGGAGTGTTAGATTATATAACTGATCCCAAAAATGTAATTCAAATGCCTGTATTACAGATCAGGCAATACTTATTATTTATTATAAAAGAAGAACAAGGAATAAAAATAAGACAGTTTATTATCAGAACCAACAGGTTATGGGCAACCAGAAAAAAAATCTGCAATCAATTTTAATTTTTTTTATAATCAAAAGTAAGCGAAATTTATAAGTTTGAAAATCAAAGTTACAATTTTTTCATTGAACAAAGCTGAAGAGGTTTATCTTTAATATAAACGCTCAAAGTAATAATCAATGAAATAAATAAAACTGAAGATTGAACAAACGTTTTAATTTCCATTGTTTAAATTTTTTTTAGTTCACGCGAATGTCATTGAATGACATTGTCGCAAATTTAAAAGAGGATAAATCAGCAACAACCTCAAACGAAATTCTTGATTCAAGTGCATTTCAAAAGCCAGTTTTATCTCCAGAAAGCACAAAAGAATTATTAAATGCACATTTCAATATTGATTCATATTCTGAAAGCATGAATGAATCTTCAAAAATTGAAGTATTAAGTACTTCAAACTATGACTCATGGTCAGAACAAATTGAAGCAATTCTTAATCAAAAGAAATGTTGGCTTGATTTAGATGGTGCGGATGCAGCAAAAGCTGACTATGCTGCCACTGCTAAGAAAGCGTATTTCGAGATCGTTGTTCGATGTGACAGTCAACATACTCAGTTCATAAAGTCCGTCGCAAAATACGATTCAGTGAAAGCACTAAATGCACTTCGCGATAAATATGAAGGAAAAGGCTTGATCTCTAGAATTGGAATTCTACAAAAATGTCTTCTCATGCGCCATCAACAAGGAACAATAGAAAAGCACATTGATGATTTACGAACCAACTATCAACTGCTGAAGAAAAAAGGTTTAACAATTGAAACAATGCAAGTTGCTAATCTGATGATTACATTACCTTCTGACTTCGGAAGTGTTCTTGCAAATTTTATCAACGTCGACGAAAAAGAATTAAATTTCGAAGACGTAGCAAGTGCAATCCTAGTTGAACAAAACCGAAGATCAATTATTGAAGGATATGATGTCAATGCATCAGCAGCATCATTTAATCGTTTCGATAGAAAGAAATTATTGAAGTGCACGCGTTGTGGAAAGAAAGGACATTTGACAGAATCTTGTGCACAACAGTCAAGCGTCACACATCAGCCAAACATCAGCTGCACCTTTTGTGGAAAAAAGAACCACCAGGCTTCCAGATGTTTTAAGAAATTAAATGAGAATAATCGTCAAAATCAAATGCAATCATCTCATTTCACATCAATCAACAACGAAGACAACAAAAACAATGAAACGTCGATGTATGCAAATCCTTATCACAAAGCATTTGTAGCTTCATCAGCTTCGATCAATTCTTCATTACAAAATAAACGAAGAAGTGTTTTCAATCGTCTTTCGTCAGTGATTGAAGATGAAGATGTTATGAAAAATTTTTCAAAAATAACAATGAACGGCGATAATACAATGATCAATCAGACTTCGAAAAGGCAACGGGAAGTTAATGAATCAAGTGNACATGCTCTTTTATGTACCAAATATGTCAAAAGAGACAATGATGGCTATATTTAAAATGAGTTATTTTCGTTGGTTAAGGCTTAATTCATTTCTTGTGAAAGTAAAAGGAAAACTTGTATTGAAATCTTTTAGCAGATTCTCTCAACCAAACTGCAGAACTCAGAAACTAAAAGCTATCAATTATTTCTCGGAAACGAACCTGAAATGGTCATCGTCACAATTTTTTTTGGATAAAATCGACAACTTTCAAGGATGTGAAATTATATTTGGAGGATTCTTTCGCTTCCCTACTGCTTATGGGGAATTACAAGAGAATAAAACAATTAAAATTACAGGATATCATGTTGATTTAATTAACATTATTGCACCATATGCTAATTACAAAGTTAATATCAGTTTCTTCAAGAAGGTTTCTTCAGGAAGAAAAAAAAATATAAGTCCTGATGTTTTTATTTCATCCCTTCTGTTACATGGTACAAGAAACAGAGAACATAATTTTAATACGCCCACACAAGCAATTCATTACGAATTGATTCGAATTATTGTGCCACCAAGAGAATCATACACATCATTTGAGAAATTGTTATTGGCATTCGATAAACCAGTGTGGAGTTTAATAATAATAACATTTGCTTTAGCTTTCATAGTAATCATCATATTACGATTTTGTCCTCGATTTATCAGAGAGTTTGTCATTGGAAGAAACGTCAAAGAACCAGCTTTGAATGTTATTATAGCATTTTTTGGACTTGGACAAACGATTTTGCCACGACGAAATTTTGCAAGATTTCTTCTGATAATGTTCATTCTATACAGTTTGATCATTCGAACAGCTTACCAAGGAAAAAGCTTCGAATTTCTCCAGAAAGATATGAAAAGAAAAGGAGTTCAAACTGTCAAGGATTTATTTGATAAGAATTATACGATTTACACTAATAAATTTCTACAAACCGAATGGAAAACTGCTGACATAATAAAACAGTAAGTAATAATCACAAATTGATCTATTGACTTAACATTCTTCATATATCATAGTGCAAAGCCAGTAAAGTCATTCGTGACAGTCAAGAAGATGGTACAAGAAATCAGTACCAACTCTTCATCGCATTCAGCTTTCATTATGTACGAAAACCATGTTAAAATTATTTTTGCAGTTCTAAACCGAAACAATATAACAACTCCAATACATACGTTGGACGAAATTATTGCCGTTGCACCAAAATCAATGAGTTTTGTTGCTAATATGGAACTTTTCAAAACTTTCGATGAAAAGTTTGTTAGATTATATAACTGATCCCAAAAATGTAATTCAAATGCCTGTATTACAGATCAGGCAATACTTATTATTTATTATAAAAGAAGAACAAGGAATAAAAATAAGACAGTTTATTATCAGAACCAACAGGTTATGGGCAACCAGAAAAAAAATCTGCAATCAATTTTAATTTTTTTTATAATCAAAAGTAAGCGAAATTTATAAGTTTGAAAATCAAAGTTACAATTTTTTCATTGAACAAAGCTTATCTTTAATATAAACGCTCAAAGTAATAATCAATGAAATAAATAAAACTGAAGATTGAACAAACGTTTTAATTTCCATTGTTTAAATTTTTTTAGTTCACGCGAATGTCATTGAATGACATTGTCGCAAATTTAAAAGAGGATAAATCAGCAACAACCTCAAACGAAATTCTTGATTCAAGTGCATTTCAAAAGCCAGTTTTATCTCCAGAAAGCACAAAAGAATTATTAAATGCACATTTCAATATTGATTCAAATTCTGAAAGCATGAATGAATCTTCAAAAATTGAAGTATTATTTAAGTACTTCAAACTATGACTCATGGTCAGAACAAATTGAAGCAATTCTTAATCAAAAGAAATGTTGGCTTGATTTAGATGGTGCGGATGCAGCAAAAGCTGACTATGCTGCCACTGCTAAGAAAGCGTATTTCGAGATCGTTGTTCGATGTGACAGTCAACATACTCAGTTCATAAAGTCCGTCGCAAAATACGATTCAGTGAAAGCACTAAATGCACTTCGCGATAAATATGAAGGAAAAGGCTTGATCTCTAGAATTGGAATTCTACAAAAATGTCTTCTCATGCGCCATCAACAAGGAACAATAGAAAAGCACATTGATGATTTACGAACCAACTATCAACTGCTGAAGAAAAAAGGTTTAACAATTGAAACAATGCAAGTTGCTAATCTGATGATTACATTACCTTCTGACTTCGGAAGTGTTCTTGCAAATTTTATCAACGTCGACGAAAAAGAATTAAATTTCGAAGACGTAGCAAGTGCAATCCTAGTTGAACAAAACCGAAGATCAATTATTGAAGGATATGATGTCAATGCATCAGCAGCATCATTTAATCGTTTCGATAGAAAGAAATTATTGAAGTGCACGCGTTGTGGAAAGAAAGGACATTTGACAGAATCTTGTGCACAACAGTCAAGCGTCACACATCAGCCAAACATCAGCTGCACCTTTTGTGGAAAAAAGAACCACCAGGCTTCCAGATGTTTTAAGAAATTAAATGAGAATAATCGTCAAAATCAAACGCAATCATCTCATTTCACATCAATCAACAACGAAGACAACAAAAACAATGAAACGTCGATGTATGCAAATCCTTATCACAAAGCATTTGTAGCTTCATCAGCTTCGATCAATTCTTCATTACAAAATAAACGAAGAAGTGTTTTCAATCGTCTTTCGTCAGTGATTGAAGATGAAGATGTTATGAAAAATTTTTCAAAAATAACAATGAACGGCGATAATACAATGATCAATCAGACTTCGAAAAGGCAACGGGAAGTTAATGAATCAAGTGATGAAACTGAAGCACCACCAACGCCAGGGAAAAATCTTATTTTTGATAAAAATACAAATAAATATAGAACTATTTCTACTATTGAAAATGATCCTGAAATAGAAATTCATTGTAATGAAAGTGAAATAAATACTTTATACAACTCTTGTGAATTTTATGAAAAATCTTTTTCTTCATCAACTTCTAAACAATTTTCAGGGTGGATTATAGATTCGGGAGCATCAATTCACTTGACTTCTGATAAATCTCTTTTCCATGATCTAACGTTAAATAAATGTGGAAAAATAAAAATAGCTGATGGAACATTTATTCCTATTTGTGGATACGGAACAATCAGAATATTATTTCAACATAATAAAGAAGAAATAGCATTAATGCTGAAAGATGTAGCATATGTTCCTAGCTCACATGTAAATTTAATATCTGTTAATGAATTAAATAAATGTGGCAATGCAATTCTTTTTGAGAAATCAATTTGTAAGATAAAAATTGGATCAGCATTTATTCCACTTGCTCGATTCATTAACAATAATTTTTTAGTTAATGAAACACAACACAATTTTGCGTCTCCATGTATACATGAGTGGCATCGTAGACTTGCTCATCGTAACATACGAGACATAAAACGTCTTAAAGCTTCAGGACTAGAGATCACTAAGTGTAATTGTAGTGACCAATGTGATGCATGTATGAAAGGAAAATCGACACAACTTCCATTTCCTGAATCGGAAAAATCAGAAAAACTTCTTGATGTGATCGTAAGCGATATCTGTGGTCCACTTCAAACAATGTCAATTGGTGGATCAAAATATTTTTTAACAATCACAGATTCATTCTCTGATTACACTGAGGTAAAATTTTTAAGAAACAAAAGTGAAGCTAAAGAACATATAATCAATTTTGTTGAATTTATAAAAACTCAACTATCCAGAAAACCAAAGACATTTAGATCAGATGGTGGAGGTGAGTTTGTCAACATTGAATTGCAAAATTATCTCAACAAAGAAGGCATTAGATTTGAAGTAACGGTACCATACACTCCACAACAAAACGGTAAGGCCGAACGTAAGAACCGCACACTTAATGACGCAGTTCGTACAATTCTAATATCTTCAAAGCTTCCTGAAAACATGTGGGCAGAAGCAATGAACTACGTCGTGTATACACAAAATCGTATAGTACGTAAAGACAAAATTCATGCACCCATTGAAATTTTTTTTAACAAAAAAGCTCGCGCTACTTTCCTAGAGTTTGGAAAATTTGTTTACGTCACGACACCTCAACAAGGCAAAGGCAAATATTCACCTAAAGCCGAAGTTATGAGATTTTTAAGTGTCGATGACAAAGCGAAAGGTTTTCGTATCTGGAATGGTTCAAAAATAATCATAAGTCGAAATATTAGACCAAAAATTAATTTAGACTTATGTTATCAAAATCCATTAAATGATCAACCAATAAATGATTTTTCAGAGTCATTTGACAGCGAACCAGATATATTTCCATTACCTTTAAGACGATCACAGCGTATTAAAGAAAAATTAGAAATTCAAAATGTTCATCAAACAGAATTAATAAATGATTTAGATCCAACGTCTTACAAAGAAGCAATAACTTCATCAGATAAAGGAAAATGGATATCTGCAATGAGAGAGGAATTGGAATCACTCGAAAAAACTGGAACGTATAAGCTGGTAGATCTTCCAGAAGATAGGAAAGCAATTGGTAGCAAATGGGTGTACAAGCGAAAAAATGAAAATGAAAATATTCGTTTTAAAGCTCGTTTAGTCGCAAAAGGATTCTCACAAAAATATGGTGAAGACTATGATGAAGTCTTTGCACCAGTAGCTAGAGCTCCAACCATTCGTCTTCTCCTATCAATGGCAGGCAAATTAAAACTTCTCGTTAAACAGTTTGACGTTAAAACTGCATTCCTGAATGGAATCCTAAAAGAAGAAATTTATATGAAGCCTCCCGAAGGGTACGAGTCTAATAATAAAGTTATGCGACTTTACAAAGCTATTTACGGCTTGAAACAAGCCGCCAGATCTTGGAATCTGATGCTTAAGGAATGCTTGGAAAAAGCAGACTTCATACAATCAGAAGCTGATGATTGTTTATTTATCAAGAAATCAGATAATGATGTATGTTTCATCGCAGTTCACGTTGATGATATGTTGTTTGCAGCTTCAAGCATTGAAATAATTGATGATGCATTTAAACTATTATCACGAAGCTTCGAACTGAAAGATCTCGGACCCGTGAAACAGTTTTTAGGTGTTGATATTTATAGGTCAGCAAATGGTTGTTTTGGGATAAATCAAACAAATTACATCTCCAAAATATCTAGAGAATTAGGATTAGATCAAGCTAAAAGTCAAAAATATCCAATTCAACCGGGATATTTCAAACTTGAAAGCGATGAATTTCTACCCTCAAATACACTCTATAGAAAAGTTATTGGAATGCTACTATATGTGTCAACCAACTCAAGACCAGACATAAGTTTAAGTGTCGGTGTTCTTGCGCAACGTGTAGAAAATCCAAGAAAGCTTGATTTAGTCGAAGCGTTCAGAGTTGTAAAATATCTTGTTGCAACAAAAGACCAAATTCTCCATCTTAATAATGCTCACATTCATCAAGATTTACTAGCATTCAGTGATGCAAACTTTGGGGAATGCAGAATCGATGGTAAATCTAATTCCGGTGTAATATGTTTTGTTAATGGTGGTCCGATTGTTTGGTCAAGTAAAAAACAATCATTAGTAGCATTATCGACATGTGAAGCTGAATTTTACGCAATCACAGAAGCAACTAGAGAAATATTATGGCTAAAACAACTCATGGCAAGTTTCGATATAAAATTTCATAACCCAATTCCTATACTTTCAGACAACCAATCAAGTATCAATATGATTTACAATGGCGAGTCTATGCAACGCACTAAATATATCGGTGTAAGATATCATTTTATCCGTGATTGGATAAAGAGAAATTCAATCGAATTATTATACTGTCCATCTGAGTACAACATCGCAGACATGATGACCAAGCCTTTAAGTGGAGTAAAGATTAAAATGTTACGATCAGCAGCTGGACTTCTACCACCACCCACCATGCCTTCCATAGAAACAAACACAATTCTATCAAAAACATCATCCTGCATTCGTTGGAATAACACAAACTAAGACATCATAATTTCTTTATAATTTTTTTTAATTTACATACAAATTACATTGTTGCGGGGGAGTGTTAGATTATATAACTGATCCCAAAAATGTAATTCAAATGCCTGTATTACAGATCAGGCAATACTTATTATTTATTATAAAAGAAGAACAAGGAATAAAAATAAGACAGTTTATTATCAGAACCAACAAAGTTAACTCAGTTAAGAGAAGCGGGAATCATGGATCACATAAAAAAACCTTACTATGAACTCTACAAAGAAAAGCCAAATAATGATCCTAAAATATTAACGATGGACGATTTATCAGCAGGTTTTGTAGTATTTCTGGTTTTCTTGCTGATTTCAATAGCATCATTTTTATTAGAGATTATAATAGCAAAGCTGATATTTCTCCTAAGAAACGAGAAAAACTAATGAGAGATTGATAGATAGATTTATTAGCACTAGTAAATATTGCTAATTTTATATTCAAATTGAATGTAAAGGATTTCATGTAACTCTATTTGTACAGCACTTATAAGGGATACTCATCAGCACAGGAATTTTATTAATCAATGTTTGAAATACTCTGTAAACATAGATCTAAAACATCTTATTCTTATAATATCAAATGTTTTTGATTAAATTTAATTCTAATTAAAACTAACTTTCAATGTCTACTTACCTGTTTGAATCATTTTTGGTAACATGTTAAAACTTTTAATATTTGTTATAAAATAAATATTATTACATACTTGGTTATCCTCATAATACCCTAGTTGCAATTTAAGGAAATAACATAAATAATATAGAAATACGTTCGTGTTCTGTATAAATTCTAAATTTATAACTTTTATTAGAAGAAATTTTTAAAAAGTAAAACAACACATTTCACCCAATTTGGAACGATTCGTTGAAGGAGATTGAATTCGGCGGGTGAAGCGTAAGCTTTAAGATGGTCATATTCATTTTTCAAAGAAAGCTGCAGCTCTTTATTTGTTGTTACTAAACAAATTTGCGATTCGAGATCTCGATTCAATGATCGTTCGCCATAATTTGACGAACCAACGACTGTCATACAAGGTAAGGACGAATCTACGGGATAATACCAAATTCCTTTTGCATGGTAAGTCCAAAAAGAACGCTCATATTCGAACAATGAGATCCGATTTTCTTGTTCATTTTCTTTGATGAGATTAAAGAATTTCTTGGCAATTAATGTGTATGCATCTGGAATACCACTCGATGGCCACGATGATCCCTTAAACAAAAAAATTTACTTTATAATTTCATATTTTCACATTAGATAAATATTATCATACCTTAAATCCATTGGCATTTGGATGAGCCATTATTATATTAAAGTCAGCATGGCACTTTTTTACAATAAAATCTTTCAATTTCTCTGTTAAGTTGAAATATCCCGAAGCCATATTGATAGTTGACCCCTTTTCTGACACATTTAAAATCTTTTCCATGACAACACTATCGTGATGAATTCCCAGCTGACCCATCTCGAGAGTAGGAAAAATCCACGTATCATTAGAAATGTTATCAAGTTCATGTCTTTGCTTTTCAAAAGTTTCTTTGAAAAAGCTGCTTATTCTTGCTTTAGCTTCGGTTGCAAACTTTTGTTGATCGCTTTTGTATGGCAGAAGATTCCAATTTTCATGCAAACTAAAGGAACCATTTCTTTCAACCTTCAGACTAAATTCTTGAACTTTTTCTAAAAGACTAGAAAAATAGCTTGTGAGCTTTTTATCCTGGATTTCAATGTAGCGATCTTGTCTATTTGTGAAGTAATCATTCGATAGATTTGCTCCAGACATGATTATGGAGTCGTCAAAGAGATAAATTTTCATGTGTTGAAGACCAAGTACCTCATTCCATCTTGCTGGTGCTAAGCTTTTAGTGATACCTCGGAGAAGTGGTGTGTGATAAAGAGATAAGTTGAAGTTTTCACTTTGATTGAGGAGAGGCATTAGCATTGTTTTAGAATTAATTTTTCCTCTTGTTCCTCTTGTGAAGTCTAGAAGAACGTTCACTTTAATGTTTTTATTGCTATTCAAGTTTGTCCTTATCGCTTCTATTAATTCAGATTCAAGTTTTCCTACTCCAATGTATAAACTTGCGAGGCCAATTCTCTCCTTGGCAGCAGATGCACGCTTTAAAAGAATGTTATAGAAATCCTTTGGATGATGGATAACTTTAACATTTGCTGCATTCACACAAAATCCTGGAGTAAATTCAGCGAGGAAATTCAAATTATCTAATTTTGAGTCATTGTAAAAATGTGCTCGATTTGTTGAAATATTTTGATGAAAGAATCCAGATGAAGAAAGAATTGAATGACATTCCACGGATGTTGTAAGAAAACTTCGTATCATACTAATCATCCTTAGGAAACACGATGAGAGAAATGTTACCACGAGTTGCAAACTGACAATAAAAAAGGAAACGACGAGCGATATTATTATATTTTTACTTTTTTGCTTTATCAGGAATGGTCAGACACTATCACAATTCCTACCAAGAGTGAGATACTTTATTAACATTTTCTATCAATTTAAATGTCATTATTTCTATGTTTAAAGTACAAATTAATTAATTTCATTAAAATGTGAATTGTTTACAACTTTTATGACAAGAATAATTTTTAAACGCATTCATTAGCTTTGAATCGGTTATCGGTTTTGTTTTCAACCGATCTGAATAAATCTTTAAAATTTGTTGACATAAAAATTTAAACACGTTTCCTAATTAATCATAAAAGCCTGAACCTTAGATTAATTAAAAAAGATAATAAAGCTAACCCAACAATCATTCAAATTCATATAAACAAGAACGGCTTCCTCTACAATCATTTCTCTTCGAAAGTTTATTTACAATTCTCAACATGTCCATAATTGATGGTAAGATTTTATGTTTAAAAATGTAATTGATTTAGGTACTTACTTTTTTATAATAGATGAACAAATCATCAAACGGAGACTGCAAATTGATGGAGAAGGAGTGGGAGATGATAGAAAAATAAATTTATTATTGAAAACTTACACAAAATGGTGCACTACACCTTCATCAGTTGACAACAATGATGCTCATGATCGAATTCTCACTCAATTATCACAGTGTGAATTTTCTGTTCTGAAGTCCGACATATCTGAACACATGATGGATGAGGAAATGAAAAATTACAAGAAAATTTCTGATAATATAGCAGAAAGAATCGAACAGATCAGAGATCAGATAGAACAATCAAAAGATCTTCTCGAAAAAGCAAAGGAAATAAGAAGAAATAAATTGGAATATTTAAGCTTGGCGCGGTTGATAAATCAGGAGCCCGAGCGAGTTGAAGTTGTTGCAAAATATCAGGAACTTCAAGAGGAGTTATTAACTCAAAATGAACATTTCCTAAAAGCAAGTCAAGTTCTTGAAAATCGTCGAAAGGATTTTGCAGCTTTTATGTTCTTAACAAAGGAATTATTGAGAGACTGCAATTTTGATGTTGATAATTCTACAGAGACTAACGATGAAGAGACTGAAGGTGGGATATTCGAAGATGATGGCGACATAATTGCCGATGCTGATGACATTGAAAAAATGATAATTGAGTAACGCGATCTTTAAAATGTTATTTTATTATTCCATCTTAATTTAAATAACAATTTTACTGATTTCTTGTTTTGTTGATGTCAATTATTTTTTATTTTTTTAGATTAAGATCCTGTCTATGAATAAAAGAAAAAATTGAAGATGAACTCAAAACTGTGTTTAATTTCAAATGATAAAAATTTCTAATCGTTTGAAATGCTGATGATAAAATAAAATAATTTTTTGAAGGAGAAACTAAACTCACAAATATTTTCTTGTAATAATTCTTAAGTTTACAAAGTGTTTATTTGTTTATTTATCATTTTTGCATAAATATAAAAAAAAATGATAATTGTGAATACAGTACCAATTGTGAATACGCTTAATCTAGAATGCGGTTTTCTTCGCTATTTTGACATTATAAAACTCACAACTTTTTAGAGAAGCAAAGTAGATAGTCCAAAGTACTTCTCTACCAAGTTTTGAGCTTTAAAGTGGCATAATATGTAGCGAAGAAACCGGCATTCTCAATGAAGTGTAATCACAATTCTATATTCATAATTATTGTTTCCTTTGTATCTTGAGAAAATACTGCACTTGTTCTATCGTGTGAAAGATCTACAAGAAAATTTTTCATAAATATTTCTTTGTAGAACGAAAATAGGGAAAAACAAAACCGCACAATAACATTTAATAATATCATCTAGTAATTCTGATATTTTAATGTCAAAATAGAGGAATGGCACAAAAAGAATATTCATATGTAGGACAAGTACAATTGCAAAAGCTGATAAATACATCCAGTACCTGAATAAAAATAAGATAAATTAACATTTTAAAAATACCTAATGGTAATTCAGACCTTGATTTTTCTTCTTCCAATTTTGTATGTTCCAACGGCCTTGAAGTTTTTGACATTTGAAATATTTTGATTCCAGCAAGGATGAAAAATATTATATCCAAAACTAATGAAAGCAAAATGACAACTATGAGAATTGGGCCCAAATAACGTAAAAAAACTAAAAAAGCATGGTGCCTATGAAAATTTTCATGTATTATAAATAAGCCAAAGAATAATGACAACGTTATTGAATATCCACAGTAGTATAAAAATCTTTCCCTTCCTTCAGATGATGCATTCAAGTTCCTAGATTCAAAAGAAAACATATTAAGATAATACATAAGCAAGTTCGAAATCGAAACATTAACAAACCAAAGTGTAAACCAAATATCAAATGCCATAATGCTTGTCCATTGAAATGCATAATTAATGAAGAAACCATATAAAAAAATTGATGTGTAATAAGAAAAAGCCTTAGTAACTTGTAATGCATAAAAGAAGTAACTGAGAGTCATTGCAAAACAGAACATCATAACAATTTTTCCATGAAGTGTTCGGAAGCTTTTTATAGCAAAATAAATGATAACAACTGTTATGGAAGTCAAGGTCGAGATACTTGAAACTGTGTAGAAGATAAGAAATTTGAATTTATATGAAATGTTATATGAAATCAGCAAAACTCACGAATGATGTGAACAACTTTTTGAAGTTTAATTTTTGATGCACAAATGTATAAATTCCATTGAACTTCCCCATCGACTTTCACATCTTCAAAGCAATATTTATCATTGTCATAAAATTGACGTCCATTCACTATTCCACCATCATACTTAAAGACAGATTAAAGTGAAATTTAATGAAACCTTTTAGAAAATATTTTAATTAGTTTCTTCATACATGTGCAAAATCCCAATCGTCTTTAGAAATTTCAGTTGCGCACAATGGACGTCCATGTAAAACATGTAATTCCTTAGGAGTTTCATCAAAATCGTAAACATTTTCCATTTTTTCTGAATAACTTTTATTGAAGTTTTCTCTCAAATAATCATCCTTGCAAGTTTTGTAATCATTACAACAAATTCTGACACAAGGAGCGCTGAATGTTTTGCATGGATTTTCGATAACACTTTCTTCATGAGACAATAGCAACACGATGGAAAATATCACGAGTGGAACGAGAGAAATTACAATCCAATATGTATTCTGAAACATTTTTTGAATGTTCTTAAAAGCTTTCTATGAAACAACTAAAATTATTAAATGCTCAACATCAGAATTTATATGCTTCTCAAAGAATGAGAGTCAAATTGAGAGAAATATTTGAATTATTTTGAATGAGTTATAATCAGAAGACAAAATTCATATACATTCTGTCTTAAAATCTTTTTATTCAAAATAAATAAACTTGTCAATGAATGCAACCTTTCATGAAACATAAATCATCAGTCAATTTCTTGCGAATATTTTTGTGCAGCACAAGAATTGAATAAATAATGTTAATTGAACAATAAAAATTAACTTAAAGCTTTAGAAAACCAGTTATTTTATCTAAGTGAAAGTATTTTATTCCAGCGTGCGGTCGACTAGTTTCGGACTGTATTTTGTTCATCATCAGGTACGATATAATAAAATATAAAACAATAAATAATAAAAGCTTTTACACAATTTAATTAGAATCTCACACAAAATACAAAAAAAAGGAACTTTCATCTAGAATTCTTTTTGTAACATGTCAACTTTATTAAATTGACCGCTAACTTAGGTCAATTTGAAACCTGATCCTCACTAAACTGATCCTCAGTTGCGTCATTTAATATGTTTTGCGTTAAAATATTTTTCTCTCTTGATCTCACGAATTCTCTAACGTGAAGATCATTTTCAAGGTAAATCCTGTTCAACTTCGTCGTGTCTGTACGTCAGTTGACTTTTTAAGTATTTTCAATGTGTAGCATCTTTTACGTTAAAAATCTTTCCGATATCATTAAAAAACAGTTATGTAAAAACAATCCTGAATCGAAAATTGCCTTAGAACTAATCAACAAATCGAATAAATATTTTTCAAAAACAAAAGATCAAAAAGGAAAATCACAAAAACGTTCTTTATGAGATAAAATATGAATGCAATCTCTCATGCATTCTTCTTGTATGCTGGAATGCTTAAGTTCGAAAAGTGTTTATTTATCATTTTTGCACAGACGATAAAACAAAAATTAAAAAGTAATGCTTGAAGAAACCGTTAACTTTCTCTAAAGATTTGTTCACGATAGGCGAAAACAATAATTGCAAATACACTTAATTGAATGCGGGTTTCTTCGCTATTTTACAACTTTAAAGCTCTACACTTTAGTAGAACGGAATTTATAATATTTACAATAATTGTTTTCCTTTATATCTAGAGAAAATGTTGAACTTGTTCCATCATGTGAAAGACCTCCAAGAAAATTTTTCCCAAACATTTCTTTGTAGAACGAAAATGGGGAAAAGCAAAATCGCACAATAACATTGAATCATGTCATCCAGTAATTCTGATACATCACTGCGAAAGATATCGAATGGCACAATAACAATGTTGAAAAGCAACAAAAATATAATTGCAAAGGCTGATAAATACATCCAGTACCTGAGAAAAAATAAGATAAATTTAAATTTTAAACATAAATTTGAGTCAACTCAGACCTTGATTTTTCTTCTTCCAATTTTGTATGTTCCAACGGCCGTGAAGTTTTTGACATTTGAAATATTTTGATTCCAGCAAGGATGAAAAATATTATATCCAAAACTAATGAAAGCAAAAAAATATATGCGAGAATTGTGTGCAAATAACGCAAAAAACCAAAAATAGTATGGTGCCAATGAAAACTTTCATAAAGGAAACAAAAAGCAACGAATAATGATAACGTTATTGCATATCCACAGTAGTATAAAAACCTTTCCCTTCCTTCAGATGATGCATTTAAGTTCCTAGATTTAAAAGAAAACATATTAAGATAATAAATAAGTGAGTTCGAAATCGAAACATTAACAAACCAAAGTGTAAAGAAAATGTCAAATGCCATAATGCTGATCCATTGAAATGCAAAATTAAGGAACAAAGCATACAAAAAACTGGGCATGTGATAGTAATAGAAGGTATCCTTAGTATTAAATGCATAAAAAAAGTAACTGAGAGCCATTGCAAAACAGAACATCATAACAATTTTTCCATGAAGTGTTCGGAAGTTTTTTATGGCAAAATAAATGATAACAACTGCCATGGAAGTCAAGGCCGAGGCACTTGAAACTGTGTAGAAGATAAGAAATTTGATTTTTAAAAAATTTTATATGAAATCAGCAAAACTCACGAATGATGTGAACAACTTTATGAAGCTTAATTTTTGATGCACAAATGTATAAATTCCATTGAACTTCCCCAGCGACTTTCACATCTTCAAAGCAATATTTATCATTGTCATAAAATCGATGTCCAATCTCTATTCCACCATCATACTTAAAGTCAGATTTAAACCAAATTTCATGAAAAATTATTAGAAAATATTTTAATTAGTTTCTTCATACATGTGCAAAATCCCAATCGTCTTTAGAAATTTCAGTTGCGCACAATGGACGTCCATGTAAAACATGTAATTCCTTAGGAGTTTCATCAAAATCGTAATCATTTTCCATTTTTTCTGAATAACTTTTATTGAAGTTTTCTCTCAAATAATCATCCTTGCAAGTTTTGTAATCATTACAACAAATTCTGACACAAGGTTCCGTGATTCTTTTACATGCATTTTCGATAACACTTTCTTCATGAGACAATAGCAACACGATGGAAAATATCACGAGTGGAACGAGAGAAATTACAATCCAATATGTATTTTTAAACATTTTCTGAATGTTCTTAAAAGCCTTCTATGAAACAACTAAAATTATTAAATGCTCAACATCAGAATTTATATGCTTCTCAAAGAATGAGAGTCAAATTGAGAGAAATATTTGAATTATTTTAAATGAGTTATAATCAGAAGACAAAATTCATATACATTCTGTCTTAAAATCTTTTTATTCAAAATAAATAAACTTGTCAATAGCAAATTAATGCAACCTTTCATGAAACCTTTCTGCAGTACAAAAATTAAATAAATAATATTAATTGAATAATAACAATGGAAATGAAAGTAGGATGGTAAAATTATTTTGTTAATCGCTAAAATGAGCATAATTACAGAAGAAAAAAAACATACGACGAGAACAAAGCTTTATTATTAATAACATTTGACGTCATGACTCATTCATATGAAATTCACTACGTCATAATAAACGATAGTTCAAAATAGTTTTACATTTAACAACTCTGAATGAATATTTTTGTCAGGAATTTTTATTATTTTTCAAAATATTGAATCAAAATTAAATGAGATTAAAATTCCAGCAAAAACAACTTCAAAAGAAAGTTACTAGAAAAGCTTTTAAAAATCCATAGATGAATTAATGCTTGCATGACTACAAGGAATTTCCCACTAGCCGGAAGTTGGTAGGCTTTAAATCATTAACTTCGTAATATTAGAAGAAAAAGATTTTTACGAGTTCTAAAGGCTCACATGTGAAGCAACTCAACACTAGAGAAGTTCTAAAATCGAAAATGCTAATGAAAGGAGGGAAGAAATCACATGTTCTGCAATTTATGCTTGTGTATGTTTCAGTGCAATAATTTGAATTTTGCATAAGCTTTAAAAATATCAAATACTATTTTTTCGACTTTGAAAAGCTTAAAAGTGACAATCATAAAAAGAATCATTTGAAAAGTTTTTTCAAACTCATATTTGAACATTTTTCTTGCAACAAATGTCTATCAAATGTAACCACCAATGCAAAAAATATTAAGACTAACATAACATGCAAGCTTTCTCATCCACTTGAAACCTCGGAATGAATATTTTCAAGTTTCAGTAAATATCCTATTCTCACCACAATACATACTCAAATGCTTTTGTAATATTTTCATGCAATGTATTGTGAATATTTTCATTCCATTTTCACCTCAACTCAATTTACATTCATCGTTCTTTACTTAGTATTCAAGCGTGTGTTTTGATTTTGTTGGTTTTCCTTTTTATTTCACTTCGCGTTTTTAATAAATATGTGCTACAATCCTTATATATTTTCTCATATTTAAATTTCCACCATTACTATTTTCGTTCCTTCGATGTGGTTATTTTTGCTTCTCATTTTCAAACGACTTCAGTCGAAAGCGCGCGTCGTCGAACAAAAGTTTAGTTTGTGACGATTCTCTTCCAACTGTGATTGTTCTCTTTTGTTAATATTTCACTTCATTAATAATATTGTTAAGTCTTTGAAAGCTTTATCACTATCTTAGCTGCAGTTTGAGAAGTGTAAGAAAATAAAAGTTATGATGTGAGTTAATTAACAGCTTATTTGGATAACGAGCTGAGTGTGCTTCAAACTAAAAAGTCATTAAAAATAATTTTGATGAAATTCGTTTGTGCATAATAAATTTTAAAATCAAATTTCTGAAAAAAGTTTCTAAATAGATATAAAATAATTTAAAGTATAAGAAAAGTCCTTTGTAAAGTTCAACAGTTCATTGCACTAAATTTTGGGGAACGAAACGAAATACAAGTGCGAATATGCTAATCGCGTCCTCAAATCGGGTCACTAAGAAATTGAAATGACCGAAATAAACGAATGTGAATAGAAGCGTTTAGTCGGGGTGGATTTAATCGTTATGTAACGTTATATATAATTGAGTGACTTACTTAAATAACCGCCGAATGTTGTGTTGAAAGTGAGTGTTTTAAGGAAAGATTTAGAATCATGTATGGTCATGACACAAACGCCATTCGATCGCGCTACGATTATTATTATTCAGTATCATCCCCATCGCTTTCACAAGCGGCGAATTATTACGAAAATCAAGCCAGTCTTTTTGGAGAACCAATAGCACCATTGCTTCCACCACCAATTCAAAAAAGTCCATCACCATCAAGAATTCAGACGCCATTGACGCCATTCAACAACACTCACAATGCATCCACTTCGTCTTCTGCTGTCACTAATTATACGACAACTGGTGTTCATCCCCCACTGATTGAGAATTTCGACAATCATTTGCTCGAATCGATAAGGCGAAATATCTTGGATCAGCAAAACAACAATTTAGATGTAACAAATGCCCTGACAAAACATCAATTGTGGACTCAAAATTCAAACTCTTCAACAAATTCACCTCCAAATGAAACAAGCGATGGGGGTGCAAATTTTGAAGGAAGAAGAAAACGAGCGAGAACTGCTTTTGGTAATTATAAAAGCGACGATGACGTTTCACAGAATAAATATCGGACATTATCCGCTCACAGTGATATGAAGTAAGCTTTTTTGATTTTTTTTTCATGTGATATTTTTCAAGAAACTTTTCTCATGAACAGAGCTTTCACTCGATTATCAATGGAAACTACATCAGACACTGATAATAACAATGGACCAACACGAGTGTTTTTCAAGAACAATAAATCAAATAATTCTACTCGACATGAAACCACATCCAATTCTTCATCGTCCAAACTTAATCACAGTGTTGGTCTCAGTAAGATTCCTCGAATGAAGCCAACAACTGTGAAGAAAAAAGAAAAAGTTCCGTTCACAATGGTGAAAAGTAAAAGTGATTTAAATAGTTTAAAGACATATCCAGATTCATTTACTATTGTAACTTCACCAAAACGTTCACCATCTGCAGGATATAATCCAAATAAACGAAGCAAAAGTAATGACGACGATGATGACTCAATTATGGAGTTTGAATGGATTAAACCACCACCTGAGAAGCTTTATGAAGCAGCAAGTGTCATAGACAAATACGTTGATGATGAACCTCCTTATATGACAGAACATTTTGGTGCCCGATTGTCAATTCCAACATCGCCGATTGTCACAAATAAGATTATGATTGGATCAACTAATCGGTAAATAGCTTTTCAAATTAATTTTCCTTTCCATAATCGATTTTCATTCTATTTTAGCGTTCCACCTGGTTCGTTCCAATCACATAAGAAAATTGCTTTTGCTATCATCAATGATTACAAAAATCGACGAACAAGAATGCTTCAGCATCGACACAGTGAAGACAACATGAGCTTTTCGGGTCGTTTCTCTCCCTATTCACGATACATAATGCAACGGGAAATGTCGGCACCATCTTTAAATCGTGTTGAAAGCTTGGAAAGTGATGACGGTGAATTTTATTATTTCGTCGATGATGATAATGAAGTTGAATCAGGAAGACAAACTTCTATTGGATTCGTACATAAAAAGCAAATGTCAGCATCAATGTCAAGTTTGAATCGACGAAGGCCACAAAGTGAGATGCGTAAGTTAGGTCCACGTTACATGTCGACACCAAATTTCATAAAAATTAACAAACGTGCTGTGATTCAAAGTACTCCAATGGAGAAAGTCAATCCACGTCTCATATTGCATCGAAGCTTAAAAGGTGTACTCAAAGTTTACAACAATACAAACATCAAGACAACAAGAAGGTTCAGTCTTAACAATATGGACATTTTCCTACCGAATGGGAAGATCGATCCCAATCTTCTAGCACCAATGCCGATCAATGTTGAAGATAAAAGATCGGAAAAACTCGAGAAGCATCAAGTAAAAGCTCAAAAGAAGCGAGTACTTGTAATGAAACGACGAAAGCTTTCGCCAATTGCTGGAACACCGAATAAAGATTCGAAGGAAAAGGAAGACGAAAATAAAACACCGAAACGTAAAATGAATACACCAAAGACACGACTTGAAGAACGATTAAAAAAAGATAAATTTGGCCGACTTGTGACACCAAAAAAAGCTGCTTTACCTAACTTCAAAGCTACTGGTGCTAAGAAATCAACAAAAAAGACGAAATCAGATGGAAAAGAAAAGGAAGATGAAGAGACAGCAGCAGGAACAACGGCAAAAGAACAAGAAGATGAAAAGAAAGCGATGAATTTTCTTCAACAAATTCAAGCACGAAACGTTTTAGGACGAACAATCAAAGCTAGAATCGCAGCGCGACAACCACCGCCTCTCACGAGACAACCTTCAAAGCAATCAATTGAATCACTTTTTCAAGACAAACCACCACCATTGAAAAAGAAATCAAGTTTTTCTTCTCTCAAATCACTGTCAGCATCGATAAGAACTGTCACATCATTCAAAACTAACAAATCAAACTCAATTGAAGACGAAGAAGCTGAAGCAGGTGATGAGATAACAAAACTTCAGAGTCTTAAAGATACGAAGAAAGATGGAAAAAGTAAAGTGAAAAGTTCGATTCTTGCTAAAACAAAAGTTTTGGGATTGACGAGTCGTTTGACTTCAGCATCTTCAACTAGATCACAGAAGGAAGTTACTGTCCCACCACCATCAAGAACAGCTTCAAAAACTTCAATTCTTAGTCGTGTGTCGTCAAAGCTTCAACTTGATGATGGTAAACAAGCACAAGACACACCATCAAAGAAAAGTGATGTGATTCGCGTTCCTTCAGCAACTTCAATTATGTCAATGACAACAGCAGCAATTACTGCTAATCCATTGAACACCACTTTGACTATCACAAATCAGTTGGCAACTCAGGGTGCTGAAATTAATGAAAAGAAACGAGCAGCTATGGAAAAACAATCTTCAATTGATGAAGGTGTAATTGCATCGCATCCCGATGCTGACAAAGGTTCAATGTCTTCGCAAAAAACTGTTTCGTCGCAGAAAACCAACACATCACGAGGTGGCTCAAGGAAAACTTCAGCAAAACATTCCGGTAAGAATTCAGCTGAAAAGCCACGATCTCGAGCAAGTTCCATTCTGGGGGCGGTTGTTGGTGTCAACAGTGCTATTCGATATTTGAGGAAACAGAAGTCAAAAGATTCGATTGACAGTGTAACAAGTGACGCACCACAAGTGACTTCGGGACCTGGTGCTGGTGCTGAAAATAATGACTCAATACCAATTGCTGGGAAAATCCTGGAAAAATCCCAACAATCACTTGAAAAAGTTCAAAAGACTGTAGATAAAGCAACAAGTGAAATTCATCACACGATTAATGAGAATTTATCAAATTTAAGGAAGTTGGAAAAGAAATTGAGTGGTGGAAACTTATTGGAGCACGATGCGAATAACAACGATGTTGAAAAAAATTTATCACGTCAAAGCACGAAACAAGACATCGCTGGGTCATCAAGAACCACAAACATCGCGCACATGTCAGCATCAAAGATGAGAATGGATAAAGATGGAATGAGTGTCAATGCCATTTCAGTCGCACCCGATGAACGATCTGGCCTTCAACATCAGTCATCTGATGAATCAAATCAAACAAATTCCAGTACAAGGTTAGCGCAATTGGTCTTTAATGGATTTATAATTTGCGTGGGTGCGCCGCACCGATCGACAATTTTCTGATGATTCATTTATTGCGGAATTTCCACCGTCAGACGAATGGACGGAGAGACCATTAGTCTTAATATTCATTGTGTGATTATTTCAACCAAAGGAAAATCAAAAACTCTTACGATGAACCTTGAACCCAAAAAATAAACATCAACCTTACAAATTACTCAACGTAATGCCCGAAACAACGAGCTTAACAATAGCTTTGAAATCTTTAAAACTATTTTCCTTTAATTGCCGATATTTTCTTTTCACCAAACAATTCATGCTGATAAAGTTATGAAAAGTGTTTCACGCGATGGTGACTCGTGGAATGTGTCAAGATTGTTTCGTTAGAGAAATGGGGGAGTGAAAAGTTTTCGTTTTTTATTTCTCAATTTTTTTATCATGCAATCAAAATCATGGAAATGTTTTAAGGTCCAAAAACGCAAGGAGCGAACCATTTTTAATTCTTTTTCTCTCTCTTCCATGTTATGTGTGTCGGCTATTTTATGCAAATTATACAAGCCAGCACTCACCGGAAATTGTTTTTCCTTCATGAACTAATTCTACGTTTTCTCTTAAGCAATATCTGAGTGGGTATGTGTGCTTGTTCATGCTTTGTTTACGTGACATACATTCGACAACATTAAGAAAAAAAACGAATTGGCAAACATTCCTTGACAATCAGACAGTTGGATGGATAGTTTTATTCCTTTAATATGTATTCAAGCATATCTTTGCAATTTGATTATTGATTTACATTCTAAGCTAACATCAACTTAATTGAAGCTTGAAGAAGACTCCTTTCGTTACACTTCATTGAAATTCTTAAAGGCGTCGTCTTGCCAGCTATTTTTCATTTAATTATAACAAATCATAATCATGATAAATTACACTACAAACCGACACCGCTTCGACTTCGATGGAAATAAAAATTAATGAATTTTCCTTCTTACTTTTCCATGTTATTTTGATGGTTCTTGAGCTCTTTTACGGGTGTAAAGAAATGAAAGAAATTATTACGATGAATGTTGTCCATCTTTTGACTTTGTCGGCAAAGCAACCGTCGGTAGCGAAGCGAATAATTAAAAAAAGCTTCTACGTTCTCGTTACACTTTCTCGTGCGCCAGATTTTTATGGGGGGCTCAATTGTACTTTGTACTTTTAATAATGTTTTTATTGGCAAAATACGACCAATACTAGTTAGTTAGCTTCACATGAAGAATTCTTACACGCTACCATGTTTGGCAGTAAATAAATAATTTTTACTTTGCAAAAACTTTTTTCCTTTGCTGACACACTCGGTCAATGGAAGTCCAGTGAAAAGGGTCGTTGAAGAAGGCAACCAAGCAATTGATTTTGTGTAGTGCTCTTAAAACTATTAAATATTATTATTATTATTAAAAACCAAATGAGTCAAGCTCGTGAACGTGTAATTTATAACATCACGCTTCAGTCGGAAGAAGATGAAGAAGTGAAAGTTATCGACAGGTTTCCACCAACCACCCACGCAAAATAATTATAAAACATTCATGAATTAATTTTTCTTTTCAAAACAGTTCCAGTATGGATGAGATGAGTCGTAAACGAAAGATTTGTTGCGGTTTATCATCATGTTGTGGAAGGACACGATCGGAAAGTGCACAAATGATCGCCGGAAAATCATCAACACAACCGCTAACTATGAATCAAAAGTGTCTTAATTGCTGCTGTTGGCCGTTCAGGAAAATGGGAAATCCTTTTAAGCGACGAAAAGTTGACGGAATGGAGGTCATGAAAAGCAAGAAAGAAAATTCAAAGCCTTCAATGTGGGAGCGAATATGCTGTTGTAGTGGATGTTGTAGACGTTGTAGGAAAAACGAAAACGAAGAAAGTATGAAGAAAGTAAGTTTCGATTGAGAAAATTTTATTTTTCCTGGACTTATAACAAATCAATGTCCGCTCTAAATATTTTCTTATGCAATTTGCATAATTTCATCCACACAAAGGTTCGTGTAAATGCAATCGCAAGGTTTTTCCCTTTTTTCTTTCTGATTTGAATTGCGATTAATTTAATTAATTTTCGGCCCATGAATTCTACCAACTTCAGCGAAGGTTTCAATGAAAATTCCTTTAGTTTGATTTTAAACATTTTCTTGTTAAAACATAGAAGAAAGTCGCTCAGCAAAAGGCAACGGCTGGTGATAGTGAGAAAACAAGCTGTTGGAGTCGAATGAATTGCTTCAAATCTTGTAAACCTTGCTGTAGTCGAATGAGAGAATCTTGTTGTTGCTCAAGTTGCTGTAGAAAAAAAGATTCGTCTTCAACTGATTCACTTCAATCTCAAGGCCCTAAGATTAAAGACAACGCAACACCAGGCACTTGTACCAGAATCTTCTGCTTTTGTTGTTTGTGTTGTAGGAAGAAACCAGAAGGTGGTGAAATGAAGGAAGAAAAAAAGCGAATAAGTATGACAAGTCAACGAAGTATGAAAAAAGGGTGAGAAAAGTTGGAAACAAAAGTTTCCGAAGTAAATCTTTAGCAAAATTTGTGTGTTTATTTGTTTTCTTTCATCAACAACAGTAACTGTTGTTCACGGATGTGTAACGCCATGATATGTTGTCGAAAGAAGAAGAAGCCAAGTAGCAGACGAACAAGTATGCTGAGTAAGAAGCAAAGTCTTGCTCCGACGATTCCACCACCAGAGGTAACACAAACATTACTTTCCATTTTTGAAAGTTAAATGAAAAGTTTTTCTAAATTTCCATTGATGTTTAAGGATTTGAAACCGAAACTTGACATGGGTCTTGTTGAACATGCTTCGTTGATGAAAGGAGCCATTCCAGTTCTCCCCATTTGTCTTGCATATTTCTGTCTTATTTGTAACATTATAGCTCCGGGAACAGGTAATTAATTTAATTAAATGGAAACTTTGTTAACAGTAATTTTCCTTTAGGTACAATCTTCAGTGGATTCTTTTGTCTTTGCATTGGAATTCCAAGATTCTCTCAGCACGATGGTGCTCGAGGTCGCATCGGTTCATTCATCATTAATTCAATTGTTGGCGTTTCACAAGCTTTCACAATTATTTTCTGTCTCGTTGGTTGGGGGTGGTCTATATGGTGGGGAACAATCATGTTGACATTAGCACGTAAGTTTTCGTATCAAGAGTCTTAGTATCAGATGACTTTAACTCTTTAAATTCTAGGACGACACCGAAAGATTAAAAAAGCTGAAAGACAAAAGGAATTGGATGAACAATCAGGAAAAAGTTCACTGCCAGGACTTGCACGTGGAAAATCAAGAGATATTGAAAAAGGAATCAATTAATTAATATTTATTTCGTGTTAAATTGATTGATTGAAAATGAAAAATAAAAATAAAGAAATTTTCCAGCATAATCTACTCTTGTTGATCATCTTCACTTCCAACCATTTTTTTCACAACTTCCACAGCTTTTTCGAGTTTCAGGCCTTCAATTGTGTAGAGTAGATTGTCGAGATTGGCATCATCATCTTCTTCCATCCAGCTTGAAAGCATTTTCACACACGGTTCCTTTTCTTTAGATGCGTAGAATTCGAGAACGTCTGACGTGTACCCTAACTTAACTCCGAGCTTCTTCCAATCGTCGCCAAGTGCTTTCGAAATCTCAACAATTTGTTCAGGCGTAGCTGTTGTTGTCTTATGAATATTTTCATCAGCAACTTCACCATCTTCGATTCCATCACCAGCATCTTCAGTGAAATGTTCCGCTTGTTCTTGTTCAATTTGAAGTTCTGTGTTGTTATTTGCTTCCAATTTAGCTTCCATCTCGCCTTTGTCTTTTTGAATTTTCTGATGGAAGGATTTAAGGTAATCAGAAATCTTTTCAATCTTTTCATTTGGTGGTGAAAGAATCGTGAAAAAATGTGAACTTTGTCGTGAGACTAAACGCAATGCTCGCCATTCATATGTTGGATCGTTTTTCTCTTTTGGATTGTCCAAATAAGATTCTAAAGATGGAAGGAAGTTACGATCGGATCCTTTACAAGCTTGAAGATTGTCAGGACATAAATTCCATAAGCGTGTCAGTTCACTGTTCCCGAGATCGAATTTTCCAACTTTTGTGGCCTCAGCAATTGTGTCGCCAAGATATTTTCTCTTATTTGTCGTTGCTGGTTCACTTCCAGCTTTCGGTTCACTCCCCACAGGTCGTTGGATTTCCTTACAACTTTCATTTTTCCAATTATTCCACATCTCTTCGCGCTTCAAAATGTGTTTGATAGTCTCAACAAATTCTTTTCCATTTGGTGGCGTTTCACTTAATAATTTGTAGACACTCAGTTCTGTCTCTTGTAGCCATTCTTGTTGTGTGCTGTTCAATTGATCTTTCTCACTCTTAAATTTCACAGTCGCTGTGAGATATTGAAAAAGTATCAAGTATTGAACTAAAACTGTACGACGGAAATTTGAGTCGCTCAATTGAAGTGATAAAAGTTTCGGATTGGTTAAGAACTTGGCAAAGAAGTGTCCCGATGATTCTTCGACTTTCTCATTGTCAATGTTCATTGCTTCTTCAGTTGTTTTTGTGGTTTTCATTTGTTTTGATCCTGAGGATTCTTCAAGTTTGAAACTTTTGAAAGCGGCAAGAACATCGGTTGACGTGCTTGTGAACTTCTTCCATTGTGTGAAGTCGTAACAGTTGTTTGGACATCGAAAGAATTCCTGTAATCCCCAGAATTTCATGTAAAGATGACGATCCACCTTCAAAGAGGAATCTTCTAATGTTTCTTCCATTGGGTCGTCGCCATCTACCGATCCAAACTCGGTAATGTTCTCAACATTAAATTCCGAAATGATATTTAAACCAGAACGTTCTGAAAATGGGAAGAATTTGGCGAGGAAGAGGAGAATTCGTCCGCAGAAGACCGTGTTTTGAGATCTGGATAAGCGACGTAATAAATCGTTGCACATTCTGAGAAGATGATTTTTACATGGAGTGAAAAAATGTTCTCCTTTGAAGACATGAACATTCTTTTCAACGAACATGAAGAGATTCTCACAATGATCAAGTGTCTTTACATCGAAAACATCTACGAGAAGAACTACCGGTGAGTAAGGCGAGATGAGTTCAATTTTCGCGATGGCAATAGAAATTTCTATCAACTTCTCTATGGCCTGCATATCATTGATATGAGTTTTCATTATTAACTCTCGTAATGCATGTTCAATGGCAAGTTTCTTCTCTGTTTCATTGCCTTTGTTGTCATCAAATAATGTTTTAATTCCTTCTATGTCGGCTTCGTGTTTTGACTTTGTAGCCTTTTTCAAAATATTCTAAGAAATAAAATAATAAGTCACACTTATTTATTTTCTATAATTCTTTACATACCAATACACCTTGCTGCAATAATATGAAGTTTGATTTAGTCATTTTGGCTTCAGTTTTAAAATAATTAAATTTTCTAACTTTATTCTTCTTTTTTTGTAAACAAACGAAACCTTACAGCAGCGCTTATTGAACCACACAACAGCAAAAAATTATAACAAAAATTTAAATAAATAGCCGTTAGATTTAGCCATAAACATTTTATAGCAAATTTTCTTCTTAATAAATAATGTTCAGAAAGCTTTAGAATAGATCTTTTAAGTTTGCTCTTAGTAAAAACATCAATTTTAAGTATTTCAAAAATTTTATTAACTTTCTAAACTGGTTTCAACATAATTTATCAGAGAAATAATTATCATTTCATTCTGATTCATATTTATTAAAAAAAAATCAATCAATGTATGTCATCAATGTCAGATGTGATGGTGATGAAATTTTCAAATAAATTAATTATTAAATGAAAGTGTTTATAAGCAGTTTCGGATGAAATTCGTTCCGATAAATTCATACTATTCATTATTGCTTTCATAATTTTCAATTACCTACTGGTACGTACATCTGTTCTAAACTCATTGAGCTTTACTCACAATTTCAGCTCAAAAAAAACTTCTTTTCAATCATCATCTAAATACAAAAAAGTTTCCACTAGAAAAACTCGTAAAATTTTTGGGTAGATTTTTAAAATCATCATTACTTTGTATCATTTATGTGCGTTTCTCTAAAACCTTTTTCTTATTTTTAAAATTAATGTATAAAATAATTAGAAACCCTTTTCAGCAAACATTATGTTTGCTTCACTTCACAAGTAAAATAAGGCAAAGAGAGGGAGTTTTTCATTCTTATTTATTTTTTTATTCTTAACCAAAACTGAGTCAAGTGTTTCGTTCATTTAAAAGTTTTCTTTTGGAAGAAATTGGTTTTTCTCATATCTTTTAAAAGTTACATGAATATTCATAGTAGATATTTATTTAATTCTCGAGAGTTGAGTCATTCAAGTCAGCGGGACTTCGCTTTTATAAATGGGTGGAAAAATGTGACTCTGCAGACTGTAAATGAGTAAAAAGTTTCTTTCATAATGATCATGTTAATGTTAATGGATTGAATTAGTAACTGATGATTAGAAAACGTAATGATAATGAGCGTGGTCGTAATATCATATGTTGTCGTTTCGTGGCACTGATGAGTTCCGAAAACGCGAGTTTCTGTAAATCATATCAATTAATAACAAGCGTTATGTCGTATTATAGGCAATCGATTATAAGTGCTTGGTACAAACCTCGAAACATTTTCATTGATATCCGAATAACCATTTATGCGATGATGATGGTCGCTTGATGAATTAATTAAAGTCGGATCAAGTAAAGAGACACTTCTTGTATTGTATTGTCGCATTTTACGTCCAATTGTTGCATAACCGTCTACAAAAGAAGGCGGTGGTTTAAGTACAGATGACGGTGTGCCTGATGAACTCGATGGCGTGGAAACATATGAACGTCGTTTGACATAAAGTGATGTTAATGATGGAGTGTTAGATGATGATGAAGATGAATCATACATGGTACTTCTGTTATTTCGAATTCTTGATGTAATATCATCAGGAGATTTCAAAAGCATATCATGATGATGATGATGATGATGTGGTGGAGGCAAACTAGCCAAATGATTTGCTTCGTAATTCAATCTTCGATAAGAATTTGAATGCTGTAAAGATTCATTTTGTTTCTCGCTTGAATATTTTGATGATGAACGACTTTGACTTAATGAACGATTGGCAGCTGACGAGTTGACATGACGCGAAATACTTGATGAACGGTTATAAGTGTTGTCGACACTTGATGCTCGTCCCGTAATATCAGGAATGACGCTTGTAGCCGACTTCGTATACTCTAATGGACGTGAACGTTCCCGATAATATTCTTTAGCCGCCGGTCCAACAATATTTGACACACGCTTCGGTTTCTTTTCGTTAAATCTTGAATAGAAACTTTTCCTTCGGATGCGGTCAACAACAGACTCTGGAGAGTCGCTTTCATCAAGTATAGCTTGATTTTGAATACTTCGTGATAATCTTGAGAGGGAAGATGAACCCATTGGATGGGGTGGAAGTAGTTGGTGTTCATCTTCTGAACATGTTGACCATCTGTCATAACCGACATCATCCGAAGGCGATAAAAGTGTGCTTGATTCATCGTAGGGACTTGATGAATAGTTCGTCAAACTATCATAAGTTGGGGTTACCAAACTTTGATTAATCTCTTGTGGCAAAGGTGGTGGAAAACTGTAACTGCTGTTATTGTTATTATTATTATGTTTACTTGATGATGACGATAATGATACTTTTGTGTCACCATCAATCGGATTAAACTTTGCAAAGTCCAACATCAAACCTTTACGATTATTTTTTAATCTTTCTTTTTCTTCAACTGAAGTTTTCTGATCATTTGGATGACGTTTGTTGACCATATTTGAAGATTTTGATTGAGAGATTTCATTTGTCTCTTTACAATCGGGACAGGTTGAAGCAAATTTAACGGGAATTTTACTTTCAGCAATATTATTGAGTGGCTCGAAAGCGCTTCCATTCTTCTTTATTTTGTGAATAAAGCCACTTGATTTTGGTCGTTCTTTGTTCGAGTTGTTTTGAGGCTCGTACTCGTCATACGACAAATAACTTGAAGATTTTGTATTCTGAACTTTAGCATCGACTGCCGTATTTTCCTTCTCAATTCGCTTAAATAATCCAAGAACTTTATTCACAGTATTCTTATTGAAAGTATTTGGCATTTCTTCGACACTCACCGCTCTTTTAATCAATCCCGATTCTGTCAATTCCGTATTATGTGGTAAAGATTTCTCCTTCAAATTCTTTATCATAGCATCAATTTTTGATTTCCTTTCTTGTCTTGTTGCTTCATCGACATCTTCATTCAACATTGCTTTAATTTTCTTCTTCTTTTCTTTCATATCCGATGATGACGATGTTTCTCCATCTTTCTTATCTTTTGACGATTTAATGTCACGAAGCTTTTCAAACTTCTGTCCAAGGGTGTAAAGTAATCCTTTACCGGACTTCTTCTCGGGTGACTTTTCTCTCTTCGATTCGGACTTAAGATCGGGCAATGGGTCAACTTCAACCGATGGTATGACATTTTTTGAAGATTTCTTTACAACTTTAATGACTTTTTTTGTCTTTTTGGGTTGCTCGGGAGCTTGTTGATTTACATTATTCGTGTCATTCAATACAGCAGTATTTACCGTCTCGTTAGGCATATTGAGAATGTTGGTCAATGTTTCGGGAAATTTGATCTCCTTTGGGGGTGTAATTTTTGAGTTTGGAAAACTTTTCGGTCGAGAAAGTTTGCTTGGCGTCTTTAAAACATCAAATTCCGGTGGTTTGTCAATGACTTCCGTCATTTTATCTGTCGAGCGCAATGGTTGAAGCGACACGTCTTTCGAAATGTAAGATTTGGGTCGTGTAAGTTTTGACTCACGTTTCGATGTTGACTTTTCACTCACTTCACAATCCTCTTCCAATGTCTTTTCAGGTGACTTTTCTTTGACTTTCTTGACAGTCTTCTTAACCGTCCCATCATTTTTGACTTTCTTTTTCATTAATTTCTCTTGATTTTGAATCTCTTTCTGATCAAATCGTTCAAGTTGTCCATTCAACAAACTAATTGAGTTCAATTCATCTAAAATCTTATCATTGATTGTTGACGATACCGATGAATGTGAATGAGTTGAACTTGCGGTATCACTACGTGCTGGTGTCTTCAATTGATTTGATTCCGCTGCAATCAAATTTCCGTTCAATAAGTGTTTACTGATTTCATTTGTTGCATATTTATCTAAATAGTAGGAAATTCGATTTTCTCTTGATTCTTTTTCAACACTTTTCTCTCGAGATTTCTCGCAAAGTTCACGAAGAATTTTATGACTTTCAAGTTCACGTGGCTTTTCGATTTTCTTTGGTTCATCGTAAAGTTCATAACCGGTGCTTTCAGGTGACATGAACCGTGACAATCGCTTTTGCTTTGGCTTTTCATCGAGTGGCTCAGGGGAGAAACATGTTCGTTGAATATCACTTTCATCAACAGCAGACTTCCGACTGCTACTCTTTAGAGATGAATAATATTGACCGCGGTAGTCAGTCGTCGGTGATAATGTTGCCTCTCGGCTATGATGAATTGCTTCTAAATTACGAGAATTATTGTTGTTGCTGTTGTTGTTAAATGAATCATCAAATCTATCATCTCTACTGACGCTACGTCTATAACGTGAGGAAGAGCTAAGCTCGCTATTGTTATTTATCCTATCAAACACCTCATTCGTTGGTGTTATACTATCTCTACTGAATCGATTTACAACATCACGTGGATTAGTGCTAATGCTACGACGATAAACTTTAGAAGTTTCAGTCGATTCTTTACCGTTCTGTACTGAAAGTGTTCGCGATAATTTCTTTGCTTGATTTGGCGGCAATTGTGCGAGAAGCTGTTCTTGAAGACTCTTCGATAAACTTGGTGTCAATGTTGATAAGGTCTCAAGATCCTTTTTTGATAAACGAAGTTGACTCAAATCCAAATCTCTTAAATCCAACACTTCGCTGTTGTGGTCACGATTATTATTCTTGTCATTGTTACTGCTTTCTGATGACTCATCTGGTTTCGATTTAGTTTTTTTACCTACGCAAAGATTAAAAGAAGACAAACAAATGAAAAAGTTAAGATGAATGTATGTAATTAGATTTTTTATCTTTTTTTGTGTTTGATGCCCTTGCACAATGAACCTTTTATTTTTTGTAACAAATATTTAATCAAAAGACGGAAAATACCTTAAAAACATTACGTCATTGTGCATGAGTTGTTTGAAGAATAAAAAAAAGGAAAAGAAAACAAAATAAAAAAAAGAAAGAAAGAAGAAATCCAAAGCAATAGGAAGAAAAAAGTTTTTCATGGGTTTTTGTATTTACTTTCTTTTTTTTTCATATAAAGCTTTGTGAAAGCTTTTCATTTGAGTGTGTGCTTAAATAAAATAGAGAATGGCTTGCTATAGTGTAGTGCGTGGAGAGTATCAGTGTATTAACGCATTAGCTTTAATGTAGAGAGATATGTTTGAAGGTTCATATCAGTGAAAGAAAGAAAGATTTATTTAGATATCTATTCATGAAAGTGCCGCTAAAAATATGAAAAATAAGGGAAAACAATGAAGGTTAGTTCTGATCTCCCACAACATGCAAGGAGCGACATTTATTTTAAAAAAATATTCAAACCATTCATCAAGAACATTTAGATAAAAACAATTTGAGGTCGATTAGAAAATTTTGAAATTGGTGTCCGAATAATTTGAAGGGAATTTCAATAAAAGAAAACTTTGGAAGCTTTCGCATGAAGTGTTAAGGAAAAAAAATTGATTGATTAGTTTTGTGAGTTGAACAAAATTGTTAACAGGCAAACAGAAGTGAAAATAAAAGAAAAAGTTGAAGATGCAAAAGAAAGTCAAGTAAAGGAAGATAATCAAAATTAAACTTACCTCAAATTTACTTATTATAATGAAAAATGTAATTGAATATTCGTTTCTAACTTTTTTTCTTTCTATTTTTCGATCGATTTTTATTTCTTTTACAAATTGTCAAAAAATTTTTTGTGTCCCATCAATTTGTCTAAAATTAAATCATCAGATAATTGGTGTGTTAATAAATGATGTTCTCAATAAACGATTGGAGAGTTTAAAAGAGTTTTCTCAACAAAACAAATCAAAGGCTGGTAAGAGTGTGGAAAATTTAAAATTTTTCACCGAACTTTCTTCTTCTAAAATCCTTTTATGTAAATCAAATTGCTACATCCTAGATGTTGTCGGCTTTAAATTGTTCACACTTTACTGAAAACATGAAGAATAAGTTTTTTTTAATTGTTTTATAATTTGTTAATCTTTCAGAAATCTCAATCAAAATATAAATTATGTCAAAATTCCACATGAATAACTCTCTCAGCTATCGTCAGCAAAAAAACCTTGCCATGCTTGAAAAATTTCACTGAATTCGACTAAGCTGTGAAGTGTTAGAAAATAAAATAAAAATGTTTACAAAGCAATAAAATATTTCGAAAACCTTCCACAAAAAAAAATTATGATCGTCTCAAGGAAACTTCGGAAAATGTTACGACATTAAAAAAAATATAAAATGAAAATTTGAAAAACAAAGAAGAAAATAAAAATGCAAAATGTCCAAAAATGTTTCCCACCAAATCCAATGATTTAATTTCTCCTTTTGATAAACATTAATTTCTTTTAATTTATTTCTTTATTTATTTTATTTTTGTATTTTTTTTTCTCATTCAGACAGTAAAAAAAGAAAAGTTACAAAAAATTTTTGTTTCACAAATTTATTAATCGGTAAATGGAAAAAAAAGTTCTTTCGTTTCAAAGAAGCGAAAATAAAAAAGAATGTTAATTAAGTAAAAAAATCATTCAAGATTTTCTATGCTCCTTGTTTGTTTGGTAAATAAATGTGATTTCCAACTTTAACTTTCTTATCAAATTTAAAATTTATGAACTATGGAAAATGCTTTCTTTGTTAGTTTATTCATCTGAGCATTTTATGATCTTTTTAGTTTGAAATTTATGGCTCAGCATTCATTTTAATGTCTTAAGAATTTATGGTTCAAAGTTTTAAGAATGCAAGCGATTAGAAAAATGACACATTAATAAAAAATAAAATTCAACTATCAGAACAGAAATCGTGACAAAATTTTCTAGAGCTAATTAAATATTCATCAAATAAAATTCATGATAAGTAACCAAATCTCTTGTCTTTATTCGAGTACATATAAAGATTACCATGTTGTTATGGTTGCATTGCAATCTAACTTCTTATAAAAATTATTAAACTACATGATGGAAAAATAAAAACAATTAACATGCTTCGAGAATGTTTCAAAATCAAAATTTTCTAGTTAAAATAAACAAAAGAAAAATAATTTCATCATCACTAACAAAACAGTAAAACATATTAAATATTCAGCAAGCATAAATTACTTCAGCGAAAGTGGATTCGAATTAAAAACTTTCTTGTTGCTTTCCCACCGGATGATAATTGTCGAAGAAAATTTATGTTCTCATTAAAATTAAATTTATCTCAAGTTTAATTGTCTCTCTTTATCATTTAATGCTTTTTTGCATATTTTTTCAAGAAAAGTTCTCTTGTCCATTAAAGTTTTAATGAGCTTTTATTTTTTTCTCTTTCTTTCTCACTCGAAGCATTAAAAACAACATCAAAACTAAACTTAAAAAAAGAAAAATGACAACTTGTGCGAGTAAAAGTTATGACAAAGTTATTTGTAATTTTATTTAAAGCTAAAAGTTTAAATCTAACAAAATTTTAAATGAAACTCTCAGTTTAGTAGATATTTATGTAAATAACCAAATATAAAATAAAAAACAAGTAAAATTTTTATATTTTATGTTTAACACAAGGTATAAAAGTAACACACGAATTTAATTAAAGAAACTGCCATATTCACCTCTCGGAAGCGTTGCACCTGAACGTGAAAACATCGAGTCGAAGTCACTGTGCAAATCACGTGCCATAGAATGTCTCCAAGGGTTCACGTTTGAACGGCTGCTTGAAGGGATGAGAGATAAGTTCATGAAAATGGAAACAAAAGAAAGAAATAATGGAAACGATTTAAAATCATTGAAAAAGAAAAAAGGACGAGAAAATATTCTATCTTTAATAAGCATTAAGAGATTTTCGTGAAACTACCTACGTTTTAATGGTTTCTGTTACTGTTTCACTTCTATAGCTATAGCTAGGCTTGTTACTGTTACTGTTAATTAAAATTAAAACAAAAGTCTTGTTAGAATGTTTCACCCTGGCACTCATTAAAATAACTGTTATTTGAATTTTAATTCGATTACTTAGGAGGAGGATTAATCAGAGATAAGATAACGTTTTCTTAAACACCAAAACAAACAAACATTCACCTTTCAAATGGATCATTGTTCCAAAAGGGACTCTGCGATTGTCTTAAATTGCTGATAAAACGTGAACTTGGGAAGTTAGATGTCGTTTCGTTGTTGACATTTAATCGATGTGTTAAAGCACGAACACGCGACAAAAGGGTAGAGAAAAGATTTTCAGCTGTTAGCAATTCAAAGCCATCGTCATCGTCTTCTTCTCCTGAACTGCCTGACTCATTTGGATCTTGACTGAAAACTGTCGAACGTTTTGTCGGACGTGAACTCCTACGAAAACATTTCTCATGAATATCGTGATGTAAAAATATTTTTCAAATGAACACATGTGGCCATATTTGATGATGTAAGCAAATATAAAAGTTTTTTAATTTACTAACCTTAAGCGATGCATCGAATGAAATCTTGGTTCTTCCGTGTCACTCTCACGGCCAATTGAAGTATGACGATTAAGTTTAGGGAACGACGTTGTCTCATCTTCCGAGTCTCGTTCATTGAAAAGTGAACTTATGCGTCTTCCAGGACGACCAGATCGTTTGCTTGTCATGCTAGATTGTGTTGTCGTCGATTCCGAAGGTTCAATGCTATTCGCTTTGGGCGTGACAATTCCACCGCCTTCAACCGATATGGGGATGATGAATTCTCTCGGCGACTTTTTAATTGGCTGCTTATCGTTTGTCGACGAAGTGATTGTTGACGTTGATACAAATGACTGGGTTGGTGTAGTGTCAGAGTCATTCGAGTCATTAGTAGATTGACGTGACAACGAATTTCTTTAAATAGAGTTTTGACAGTGTTTAAACGACTAACCAGACAAAATCATTGAACATTTACCTGTTAGATGAATTTGATGTGGAAGTTCTTTGATATGTTGGTGGCTTTTGAATATGAACTACATGTTCCTTTGCTTGTGGTTCCAAACTTGTTGAGCGATTGTGAACCGTGAACGAAGTGTAAGTTGTTGGTGGATGCTCACGAACTGGGGCACTTCGAAGTTCAGGCACTTGATTTTGCATCTCAGTTGAATATCGTGATGACGCATCAACCTTTTCATATGAAAATGAACATGATGAATGAATTTAATGATTGATCAGCAATTAAATTAAGGCTTGAAAATAGTGTTCGGAATTGACAATGTCAATTGATTGATTTAAATGGAAATTTTCAATATTTTACTGGGAAATGGTGATGAAAACTTAGCTTATAAATGAATTTGTCAATATTCAACACTTCTTAACCATGTTAAATTTTAAATAAATTTAAATTGATTTTTAATCACATTTATGACTTCGACGAATGAAAAATATTCAATAAGTTTACGTGCCAATGGCATAAATATTCTAAAGAGAGTCAAGTATGTTGATGATGATGTTCATTGACCCGTAAATCTTTTTTTTCTTTCTATCATTAGCTTGTTGATTTTATTTTCAGCTGTTCAATGTCGATCATCAAAAAGAGATTCAAAATTCATTGCACAATGTGATGGGTTGTGATCAAAATAATTTACAAGTTTTCAACTTCATATCTTGTACGAGTTTTGCAAAAGTCTATCAAACATTTTCTGTCACAAAAGATGTCGAACAATGCAAATGACTTTCATTGAACCTCTTGACGCACTCAACTCCCTTTTATTAAAGTTCTCAATTTACGATTCTCATACTTACTTTTGGTTTTATATCAACCTGTATTTCCATTTTCGTCGGCTTACGACGAGGCAATGTTGCTGATTTAAGTGTAATTTCAGCATGCGATGTTTTTGTGGTTTCGGGTTCCGTAAAGTCGACAACTGAAAGCGAGGAAATTCTCTTGTCAACAATACTTAAAGCACTACATTTGTAAGTTGGTAAAAACTACTTCAACATTCAAGAGAGGCAGAGAGAACAAGACAAAAAGCAGACAACAAAACATATTTACCCTTCTCCGGAACCACTTGAGTGCGTTGGTCAACTGACGAGAAACGTCCAACTGTCGGTCGTTGCTGCTGTTGACTTGGCTCCATTGAACTTGACTTCAATGGAGTTGTGTTACGTGGCGCTGGTGTTTGAACGACGCTTCCTGAAACGGAACGACCATGTAAACCATACACCGGAGGCTTTCGAACGCCAATTAATCGACTTGGTGGTATTGCATTACCAATTATTTCCCGAGCTGCACGTAACTTTCTTTCCCGTTCACTCTCATCTGATGACAATGCAACACCTTCGGTCTTCGAACATAGTTGATCCATCTCCTTCGATTGTGATTCCGTCTTCGCCTTCTGAAGTAGAGCAATTGAGTTTTCCATACTGCGACGAGCTTCTTCCAATGAAAAACTATGAACAGAACTTTTTGAATCACTTTGATTGATTTCATCATCGTGTTTGCTGATTGTCGACGTGTTAGAGCTTGCCTTTTCCAAATTATTGACACCACCACCGACCTTTTGAACTTCATTTGCTTTCGGTGACACCATTTGATTATCATTGGTCTGTTGATCAAAACTTTCACGTTTTTCAAGAGACTTACGAGACGGTTCCGGTGGTTGTGTCGTCAACGAAGCTTTTCTTTCGAATTCTTTCTTGAAATTACCAACACTGACGCCAGGAATTGAAAACTTTTTATATTTTTCGTTATTCTGATTGTTCATGTTTTGGAATTTTTCAGCAGTCTCTAAGATACGTGAACGTCGTTTCTCTGTTGGCTTTGCTACCGTGGTTTCATCTGGAAGACTTTGTTTTGTTTCATCAACAGATGTTGATGTTTTTGCGGTTACTGTTGAAGATGCTGGTGTTTCTTTATCTTTTTCTACATCTTTCTCTTTTGTTTTGAGTGAAGTTAAAGCAGTTGATAAGTCAGAGGTTTTATGCTTTACCATATCACGTTTCACGGGACTGGCAATCTTCTTAACAACATCCTTCTTACCACTCTCAACTTTAGGCGTCGGCTCTACTTTTGCTTTTACTTCTTCCGATTTTTTCTTTTTATCGGTTTTCTCCATAAGCTCATCGCATAATTCTTCGATTTTCTTTAAACTTTCTTTAACACCAACACTTTCCTTCTTCTCTTCTGTTTTCTCTTGAGACGTGTCAACCGGTGATGTCTTTTCTGGTTCAGGATCAACCTCCATAACTTCTGGAATTGAATGTTTCGATGGATCACATTTCACATCATTGATTTGCTTTTCCTTCTTCTTAGCACCACCCGTCGCATTTTCTGTCGAAACAGTTGACTCAAGTTTCCGCTTAGGTTGTTGTACTGATGCAATTTCAGCTGGTGTAATTGTTCGTGTTGACGATGGCATGATTGCTGCTTCGCCTCCAGCTGTGAATAAAAATTAAATTTAACTTGAGTTTCATTTGAAATTCAATTTAAATGTAATACAAAACTCACCTGCTACCATATCTAAAATTCTTCTTTCAGCTTCTGATTCAGCAATGTCAATGATAGAACCAACTGAATGACTCTTCTGTAATCGATCTTTCCCTTCATCTGGATGTGTTGGTACAAGAACTTGATCAGAAGTCACTGATGGTGGTGCCAATGAAAGCAGAACATCAAGTCTAACTGGTGTTTGATTCGCTAATTCTTCAGCCAATTCTAAACAACTTTCATTGTAGTCTTCATTCACCCACCAATGATTACAAATTTGTTCGATATTCGCACGACGAATTGGACAAACGGTGAGCATTTCACGTATCAGTGGAGAAGCTCTCGATGGTTTTTTTGGTTCAAAATAATCACCTTGACTAATTTGTTTAACAAGTCTCTTGAAATTGGCACCATCGAATGGCATTGCACCATAGACTAGAGCTAAGATGAAAGTTTAATTGTAAAGATTATGAAGGAGAGAAAAATCATGAAACTTACTATAAAGTAAGACACCCAAAGACCAACAATCAACCTCTGGGCCTTGATATGGCGTTCCTTTGACAATCTCAGGCGACGCATAAAGCGGACTACCGCAAAACGTTGCCAACAGTCTTTGCTCATCAAAAACATTCGACAGCCCGAAATCTGCAATCTAAGAAGATTTTTTTTTTCCTTTTAGTGACAATCATCATCAAAGCAACAAATGATGTTTCCTACTTTTGCGTTTCCATGCTCATCCAAGAGAATGTTTTCTAACTTTAAATCGCGATGACAAATCTTGTGTTTGTGACAGTAATAAATTGCGGTCGACACTTGACGAAAAATTCTGCGAGCTTCTTCTTCCGTTAACACTTTGCGATCTGATAAATAATCGTAGAGTTCACCACCAGCAGCAAATTCCATCACCAGGACCATTTTTTCACGATTCTCAAACACTATTTGCATGAAATGAATTGGAATTTGATATAAAAAGATCATTATTTGCTTTTTTCTAAAGTGTTGATGAATAAACGAAATAATTCAAGGGAAAGAAAGAAATCAACAATCAATTCCTTCGAACAAACATTCAAGCACAATTTTCCGACCGACATGTCTAAGTTTTCTTCTTTTTTTATCATTCTTTTAACTGATGCTTCTACTGTCTCTCGAAAGCGATGACATGTGAGAAATATTTATTCTAAAGCATGCACATTATTCATGACTAGTTTCACAGCAACACAATTCTTCTTTTTATTTTATTATTCCGTTGCTACTCTTTGAGAATGTACATTTTTTGCTTTCATTGATTATTAATCTAGAAAAAAAAAACGAAGCGTTTTAGTCACATTGCAAATAGCCAAGCAAATAACAAATTTGTCCAATGTTGACACATGATGAGAATTGACGAGGCTTTTGTTTGATCACATGCTGACGATTGTCGTTGTTTTCATGACTAAATTATCTTTTATTTGCTTGCAAAATGACATGAAATGAATTTCTTTCTTTTTTTTTTATTCATAAAAATATTTTCGCTCGTTGCACATTTGCCGAGCTGTGTTTAGAAATAAATTTGATTAATGATGACATTAAACTTTACATCGGTTTGGATGAAAACAGAAAAGAAATTTTCATGAAAAGCGCATTTAATATTCCTGCCAAATTCATCATGATTTCATGAAATATCTCAATCATATATTCTCAGCATGAAGGTATGAAACTTCCAACGTGACATAAGCAACTTAGGTGTGGCATGAAAAGTATAAAATTTAACTGGAGGAAAGTATCAATGATGAGATTTTCATTTGGAAAACCTATTTAAAGCTTTCCATAAATCAGCTTAATATCAATTTGTGAGACATCTCTTCAAATATCTCTCAACATTTATGTGATAAAAAGTATTGAAAGTAGATAAAAAATGAAATAAAAAAGAAACTTGTAGCAAATAAGAATTTTTCAAGTCTCACAAAAGAAAAAGAAAAAGTAAATAAATTCAGAAACATTGAAAATGGAAAAACTTTCGACTTTTTTTTCTTTTGTTGAACAACAAACAAGAATTTTCCTTTATCGATTATCGATTAAGTTTTCCTGCATGTCAAATGAACGAATATTTTCTGGCATTTGATTTATTGAGTACTCTTATGAAGAGTCTCATTTGATGTATTTCAAGAAGGTTCATCGGAAGGCTTCATGCTGGTAAAGTGAATGGTTTAAATCCTTTTAAATATTCAACATGGAAAATTGAAAACTTTACTACTTGCAATTTCTTAACTTTGTTCAAAACAATTTCCAACAAATAAGCTTCTTCAAAATTAATGTTGTTCAAGTCACGAGACTCACCCTCGTAGATGTGAATAATGTTGGGATGTTGAACTGAGCTCATAATTTGAACTTCTCGTCGTATCCTTATGAGATCTGCTTCTGTTTCAATTTTACTTTTTTTAATCGTTTTGATAGCGACCTCTTGACCTGTTTCCTTATTAATTCCTAATTGCACTTTGCCATATGTGCCTTGTCCCAACTTCTTAATGATGTCAAATCTATCAGACGAAATGAACAGAGAAATTTGACACACATTCATATTTAAAATACATGACGAGCTAGAAATTTTTCAATGTCATGAAAACGTGCTTAATGACACAGCTTTCAATCTTTTTTTCACACCGCTTCTAGCTTCGCACATCAAAGCTTTCACTTATGCGTTAGTTATGAATTATGATGTCAATATTTTATTTCCGCTTACCTCTGCCTCAGCTTCTTCCTGTGATTGTTCATTTTCACAGCACCAGTGTTTTCTATTCCACTCATTATATTGTCTATTGTCGCCTGCTGAATGCCTAATGGCTGGGTCAAAGGGGATTGTTTCTGTTGGGAGCCACCACCCACTGCATCCTCTTCGGTAGCTCCATTTTGCGCCTCGCCGACAACCATTTTTATGTTTCCACTTTGTTGATCTTAGCTATAATGAAAAAAGATGAAGAAAATATTAAACACGAGAATATCTGTGGGAGAGTAAATGCTGAGATGTAAAAAATGAAATTTTTTTATGTTTGTCATGTTGTTGCCACTTTTTTTTCATCTTTATTCAAACATCACGTCGCTTAAGAATTTCTTTTTCCGACAACAAAAAAATAAGAAACAAGAAAAAGAAGAGAAAAACTGGTCAGACTTGTATTGGGGTTAAAAGTTTTTCTCATTCCCACTTCAACAATCTCAATTTTTGTTAGAATTTTCTTTCACTTTCATGTGGAATCGGAATTCTATTGATTCTTTGATTGTCGTGTCCCCAAAAAAGTGTTTGGTTGTCGTTGCCAATTTATTTTGTCTTCTTCAACCAATGTTCGACATTCTTTTACTATTATCTATTTTTTTAATCACATTTGACATCGCATGTGCTTTTATTTCATTGCCAGAGCCTTAGATATAAGATAGAAGTTAAATACTTCGAAACATTCACCATTGGCATCAGGGAGAATGAGATTATAAGGACATTGAAAGTCACATTACCTCGTCTGATTCTATTCGAATATTTATTCAGAGTCAGACCCGTGCTATCATTTCCTTCGCATTGATTATAAATTGAAAACGAAAGAATGAAAATGTTACGTTTCTCACTTCAATGAACTCAATCACGCTAGAGGCAAAATTTTATTTCGTCAATTCCACAGATTCAATTTCAAATAAAAGAAAAATATAAGCTGATTAGAATGTCGGCTGTTCAAGACACGTACATATTCTGGGTGTGGTGGGTGAAAACAAGTTTTTGTTCGACTGAAAAGGAAGTAGAAATGAATAAATAAGCATCGGAAATTAATTCCGTAAGTGGAAGGAGGGTAGAAAAAGATGAAGAAAATGTGTAACCCAATTAGCTTTCCGGAAGCTTATAAATCTTTAAGTTTTATGTTTCTCAAGAAGAACAAGATGTACCAGCAGTTATGGAAACTATTAATGTTTCAACGACTGTCAATGTGTAATCCTAACGAAAGCGACATAATAAAGCTTTCAACATTCTCAAGTGTTTATGTTTTCAACTTTTTATGCATGATACAATCCCGAAGCTTTAGAACATTTCATTGAATATTATTTTTGGAATGAAACTTTGTTGTTATTATTGCTTAAAAGTTGGTCTATGCTGATGTAATGTTACCAACTTGATTTGAAATGTTATTGAACAAATTAAATGAATCAAACAAAGTGCATGAAGTAGAAACCAATAAAACAAATTAGGAGCTTTTGAGATGTACAATTTATATTGTATGAAGCAAGAGATGGAATTGATTGACTCCTTTGTAATTGATTGATAAGATTACTATTTACTTTGTTGAGTAAATTTATCTTCTTACATATGTAAAAGAATTAGTAAAGTCTCTCAGATTGAACTTGTTCACATTGCTTTGGTTTATTTCAATCATCATTCATGAGAGATTATTTTCAATTCACTAACAAGTTTACATTCATGACTACAAACCATTCAAAACATCAATTAATACTTCTTTGTACGTTATTTCAACATTGGCAAGCTTCACACAACCCTCAAACCATTTCATAGCAAAAATTCAAATCATTTTATGACTTTTTTAACACAAACTACGCACATTTTAACAGCTTCTCATTTCCTTTGCTGACAAAGCTTGAGATAAAAAGTTTGCCAAAATTTTCTTTTATTCTTTTTGTTACACAACAACAACAAAACGCCAAGAGCCACTAAAGAGTCAAAATGAAAATGAATAAAAAAGAAAACAAATGTTCTTTCCTCTCATTCAAAGATCATGCATTGCAAAGCAATTAAGTTTGGCAACGATGTCTCTCATTCCGCAACGTACACGGCAACAACAAAATTTTAAGACAGTTTTTCGTCGATTTCTTTTTTTCTTACTGCGATTTTTCTTTTTTCTTCTTCTCGTTCGAAAATTCTATTTTTAACAGCCAACTTTCCACTACATATTCCTGCACTGTTGGTAAAATTGTCTTCTTTCTTCGGTCTTTTATGCCGAAAGTTTAGAAAGAATTTCTCACAGCGTTTATGAGCGTGTTGAATTCACTTAAATCTACATAAGTAAGAACACTGCTAAATGAATAATTTCCCTAAATCACATTTCAATCGACTAATCTTAATTTTAATTAACAATAATTATCTGCGTAGGTATCAATTAAATTTAAAATATCGTCTCTGAATCTTCATCACTTTTAGCACATATTCACCGACAAATATTTCATACGCGACTGTTTTTCGAAAGAGAAGAGCAGCAGTGAAGATTTTTCTTCCCTCGTCCCTCATTTTCATCGACGACGAAAACCATTAAGAAAGCGTGTGAAGGAAGCTCTCAGCTGCTGTGAGAGAAGCACGGAGAATAGCAAATCGTTGAGAGAATTAGGAAAATTGGTGAACATCATTTCCTATTTAACCGCAATATTTCTCGTTAAATCTCATATGCATATGTGTGTGTTTGTGTTTGTCGTTTCGTCGTCGCGCTAAGCCATTTAAAATAGCACGGAAATCTTCTGCTATTTTTGAAGGAAATTCTTTGCTGTCACATTTACTTTAAAGCGACGAAAGATGGTTCAGAGAACATCAAATTAAAGAAGCATTTACTTTCGACCATTTTAAATGAATTTCCAATTGAGTTAATTATTTATGTGACTCAATTAAGGTGATGATTTTAGTACTTTCCTGATACCTTAACGTATCGTTACCTTTCACCAAGGCGATAAGAGACGAGCTTTTCTCATTATTGGTTTTATATAATCAGCTTAAAAGCTTCTTAAAGGAAAAAAATGTCTTCATCGTTACGGTTGTCAGATTAAAAGATTTAATTATTGCATCTTCTTTCCCTTTAACCTTTTTTTGTCAAGGAGATAGAATCTGCCAAAGCGCGCGCCTTCTGCTAACATTAATGATATTAAAAAAGTGTTTCAATTTGTGAAGCAACAGGGAAGTTTTCACTCATTCGTGACATTACAAGGATCATTAATATTCCTTTCTGCATACACTTAATAATGAAGTTATATTCTTAACTGTTCATTGTACAGCTTGAAATATGCTTCCCTTTGCTGTTCCACTAAATTATCATTAGTCATTGCTGAATTATAAATGGAACAATAAATCCTTATTCGTTATTTTTAACTTTAAGTGAAATAATTAGCTTTTTTCTCTTTAATCATCATTTATACCACTTTTCATGCAACTTGCAATCCACTATTGCTCCCACTTTCATTTAAAAACATGAGGAACGAAAGAGAAGCAGAGATAAATTAAAAAAATTTGAACAACATCATTTTTGTGTTGCGGTAATTCACTGATAAGAGAAACAGAAGCAAAAGCAACCTTTCAGTCTTCCGTGTAATTGAAAAAGTTTTCATTTTTGTCTCGAAAAATGACAAAATCCCGGTTTTGTAGTGGATGAGACAGAAAGGTTTTAATATTTTCAGATTTCCACATAAAACGAAGGATTTCCACTTTTTCCTCAAAATTTTCTTTTTTCATTCTAAATGCAAAATCGCAACTTCAATTCAAATTAATTTAACTTACATGTTCATCGAATGAATGAGTTTTCATGGAAGAACATTCTTCTGCAATGATTTTAATTCATTCTCTTTATTTGATCTCAAAATAGAACAAGTTTGTGTGTGTATGAATGCATGATAAAAACGAGAAAGGAAAAGAAAATGAAAAAGGATTTTCCAAAGAGAAAATTTTCATATCATGATGTTTTCAAAGTTATGGAGTTTCATAAATTATTAGCATAAATTTCTCATCTATTCATCTTCACTCAATGAAAATTATTCTTTTTGATTAATAAGAAAAGAAAGAAAAGTCTTGACAATAAATGAAAAGTGGATTAATTTTTATTTTCTTCTAGCTTTTGTTGAAGCTTTTCTATGTTCTAATTTCGTTTTATTACAGTAAAGATTTAATAAATTTCGAATCAAAGCGTAAGAAGAAAAGAATTTTATCTTGTTCGTCTCATAAATAATCATAATTGGAGTCACCCAGAACTGTCTGTAAAAACTTGGGGTTGGTAAAACTTTTTAATAGACTCTGCTGTGTTTCCACCACCAGCTGTGGTTGTGGCAAAAAATCTTCTCATCAAAAACAAAAGTTTTGCCTCCCACAAATAAAAAATAAAGAGACATTCCTTTCAATCTCGTATTAGCAAATTTCATTTCAAGATGTGAATGTTTGATGACGATTCTGGTTAGATTGACAATCCTCAGAGAGTTTAGGTATCCATGCTGTTAGATTTACATAAAAGGTTTTGTGTAAACAAAAAACACATAATCTGTTCAATTTTTACTCTCCCAGCTTTCATGTGGGAATTGCGCCAATATGATTTGAAAGGGTAGAAAAAAAATGATAAAAAAGAGAACAAATTAGCATTTCATGTAAGCTTTTCAGAAATAAAAAAATCGTGATTTGGGATCGTTTTCAAAGCAAATAAAAGGAAACATAAATATAGAAAGAAGAACGGATATGTTGAGTGACCATTTAAAAGTGGAAAAATCGATAAGATCGGAAAATTATGGCATATCGCAAGGAGAGCATCAGAAATTGTCAACGATGACAGGAGATGAAGGATCATTTTTCTATAACGAGTAATGTTTATCTTGACAAAGATAAATCGTTTTTCTCAAGTTTCCCTTCAAGGATGCTCATGCCTCGTTCAAATCTTGATTAAAAACTTGGTAAAAGAAATTCTAACCGCAAGACGTCTTATCTCTTAAGATCAAATTCAGGAATGAATTGTTTTAAACTTTCAATTTAATATGAAAAATGTTTTAAATATTCAAAAGCGTAGTCGCAAAACCAGACTCACACACTGAGTCATAAAATATTTTCATCGATTCGACGAAAATGCTGTAAGCGTTTTGCTTTCATCATACACATGTGTCGTCACTTAAGTGTCTCATCATTCCAATGACGTTTAACATAAATGGTCATTGAAAATGAGCCCCGCTCACAACTTTTGATGGCTTATATAATATTGAAATCTATAATATTTATCAAGAAGTTTCTAAGCGAAGCTTGAAGGAGTTGAAATAAAATATTCGGTATTGATGACGACGGAGAGATTCTTGAGAGATATTTTCAGAAAAGAAGGAGAAGCACGAATAAAGCTTTGTAATGTCGGCTGTATAAATGTATGTGCAATATCATTAAATCAATCTTGATATAGCAAACTTTTCAATTTAATTGCAAATGAAGCTTTTTTTGACTAAGATTCATCTTGAGAATTGAGATTTTTATTTGCCTCCATTATCATTGGGGGAGGCGAAACTCTTTCTAATTGATTCAGAAAGTGCTGGAATATATTACTTCAGACTTTCTACAAATGTTATATAAAAAGCTTTCTGCAGAGATTTCTCTTGTGACTTTACGAGAAGAAGTAAGAAGAACTTTCCGAGTTTAACCAACACAAAAACGTTCTAATGACCCATCGAGTATACTTTATGCCACACTTCCAAAGCTTATAATTACACCAGTTTTTATCCACAAAACCATAAGCACAGTGTACATGAATGACGAAGATGTTTCACCCTTGAGAGCCTGAAAGCTCAAATTTTTTTCTTTCTTTCGTCAGATTCATTTGTCACCCTTCGTTGATTAAGCCGGGGCCCCGCGAGAATGAGAGAGTGGAGAAGAAAAAGCTGTGAATGAACTTAGATAATGTGTAAAGAGGAAGAAAAAAAATACAACCCTCAGTAATCATGAACAAATCATTCAATGAATGAACGACGGGAGAGTAACAACAACAGTCACCAACAAATAAATAACAAGAGGGAAAACGTCTGTCAAATCGAGAAGACGGATTTATTTTTCTCCCTTTTAAGCATCGTTGTGCACGTAATAATTTCCCAGCTTTATATTCTTCCTAACGCTTAGGTTTATTATTCGCATTACTTAGGCTGCTCGAACCGAGATGAGGCTTGTCAATGTTAAAAACACTTTATTATGTTGAGGGTAATTTATATCATGTTTACTCAAAACGTCATGTTTTATTTTCACTTTCATGGAAACGTTGACTTATCTGAAAGACAGATAAATGCTTTGCTGAGAGATGACATCCACAAGGCGGCAGACATTCGCAAGAGAAGAATGAACGAAGATTTGTTTTGATCCAACAAAAACGAACATAAATAATGGAAAATAATAAAAAGAGCTTTCAAAAGCTTCTTCAATATTGCGACAGATTTTATATTTTCGAAGTTTATACAAACATAGTTTCACATCACGATTTAATTTTAACTTTCTTTTCCTGAATGTCTTTGAGAATTCGTAGGAATGTAAATAAACACAACACTCACTTTGTGCTTGTTTGACGCAATAAACCACAACCGATACAGTTCTCCTCGCTAGCTTCAAAGAAGATATTTATTTTTGATAGATAAAACATGTGATTGAGTTGCACGCATTATTAACTTTAACTTATTTATGTGTATGTATTTAGTGTGAATAACTTCACTTTCTACAACCACGCATGAAATAGAAACAAAGCACAGAACACCGCACATCGCAGCAGTCATTGATCTATTAATAATAATATAACGTGGTCTTAAACATATTAAAATTTATATACAAACGTTCTCTAAATCACACGCCTTACATATGAGTGCGATCAAGTGACGTAAATTGAAATTGAAACAACAACCCGCACACTCTGCGTTTTGAGCATGTTGCTTGAATTTAAGAGTTTTTTTTTCTTGTTTCTTTAGCAAGAAAGCAAGCACTCTCTTTATTCTTTTCCTTTTGTTTGAATGATTGTTAGATGAGGGTGTGATGAGATGTGAAATAAATATGGCAAGGAAAAGAACATTTACCCAAGCGAGTATAAATCACCCAGAAATAGTTTAATACACGCCTTGAATATTTCAAAGTATTATGTTCGCATATCTACCTTTGAAAGTTTAATAATTTTGTTTTATTGTAATTGTTTATGTATTTCTTGCCATCAAACATAATTCCCTTTCTTTCATTGAATCAATAAATTTTTTCAAATATTTACGATTTCAATTCAAGGAGATGCTGTTGAGATAAAGTTACAGCCATAAACAAATTATACCGACAATATCTTTTAGAGAGTAATGTCTAATGTCTCGTTTCTTTTATTTAGGATCACACTTAATGGTTCTTGCGTCTCACGTACTAGAAGGGAAATGAAACAGCAGAACAAGCAAATTTATTATCGAAATTTGCGTATAAATACATTCGGCTTTTTCATGATATTTAAACGACAAATTTGTGTTTTCACAGCAGCTTTTGTTGATGCCTCTTTTGTCGTCGAAATGATTTTATTTTGGCGACTGAAAAAAGGAAGAAAAATAAAAATAATAGAGAAAATTCTGAAACACTTTGTCGTAGGTTCGTATTGGCAAGCACATTTAAATCGCTATAAAACGACACAAAATATGAATGCTAATGGCTCTTGGTGTTATCATCATGATTTTTGTTTTTCTTTTCATTCCTTTAGCAGCGACAATTTGTGAAATTTCTCTGAAAGCTTTCTCAGCAGCTTTAATCAACGAGCTATTGTCGGAGATGAATCAAATGTAAGCAGAAAGATATTAATTAACATTACTTAGAAACAGAAACGTTTCTTACGTTCCTACTTTAATTATTCATGTCACAAAATGTAATCAGCAATTATCCTAATTTGATTGATTGAGTACATGTTGAATTTCCCAGATCGTGCGAGTCAATAATTAACAATCGAAGCGTAGCCATTGGTCCTAAAACCTAGAATATGTGATTAATATTATCACAATTTTACGCCTAGATAATCAAATACAACTGAATGAAAGTTGACTTTTTATTTTTCCACTTCCAACATTAAAAAGAAAATTTTGCTTTTAAGTGAGTAATTCATTGGAAAAAAGGTTTTCAGTTTTCCTTTTAATTTTAACATTCGAAAGCACATTTTTAAGCTTTGCTTTTTACAGTATTATCCGCTTAAATGAAGGTGAAAATAGTGCAATACGTCTATTATATGTAATATGAACCGAGAAGTTGAAAAGCTTAGTAAAGATAAAAACACTTTCAATGCAATCGCAAAACTTCATACTTCATGCTATTATATTATTCCCTATGTCAGAAAATACGGTCGTGAATGCGCTTTGACGTCAAATTGAATGAATTTCGAACAAGAAACTTTACAGACGAGATGAAAAATAAAAATTTGCAATGAGAGTCGACTGCAAAGTGCCAATGTTACTTTCCAACACAGATGATTATTTTTTTTATTTTATTATTGCAATGTCCTTTCAGTCGAAGTTTCAAAATTGAGATTTTAAATTGAGACTGAGAAGCGAGAAATGTAATAAAGAAAAGAAGTCATCGCATTCTTCTCACCAAAAGTTGAAAAATAAACGAAGACAAGCAGAGCTAACGATAATAAAAAGAAATCCAATTTCATTTCTTCATCCATTTCCTATCCAATTGAGTTATTTCGAGGATTTCAGCGAAAAGAATTTATCATCAATTTTGGGAGATTTCTAAAGTTTCAAATTTAGAAAAAGGATTTCTTGGGATTTCACTTTACTAGTTTTTGGTTTATCTACTAATCCATGCTAAAACAAGTCGAAAAAATAGAAATCTATGTCAGAAAGAATGAATTCCAATCTTCTGTACAAATCTTGCCTCTTTGCTTGAGAAAGGTAAAAGTATTTTCTTATCAAACACCGCAAATAGCCTAAAGATAAGTTTATATAACAACTTGTTTAATAAACTTTATTAACTTGGCGTTAAACAGTGTTTTTCTTTTCTCGATAATTTGTTGTTCGTGTGTTGAACTAAGCCGAATAAAAATATAAAAGAAAGAAAGAAATCGTCTTCGCTAAAAAGCATCCATAACATGTGTAAACGTCCATTCAATGTGTTAGTCGCGATGCCTCTTAATAGAAGTTGGATATGTGCGTGGGTGGATGTGAGTTTATTTCATCAAAATGTTTTCTTTCTCTCACACATATTTTTTAAACGAGATTATTCATGAAACAACGTCACTAGACGATTCAATCGTGTCCAAGAAAATCACCGTGAAATATAAACGCGGAGTTTGTCATAAATTAAAAATTCTTCGCAGATTCATAAAATTTATACGTTGCCTTATCGATGGTTGAGTGAAGAAAAAAGAATTTCATTCTATAAGAGCTGAATTCAATACTTTAAATATTGTACATTGTGTATAAAAGCAACTTATATGGTAACAACAACCAACACTAAAGCAACTTTGGTTTACAAGCAGTTTCAAAAAAAATTCAATGGAAGGTTTTTTGGGTTGCAAAATTAATTAAAATGACTTGAACCTCGATCATTACAGTCTAAAGTCATTATGTCGTAAAACAGAAGTTTTTATTGTCGACGTTCGTGGATGCTAAGTAATTTTTGTCTCCGTCATTCATCTCGTCATTTATACATTATGAATGCATGGACAAATGAGTCAATACCCTACCTTTAAAATTCTTATTAGAGAGAATCTGTGGCTTAAATGATTTTATTCCGATTCCCGATTTTTATGTGTGTTCAAACACATTTGTGTTCATCAGTGTTGCTCTATTTATATCCGTCGATCCACAAGATGTAAAAATAATTTTTTTTCACTCTCTTCTCTGGTTTTTGTCTGCTTTCGAATTCCTTCACTTCTTTCTTGTGTTCTTTATCCCTCACAAGTAAGCATTAAGGAAAAAAACTTCACTCTTATGCTTTTAGAATTATCATAATTGGAGAATCAAAGCCAGACAATTTTGATTCAAATGAAATCAGTTTGTTGTCTTCAGATGGGGATCGCCGGAAAGAAAATTTACTTTGACTTCTTCGTATGAATTTTCGTCGATTTAATTAACTTTTTTTGAATTTCGATTGAATCTATATAGAAAAATCAATCACATTAATGAATTTTGTATCATTTTTTGCACAGATGTTGACATCGACACAACAACAACATCAACTACGAGCTTTTCATCTTCTCTTCTTTTTTTTCACTTTATTTTTTATATATTATTGCACAATTGCCTTTTAACTTTTTGATCATTTGATATTATATTCAGCTTTTTCAACACTAATAAAAACTGATTTTTAATTAAACTACTCAAATTATTTACAAAATTCCAGTGAAATCAGAGTTTAATTTCCACCTTAAATTAATACCCGGAAAATTTTTATAAACGCATTTTCCGACAAATTGACAGACGAAGACTGAGAACCAGTAGAAAATAAAAGACTGAGTCAGACAAGAATCTCAATTGCCACTGTTGCCATCTCTTTTCAACCTTAAAGGAATTGTGCAACAAAGCGTCGCTTCATAAAATTGTAACTAACGAAAAATTACCAATTTCCAATACTTACATCACTGACACCAAAAGTTAAGAACAGAAAAAGTTCTGTGAAATTCGTGGAAAATCATCTTAGGAGAAAAAATCTTCACGCTTTTGGTCAGATTAAGCTTTAATCGAAAACTTTTGAGAACGCGAAGTCTGTATTGGAAATTAAAAAATTAATTTCCTTTATTTTACGATGTTTCCACGAAACGCGTATATAGATAATTGAACGAAATTAACAACAGATATCTGGAAACGTTTTGCGCATTCATCCAGCTTTAATTTCATTTTTTCACATTTGGCTTTTGATTTATTGTTTTGAACGTGATATATTATTAATGGCATTAAGTTACTTTTTATTAATTTCTGTCGTTTGTGGATGTTTTCGTCTTGTCTGTTATCATTTTATACTAAACACACAAAATCGCTTAATTTTTCACATTCTATTATTTTCAATAACTCAATAAATTTTATGCGGGATATTGTGCTTGAGGCATTTATTTGCTTTTTGTTTTCTTTTAATTTATTAGAAAATATCTGAAATAAAAATTTAACGGGATCTTTGCTTTAATTTTTTTTATTTAAAAGTTTCTTTACATTTTCCTTTATCGTACCGGAAAACAAGAAAAATAAATAAAAGTTTTATTAGATAAAACCCGAAATCTTAAAAAGTTTACAAATATTTTGAGATTTATTTTTGTGAACCAAATTTAGCTATAAAAGTAGAGAAAGCATTTTAAAAAGAAGCGTAAACAATTCCTAGTCATGTTGAACTCAAATCGTAAATAATAAAATGTGGGAGTTAACTCGAAATCCGATTTCATTTCTTTTATATCACGAATCATCATGATAAACAATTGTGACGATATTTCATTTTACAGCTAAATCCATTTCATCTTGACATGCCAAGGAGTGAAGGAACGTATTGACTCAATTTGATTTACACAATATGTTTTTTTACATTTGTAACAAGTACAATGTAAGTCTTATCAATTGACATCCAAATATTTTTTTCCCTTAATTCTGATTCCATTCATTTTGGAATGTTTTATTTCTCTTGTTCCGACTTCTATAAAGAATTACGTTAAACTTAGATTGATAGATTTATACATTGATTGAATTCAATAACCTGAAACAAAAACAAATCAATAATTCCGTGGGAATTCGGCAGTTTCATTCTAAGACAGGTTGAGCTTCAATTCCGTCAGAAACAGATATCAATGAGACGAATAAATTTTCTTTTTCTCTTAAGAAAACTTTCCCGCCTCGATGTCATGCTGAATTTCTTTATAATAGCAGAGGATTTTCTGCATCAAATAATTTTGTGAGCAGCTTTTGAAATCCGTTTTCTTCATTATTTGACTTTAAGCTTAAAGTTCAACAGAGAAAAGATGAAAGGGAAAAGCCACTTCAATAAAACATGAAACGATTTAATGTAAGAAATAATATTTACTAAGAACATTTCCTGTTTCTTTTTCAAATATTCATGAAAAGATGTTTTCCCTAAAGTTCTTCCCGCATTCCCTTTTGTTGAATTTCTTTCACAAAATAAATCAGCAAAGGAGAAGAAAAGAAATTTAGAACAAGTATGAAACTTTTTATCCCAATTGATCAACAGATTAAAATCACCCGATGTCAATCGATTGGGAATTTCTTCTTCCCTTCGTCGCTAAATTTACTGTCTTCATTGACATTGCTTCTGCCTACTTTCACTTCATTCAAGCACACACGACAAAGTTTCTCGCCTTCTTACTTCGCACTACTTACTTTTTCGTTTGATGTTACCCATCAATTCATTCTCCGACTGTGTTTAATGATCCGAAAGAGGAAAATTTATTTTATTACACACTTGCCGGTCGTGAACTTGTTTCATTCACTCATATCAACTTTTCTCCTTGCTCTTCAATAAGGAAAAGCTCATTCACATTCAAAGCGCACAAACTTTTTCTTGTCTAAATTGTGATTCATTTTTTTCCTTCCCTCCCTTCATTGCCAATTTTCAATTAAATTCTAATAAAAGTTTATTAAGCACCTTTTCGTGTTTAAGTACATAACACAGGAAAACTTCAAGAAAGCTTTCAAATAAATTCTCCACACACTTCTCTTTATTTGTGAATATGAAAGTTGAAGTGGCAATAACAGTGGCATCTTCAAACCTGATGGAAAAACTTTTTTTTTGTTTAGCTCAAGATCTTGAAACGAAAATTAAAAGCTCATAAAAATTCACATTAAACCTCAAAGAAATTACACGAATGGGAGAAATAAAAAGGAGAATTTGTTGATAATTGTAAATAATATTTGAAGCAGGAAGAAAATCCATAATACAACATAAAGCGCTCAACGTCATGGTGAGGAAAAAATGCTCATAAAATCCGTAAACGGAACTTAAAAACATCCCATTGTTCGCAACGATAAATCGGTGTGCTGTGGTCGCCTGCTGTTATCCAAGCTTCGCTCCATAAATTCAACAAACTCCCCGAGAAACCGACCATAACTCACTATACTTACATAGCGAATCTTCATTGATTTCCAATTTAATCCTTTTTTCATTTGATCATTAAATTTTAATCAATTACTTGACGAATCAAACTGTTTATGTCAACCTATGCAATAATGAGATTTAACCACAGTAAGGTTAACATCGTGTTTTAAGTTTTAATTGCCTTTTCAATATTAAATATTAAAATTTATTATTCTGAACATTTTCCGAGTAATTTTAATTTTTGTGGATAGCAACGTATGAATAAAATTCTACACTCAAGGGAAATCTAAGCCACATATTAAATTTTAAATCCCAAGTGAACATGTGTTAAGCACTGCTACTTGTGTTCATTTATCAACATTTTTATTTTATATATTTTTTTGCTTTGCTGCCTCTCCCGTCTTTAATTAAATTTTGTAGGAAAGGATATTTCAATTATTCAATAAATTATGGGCGCGTTAAAACTTTGCCTGTTAGACGCGTACGTTGACCCTAATAAGACTTGAACTTAAATCAGAACATTTTCTCCATTAACAAGCTGAATCAAATTGATTTTTAACCCAAAAAAAAAGGCCTTTCATTGCTTTTTAATAGCAACCTGTTCAAGTGTCGATTTTCATGAGAAATAATGATTATGATGATAATAATAAATGAGAGTCAACAACAGCAGAGAGGAAATTTGGTAGCAGAGGGCACGTCGAAAAGCTTTACGCAGTATTTCATCCTACAACTCTATGAAGAGTTCGTGTTTATGCCTCATGCTGTGTTCTCTTTGTTTTGTTATGGTCTTTAACAAATACAAAATACCTTTAAACCTTCCGAAAAAGTTCTCTCTTGGAAATATAATAATTTATTGCTTTCACAATATTGAAAATAAATATTGATATATAAAGGTTCGTGATACTTTTAGATTATTAATAAATATCTACTTTAAACCATTATTATGGTACTTAATCGACTCCTAATACTCATGCTTAATAGAATTTCATTGAACGATGAGGTTGAAGGTTTTTCTATGCTTTTAAAAAATTAATTTAAAAGCTTTGAGATTTTTCAAGAGTATAATTTTCAAAATATTCCTCCATGAATTCACCTTGTGCTTAAGCTTTTTACACAATGAGAAATTGAGAACTTCATGGTAATAAAAAATTCATTTTTATTACGGGATCATTTTCTCAGATTTCTTTTTTGTTATTTCCTTACGCGAGATAAGATCTTAATAATGCGAGAATATAACCGTTTTGAACAGATGAAAATTCATTTTTGATGAACATTTAAAGCTGAGATTTAACATGGGGCTTTCGGTTGAGTTGAAAACGGAATAAAACAAAAATTCCGCGGCAAGCCTAAATGACTGGGTGGAGGAGAATCAACCGAAAAAGTAATACATTAACTGGCATCCATAATTCATAGTTGGGAGACATCATTACTCCTGCCTGAATAACATACAATGATATTATATACTTATATACAAGGAATGAGTAGAAAAAAGCTCTTTCATTTATGTATTCAATTCTCAATGAAGTCTGCTGATGCTCTCATTTTCGAGAACGTTTCTTCGTCTTTAATATGAATCCTTGTTTACTTCGATATACATTTTCAAGCATCTCGAGTTCTTTGTGCTATCTTTTCTTCATTTTACTTTTTCGTTTTCTTTCCTTCCGCCTTTTTTTACATGAAGATCATATGAGTATGATATAAAGAGGTTGAAGCACTTCAAATGGGCTATTTTTATTCTTACTTGGTTCTTCAATGTTGACATGGTTCAATAGATTAATGTCAGAATTACAGATATTTTATGATTCTTCCTTTGAAAGATTGAGGGCAAAGGAAGCTTTATCATCATAAAAGATATCAATATACCTACATAAAAGTGGAAATATTTACATAAATTTTGCTTGTTTGAATTTGAAAACGTTCATAGAAAATTAGAGCTTTCGTTTATGTAAATTTCAGAAGCTTCTAAAATCGATTTTCAACGTGTCGTAGACAGAGAAAGGTTTCATGATTGTTTATTCAATTAAAATAATTTCTGTCTCAACTTTTAGACAAACTTTTAGGAAAGGAAGCTTATAAAGTGTTGAAACAAAATGTGATATTTCCTATCAACTCTATGTAATACGAGAAGAATTTGGGAAAGCTGTTATGCAAAGGAAAAATCAGTATTTTCTTTACGAAGTGATACAACACACTGCTGGGTGAAGAAAAAGAAAATTGTGCGAAGAGAAAATATTTTCTGTCCTTGTTGTACAAAATAAGGAAAGAAAAGGAAAGGAAGAAAAGATAGAGAAAGCAGATAAGACCTAAGCTGCAATTGGGAAAATTCAAAAGTTATGTTTTTAATTTTGCTAAGTAATTTTTAACTTGCAATATTTACATAAATGAAAATTCAAACATAATAAAATTGAATAGATAAGAAAATTTTTATTAGAATTTTTTTAAACAAGATTCATTTTGCTTTTTAATCCATCAATAAAGTTTCTAAGTTCAATAGGGTTTAGCTCTGAGTGTTTCTTCAAATGATTTCTCATGTAGTCAATTCTGCCAACGGAAAATTTACAGCCATTACCAACGGGACATTTCTCACGAATTTTCTTATGGAAAATAAAAATATGTTTCTTGAGATTACTGCTAACGTAATAAGATCGATTACAGTCGGGAAATGTGCATGAAAATTTCTTTCTCGCCTCATGTCGCTTCTGGTGAATCTTAAGGTACAGCGAATTCCTGAACTGTTTATTACAGTTATGAAAATCACATGAAACAGTTTTATCCTCGTGGAGTTTTAAGTGGTAATTTAATATCTTCTTAAACCTGAAAGATTTTCCGCATAACTCGCACATAAATTCCTTTTGACCTTCTTTATTGTGACAACATTTGATGTGGTTTTTTAGTGAATGTGTTGTGCATTTTTTTCCACATATTTTACAAGGATGGGCTGCATGTACATGAATATTAAGCTCATGAGTTCTCCGTGCTATACGATTAGGATAATTTTTCCCGCAGAAACTGCATGATTCTGGTGATGCTGTATGTCTCATTTTGTGGGAATCTAAAGAATATTTACAAAGAAATTTTCTTTCACAAATATCGCACTGGAAATCACGAATCCTGCATTCTTTCAGTATGTGCGTAACAACATGGCGACGGGCTTTTATTTTGCTGTCAAACGTATTGCCGCATTTATCGCACTGATGTGGCTTTAAGTTTTTATGGAACATTCTTTTATGTCTTTTTATATTCTTCATTTTAAAGCTTTTTCCACAAATATCACAAACAATTGAATGCGATTTAGATGATCTTGTTTCATTTAAAAGCTCTTCCGATACGTTTTCATTAGGATTTAAGCATTTTGTTGTTGGTTGTAGTCTATTTTGTTTATCTTCAAGAGGATTATTTCTGAAAAAAGTGGTGAAAATTATAATATTTATTTCAGAATTAATATTAAATATGTTAATAATATTACCTTTTTCCACTTCTTGTTACTGACAATTGGCTGGAAATTTCTGACTCAGCTTCATTGTCAATATCCTCAAGTATTTTCAATATTGCTTCTTCATTAATGCCGGAGTTTTCAAATTTTATAGCATTATTGTTAGAAAAAAGAGGTTCAACTTTGATGTATTCAAATAGTGTTAAATCGTCAGTTTTTATGAAGTCCTCAAATTTTTGATGTTTTTCTATCATTTCTTCACGAAATTTAGAAAACATCAAAATGTTGTTTTGGCATTTTCGACAGATGAAATTCGAGCAATTTTCTTGAGTGTCAAGCTGTTTGCAATAAATTGAATTATTATTTATAATCTAATATATAATATATTTGGAATACGTTACCTGGATCTCTGTTAAAGTCCGTACTTTATCAATAACATCATTGTCGATGTTAACCCGACTTTTATTGTTGCGCGGAATACTAAAACACAGTCTACATTTATTCTGGTGATTTTCAAATTCAATGTCTTTCATGATTTCAAACTTAGATATCCTAGATATAAGTTAGATATAAGTTAGATATCCTCTCAAGTTAAAGAAGACAATCTTAAATCAAATTTTTGTTGATACTGTCAACAAAATCAAAATGTTTGTAAACAATAACTAGCGCTTTCTTAAGGCAAAACTTAAAACCTTTTTATTTGAAATTTAATTCAATCTTTTTAATACAGCATTGGCATTTGTTATTTCTTTATTCCCTTGTTTAGAGACGTTATTTTAACCAAGAATCAATTTGTTTGGTTATATTTTGCTAATGAATTCTAATGAATGAAAAATTTCATGTTTCACTTAGTACTTAAATGGTTTGATAGAGGGCGTTCTTATTTGTTTTGAAAAAGAAAATCTGAAAAATGTCAATCAGAAAATGTCTACTTCCTTTAATTAATTAATACAAACACATCATGAATAAAGCTGAAAAAGAAAAACGGTAAGCCACTTAATTCGAATATTGTCATGTTGAATCATAGGTTTTTTTAAATTTCATTTACAGTTTTAAAGATGCAATCTTAGAGATAAAAAATGGTTCTAAAATTCGTGTTGCTGCTCTAAAACATATGGTTGCTGAAAGGACATTAAGGCGAAGATTCCATAAATGGTGTGATAGTGAAGATATTGCAATAGGATATCAAAACAACCTCCGTGAATATAGAGAAAATGTTGACAGAAACTGTTTAAAAGATGAAAACTTATCAACAGAATTATTAAGTCACATTCATGATTTAAATGCTGTGATTCCTGCAAAAAATATGTTTTCTAATTTCAAAAACTATCATGAGAAGTGTGGTTTGTGTTTCAATATAGTTTCGTCACATGAGTCAAGAATTAAACTGACAGACAATATCCGGAACATGATTTATTCCATCTTACAAATCCGAATGTTGTCGGATGCAAACTGTTCAAACTTTTTGTGCTTCAAATGTCATGACGATTTGAAGTATTTTTATAATTTTAAATGTGAAATAAGAGAGAAGCATGATAATTTCATAAAATTCATATCAGTGGCAATTGAAAAATGTTATGACGATTTTTCTCAACCATTTAACGAGCCCCTCATTAAAATTGAAGAAATAAAAACTGAACCAGAATTTCCTTCGTCTCTGATATTTTCTGAACCCTTAGGAGAATTGAATTCTCCAATTATAACTGAAAAGATAAATGCCAGTGAAATAATATTTAAAAAAGAACATTGCAAATCTTCTCCGATTGAAGTTCCTTCAACATCGGGAAATTATCAAAATCTAGGGGAGAATATTTCTTTAAAACATTCCAGTAAAAGTCCAATTGTAAAACCAAAGATTATTGATCATCAAGACATTTCAAAATCCCAACTCCTTCCTTGTGATTTTTGTGGAAAAAAATTTATGCGAGGTCAAAGAATGGAACTTCATCGTACAAGAGTTCATTTGAAAATTAAAAACTTTGAATGCGATATTTGTGGTCTAACATTTTATGGAAGATGCAATGTCGCTTACCATATGGTTAAACACATTCCTAAAGAACATCGATCTAGAGATTATCAATGCGATATTTGTAACAAATTATTTTATGACAAGAAAATGATTAAAATTCATATGAGAAAATGTCATGGAAAAGAAGGAAATTTTCCGTGTTCGTTTTGTGGAAAATCATTTTCGACTAAATATAAATTATACTATCATAAGAATAATAATCATTCAATGAGAAATCGTAAGATTGAACTTATTTGCGAGATGTGTGGGAAAGTTTTGCGAAGTCAGAAAGCATTATTTAATCACATGGTAGGAGTTCATAAAGTTTGGGAAGGGAACACAGAACTTCAAAGAACTTTAACGTGTGAGATTTGTGGAAAACGTTTCTTCTTCGAATCAGATCTCAAAAGTCATAAGAAAGTTCATGGAGAAAAAAACGTATCTTGTGATTTCTTTGGATGTCCAAAGAAATTCAAATCGAATAAAGAACTTTACGATCACAAAAAGTATCACAATCCTCGAAAAAAGATTCCTTGTTCATTTCCAAATTGTGACAAAAGCTTCTTTACAAACCAACACCTCAAGTCACATGTCTACACTCGTCATCATAAAATTCGTCAACCTTGCCCTGTTAGCAATGTTTGCGGTTTCTCAGTGGGAAGAAAAGATTACATGAGAATTCATTTAAAGAAGCATACAGAACTTTCTAATGAAGAGTTAGAAAAATATTCCAAAATAGTATCAAGTATGAATTTAGCATAAATATTTATGTTGATTATTCATGTCTGAATTTTCCTTCAACATTAGAAAACTGCAGAAATAAAATAAACGAAATGAAAATTTGCATTTAACTTTTATTTTTCAAACGTGATTTTATTTATGCTTTAAATTTTCAGAACATCAATCTTACAAATCTTATTTCATATTAAGTTGAACAAACGTGGAAAGTCATTTACTTCATGAATTTGCTGCTTTCTGTCAAGAATTTACTGGAGCGTTTAGCATCGAGGAAGAGTTCGCTGATCTCTTGAACATCTTCTTTGATAATTTGTGACCGTCCATTGACTTTGGCTGATTGGAATGCTGGCGTCATAAGTTGGACTGCATATCTTAATGTTGTCGAATTTCCAATCTCACCCAATGCTGCAATTGCTTCATCATCAATTGACAATCCTTCAGTTTGTGCACGAAGCTTCAGAATTTGTTCGATTTCAGAAATTTTGTATGGTTGTGTTCGAATAATCATGAGTCGGTCTAAAAGATCGAGTGGAATTCCATGTGGTGAAATGATGTCATCAGTTCCTCGAATCACACAACGACCACGATTTGTTGCAAAAATTACTATTGGAGCGATGGCAGATTCTAAAGATTTATGCAGATATGTGAATGTTTCCAAATCCAACATATGAACTTCATCGATGAAGAGTACACCAGGAACAAGCTCAGCGATTCCTTGATCGATGTATTTATTAACAATTTTGTTGATTTCCATTCGAAGTTTGTCAGTGATTTCGGTCTTTTTTGGTTTCATGAGTTGACCAACAAGTGAGAGAACATCTTGACCACCTTGAGGACGAGCATTCGCAGCATCAAGATCATGAAGAGTGACATCTTGGACGACTTCTTTCTTCTTATGTACGTCTCCTTTCGGTAATGGAACGTATTCTTCAGTTTCAAGATCAAATTCTGTTGCAAATGTGTCGCTTCTTCCTTGACGTTTTACTGCTCCACTGTTTGCTTCAATGTAAATGACGTCACCGACTTCAACTTTTTCCTTTTGCAAAGATTCGTAGATACTCGGATCAAGTTTCAGTTGTTTTGTTCCTTTTGCTGTTTTCAAGCCAATGACAACATTGCTGATTGTTCGTCCATATCCACCCATTGGATTCTCTGTTTCAACTGGTGTAAGTTCTGTAACTTCACCTTCGTAAACTTCTTTCGTTTCTCGAATTCTCAAACCAATGGAACGACGAAAGTTTTCCATCAACACTTCTGTTTTTTTGATTTCACTACTAAAGACTTCGGAACCGACCATTGGACAGAAAGGAACCTAAAATAAAATTATTTCATCACTTTAGAACGAATGAGGAGATAAAAATTTATTAATTTTACTTTATTTCCTAACTCATGAGCAATTGCCATAGCTATAGCAGTTTTTCCTGTTCCTGGAGGTCCAGCAAGTAACAATGCGCGTCCAGCCATCTTTTTAGATTTGATCAGATCTACTGCGATGCCGGCGGCCTTTAAAGATGTAAAATTTTAACCTTATAATTAAGCTAAATAAATTTAAATTGTTTCTCACTTCTCTAGCGTCTTTTTGTCCAACAAGACCAGATCCAGCTTGCAATGGAACACCATTTTCATCAAGTCCTAACCCTTTCACATGAGAATGAGCTGCGATTCTTTGAGTTTTCACAGTTGATTTTACTTCTTCAATTTTCATGATGATTCTCTTTTTTTTCAAGCGGCAGTCGATGCTCCTTGACTTTTTACACTGATTATTTAATTGAAATTTTAGTTTTTACTGTTATTTTTTAAAGAATTACTGAGAATCTTTTTAAAACAGCAAGAAATAATGCTTTGTTATTGATCAAACTTAAAGCTTCTCATGGAATACAAGATTTTGTAGTTTAGAATACAAGGTACTTCCAGTGCTTACCGCTTGGTGGCAGTAGTGATATGTGAAATTTTACAAAAAATGTAAACAAACTGCACGTGTGAAAATTAAAAAGTTGTAGAAAATATTTAAATTAATATTCTACTGTTAAATAAAGATTACCTATCATTACTAGTGATATAATTATATTCAAGAAGCGAATAACCATTACAAACTATAAGTAGTGATCCCTAAAAATGCCAATCAGACATAAAACTGAAAATGTCTTCAAAGTAAAGTTTAAATCTTTTCTGAAATTTATTTCTTCAAGCTTACATTCAATATTATTCTCTTTTATAGTTTAAGAAGTTCAGCGAACGTGTTAATGAAGTGGATTTACGATCTTCTGCACTGTATCGAATAGAGCATAAAAATGAAATTCCAGATGAAAATCAATCATATTTCTACCAAACACATCAAAAGTGGATTCTCCTCAACCTTACTGAAGAGTTCGCACTTTTTGATAAACAATTGAAAGGAGTAATCACAACAACACTTCCACAACTTCTTCATCATAAGGAGAAAGTTATTGGAGTTCTTTTAGAAAGATTGGATAATGCGACGACTTTATCACTTCAACCTCTTTTAGAGTGAGTTTAAGCAATTTTTATGAATAATAAAGGTCATTAACTTTTTTTCTTCTTTTCAGACTTACTGTTGCCTTATCTAGAGATCTTCGAAAAGAATTTTACTCAAGTTTTCAACAATTTTTTGAACGATTAGTCAAACTTCTTCAAACTCATGATGCAGATCAAACCGAATGGACTTTAGTTTGTTTAGCTTTTCTTTTCAAAACATTGAAACCTTTCCTAGTTAAGGACATTTCAATAATTGTTAAACAAATCATTCCTTTACTGAGTGAAAAGGACCAACCCGAGCATATCATCAATTTCACAGTTGAATGTTTCGCTTTCCTCGTCAAAAATCTTGAAAACAAAGACAACTTCATCGTCATAATTCTTAAGAATGCGAAACAAGATGAGTCGAGTGTGTTGGGATGTGGAAAGTTATTCTTTGAAATGATTAAAGGTTTCAATGGGCAATTTCACAGTAAAGGTGAAGAATTTCTAGAAATTCTGTTCAATGCTTATCGAAAATCGGAATATAAAAAATATTGGGAAGTTTTGAATGAAGTAAGTTTTATATTCGTATCTTGAAAGTATAAAATTAATTATATTAATTCCAGATTCTAGTTCAAACAATTGGAAGTATACTTGACTTTATCGATTTGAAGAATATTTCTAAATATTGGAATATTTTACAAAATGCAATTAAGAACATCTTGCAAGAAAGCAATTTGTCGGAAGAGGAGAAAGCAACAAGCATTCAACATATGCTTCATTTCTTAGGCCAATCAATTGAGTTCCAAGGAGGCAAGAAGGTTGTTGAATTGCCAAAGATCATCAATCTGGTCATTCAAATCATTGATCATAATTTTCCAATTGATGTTATGATGACACTTTCAAAAGTTGGCGCAGTTTTGTTACTTTCCAAGAATTTTGTCATGGGACAACTCGAAGCAAGTCGATTGTCAAAGAAAATTCTTCACATTGATCACAACGAAGTGTTTGAATCGTTTGTTGTCAACGCAATTGGATATTCACAGTTTGACATTCTCATCATGCCAGATTTCTTAAAATATTTCGAAAGAAATCTTAACAAGACAACGTTAGAGATTCTGGCAAAGATTGTCAGTCAAAGAACATCGAAAAGATTGTTGGAAACAGAAGAAGAAGAAAATCTGCAAAATTATAATTTAAATATGAGAAATCAAAAGACTCTCGACGACATTTTGAGTAGAATTACAAATGTTAAAGATTTCGATAAGATAAATGAAGATGAACTCGAACAGTTTCTTCTTTCACTTCAAATTATTCCGCATTTAATGTCATTCGATAAAGAGAAGACTGAAAATGTTTTAAAGAACCTTTTGGAAGAGACGTCAAGAATGTTGTCTGTCGATTGTAACATCAAATGGATTTATTTGTTAGCTGTTGTGATTTCTGGATTGCATCGCATAGAAAGTTCGACAAACGATTCACAAACCATAAAAATTATTGAATTAATTTTGCCAATGACTGACAAGAAGAAGGAATTTAATTTTCCTTGTCTGAGAATTCTTCATTATCTCGTTAAAAGTTTGAATAAATCGAAACGACATCTAACATTATTTAAAAAGCTTCATGAAATGTTGACTGAATGCTTTATGTCACCGTTTCATGACATTCGACTTGTGTCATTTCAAATTCTTTCATGTTTTGAGCATTTAAAACTCGCACAGTTAAATGAAAGCAATGAATCAATTTTTATGACTTTCAAAAGAATCGAAGAAATCACGCCAACAATTCAAACATATCGTGATCAAATTTTACTTCTTCAAAAGCTTGAATATGGTTCAATTTATTTTAAAGACGTCAAAGACTCTCCTTTTGTTGACGATGCGATAAAATTCTGTTTGGGATTTACGAATCAACGATTGCAATTACTTTGGGAACCGACAAAGAACGTCTTGGAGTCTTACATCAATGGATACAACTTGGATGCATTCTGGAAGATTTTCAAAGAACAACTCGTAATGTCATCGACAATCAATCATCATGAAAGTGAATCGGAAATGGAAGAAATTTTCACACAAAACGATTTCATCAATGAACAGTTTTTGAACTTTTCAATAATGGAAGAAAAGTCTCGTGACTTAATCGCATATCGTGTGAAACTTTGGCAATTTCTAAGCGATACAAAATCAAATGTGTGTGATGTTAAACAACGAGATATTGTTGACTTGTTCATGAACTTCTTTCACAATGAATATCAAAGAACAGAGGAAGATAAGGATGAAGATGAGGAAAATAAATCACCAAAAGCACGTCAAAAGCTTCTAATCATTCATCTTCAAGTTTTATCAAAGTTCAACAATCCAAAGTGCGTGATAAGAACAAATGAACTGCGAAATCTTTACATTGATTTGTTGCTTCATCGTAACTTTCAAGTTCAACGTTTATCACTTGATTGTATCATTCAATACAAAGATGAAAGCTTAACAACTTACAAAGATGTTCTCTACAATATTTTAGATGAAAAACAATTTCGTCAAGAACTTGTTGGATTGAAGTTGAACGAGAAAATTCGTGAAGATCATCGTGAGACATTTGTGAGTATTTTTCTTCCAATTCTTTACTCAAAGATGACAATAAAAGCTGGCAAAAAGGATCAAGAAGGATTTAAAAATAAGAAGGAGATCATAACACGATTCATGAGTAATTTAAAGGAATCTGAATTGACAAAACTCGTAGAAATCGCTTGTGGGAAAATTTCAAGCTTAATTAATTTATCGGATGCTGAATCCATGATTAATGCCATGAAGAGAACTTCAAACATCATTAAAGTAAATGAACTTCAATCGATTCTACAATTCTTGGATTTAATTAAGAAAAACGTTGCTGGATTGTTCAGTGTCGACTTTCAACGGAAGATTCTCGACAATATTCTCGCAATTTCTTGCTACACAATCACCAACGATACGACAATGTTTAAAAATCTGAAGCAATCTTGTCTCGTGAGTCTCGTTGAATATTTCGAACATTTTGATGAATTCACATGGAATGTTGATGAAATTGAAGTTCTTTTCAAAATATTTGTCTGGAATTATTTGAAAGATTTTCATCTTCATTCGTCTCAAAATGTCAGCGGTTTAATGAAACTTTTCATCGCATGGTCAAAGAATCCAAAATATTTCAATCTTCTCGCTAAATCTGACGACAATGGAAATTATGCTTTGAAGTCAATCATGAAACTTTTAACTAATAAATCGACGACAAATGTTGTGATCGAATCGGTGCTTGACATTCTTGAGAGACTTTTGACATTGAAATTGGACGAAGAAGTTATCGAAAACTTTAACTACGGAACGAAACTTGTTGAACCGTTCATTCAAGATGTTCTGAAGATACTGAAAGAAACTTTAAGCAACAAGAAGATGAGATCATTGAATCAACGAAATTTGGTAATTTTATCAAGAACAACTGAGTTGGTGACTGATGTGGACTCGTCGAAGATTCTTCTCGACATTTTATTTCCTTTAACACTTAAGAAAGCAGCCGAAAGTCATCAAGATGGTCAAAGAATTATGAAGCTAATGATGACAATTTCAAATCTTCTGAATGTCATTCCAGAACCGCATTTATACATGCGACAATTATCGCCACTGTTCGAACAGATTATTGAAGTCAACCATCGCAAGTCTCTCATTAAAATCTTCAATCAAATTGTTCCATCAACGGATGCAAATGACTTTAAGTCAATGATTAATGATTTCAATGCTTATGATCGACGATGGATTGAACAACCTGATTATGAGAAACGATTGAGTGTCTTTCATCGATTGGAAAAGATCATTTCGAGTGGAAGTTTGTCATTGGACGTTGCTATTGTTGTCATCTATCATTGCTTTTATTTTCTTAAACATGACAAAGATTTAGCAATGCGTGACAATGCTGGTCACTTCCTCAAACTTGTATGTTTGAAGATGATTCAACAATGTGGCGACAATAAGCAACAATTGGACATTTTTGTCGATAAAATTGTTCTCAATTTGATTCAGAAGCGTCTTCGTGATGATGAGAAAGTTAGAACAGAATCGATTATCCTACTTGGTGAATTAGCGCGAGAACAACCAAACGCGCATTCAATTCTCGCTGATCTCCATCCATTGACTAATGCAGCAAATCGTGAACTTGATTTCTTTGACAACATTACACATTTACAGAAGTTTCGTCACATGAAAGCATTGCGGAAGTTTGTTGAAGTTGCTGAAAGTTATCAACATGTTCCAAATCTTAGAACTTTAAATGAATTTCTTCTACCAATTGGAAAAATGTTTTTATGTCAAGAAGAATACAAACGAAAGTCGAAAGTTGTGGAAGCTGCAATTGAATTCATCGCAACTGTTGCAAAATTCCTGCCATGGAATAGTTACGAAATGTTATTAAAGTTTTATGTGAGAAAAGTTAAGAACGAAAGTGGATATCAAAAGCAACTTGTGAAGTTAATTCCAGCAATTTTAGATTCGTTTCACTTTGATTTGAATTGTAATGTTGATAAAGTTTCTGATGTTGAAGTTCAAGATGAAGAAAATGATGAAGAAGAAGAAGAAGACGAAGATAATGAAGATGAAGAGGAAGAAATGGAAGTTGAAGTTCAACCCATTCATCAATTAACAGTTCTTCGTGAGAATATCGCACAACGTGTCATTAAAAGTTTAACAAGACGTTTAGTTCCATCACTCTTCAAAATTATCGCTGAAATATCAACCGATGCACATAAGTTAAACAAGGAAACTCGACGAGCTAAAGAGAAAGCTGACATGTTGAAGATTCCCATTGCATTACCAATCATTAAACTTCTTAAGAAATTACCATCGAAATTCCTCAACGACTATTTGTCACAAGTTGTATTGAAAGTGTCGTCATTCTTGAAATCAAATTTGAAACAAGTTCGAGCAACTGCACGATTCACTTTGAAGGAAATTTTAATGGTTTTGGGTCCAAACTACATGGAACTGATGATTGGTAATTTAAAAGCAATGCTAAGTAAAGGATTTCAAGTTCATGTGTTGTCAGCGACAGTTCATACGTTGATGGAAGCAATGAAAAGTCAACTTGAAGAATGTGACGTTGCTGATAAACTTGTTGATTCAGTTTTAAGTGTTTGCGTTGATGACATTTTTGGAAAAGTTAGTGAAGAACATGAAGTTGGACGAATTGGTCATCGAACACCAGAAGCAAAAGCGAGTAGAAAAAGTTTTCTAACACTCAGCATTCTCGCAGCGACCGTCAATGAAAATCGTGTTTTTGACTTGTTAATGCCATTTAAGACACAACTTCATGAAACACAATCAAAGCGAACTGTTGGAAAGATTCAAGAATGTTTGCAGAAAATCGTTACTGGTTTAACATCAAATAAGAAAATTCCTGACGATTCTTTGTTGATTTTAGTTCATGGAACAATTTCTGAATCGATTTCAGATTTATTGCCGGAAGTCAATAAGAAGAAAGGAAGTAAACAACAGATTGTGAAGGATTCTTTTATAATTCCCGAAGAACCAAAGCGTCGTGGAGCAACAATCGTTAATAAACTTGTAAAGACAACGAAACAAACAAATTCGCATATTCTTGTTGAGTTTGGTTTGGAAATGTTGCACTTGCTTCTAAAAAGGAAGAAATTCCCCAACGAATCTTTCCTTGATCCTCTCATTCCAATGGTTTATGATGCACTCAAAAGCAACTTCTTACGTGCTAACACTTTGGCTGTTAAATGCATTTCGATCATGCTTCATTACCAACTTAACTTACCAAAGTTGAAAGAGAATACGACAGAAATTGTCAATGAAATCTTCAGTATTTTACACAAATACGCAACAAATCAAATATCGAAGAAGGATAATCATTTTCTGCTGGTTAAAAGTGCTTTCAAATGTGTCGTTGTTGTCTTGAGACAAGTCGATTATTACGTAATTAATGAAAATCAATTGAAAGCTTTGTTGCTGTACGTTGAGCAAGACTTGAATAGTTTCTCTGATAAAGACACGATGGCTTTTACACTTCTCAAATCCATTCTTGATAAGAAATTGATGGTACCGGAAGTTCATGAAATTATGAAGAAAGTCGCTCATCTTAGCATCACATCGGAATCTGAAGAAAAACGTGCAGCAATTCGACCAATTGTCTTGACATATCTCATGGAATATCCGATTGGAAAGAAGATTGACAGTCTGATAAAGTTCTTCATTGGACAATTAAATTACGAAGAGATCAGTGGAAGAGAATCAGCGATTCTAACAATGGGAATGATCTTTAAGAATTTCCCTTTGGTGAGTTTATTTTCTTAAATTATCTATGCTAATTAACTTAACTTAATTCTATTGACAGAGTCTTCTAAGAAAGTTCAGTGGACTTTTCTTCTTGTCACTTGGAACACGTTTGGTAAATGATGAATCGCCACAATGTCGCGAAAAGATTGCTGAAATCATAGAATTGCTAATTAAGCAATTAGACAACAATCCACGACAGCAGCTTTTCGAAATTGTGATTTTGTTGTTGAAAGATAAGAAAATCGTTCATCGTGAAATGGCAGCGCAACTTTGCATTCGTTTTGTGAATGTTGAAGGTGAAGAGTTTGTGAAAAGGACTTTGACGATTCTTCCTTTGCTTGTGGATTCGTTAACACATCAAAGTGACAGTTATGATGATGAAAATGTGCCTGGAAAGTTTGTAAGAATGAAAACACTTCAAAATAATGATGACGGAGACGTAGCCGACATGAGAGATCAACAGACGGTTGAAGATCATCACTTGATTCAAACACTTAATGCGATCATAAGAATCTTTGAAAATCAACAAGAAATCCTTTCAGAATCTGCTGATGACTTGAAGAGTTCTGTTAATGACATAGGATATCAAGCAAAACAACTTCTGTCACATGATCACGTTTGGGTTCGTTTACGAGCTCTTCGAATCATCAATTTTATGATTAAATCAATTAATGTCAAAGATATCGAAAAAGTTTTACGTGATGAAGAAGTTGATGATGAAAAGTCACGTAAATTTCTTCACTCTAAAGTTGAATTCCGTTCGGTGGTTTTTGATATGGTTGTGCAATTGAAACCGGACGTGGATGAAGAGCTTCTGAGATTAATAATTGAGAATTTGATTGAAGTCTCAAAGATCATTAAAACGATTCCATTCGAAGGAATGATCAACGATAAAAAAGATTTTAACATCATGTGGCTTGTAAGACGTCTCCGTTATGCAATTAATAATGAAATTGTTAATTCACCATCATCGTTTATGTTAAGAAAGTCAATATTTGAATACTTTAACAACTTGGTAGACAATGTTGATGTGAGCTTAATTCATAAACTTGCCAGTTCAATCCTCCCAACTTTATTCCGTGAAATGACTGAAGGTGAACATACAATTGAAGATCTTAAACTGTTGGCAGCTCAAGTCAGCAATCGCATCAAATCTAAAATTGGATTCGAGAAATATGAAAGTGTTCGTAATGTTCTTCGCTCGAAAATGCTTCGAAATAAAGTTGATCGAAGGAAATCATTAGCACAAGAGAAGATTAACAATCCAGCAAAGGCAGCGACGCGAACAATTGTTAAACAACTTAAGAAGCAAGACAGAAAGAAACGAAAACGACAAGACATTCAAGATGGGATTATTTTGCCAAGGAAGAAGCGAAGAGTCTTTGGAAGCGGATTAAGTGATACTTATGAATGAATAATTAAATGAAAAACACAGACAAACTTATATTTCTTTCATTTGAACTCCCGAAACAATCTTCACAAAAAATTTATGTAATAAAACAATATCATAATAAAAAAAGAATAATAAATTACAAAGTACCTACCTTTTCTTCTGGGTTGTGTTTGGAATAAATAAATTTATAATAAATCTTTGATAAAAATATTGGAATGAACATTAAAAAAGCTCACTTACAAGTTATACATTTTCAATAAGGCTTTAATGCCTTTTTAAAACCAATTACAATTTCTTTCTTTATTGCTAAAATTGAAAAGTTTTCAGTCTAATATTTAAATAGATAAATATTTTCGTTCATTCAATCTGTTTTGTTGAAGTTTTCAGGCTTCCTTTCTGCACGTTGAAGATGACTAACCGGCGTAATATTGGTTTTTGTGTATTTCATGGTTTTATCAGGAAAGAATCTGAATTAAATAAAAGATTAAAGAAGTTGATTTCAGAGCGGTTAGAAACATTGAATATTTAATATGCGAATTATTAAAATTATTTCAATCTCAAAAGCGAAATTCGATACGTAAACGTATGATACGTTACGTTGAATGATCAGGTGAAAACTTAACGTAAAATTTACGTAACTTATAATCGAAGCTTTTTTTATTCAAAAAACTGATTAATTCAATACTCCATGAAATTTCTTCAACTCACCCTACAATCTGCAGAAGTTTAGCTCCAGAGGGAAGTGTAATATCTCTTTTGTCAAGTAGCATGCCTTCAACAATTTTATTTGCGGCATAACGTGGGGACATTCTCGGACCCAATTCTTTTGTCTGATCTAAGACATCACTTAGTTCTTTTCTCGTGTTCACAAATGCTGGAAACACGCAAGTTGTTTTAATAAATGTTTCATAATTATCCACACAAAGTTCATCGTATAAAGCTTCCATAAAGCCTCTCACTCCAAACTTTGTAGCACAATATGCACATGCAAGCGGAAACGCAATTTTTCCACCTAATGACGATATTGCTACTATGTGTCCACGCCTATTTTCAATCATCTTTTCAATAAATGTGCGAACGGTCTAAGATATAACATCAAAGAAGATTATTGTTAAATTTAATAAATTATTCATAATTGTTTTACCCAGAAGTGAGAAGTGAGATTAACGTTAATAACTTTTTGAACATCAGCCGCGCGACCTTCACGCAATGATATCTTGCTCAATATTCCAGCATTATTCACAAGTATATCGACACTTCCAAAATCGTTTTCTACGTCATTCTTCAGCTGTTGAATGGCATCGTAATCCGAGACGTCCACTTTGTAAGCACGAGTTTTGACCTTGAACTTTTCCGCTATTTCTGATGCTGTGGCATGTGCTTCCTTTATGTTCACATCAACGATAACGATATTGCATTTTTCTTGAGCTAATCGGAATGCTATCGCTCGACCGAGACCATTTGCTCCACCTTTATTAATAAGTCATTGCATATAATTCACCTTACAACATTTTCGTAATCATAAATTAATAAAATTTTACCCGTGATGAGCGCTAATTGGCCTGAAATATTTTTTGGCTTCTTTGGTTTAAACAATTCAATAACAATTTCTGCAATTTCTGTCACTAATTTTAAAGCTACTTTCAGAACAACTATTAAAAAGTTTTTTATAAATACAAGGTGATCTGTTAAAGTGTATCGAACTTCTCTCGCGGGCACATAGCTTTTATTTTCGAAATCTTCAAAATTCTCCATAGCTTATTGATTTAAAGGTCCATACAGTTCGACTAATATGAAGAGACTGAGAGTTTCCAACCGAATCCGAATTAAGAGAATTAACTCTAATACAGAAGCATAATGTTTATATTTTTATTTTGTTCGCTTAAAAATCAACTGATATGTGTTAAAGTGTTTTAATTTTGCATCATATTCAATGTTGCATTTATGTATTTGTTAATGCAAATTTTGATTGATATTTCTTTAGTATCGATTTTATCGGCGAATTTTATGACAATTGGAAGTGAAGTGCATTTATACGATCGAGCACTTTATATTTCATTTATAACTAATCGAAAAACACAAACACACAAATTTATAACGAACGTTAAATAATTAAATAAAACAACAAGAATGAATGAATTTAATTCCAGTAATATATATTTTATTTCAGCATTTCATATCAATTCTTGTTCACATATCTTATTTATTAACTTTTGTAGCTACCTTACATAGACATTCAATAGATCATCATCGCTTCACTTGTTGTTATGTCATTACACGCATCACATTTTGGAAAGAATATCTATTTTTATTTTTCGAGAAGAATGAGAAGAAGCTTTGAACTTACTAACCTGCTTATCTACTATTAAAATTTCTTTAAATATTGATCTTCTATAAGTTATCTACTCATCATCGACATTCATGATTCAATTTTACTTTCTCCATTTCTATTTCACATTTAAATGTTTACATTGAAGAGAATATGAGTAAGTGAGAGAGAGAGAGAGAGATAGATTGAGATATTTAAGATTGCGTCACATCTTAAAGACGCATTAAATCTTCTGTTAAATGTTCGGAAATATTTTCGCTCATTTCTTTAAGCAAAAGCTTCAAAGATAAATGAAAAAGCTCCATAAAAATATAAACAAAAACTTTCATTTTAGCCTAATTATGACAGAAACATAAAAATTTAATTTGTTCACAAGCTTCACATACTTTTTAATGCTTAACATTGATAATCAAAATTTAATTTCCGATTTACATATTTTCAAGATTGACATTGGAATTTAAAGCACTTGAACCTTTTTCATGATAATAAGCAAATCAGTGACGTCTATCTGGGAGAAAAATGTTTAATTAAAATATCTTTTCTTGATATAGGCTTTTTCATAGCTAAATATACTTTTTATAATGTTTAGAAGAAGAGAATAAGAGAAAGCTTTTCCGATAAGTTTTAATCTACATATCACATCAAGTTTAGTTGAAGTCGTACTTTCTATTATTAGCAGACTTCTCCCATTCATATTGATATTTCATGTTTGGCTTGCAAGACAAGTTACTCATACTTTCAGCTTTGGAATCGATTGAATTATATTTGGAGCTGCTCTCAACTCTCTCAGTTGAATATCGCGATGGAGAGTTCTCTGCAGACTTTGAACTTCGAGTGTCAGTCGATGGAAATCGAAGCAAAGATGAATTGTTATGAGACGGTGAGCGTGGCGGTCTCGAAAAGTGTGTTGAAGTTGAAAGCATTGGTGATGTTGGTGAGCGGTCAATTCGAAATTTCACGTCTAAACCTTCGCGACTTCCGCTCAATGGTGACTTCCTACCGGCAATGTAATCTTCCGTTGATAAATACCGCAGTTTGGAAACATAATCAGGATCAATTTCCTGTGTTCGTGAAGTGAATCTCGATGGTGACGCTTCACGGGATAAACTTCTAGTAGCAGTGAATCTTGTTGGTGACACCAACACATCTCTTGAATAATTCTTACTGGCAAATCTTGAAGGCGAACTATCAATCGATGAAGTTTTATAATTGACCTCATCAACATCAAACTCATAACGTTTTCTTCTTGGCGATAAGTCATAACTTTTGTCATAACTTCGATCATCATCAGCAATTAGCTGTTGTCGTTTAGATTGATTGATATCATAAGTTATATCATCGCTTTTGAAAGATGTTGACGAATCATATTTGTTCTTGTGAGTTTTCCAATCTTTATCGGTTGTCGTCAATTCCATTGTTCGGTCGATTTTCTTGTATTTAACAGCATCGGTCTTTGAACAAGCAGAATCAAGAATTTTTATTGTATTTTGAATAGACGACAAAGTATTTGAAATATTGCTTGGTGACGCAGAGAGACTGCTGCTTGGACTGGATTTGAAAGGTCGACGGATTTGTTCAGTTTCTAATGTTGCGATATCACGTCGACGAGTGTCACTTCTTGGCTCGTGGTCATAGAAGTAATTATTGAACTTCCCTACGCCATTTATCGATTCAGGCGATCCAATGTTACTTTTTGGTCGTGATGTTCTCAATGGACTCAAATTTAAATCAAAATCAACATCCTTTGACGTTTTCATCACATTCTTCTGTTCAGAAAGCTTTTCAAGCTCTCTTTCTTTGATCATTGTTGCAAGCTCCATAACTGCTGACTTTTCAAAAATCTTGTCCTTGGACAATGTAAATGAAGTTCCCAAAACGTCAGATTTCAACCCAGTTTTCTCACATCGCTGCAATTGCATGTTAAGCTTTTCCAATATTTCGTTCGAATCTTTTTTACCATCGATTTTTGACATTTCACTGTTCACATTCTTGTCATCGCAAACATCATTTGGGACTTTGTTTTCATTGTCATATTTATTTTCCACTTTAACTTTACTTTGTTGTTTCACGTCTGTCATTGAAGCTTCCATTTTGCTATTACTTCTCAAGATTTTATCGTTATCAGATGAAACAATTTCTTTTGTCTTCACTTTCTGACACTTTTCTAACTGCGTATTTAGTTTTGCCAGGATCACATCAGAATCGTTTGTATCGATTTTTCGTTGAACTGAATTTTCAAGGTCATCAGTTTCGTTGACAGTTGAAGAATTTTCTTGTGAATGTTTCTCTGATTTCTCATCAACTAGAAGCTTTTCATCGTTGACAACATGAACTGAATCAACTTTAAGCTTTGAAGTATCACTAACAATAATTTCTGGAGCTTTTGAAAGTTTCACTTCAATTGAATTTTGTTTTTTAATTTTTACTTCGTCCACAGAATTAATTTTCTTGTTATTTTCAATTTCCTTTTCAATATCAACTTCCGCACTTTTCTTCAATTGAATTTCCATTTCTTCCTTCAATTTTGTAACCATTAATTGAATTTCATTGAATTTTGGCGACTCACTTTTTCCTTCTTTTCGACTTTCATCGTTCGACTGAATCTCTCTCACTGTCAAGGATTTTATTTCTAATGTTTCATCATCTACATCGGGCATGAGTTTACTTTCCATAGAACTGCATGCGAGTGTTGCCAGATTACTGTTTATTGATTTTTCTTTCCTTTCCGTAACGTTTTCTTCTGTTGATGTATTGTTGCACGTGAATGATGATTTATTTTTACACTCTGAAAAGCTTTCAACGTTTGCAAGGTCTTGAATATCCGAAAGAAGAGTTTCGTCGATGTCATCAACACAATTATCAATCGCAGCTATTTCTTCTTCTACATCGGAAAGATTGTTCGGTGATTTAGGTTCTTCAACAATAATTGGTTCAATATTCAATTTGCTGAATGCCGCTTCGACGATTGGAATGTCAGGTCGCGGAATTAGCTTGTTAAGTATTTTCGAATTTTCTGCTATGATTTTCTTTAATCCATCATTCTCTACATTCACCGTGCTGTCAGAAAAGGATCGATTGATTACAACAACTTCTTTATCGCACGTCTGTTCATCCATCGACAAAGATTTTTGTTTAATACACTTTGACAAGCATTCTTCAGTCATCTCGTTAGTAACTTTTTCATCGCACGTTTTCATCACAGAAGGTGAGAATGATTTCGACATTATGCTGTTGGTATTATCAGGAGTTAAAGGTAAAGTATCCGACGTAAGGTTTGCTTCAAACACGCGCTCAAAAAATTCATTTGTCACGCCTTCGTCGTTCACCTGATATTTTGGATCTGAATTTAAAATGAAGCTGCTAAAGTCAGGAAACTCGAAAAAGTCACAAGGCGTTTGTATTGGACTGATAGCAGTGAAGTAGGATGAGATGTCTGGCATTGGCGAGAGTTGACTTATACTTGTTATATCACCACCCCCAAGCTCCGATGGGAGGTCGAGATAGAAGTTGGCAATAGGAGAGTTCGCTTTATTGTCAGCGTCAGCATCACCGTCACTGTCATTCCCACAACTAATCGAAATTTCGGGACAGTCTTTAGTATCGTTTGCCGTAGGCGAGGATTCTTCAATCGTTATCATACTTAATGGCTTTTTCAACACGTCAAGTGGTAAATCCTTATAACGCTTCTTTTTCATGGGGCTTGCTTCTAGCGACGAATTGATTTCATCATCACATAAGCTCGTGCTGGGACTTGATTCGCCATCACTATCTTCACTGTACGATGACGAGTCGCTTCTTTTTTTTGGAGATGATAATTCGCCTTTACTGCTGCTTCCAAGTGACGATGCGCTTGATGATTTTGATAGAACTTTGGCGTCTTCAAGTCTACGTTCGGCGTTCAATTCTTTCCATGTGACACTGTTACGTCGCTTCTTAGCTTCATCAGTGTTGTTCCATTGAATCGTTTCATCGATTTTCAATTGTCTCACGGGACCTTTAATAGTTTTCGATAATTTTTGATTTCTTGCCGGTGGAATTGAACCTTTCGGTGGTCCTTTCCGTCCTTTTGAAATGATAGCATTTTTGCCAACAAGTAAGTTGTTGACCCTCGATGGGCCTGCTGCGTTGCTTTGATGTTGATTTTGTTTCGAGACAGCTGATGAAAGAATGATATGTGCCTGCTTTTGACGTTCTCTTAACTTATCATATTGCTTTTTAAGAATTGTTATGTCTAATGCTATTTTCTCTCTGTCAGATTGTCCTCGTACAACTGTTGGTTGGGAACCTCTACGACTTGCCCATGCATTGGCAACAGCTATTCGACCTTCGTCACACTCAGCACTCGAATACAACATTCTGGAATATTGTCAAGATTGTTTTTGTTTTGTTTTAATAACTTAATTCGTTTCATTATGAAAAGTAATTGGAAACTTACTTCAACTTTTTCTGGTCACTATAAGACGCTTGAAGATGCTTTTGACGAAGTTCTTGAAGATTATTAATCGCACCAAGTGTGCTTATCATGTGTATGAGTCTATTTGAGTCTATTAATGTTCCACTCAAAAGTTCAGCTGAAAGTGTTTCCATCTTACAGTAGAAGTCATCAGCAGTTTTGACTTCTCTTAGTATTCGACTGAAAGTGTTGAAAATTTGTTTAAAGTTTCCCAAATTAAAAAGTTATGTTCAACAATCCCTAAGTTAATTTGTTCAAATTTATTTTCACAAAACTTGAAAACTCTTTAATGAATCTCAAGTGTTGTGCTTCATTAAAAATGTTTACAAATGGGAAATTTTGCGATAATTTTGAAGATTTTTAATTATTAATGCAAGTATAGCTTGATGAAAAGTCAATTAAACTTTCATGATAGGGCACAAGAACAAGCAGAAGTTTTAATCTTCAAAGAAAAGAATCTTTAAAGCTTCTTAAGAAAATAAACATCGAAATAGCTTAGAAAGTTGTGTAAGAATTTTGAAATATCTGCTAAGCTTTGAAAGCTTTTGAAGGTTTATAATAAACATAATAAGAAAAAAAAGGTTTTCATAAGCTTCAAATTCTCATAAAGTTACTTTTTAAGTTACGAAAGAAAAATTCTTTTAACGAAACCTTTTCAAAAGTAATTCTTATGTGTTGTTTGTTGTTTCTTTCAAGTCACTTTTCCTTCACTCAATGCCATGCCAACAAATATAAAATTGCTTAGGGATAATAATCATTAAAAGAAAACGATTCAAAACTCACTCTTCTAACAACTTCCATATTGACAAGGCAGTTCTGAGTAAAATATCGCTTCCTTCAAGCATAATTAGGTCCCAGATTCTCAACACATAATTCATTGGTAAACAGTTGCAAAACAGCGTGAGAAACCATTGCATGGTGAAAACATTGATAATTGGTGGTTCGAATGATGGCTCGTTCGTGGAATGTTGTAGTTTCTGTAGATGTCTTGCTAATTTTGGTAATTTATGACCAAGAAGTTCTCTAAACACGGCCATATCAGCTTGAAGACCCATCAGCGCTCCACAAAAATATCCATTTCTGAAAACGGAAAAAAATGTTGCGCAACAATCAATGACAGTTAATTAAATTATTACATTGTTTATCGATACTTACGGCAATAAACCTTCAATAAGGAAAATCATGACTTTGATCGAGTCTACTTCGCTCTTCTCCATGACTTGTAATATAATAGCGCCCAACATATTGAAGCCTTGACAGTAGCCAACTTCAGGATTCCACCTTGTATAACCCATTAGAATTTTCTTAAGTTTTGCTTGATAATGTTGCCCTGACGCTCCAGATAGCAGTGAATGGCCTGTACGATGTAAATCCTTAACGATTTGAATTCCAAGTTCTTCATCGTCTGCCCGAGTCTTCTCACTAAGCCACTTAACTTTCTCATCTTCCCATTTCACACCACGACGCTTCAAATACCTTTCCGCTAACGATAGCCATAGCTGTAAGCGGAAAATCTCTTCTACTTAAATCTAATTGTCGATTAGTGTTTAATTTATCATTACCTTTCTACGAAATTCAGTTGGCAAGCCTCCTGGCAATCGAGCGACTGCTAACATACTTTGTAACCATTGATTAAAATCACTGGCTGATTCAGGGATCGTCATTCTACTGCTTTCTATCGTAGTCGGTGATGGTTCCGTTGGCAAATTTTCAAGTCTCATTTTTTCGTTCTCTTTTGATTGAATTGAAAAATGAAGAGGGAAACAGAAAGAAAGAAAAGATGAAAGTTCATTCCAACTTTTTACTTACTTACTTAGCTAACTTGTTTGTTTTTTGTTTTTATTATTATTTTTATTGAATAAAAATGCGAATAGAAAATGTTCTTCAATTGAGTTTATGTTTGAGTATTTGGTTGTTTGGTTGTGTAACCGCATAATTGAATCGAGAGGTTTAGGAAATGAATGGAAACCTTTTAGGATTCTTTCGTTCTGTTAAATACGTACTCGACTCCCCAGACAATTTGTCGGCGCGGGGAAGCTTAAATAATTTTATTCACGTCGGTGTGCTTTCAAATTTTCTCTCATGAATCATCATAAAACATTATGTTCGGTTCATGTGAGATGGGAAATTGCGTAATCAAAACCTATCATAAAAAATATTAACTTGAAATCGTTTTATTACCCTTTATGTTGTCTTCTGTTTCCGATTGAATTGACGTCTTTATTGTTATGGATGAGCTTGCATTCAATTCAGTCGCTTGTATTTTATCTTTAGCTGTTTGACTCTCGTTGAGTTTGTGAATTGATGTTGGATTTTTATCCGCGCTCATGTCAAGAAACGTTGTAAATAATATATTGAACTGTCGTCGACTTCTTCGTCTTTAACTGGTGGCAAATGTTTATTATTTCAACAATACGGTAATTAACACTCGTTAAAATTTCAATTTCACATTTCAAAGTCTTTTTGCAAATATTTATTTCCATATCTCATTCATTGAATGTCGTGGTGGATGAAACACTGGAAAAACCTTCCGTTTTTATTTTATCAACTTAAACGTCGCCACCGTCTTGAATTATTCATTGTTGTTTCATTCTTCATTGCACTCATTCATGTTGTTTACGCCTGAGGAAAGTCATTTGTTGATAAGGAGAATTACATATTTGTCAATTATTGCGAACAGTTTTTCTGTCTTTTGTGAGTAGACGCTGTCGTTAGATTCTAATTTGTAACTTTACTTAACGTCATGGTAACAGATCGACTAAATATAAACAAACTCATTTTTTCATTTTTTCCGAGGTCTTCAAGGTGTCGACTGGTGACTTTTTTTTCGCTTTAACTATCAAGTGTCCATAAATTATTCAATTAAGCTTCGTACATAAATCAATGGACGAGACAACCGACAAATATTGCAACTTTAAGACAACCGATTGTACAGTTACGAGTACAAAAGATCTCTACAAAGGATTGAACTTTCCAAAACGATTTGAATGCCCTTGTAAGTCGAGTATTAGATATCTAGAAAGTTCTTCATGATGATTGACCTGGTTTATAAATTTTATTTCCACTGTTTCAGATGCATTCACTGGTTATGGCATTCAACGGGAGCAGAAAAATTGCATCTACAAGACAACAAGCTCTGATTATGGATATTTTACACCCACGCCATATTCAATTCCCACACGGTGCAATGATAATTTTTTATAAATTGCTATTGTTTCATCGTATTTTTTGTTCTTTTTTTCAGGTATTATCCATTGAATCAACAATTTACGTCTCACTTAGCTCAAACTGGAATGTACCGCAATTATTCTTTGAACACAAACTTTGATAAGCCTTTCTGTAATCAATTTTAATTACGATTTTACCACAAAAAATAGGAAATAGGAAAGAAAATTGAGAGGCTTAAGGGCTTGTCATTTTTCACAAGAATTAAGATTAATTATTCGTGTAATTTTCTACAGCTTTTTTTATAGAATCATGATGATGATCATAAGGTTAATGTACGTATAAAAGTTACAAGTAAAACAAACAACAAAAACTAAATATTTGAAGTAAAAGCAAGCATGATAATGTCAAACTATCTCTCGCTTCTTGCTTAATGTAAATGGAGTAGTAAATGAAAGTTTCTACGACAGGAAACTTAATTATTCAGAACACTGAAAGCAAACTTAGAGTAAAATTCTTGTTAATTTTTTCCCGAATAGCACAAGTCGCGACGGCACTGTTGAATCAACCATTTGACTGTCATGCCATCAAATTGGTAGAAAGTTCTTTACACTAAGGCATGTGGATGACTTTTGGCAGCGAAACAGTCAACCAGTGATGCCATTTTTCGGATAATTCTTAGTTGAGAAAAACAAATTGACCTTAAATAATCAGTGAGTGGAACGAATATTGTAACAACATGTGGGTTGAAAGGTTTGAGCAAGTATTAAGGAACAATTTCCCCGGACTTATACCTAAGTCTAAAAGTTTAGTCTTAATTAAGTTTTATGTAAATGAACGAAATGGAATTCAAATGCCTCGTGCTGATTTCCCATATCAATGGATTATGAAATTATTCTCGAAAATTTGGCATTTTAGTCGCCCACATGGACCGTTGGTGGTACTCGGGTTTCTGATGAATGAAAATAAAAATGAAGCTTTTCATGTCTGTTCGCTTATAAATTTATGATTTTGCTTTTACGATGATGAGAAAAAGATTCTGTTTATAAATGTCAAACACCCACATTTCTGCGAGAAAATATAATTTCACCGTGAAAGGTATCTGCTTTTTTAAATTATTCGTTTGATGTCTCTCATTATGGTTGAGATGGTTTTTAGAACATAAAATAAATAACTGTTTGAGGAAGGAAACGGGATCAACCTGTTGATCTTTATTAAATGTGGAAACGCGGCGAAAAGGTTTCTCTGGCTGTCAGAAGTCTTAAGGTAGGGTTAATGAAATGAAATATCCTATTTGTTTTACACATAGCAAGCAAATATCAAAGTTTCTCTATATTTAATTCAACACAAGCGGCAAAAGTTTCAAAATCGTATTATGGAAGAAAAAGTTATATAACGACGTTACCCAAATAACCTTTATAAGAATACGCCTACAACTTATGTACGGAGGATAAAACCAGATACGCTTGACGACGTGGGAAAAATTATTTCGAAGAAAATTTTGTTATGAGCTTTAGATCTTGTTAGAGTCATAATTTAGGTTGAAAAGTTTCCTTAACAAGATAAATTTGAAATTTTATGCATTTCTTTTGAAAGCTCATCATGATGAAAAGTTATGCGATTTATTATTAATAAGAAATTGTTGTACTTATGAATAGTTTTCATTTCCGAATAAATAATTCATTAAAAGTACGTTTAATTTAGCATCTTTGTAAGCTTGTACCTGAATAACTTCTTCATCTAAAATCTAAATGTCAAAGGTCATCAGCAATAGCGACAAATTACACCCAAAGGAATCAAACATAAGACGAGGATGAAGAGCAACTCTGAGAACCATAACAAAGCACCATAAACTGAATCTTTTTTTTACAACAACATCAGAATTTCACTCACAACACGAAAGAAAAAACTGTGTTGGGTGGAAAATCGATATTTTCTCTGTTTGATAAAATTTCATAAGTTTCTGTTTTCCTTTGTCGCTTTAAGTGTTAGATTAAGTTTTAATGTAAAGCTTTAAAAGAAACAATTTAAGCAGTAAAGGTTGATTTGCTTAGTAACTTTAAACCTTAAGGTTTTTTTTCTTCAATTTCTTGATTAATCCAAATTTCTTTTGTTTTCTTATCAAAACATGTTTTCATTGCACTAAAATGTTGTTCACGATGCACATGTCTCTTCAAACTTTATGAATTTCTTCAATCTTTATGTTGTTGTTAAAAGTTTTCTTTTAATGTTCTTAAATATCTTAAATATGATAAATTTATGCTTAAAATTAGACGACACACACAACAGTTTTCATGAATTTTCGACTCATGACTGAAAGAGAAAATGAAAGATAATTTCCACTTATCTGTTGTGGGAGGATTTTCATTTCTTTCTCTGAGTTTTCACATTTTCTCTCTCATATGCTTTCCAGTCAATGTTTTTGTTTATGTTGGAAAAACGTGACTTTGGAATTTATCAATGAACGAGATTTTAACGTTTAAAGTTTTGTAGTAAAGTTGTAGCGTTTTGTTGAATGTTTTCTGGAATAAGAAAAAGTCCTTGGAGCATTAATTTCATGAAAACTTCAAAGTTTCTCATGTAGTTAATGGAAAGGATGAGATATTAAATAAAATAAAACGAAACATTGTCTAACTTTATAGTTTCTTCAATTTATTTAACTCAAAGTTTCATTTTGTGTGTTATTATTTATAATACTTCATCAAATATTTAATATTGATTTGCTTGTAACATTACAGACATTTAATTCAACATATTTTATAATTACTTCCGTTATGAACGCGACATTTTCTTAATGAATTTGTAATGGCTATATTTATGTCTAATAAAATGCTTCTCATATTATTGTTATCTTCGCTAACTCCAATCATTTAGTAATTCTGAATTATGCAAACCAAAAACCATCTTCAATTATTCGTTGTGATTCTGAAAATCATCAATTAAACACAAACATCGTTAACTTAATTTGGTTTTCAAAGTTTTAAATCAATAAGCAAACTTTTTATTGCGGAAATTTAGAATTAAATAAAATAATTTTCCAGGAAGTTAAACAAGAGATTCAACATTTCAAATGAGTAAATAAATTTTCAATGTGATTTAACTTTCTATCTCAGAAATTCAAATTTTCATCTGATGCGATTTGAAAAATAATCTCTCAGATTAGTACAAATTGGATAATAATTCTTGTGATAATAAAATTGTCTTTGTCATTCATTTATTTAACGCATACTTATATTGTCACTTTATGATATATTAATGTTGTCTATCAATTAAAAGAACTTTCTATCATCATCTACAAAAATCTGATAAAGTGAATTGTTATCGAGAAGGAAAATTAAATTGAATTTTTCGATATTTTATTCTTTTGTTTTCATATTTCATATCTCATTTAAGTCGTTAATATTAGCTTATTAAAGTGATTGAAATTATTAATTTAACTTTGTTCATTTTGATAGTTTGTTGATGATAAGAAAATTTCATAACAAAGAAATCAAAATGAAAATTGTTTCATAGTTTCTCACAACATACAAAGCAACATAGATATAGATTGTGATGTCGATACTTAATTAGATAGTGAAAGAGTGAAATCGAAAATTAATTCCATTCGTCAAAATAATCAGATAAATAATTTAATCGTTTTGAGTGCTCATGATATTTATTATGGATGATTTCTATTTGTTCTAATTGACTTCAGCAAGGTAAATGAATATTTACGATAGAAGTTGATTGTAAATATGTTTCTAGAGTTGGTGAAAATTCTAAGTATCCATTTGTATAACTCTGATTCGGTATCCTTGCATCATCTTTAATACTGTAAGTTTAAGTGCTGCAACAGTCTACTAAAAGTGCTGTAGATTAATTATCACACCATTCGACACAACGAGTTGAAATCATTTCCTTATTAAGAAAATAACTGAGAAATTAGAGGGAAGTACGAACTATAAATCAGATAAATATTGAAGCAAATTAATTAACTTAATATTCATATGTCAGCAATGAAAAGTTGTTTTAACTACGAGAACTTTTCCTAACATTCCGGAAAAAGATTTTCATTAAAATCTAATAAAAACAAACCACGAATCAGGAGACTAACATTTGGTTCAACTATCGATTATTTTAATCCTAGAATATAAATTAATTTATTTTCTTTCATAATGTTTATTATCGTAAAGCGAATAAATGAACTTCATCAATATAAGTATTTATCGACTCAACAATTATTGCATATTAATGATTAGAGGAGTAATGGATTGTTTGTGTCCAATCGTTTAATATAATCAAGCAATTAAGTTTCACGAATATGTGCATATGAGTTTCTTGTTTATTTATTTAAGATCATAGTCATCATCGTCATCGTTATTGCTCCATGATTTCTTTCCACTTGCAGATGTTTTCGGAGAATCAAAGTCAGAAAACGCGTCATTATTGATACCTTGATAATTTCTTGATTCAAGCACTGATGGATCGTGAGAAAAGTCACCGTCTTTATCTGAAGACACGCTCAAACTCTTTTGAAAGGGATTATCGCGAGCAATTTCTCGCTTTCCATAAACGTAATCAGAGTCAGTGCTTGTGCTTGTAAAACTTGAGTTCGACCTATTTCTACTGTAAGTCTCGTATTTGAATGACGACGTGTAAGGTTCAGGCTTACTGCCAAAAATGATGTCAGCGTCGCTAAGTTTTCGTTCGAACTTGTTTCGAGTTTCAGTTTTTTCAACACTTTTCTCACTCGACAGTGGCATTTGCTTCGGCTTTGAGTCTTGTCTCTCAACAATATCGTTCGATGAGTATGTTGGCAATGGTGGGGGCTTGTAAGAGTAATCAAAACCACTGCTAGATGTAAAAGTTGATGCAACTGGTGGTGACGGTTTTATTTCTTTCAAACTCTTCTCATCTGTAACTGCTGTTGTTGATGTTGTTGATGCGGTTGATGCTGATTTATTCGAAGAAAGTGACGAGTAAATTCCTGACGCTTTGTTATCATAACTTGGTGTCTTATTCTTGTCAAATGGATTTATTCTTTCATGTGATATAACTGGTGGTGGTCGATAAGGTTCGTATGTTGGTTCAGGATGACTTGGAGGAATAGGATTTCTATCAAAAGAAGAAACACTCGTACCGGTTGGAGCAGAACTTCCTCCAGTGCTTATTGTGCCATTTGAAGGTTTCTCATTGACACCATTTGATGGCTTTGGTTGTGTAACAATTGTGTCATTGATCGAATCAATGCTGTTTTGTGACGCGACTGCTGTTGAAGAGCCGGCACGTTGCTGTTTCTTCTTTTTTGCTAAATCCTACATATCACCGAAAATACCCGCGAATGTTTTACGAAGATTTTTCATCGTGTCTTCTGCTTCATCAACCACCGAAGATTGTTGTTGGGGGCGGGCTGGCGATGGTTGTGCTCTGATAGAACCAGATTGAGATGATTGCGAGGCTTGAGAATCACGACGACCAACACTTGACATATTTGTTGTATCTGACACATCAGCTGATCCACCACTTAAGCTGCCATGACGTGCAATGGAACCAACGCCAGGAGTTTGTCTTTCTGGAATCGGTGGGGGTGCACCAGCTGGTTGCGAGAAGCTGCCGGAAATACTTCGAAGACCAGCTGACATTGGTGGATTCTCTTCAGTTGGACTGCCGGTTCTTGAGTTCACCATCGGACGAGATTGAGATTTTGGTAGCGGTGGCCGACAGACATTCTAAAGATTGTCACTTTATGAGAACATTTCATCAATGGAAATTTACTTCATGAAGTTTACCTGCATCCGAGTGCTAACAATGTCAACAATCGATCGACGATCTTCTTCTTGACTGTCACCAATCAATGGGAATGTGCAATCTGATGCTTTTAAAATGTATTCCTTCCCATCTTTACCAACAATCACGGTCAATGCGCAAATCTCCAAGCCACCAAACAATTCCGAGACCTTTGAAACGAAAAAAGAAGAAAAAAATTAATAAGTTTGTTTAATAACTTTTGCTACCATAAATGGGATATGAATTGATTTATGTTATGTACTTGATCCCTTGTTTTTGAAAAGTGTTTTTAGCTTCAAGTTAAGATATCTATAAAACTTTGTTGAGGTCGAATTCCATGAAATCATTTAAATCACTACAATTCATTGTTTCTTTCAACTTTTAATGGGTTTTGTATGTAACTTAGTATGCTTTGCTTACTTTACGCTTACTGATTCTCATTAATCTGTCAGATGCGGGGAAAAATTGAAAATGAAAATCTTTAAGTGACCAACGATGATTGGAATGAATGTTCTAGTTATTTAATAAAACAAATATTTCATTTCATGTTATCGCTGAATGGAATCAGTTATTTTTTTTGGCACTTAAGTGACTCAGCCTTAAGCTCATTTGATTCAATGACACAATGTTGATCGACAAAACAATTTCGAGTAAACATGTGCGCGATACGATGTGATGTCATAAATTTATGTGGTTCTTCTTTATGATTTTCTCAGAAATTTAAATTCAAACATCGACGTCATGATGTTACTTCAAAGAAATGTCGTCATGGCATTAATTTTTTTCTTCACTTCTACGAATATTTCAGAGGACAAGAAAGAATAAATAAAACTAAAAAAAAGAGCTTTCAAATGAAGTCATAAAAATAATCAAGATCAATCACGAGCTATTTTTCTTTCATCGCGTAATCATCGCTCATGTTCAGTGAACAAATAAACGAACGGAAGATTTTTTAAGTGTGGGATTTGAGTAAAAAGAAATGAACCTTTAAAAAAAGACGTGCGACTTTGCAAATTCTTATTAATTTACAAGTCAATTCCTTGTAATTGAAATGCTCGTGATGAGCGTTAAAAAAGCAGAGATTTTCATTCTCTTCCGCCCTCGCATTATGATTAAATATTAATGCTATTTTTATAAACACTCTTAGAAGAGATGATTAATTACACATTTCAAATGAATTTTATATTTTTAAGGCACGAATCACATCGTACATCCCTGGAAATTGAACTAATTTAAATTCGAACTTGTTTTTTGCAATAAATAAGTACGTAAGATGAAGTCACAACGGGATCATTTAAAAATGCCGTAAGGTGTTAAAGCTGTAAACTCAATTTAAAATGCTTTATGATGTGCAATCTGTGATCTGACTTCCTACAAACTTTAAACGTTGTGCTCTCGATCAAATTCTTTCGAACCTTAATCAAGTTGAAAGCGAAATAAATCAATCGAACGAATTATAATTAACAATAATGATTCATTGATTGGATTTTAATGTTCGGAAGTGAATAAAAATAAATAAGTCGCACAATCTCTAATTTGAGTTTGGACACGTTTCAATAGCTTCTTGATCTGCCAAACGAAGCATGATGACTTAATAAAGATCGTTTTCTTTTAAATCTTCATGGTAAATTATGGACAACAAAACGAAAAGCAATTAGCGTTTCACTTAACAACTTCATTCGAATATCAACACAAATCAAAGTCTGTTCTGCTACTTGCGAAGGCGTCAAAATGTTTTATTTTATTCTTCTTTTCTCACTCAACTTAGACTTTGTCAACCTTTTTTTTTCTCGTGAAATATTTTTGTGTTTTCATTTTATTGCAACGAATTTTATTAACATTGTTGGAATTGCAATTCAATTCCAAATAAGGAGCATGTAAGGCTGTTCCGTAGACATTAATTTTCAATTAAATTCGATTGATTAATCGATGCAAAAAATAGAATAATTACCTCATCTATCCAGTTCTTATATTTTTCGGTGATTGGAAGTTGTTCAAGCATAGCAGAACCCTGATTGGTTTTCCAGTTACCGGTCATCGACTTACGCCTACAATTAAAACAAAACAAAAGAAAACCTTTTCAGAAAAGTTCAAGTATAAATTTTTAAAACCACAATAACCACAGCTAATGGTTTTCATCAAAAAAAATCTTTCCAAAAGAGAATGCAAATAAAATTAGCAATTCATTGTCGGTGTCAAAAAAAACCATTAACTTATGTGCGAGAAAGTAAAAAAAGTCACAGAAAACAAAAGAGAATAAATGTGAATAATGAAAGTGGTTGGAAGTTGCAACTTGTTAATTTTTAAGATTGCGGTCGAAGGTAAAAGAAAAGAGATAATAAAATTACTTACATGAAAGCTTTGTAGCTAGACCCAATCTTCTGAATGAGAATGTCGTATTTAGCATCAATGTAAGGCTCAATACAACAGTATGATCCCTGAACATTGAGAATGGGACCACACAACAAGCCAGCAGCGTCTTGTAATGCGCCTGGAATATCCAATTTCGCGATGGCTCTACCACCATGACAGTGACCAGCCTTTAACACACAAGGAAACTTTTGCCAGTTGCACTGTAATTAGAAGGAAAGGAAAGAAATGAAAGGTCAATAAACTACCTAAATATATGTTTTGACGAATAAGTGAATTGTTAAAACATAGTCACGTAATGTTGAACGACAGACAGTTTCATAACAAAACGATCAAAGCAGTTAAACGTGTCAATCAATGAGAGTGACTTTTCGGAATTTTCACGCGACCAGGTCAGTTACGATTCCCTCGCAATACTCACGTTCTTATTTTTCTTTTTAAGTTATTTTGCTGTTTGTTTATTTATTTACTTCTGCAGTTTTTTTTTATTTCATCTGACGAGGCTTGCCCCGAATACATTCGCGAATCATGCAGACGATAAAATATAATTTTCGTTTTATTTAAGAGTCCCATGTGTGTGTCTCACTTCTATGATATCATCGAATGAATGAAGGAAGTTAATGACATTGAAATTGCGAAAAGTTTCTTTTTATTTCTTGCTAAACACCGGGTAAATAAACAAGTTGTCAGTCAATCGTAATGGAACATGAAGTTTTCGAGCAACATGCTTTCAATATGAATTTTTGCAACTGTTCAGAAATTAGCATGAAAGAAGAACAGTTGATGAGAATATAAAGCTATTTTTAGTATTAGAGATGGCATAGTAAGAAATGTGTTTTGTTTATTCGGATCGTTTGAATCTTACATTTTAAGTGGAGCTTGAAGCGCTGACAAGTAGTTTCATACACGCCGTAAATCACAATAATTGTCGGCTAAGAAGTTATTAGAAGAATTAATGAAACGTGTTCTAGTTTTCATGAGTTGATCGCCGGACCGGCTGGCGCACGTCCAGAAGAACACAACACAAGTCGTCAACATCAAAAATCAGCGAGAAAACAATCAGCATGCGATGACGAGTTGAGAAACTCAAAAATGTCTAATTAACACTTCAAAGCTTGTACTGGATTTGCTACCACAAAGTAAAAGCAATGAACGTCTGGTTTTTTGGTGCCAACATCCGGACATTAGATCATCACAACAACATCCACAACATCCAAAACCACATGACACTTAAATTGCGTTTCACAAAACTAAATAACTTTTAAATTCTTTCATCATTGTTATTTATATGTCTAAAAAAGGAGTTTAATTGTCAATGAAGTGGAGCTATGTGTCATTATAGGAATTTCCTTTTCGAGAACCTTCGAGTGTTTACATGAGAAAGTGTTTATGAGAGTTTTTTTTTGCTTAAATGAATAACTGACATAGCGAAGCGATATAGAAGAAAAATAAGTTTGTAAAAGTATTGAGAAAAAAATGCAAATGTAAACAGTTGAACTTCATTTTAGAGAACATTGAGGGTTTATTTAAAATATCATAAACTTCCATGAACATGGTCAAGGATATCATAAAACGTTATGATTTGTGCAATTACGTTGCACCGCGTTGATTCTCAATGACAACAAAAATGCAAAGCGACGAAAAATTAAAATGTTTTTGCCAACCACAAAGTCACCGAAACATCTTAGAAGAAGCTAAAAGTTACAAATCGTTAAAATTTTCACCGCAGTTGAAGAAGAAACGAAAAATATTAAAAGAAAAAAAAAACAGAAAAGAATTGAGAAGTCTCTGAGTGACTTAAGAGTCGCACGCGCAACGTAAACTGCCGATTCTCTCACGATTTCGACGTACGTTAATCGAACAAATGAAGAGTAATATAAGCGATGTAGTGAGAGAAATTTGCAGCCAGTACAATTTCAACCTCTGAACAGCTAAGATCAAATTCTCTAAACACTTTCATCGCGTTTAGAAAGAAAAAAATAAATATATAAAAAAAAGTAAAGAAAAGAAATATTGAAAGTTGGATTATTATTATTTCACGTTTTAACGTGCAGTGAAGAGCCCATAAAAAGAGTTTTGAAGGCTTTTAAGCAGAATTGAACAAGAGTTTATAAATTTTTATATTTTTTATTTTTGTGTGTTGCTTGTTTTCGAAAGAGAAATATATTGCGAAATTATAAAAAAAAAGTTAAAAAGAATAAAACAAGAAGAAAAATTAACCTTGTGTGAAAGAAAGCTCAGTGTTTGAAGATCATATAAAAAAACGTCTACAAAACGAAAAATCGCCTCTGGAGATTAATTTCTTAAAAATAAAGCAGTTGTTATTATTTTTTGCAAAAGAAAAACTTCAAGGAAAATTAACTGTTGATGTGAGTCGTATTTTCATTATTTTTCTTTTTATCGATATCAAGTGTGAATAAAAAAATTTATAGGAAAATTTTCGTTACGACTAACGAGAATTTTTTTTAGTTTCTTTTTATATTCTTCTTCTTTCACCTCCTCCCTCTCATCTTTAAAAAAAATCAAGAGACGAAAAAAAGTCAAATTAAGACATGAAAAACCTTTTTTTTTTTTTCTTTCTTAATTTCCCCGAGAAAACTCTGATGATGTTTAGCCTTTTCTTTGAAAAAAATAACGATGAATATTAAATGAATTCATGAGCTAAAAATAAATCGCGGACGACGAAATGAAATTTAGATTAATTAACAATTCTTTCTTTTTTAATTTTCCTTGCGGTATAAACAACAAATTCTTTTATCACACGAAAATGAAGTGAGTTGGAAAAGAAGCAAACAACTGAAAAGTTTATGAAGAAAAATTTTCTATTTTCGGACGTATGGAGAGCAGCAGCAGTGTGAAGTTTAACTTTTCCAACTCTCACGACGTTCGATAGTTTTTTTTTGTGAACTAAAAGGGAATTTCTGGAATGCCTTTAAGGCCAAAAATAAAAATGGGTTAACACATTAAACGGCTTTTTGTTTTCGGTGGGCACTTAAAGGGTTTTTTACGTTCATTCGTTCTTGCGGTGGTATGTGAAGTTGCTTCGCAACGCTAATTACTGTATTCACGATTTCTTTTTGGCTTTTGCTTCGGTGTTTCGTCTGACTTCGTGCATGGAATTTGCATCTGCACTAGGCTTGACTGTTGATCTCAATCAATTCATGCCTTTTTCTTCTCATATGTCATAACAGCCTCGTGAAAACTTTTTCTTCTTTTCTTTCTTTCCCACAATTTACATCAAAACGCTACATAGACTTTATCAGATTGTTTGCTTTTGCTAGTTTGAGTTCATTTCAACGTCACACAAGTATTTTCGCCATTCAAATATTTAATCAAGAAATTCCAAGAGCACCAAAACAAAACAAAATAAATTGTATTTTGTTTCTTTTTTTTTGTGATAAGATTTTCGTTTGCCAGAGTGCTTAAAATAAGTTTAATCCAGAGTTAGGAATTAAATCTGCTGTCAAGATTAAGAGTCTTTTAGAGTATGCCTTAAAAGTTTCAATCCCTAACTTCAACACTTTAAAGTCTGTTGTTGATATCTTTAGATTGCTCATGTTTCAAAGTAAACACAAACAAATAAACCTACGACTAATTAAATCATTCTCAACATTTATCTAAGTACGCGCTTGATTTTCATAAGAAACATTTATTATTTAGAAGAAAGAGCTATCGCATTCCATTACTATAATAAGTTTTTTTGCGATAAAACCACAGTAAAAACATTCAAAGTTGTAAATAATTTCGCGTTTTAAAATGCACAACCACGTTATTAATAATAATTAGACGACCGCTTATTTGCATAGCTTTGTGGAATTTTTATTATATTTGCGAGGTGCCAGCGATCTTATCTAATCTCGCAAAAATGTGAACTCTTCTTATTTACATCTATTTTGTGTGCTCAAATTTATTTATTTAGAAGACTTTTTCTTTTTCTTCATTTTTTTATTTTTGATTTGTGAATGTGTCAAAAGCGGGTAATGGATCGCCGTGAATTTCAATTCTCATTCATTGTAAATTTCATTTAATATATCAAAGTTATCAAATATCTTTCGAGCGCTCTATAAATCAACTTTATAAACTGTCATGTCGTGATCGCATCCAGACCTTTAAACAGCGAAAAAAAATTATTATACATATTTGAAATGAATTATAAATAATCACTTGAGTAAGTAATAACAAGACAGAAGAAGTCATGCAAAATAATTTTCTCTGTCTCTTCGTGCTCATTTTTCCCATAAAGCACTTGTTTTTATTTCCAGCAGATCCATCCATCTATCTTTTTATTTATTTAATTATCTACATGCCTTTTCAATTCTTTAAACAGGCTCAATCCCATAAATATCTCGTGAATTGCTTGCGTGCTTTACATTCATTCATCACTCAATTATCATTCCGATAAAACGTTTGGCGAATATTTATTATTTAAGTTTTTAATTCAGATTGTTGACTAATCAAATAGCGCGGACAAATGTTGACAAAATTTTCAATTAATCTTTAAAACAGAAGCATGAAGCATGAAAATTGCTAATCAAATTGAACGCTTATTATGTAGGATGATGATTCAGAAACAGCCAGAACTTTCCGACGTCGCCAACGATCGTTTAAGTATAAAATTAATTCTTCTTATTTTTTCTTCTTATTTCACTTCAACGTCGTGTTTCTTGTGTTTTATAAACACAACACTATGAGTGGTCGAAGCACATTAGGTATGTTGCTTTATTGACACAAAATACTTTACAATATAGAAAGACAAATGAGGCTTGTTGGGTGAAGTTCATAAGAAATTTGTTAAACTGTTTACAAATTGCGCCCTCGATATGTCTTTTAAAATCTCTCACCGTCTACATTTAAAGTAAAGTTCTTTTGTTAACATTAAACGTTGATTTGTTGACATCCAGGAAACGACTTAAGTTGGGAAAAAAAAGAAGGTTTTATTAAGTAACTTGATGCGAGAAGAAAGTAAATTTACTTCAAATTTAATTTCATTGAAAGTGATTGAGCTCAACGATGAATAAATGTTTCCGGTTTTTACAAATTGTTATTGTCGTGATTTATGTTTTGGCTCATGAAAATCATTTTTATCGTTGCAATTTGATCACTCAATGCACTGAAAGCAGAGCGAGCTGCACATAACTGTTCAAAACACCATCCAATGCAAAAATGATTGCACATTGTATCGAAAATGTTCATAAAACAATTTGAATGGTTTCGGAAACCCTGGAGGAGAATTTGGCATCAGCGCATTGTTCAATTTTCATGCAATTGCATGCATAATGCGATTTATGATGGAAATAAAATAAAATTTTATTCTTCGAAGTATTAAATGAAAGTTTAATCGAACGATTTTCTAGTTCTTATTTTCTTAAGTCGCGAGAACGCCCTCAAACTTCTAATCGGATAATCACGCGTACATAATTGATCTAAAAGCATGAAGAAATGAGATCCGATAGACTTCATAAAGTTATTTAAATAATTCACATAATGAAACGAATCGTTTAGTGAAAAGCATCTCATATTCTTCTTTCTAAATATTTATTCATCGAATAGCTGATTCGTGATTGCGTTTGAAGTTCATTTTTCAAAAGAATCTCTCAGCGTTTTCAGAGAATCGAATTTAAGAAGTTTCAAAACTCGAATTTTTTTGTTAAATGTTCAACCTTGAAACATTTCCAGATGCACATCTTTCATCTAAATCAAACTTTTCAGAAAATAAAAAATAAAACATTTGTTTAAAAATATTTAGATGAATGTCAGTTTTAAATATTCACAACGTTTTGTGGTTGTTTGGTTTCTCATTGTAAAAATGAAAGTAGAACTGCGCAAAATGTTTCAGATTTCTTTCGGCATTTAGATGATTGAATCTGTAATTTGATGCAGACACCTGGAAAGCATTTCAATTTATCATTCTTGCTTACATCGGCATTCTCCAATTTCCATTGACAGATCATAGATTTTTTATTTTCGCTGTTTGGCACGTTTTTCTGTTGAATGTCTTCGTTTTGTTGTCGTCGAAGCAACCATAAGAAACTCGACACGAAAAACATTTGAAATGCCGTGCGAGTGAAACAATTTAATATTCGCTATCATCAAAACCACAACCAGATTAGTTCGTGGTCAAGAAAAAATATCACAAAATTGTTAAAAAAGCTCACTGAAAACCTTTTTTTTTAACAAAATCAGCATTTGTTGTTTTTGGCAACGCTATAAAACTTGAGTCACTTCACTAGAAACACGTCGACAAGTGATGAATTCTGCTGACTCAATTGCTGCGTGGCCTTAAATTGCAATTTGCAAGCATTCAATAAGGAACTTTGTCTTCAACTTTATCATTTTATTGTCAATTGACTTAGAAAAGAGACCTCAGGGAATTTTTAAATTGCTCATACTTTGTGATAAAAAGTATTACAAAGGCATCTCACGCTGAGTTTTTTGTTTATTCGGAAACATATTGTGGATAATTCGAGACCTTTACAGATAACACATAACAAAACGAATCGATAGTGAAGGGGAAATAAACAAAGCATGGTCATAACTTTATGACTTAATTCCATCTTTGTTTAGCTTTTGTTATCAGCACGATTTGCCGGCGCTCATTTATGTTCGATTTTCACATGTCAAATGCTTGGAAATGGAAACTACTCGTGACTATTGAATTAATGATTAAATGTAAATTTTGCACATGCTTAAATAGCGGTGAAAGAGCTACATTGAAGCAAAACGAAGCGAGGTAGTGTCAATGGAAACCATAATCGCAAGCATTAAAAAATACGGCACAACATTCTTTACTTCACAAAACCTGATTGTCACTGTAGTAATAATTATCGTTTTTACCACGTTAATTGCATTTAAATGAACGCTGTCTTGTTACGTGACACATTAATCAGCGTTACGTTTGATGGGCTGCAACATAGTCGGTCACCGATCGGATATTGAATATGAATGTATATCGTGTCTCATAAAATATTTAACAACCGTTTATTACAATCCAATGACTCTTGAAAACACGTCCAAACATTTTTTTTTAATTTTAATTTGTTTACTTCGCTTTTGATAAGGAAGAAATGGAAATTTTGAAGTGGCACTTCATGGACACTTCTTTATAAATATTTAAGATGAATGATAGCTGCTTACTTGCGATCACGAAAATTTTTTAAAGATTCAATTGCCAAGAAGCGCGTTCAATGTCAAACTTGAACTTGAAATACTTTTATGAGCACTCGAATAGTTTTGTAAACAAAAACTAAACGATATGTAAATGTTGTTCAATCTACAAATTGCAGCTGATGATTTTTGAGAAGAGAAGAATTAATAATAAAACTCGAAATTTGACTGAATACGATCTATTGTATTGTCCCGGAACTGTTCGATTAAAGTTTAAGAACTGTTCGATGACTTATGTAGAAGCATTACAGGTAAAAGGAGATGACGTGTTGACGTGTATTAATTTATCACAGCACTTTGACTTTGTTGATTGAATTGGACAATGCCCATCCACTGTTTCTATTTTTCAACTTTTAATATTTGCTTTTGCGATTAAAATGAGGCAAGCAACAAAATTCACTCAATTTTTGTTTTCAAATGTGTGGTGAATATTTATGATAGCTACGAAAAAAAAATTGTTGTTTTGATGACCGAAATAAAACGTTTTAAAATACATAAAGTTTGAAATATAATGCAAGATTATAAGACGAGATACTTTTCGATGTCAATTAATTAACAGGTTGAAGACATTGAAGCATATTCATGCGGGTTGAACACAAACTATTTCCTACTTTTTTTATTTCATTTAAGACAAGACAAGCTGAGCTCTAGGCTAAGCTGAGCAAAGCAATGAACAAAAGCTTCATGAGTGTGAACGTTGAGTGATTTAAGAAAATGTTAATCCTCTCATTCGAGTCATTCAACTCGTTAGATATTTAGTTTGGTTTGGCGCTTTCATAGCAAAATATTTAGTCAATGAAAACAACGATATCGGCAAAGTAAAGTTGAAATTTATTTGCTAAAAAAAAGTATCGAGAAACGATGTCTCATGCGATCTTTTCAAATGAAGAAAACAAAAAATTTCAAACAACTTTACGTTGTGACAAGCATGAATAATTTTCGTTTTAATGCTTCATAATTCCTAAGAACTAATAAACATCGCACATCAATTGAGAGGTTTTTGGTTTACGCAATCAACTTGTTGTTATTCTCTGAGCCGTTGATTTAATATTCCAAGAGTTTAAAGAGATAAACTTAGTAATTACTTTTTGTTTTTTGAAGCTTTGCGACCAACGTGACTTAAATCAAAATCGCCTTCTCGGCGTTATAAAAAAATTCCTTTCGTAATTTGTTTTCGTCTTTTGCGCAAATGTCCACACATTTCTCTAATAAATTTTTATTGTTTTCATTTTGAAATCAAGAGAACAAACAACCAAAAAAAAGTGACGAATTCAGAAAGAAAAAAAGTTTTTCGAAGCTGATGCTCAAATCTCACGTTTCAACTTCAATTGAATTTAATAGCTTCATTCAGCAGAAAAATAAAATAAAGAAAAAAATATTAAAATCGAAACGAAATTCAAAACTTGTGTAGTTTTGGAAAATAAATTTTTATGTCATCATCAATTGAAAAGGAATTTATTTTGTGTCAATCAGTTAACTTGCTTTTGCATTTTATCGCTGTCATCGTCATTGCTTTTCCTTTTTTTTTTGATTATTTTCCATAAAATAAGCTTTCTGTGCTTTAAATTACAATAAAAACAGTAAAACTTTCAAATAAACGAGAAGAAAAACGAATTAAAATTTAAAATTCAATTCGCAGATTAAACTTGAAGGTATCCTCGGAGAGAAACAACTGAAACATGGAGCAACGAAGCTTGATTTTAAGTATAATTGCTATCTCGTTCACGATTCTGATGTTTTCGACAGTCACAGAAGCCTGCTCGTGCTACCCATCTCATCCACAGACAAGTTATTGCAACTCTGAATATGGTAAATGACAGCAGCAATAAAGAAAATTTTCTAATAGACATGAAACGTGATCAATTATTTATTATTCACATACTTTTACATAAATTTTCCAGTCATTGTTGCGAGAATCTTGCGAAAGTCTAACCGACGTATCAACGGTCATCATATTTATAAAATTGATATTGTAAAGACGTATAAAACAACAGAGAAAGCTCAACAATATTTGAAGCAATCACGATTGATAACAGCACCCAATGATGGATTGTGTGGAATAAATTTCAGTGAGTTTTTTTTTCCTATTCAGACATTTTCATTTATTATTCAAAGCAACAATCTTTTTAACTTCATTAAAATTTTTCAACTTTCCTTCCATAGAGATTGGACAACTTTACGCAATTGCTGGAAATTCTCAGAAAGTTGGTCTGTGTCAATATATCAAAGAGTATTCGAAGATGTCACAAGTTGAGAAACGAGGCATCGCCGGTGCTTATAAGAAAGGCTGTGGATGTGAAGTATGCAAAAGATTGATTGAAACCTTTTTCAGACATTTAATCTTAAAAATATTTGTTCGTTTCTTCAACCTTAGATAAATCTTTGCATGAACAACAGAGGCTGCGATTCACCACACACAGCTTGCGAGTGGTCGCTTTATAATAATTGCGAGACAGATTTTGGAATTTGCGTGCCTGTCAGAAGCTCAAGAAAGTCAATAACACAAACGAAATGCCAATGGCGACGAAGCCCGTTATATCAACAATGCATAAACGATCCTTAAGACGCTTTCATCCCCAACGGCTTATTTTGTAAATGATGTCTATAGAATTTAATACCCTTGCTAATTTCTCCTTCAATTTCAAGCAGTGTTTCATTAAATCCCTAGGATAAGCTTAAATTATTTTCTTTTTCATCCTTTTCCTCGTCAAGGCTTAGACTTTAGTATATTTTTAAACGCGAAATGAGAAATTGAAAAGATTACCGGGTAGATGTAATTTTGAGATATATATGAATAAGATGAAGATGATTATTTTCGAGAATATTTATTGCCTGCAAACAAGTAATACTTAGAATTGCGCAATGAAAGGTTGAAATAAAAAGAACAGGAGATGCTTATACGAATATCTAATAAATATTATCTGAATACTGTTTAAAGAAGATTTGAAAAGAAATGATAAAGTTGTTGAAATTTTTGAGAAGCATAAATTGATATAGGCAACTTATGAATATTTAAACACGGGATTATGATTTATTTCGATTTATATCAACAATGTTGACATTACGCAAGTTCTACGTAAATTCACGTTGCAATTCAACATAATCTTGTGTTTACGTTGCGTTGACCCTATGCTGATCACGTTGCAACGTAAGTCAAATTAAAAGCTCATAAAGAAAAGCTTCAATTTTCAATTTTATTCAACTTCATAAAAATTAATTTTTTATTATTGTTAGAAACCTTACATAGCCACGTGACTTCATATTCACAAAAAGCAAGTCTAATCAACTGAATTAAAATATTATTTTTTTATATAACTGATGAATTATTAAAAATATGAGAAAAATTCTTTTATTGGATAAAAAATTGTTCTCAATAAATTATTAATTGCGTTTTTTTGTATTTTATAGTACAAATGAATAGAAGCTAAGAAGATTAAATGATTGACTTAAAAGTCAATTAAATATTTCGAAAATACTTATCAACAAACAGTTTTGTTCAACTCTTTCAATAAGAGAAATAAATAGTAAAAAAAAATATGAGATGAATTTCATGAGCTTTGTAATATTGCACAATATAAATGAAATCAAAATAAAATAAAACAATAAATATTTAAGTAAACTGAGCACACAAAGGAGTGTTTTTAATTAAACTCACCATTTCTGTGGGACTTGGGAAAAAGTGTTGTTCAATTAGCGGGAATTGGTCTTTGCCAAGACGTCGCTGTAACTGAAGCAGAGCTGCAAAAACATTTGGTCGATCCTGAAAGAACACGAAAATTGGATTAAAACGTCACTCAAACATGAATTAAGATTAATGAAGATTAATTAATATATCAGCGGAAAAGAAGTAACAATAAGTAGTAAAAGATTGTGCAAAATGATGAACATGAAAAAATTTCAACACCTAGGCTACCAAGCAAAAGCCAAATTTCTATGCAAAGCTCTTGGACAATTACATGGTTGCTTTTGTGCTAAAACTCAATTTGCTTATGGGTATCGATCCATGTTTAAATTCATTTAATAATTGTCCAATAAAAGTGCTGAAAAAATTTAAGATGAAAAACTCTCCGCTGAATGAAATGAAGCAAAAGAAATTGAAGAAATAAAAGAAAACTTACTTGAAACTGAAGAAGGCTGTTCAACGAATTAATCGAGGGAACTCCACCAAACTTGAATCCCAGCAATGTTGAGCGATAATCTTTAACGCCATCACGTGGCGCTTGTCGAACGAGAACAAAGTCGGGTCGGAATGAACGTGACGACTGAAATTTTCATAATTATTTTTTTTATTGTCATAGAAATTTTTCGTTTTCTTTAATTAAAGAGAAATTTCGTAATCACCTTTGATCCACTACGATAGCTGACTATGGAAACTGTCGCACCAGTGTCACCACTAGCAACAACAGAAATTTCACTGAATTCAGCTTGCTCAACACGAATGTCGTAATCACCTAAACGAGAGATGATTTTAATTAATTAAATAATTGACGATCAATGTCATTTATGTAAGACTTCGTACCATGTAATCTCTTTCCACGGAAATATTTCGACCAATCAGTGTTTTGATCGTCAATTACTAGCAGAGTAAAGCAACGATCTTTGTTGAAAGCTTGAACTCTTGAAACTGTCGATGCAGCAGCTCCAATTAAGTTTGAACCTTGTTCACGTGCTGCACCAGTCAAACTCTGAACTCGTTGCAGCAAGCTTTCACGTGACTTCGCCGGACTCGACGGCGCTGAAGTTCCTAAAGAGATGAAAAACATGAATATTGATTAAACTTTTAGTTATTGCCTTGTACTTCAATGACAAATTATAATAGAAAGTTTCATATATATTTTACCTCTTGCTGGCCCCTTTCCGAAGCTCAATGATAAATCACCGCTCGATGTTGGACCAGCTGAACCAGGTGCTGCAATTGAAATGTGAAAACTTTTTATCTTTTTCCATTCACATACATTCACTAATTAAACTTTGTGTATGACATTAATGTCTTTAATATGTGTAGCCTACATAAGTTGGTTACATGAACGCAGATTATCAAATGACAAATAACAAAAAATTACTTATTATATAAGTTAAATGAATAATGCTACTTGTTGCTATGATTCTATCATAATAATAATAAACGTGACTCGTGATGTATGTTTGTTCAATTACTCATTTATAACAGACCTGGTGGCGGCGGAATATTGGGCGGACCACCCGGCATTGGCTGCTGTTGTAATGGTGGTGGAATCGTACGTTGAGCCCCAGCAGCCGGTCCCTCACTACCTTGCTCTACATCATCACACTCGGTACTTAAATCGCCCGAGCTAAATCTATAATCGGGAAGATAAATTGGCAAAGAAGCAAAGAAAGAAAAGGAAAGAAATCCTCTAATGATTCTCAAAGCTTTCGTATTTGTTTTTGTTTGAAACTTTCATTTCTTTCTAGATAAAAAATGGGCTGAGAGGATAAGTATTGGAAATACATAAATATATGTGTTGTGAAGCGTGACATTACGTAATTCATGTTTATGTTCCATTAGTAATGCAAGGAATATTTTGTCAGCGTGTCAGTTTGTTAGTTTATGAAAACTCAAAGCAAGAAGGAAAGTTTAGATATTTATATTAAATATGTTAACAAAAAAGAAAATATTTCAACAATCCTAAAAGACAGAAAATAGATAAAGAGTAAAGTTTCATGTAGATATTTAAAAGGATAATAAAATTAACAAGAAGATGAAGAAAAGAAGTCAAGCAACTTTAAAAAAACGGGATGGGAAAACTTATCTGCTCGTAAGCTTTGAAAGCTGTTCACTATTATTATTTCCCGATCATAAAAAAGTAGACAAAAAAAGATTCGAATAAAAGAAGAAGAAGAGGAAAAGGGATTCATTAATTGTACAAAAATTCTTTGAAAGAGAAAAAATTGTTCAAAATTCTTTTAATTGTTTCTTCCTTTTCATGGAACTTACCTTCGTTTCAAGAAGTTGACATTGGTTGTGAAACTACTTTTGAAACTTGCGAACGACAGGGTGCCGGTTGGTTGTTCCTAAATGACGAAGAAGAACGAAGGTTCATATTCAATTTTAATTAAATTAATAATCTTTTGTTTACTCGATGAAATCAATCTCATGCATTAAATGGAAAAAGGAAATTTAATATCAAATACATGACATATCAAAGTAGACTGTTCAGTTGTTGGTGATGTGTTGCATATATTCATAAAAAGATACTTAAAAAGCGATATAAGCATCATAAATGTGAGTAAAATGTGAGCTTTACGTTCAGTAAGCTTTCATAAATTAAACACAAAAAAGAATGAAAATTTGTAATTACTCTAACATTAATCAAAGCGCAAAATTTCAATATTTGTCTTGAGAATATTCAAGCATTTCTGAGAATTTGAAATTATAAGCAAAATAAAATTAAACTTTTAAAAGCGAATTTATTCAAATTTACTTAATAACAAAAAAAAGATTTTTGTGTGTGAAAAATTTTAACGAAATTAGATGTGATTGAAAAGTATTTAAAAGAAAAGAAGAAAAGTTGAAGCTCTTAAAATTACCTTTACTTGAGGCGAAGGACAGACACCCCCGCAACTGATCGCGTCTATCGCGCTAATATTGGAATTTTTATAAACTCTTGTGTGAAAGTCTGGAGACCAAAGTTTCCAGAACCCTTTTATGTATCTGTAGAGTTTTAAGATAAACTATCTGGTAGCAGTAACTGAACAGTCTGATTTTTTATTTGTTTGAGTTCCACGACGGTCAAAGAAATGATTCGTGATTAATATGATTAGAGTTGCAGGTTTTGTATTTTTGTTTAAAGGTCAAGGCAAGAATTTTTCGGTTTGATGAGACATCCGAAAAATAATTACATAAAATGTTGAGAAAAACAATTGAAAAGTTACCTCTAAAAATATAAATTTATCCTTTATGGGCTCTTACAACTCTTCTCGTAGGAAGTTTTCTATGCGCTTCAACAAGTTTATGGTTTTATTTGATTGGATTAAGGATCTCTAAGTTGATAAGAAGGAAAGAAAAGGATAAAAGAACATTAAGATAAATTTATTAAATTATTTTTAAGCCTCGTCAAGCTTTTCTTTTCCCTTTGGAGAAGTTTTTAGGATTTTTGAATTCTCATAAATGTCACATGTAAAACGTTTTTATTAATTCAATTGTCGCATGAGACGAAACATTCAATCTCGCTGACTTTTATGAACGAGGTAAGGTGCCAGCTCAATTACAAGCTCTGCTTTTTACTTAAATTGTTTACTTATTCAACGACACCCTTATGAGCCTTTTCCATTCATGTGAAAGTAGACGGAATATGTACAAAAGGCTTAATTGTTGTGCCTTAGGATGGCTGTGGGTAGATAAATTTTGTTTCTTTCCCAAGACTCCCAAAGTGCTTGCGTCGTTTATGAGATTAATGAACCCGGTCTTTTCATCTTTTCAGCTCTCAGAATACGCAAAAAAAATAGAAAGAAAACAAACAAGATGAGTTTAGCTGAGTTATTTGACGTCACAAAAGTAAAAATAATGTGAAAGAATTCACCGCGCTAGAAAATCAATAAAGATTGGAAAAAGGAAAGGAAGGAAACTGAGACAATTGACATGATTCCAACAACAAACATGTAGGTAATAATGATTCAAATTAAGAGTAAAAAGAAGTTTTAAGCGTCAGACTTTGTGGCGTGTTTCAATTGTGTTTATGCATAATATCACGTTCACAACTATCTCAAGCTCACAAAGTGTCGATGATGAAATCCAATGATTGATTTAAATTGAAATCTTAAACTCAATTCATAACACAATCGAGAATGCATCACATTAATTGAAGTTCATAAACATTTCTCAACACTTTCACAACTATTTAAATATCGATTCCAAATAACTTTGATATTTATAACGTGCAGGAAAATGAATAAAATCAACGCTTTACATGCTTTTATAACATTTTATTTAAGAGAAGAAGAAATAAAATCATCGCGAAAAGAGACACAGGTGAATCATTGCGGAAAGAAAAATCGATAAACGCGTGGATTTCTCATTTTATTTTCTTTTCGGATGTTTGGACACTTTTTCAAATAAAATTAATTTAATATTTAAATCTCTGCGGGTTATCAACTCAATCTAAATTATCAGAAGTTTCCAAAATTATTCTTCTATTTAATGACGACGATGATAATGTGAGAATATTATGGGCGTTCGTTCATTTAGTAATTCAGAACCTTTTTTTTCTTCTTTCTCTAAACGAGAAGGAAAAGCTCGGGACAAGTTACAGTGGCAATGAACCTTTTCGCATATAGAAGATTGTCCATGGATCAAAAGCTAACATTAAAAAAAAGAAAACTTTCATAACTTACCCTTTTTTGACTGTCGCAATTTACTATCTTTACGACTGAAAATTCCCTTTATCAGTTAAAATGTTATTCGAAGCTCCTGAAAAATCACGAAGCGTTAATTAAATTTCCCACTTTTTCTTTTGGAAAGTAAAATAAAATTACATTGTCTTGAGTCATTGATTGAAATTAAATTTTCATAAAACTAAAGAAAAAGCAAACGAAGAAATAATTTTCCACTAATTTTCGCAATTTTCTTTTAAAAAATTTGAGCTCAGACATTTTTACTGAAAGTTTTAATCATTTAAACTTACAAAATTCTCCAAAATTTCACTGAAAAAAAATTTCACAAAATGAAAACTTGTCAAAGGACTTTTCTTCTCTCGAATGAACAATCGCGAATGAAAAACTTTTCTAATTTTTCTTCGAAAAAGCTTTCGCATTTGAACATGCGCAGTGCATTCGTTATGTTGACTCACGGAAAAATATCGAACGAATTTTCCTTCTTCGAATAAAATAAAAAGAAAATTTAAATTTCCAACGAGGGAAAACTTTATGCTGAAAATATTTTTATTTTCATTAATCTTAAATGAATTTTTTTCTTCCTTTTAATGAAAGTCTCACAGATAATTTTCAGATTTTGTAATAAATAAAAAATATTAATAACACTAATTAGTTAATCTTTAGCCTTTGTTTTAAAATTGAATATCTTAACGTTTCTTTCCTCGTTTTGCGGATGGTTTACTGGAATGTGATGGATTTTCGTCTGGAAAGAAGAAATGCCGGTTTACAGAATGGTCACCACGAGGCAAAACAGAAAACAACGGTTTTTGTCAGCTCGCACAATGGCAAATTTTATTGAAAAAATGAGCAAAATATTGAATGTAAATAATGTTTGAAAAAAAAATTAATTAAATGTTGAACATATTAAAAACTGTTGTTTTCGCTGAGCCGCTTCTTACCTGAAGACGTTTCCTCTTGGACGACTTTGGTAATGCGTCTAGCACGAACAGAAGTTTGACGTTTGTTTGCAGTTGAAGCAACTTCTTCTTCAGAATCTGTGTTAATGATCTTGCGTGGTTCAACCTTCCTGGCGCCTTTCTGACGACGTGGCGGATGATTTTCCAACTCACTGTCACTGCTACTGCTACTTAAACTGCTTTCGGAATTCTCTTCTGCTGCTTTGCGATTACGTCCACGAGTCTGTGGAACTTTTTTGTTCGTTTTGCTTCGACCCGGCCGCTTATCAACCGGCAATTTTATGCGACGTTTAATTGTTTCTTGATTATCATCGTTGGTTATGGCTGGATTATCGTTAACTGCAAGGCACTCTTCAAGTTTCATTTCGAAATCTTGTACAACAGCCTGCGATTAAGAGAATTGGTTTCAACTATAAAATTACTTAGTTAATTAATTTATGACTCACCTTTAGTTCTGGTTTTGCTAGTTTCGATGTATTGCTGATAATTTGCTTAAAGTATTCGTAAACCTCATCAACTTGAACTTTATCCTTGAACAGAATAATGTTGTCGGTTAATTTCTTGATCGTTTTTTCTGTATAAGTCAACAATGAAAGGCAGTAAGAAATGTCACGCCATTGACGTTCTTGTTCAGTGACTTTAAAACGGAAACAAAGCTTTTCAACTAATCCTTCAACTTGACGATCTTTATGAATCAATCCCATGATATATTTCATGATGATTTGATATTTTCCTTCTTCCAACTTGAGCTTTGGATCACTCAACCGACTGATAATGTCCGGAAGAACATTGTACAAAATATTCGACTTATTCGCGATTTCTTTGAAGAAAACTTCGGTGGTGCTTCTAATCTCATCGTCTTTGTCAACAAGACACATTGCAAGATCAGAAATTTGTCCTTTAACAAGAATCATTTCATGCGAAATCAAATGTGATAAAATTCTGACTGACGTCAATCTCAAGTCACGATTTTCATCATAAAGTGTTGAGTAAAGATGTCCACTCCATGGCTCAATAACATTTGGAAAACGGAAGGTTAAGTCACTCATTCCAATGATTACATTACATTTAATATCAATGTCTTGATTGTGTTGAAAGACGTTCATTAAGAATTGCATATATTTCTCACAAAATTCAGAACTAACAGACATGAAGTGGAGAAGAGAAAGCAGAGCTGATCGTTGCAATTCTGGGTGATTGTACTTGGCAGGATGCTTGAGGAAGTCGACGATCATTGGAATGAAACGACGAAAGATGCTGTCTTTATGAAAAAGCATTTCTTTCTCACAAATTGAGTTGATTTGATCAGCAAAAGCATCATCAGTTGATTGTCCGACGATGTCTTCTTCAGGATTCTCTTCTTCCTCCCCTGGAGCGTGATGAATTGTTGATCGACGTTTGACTGACGATGCTGACATATTAGCAATTGAATTGCGGAGTTTGTCGACTGGTCCTTTCTTGCTCTTCAAATGCGATGTTAAATCTTGACGATGTTTGAGATTGGAAAAGATGTCAACATCGAGATAAATGAGTTCTTTCATTGCAACGTAGCCCAACATAAAGATGAAGCGCGAAGCGAGTTTCATTGGCATTTTAAGCAAAGTATTGTTGGCCGTCTCTTGAGTCAGTTGACTGAAGACGTCGGTGGGATTTTGTGAAATTATTTCACTGGGATTGTTTTCTCCTTCATTTTGACAACCATCGACTTGAAGATCTTTCGATATCAAAAGAATTTCATTCCAAAGATCTTTGATCAACTCTTGGCTGATGATGTTCGGTAAATGACACATTTTGTAAATGAACTGGAAAGTTTTGCTACAAACATCATCAAAATTCATCGTTTGATCATTGAGGAAATATTTTCGATACATTGCAATGACATTCGCGACTTTTTGATCATCTCCATTCAATCTTTTGTACGTATTTTCATCTTTATCACCATGAACATTCATTAAGAAGTCCAATGTTAATGTGTAGATTCTCGAATCCTTCTCTCCCTCCTGATCTTCAAAGCAAAGCTTTTCAATGATTGAAGAATTTCGAATTGCAATTTCCGGTTTGGCGCTGCAAAGAAAATAAATAAATTAAATGAACTTTAAATTTAATTAACATCAACTCACCTCGAACAAATTACTAGAAGTTGAAGAGCAAGTCGTGAATCATTGTTGGTAACATTATCAAGTTTCTTAGTGTAAATCTCAAACATAACTTGAATCATTCCCGCTCCGATGTCACCAGACTCAAGAAATTCTCGCAAAAGTTCTTCAAATGCCACAAATTGACTAAAAGTTACTTTCTCAATAAATCTCATTAAATTGTTGACAGCTTTGACATCGTGAGCGCGGCCCTGATGGTCGGTGGTAAAAAGCACGCATTTGTAAGCATCACGCACTGGTCCTCGTTTATCCTTGCTAACTGTCCACACAAGATATAAAAGTTGGCACATTCCGCTTTCGGTATTTTTAATGCCAAACTGATAAGCTGAAGTGAAGAAATTAATTGCTTCAGTTACGTCCGATTCTACTTTTGACATGAGTAATTCTTGAAGTTTTGGAACTGCATTGACGATAACTCGTGAGAATTCCAATGAATTCTCTAAAAATCGCACAGCAGTGTCAGTTTTTTTGTACTCTTCTTCATAACTCTTGCAACTGTTTTGAAGCATGTAATAAGATTTTAAAAGCATTGCGAAGTAAACTTGAGCATGAATTGGTTCCATTTCTTTGATTGTTTCCCAATTTCCATTAAGTTCTTCCGCTCTTCTCGTTAATAAAATGAGTCGTTCATACTCTTTATCAGCTAACATTTGTGGGAATTTAAGGAAGAGATTGTCACAATCTTCGGGGCGGATTCCTTCCTCTTTTATTGATTCTAATGCCAGACATGATATGATAAATGGCTTCATTTCGATTAGAACTTCATCCCATTTTTCATTTACTTCATCCATCTTATCAGCTTCCTTCGTCATCTTCTCACGAAAGTCGCTCAACTCTTTCAACTTCTCTTCATATCGTTGCTCCAATTCTTCCAATGATAACTTTGCAGCGTAAGGATTTCGTTCTAAAAATGATTTTATAAGAATAATTACGTTCTTTCTAACGAGATTCGATCGATCTTCTAAGCGCATTGTAGCTCTATCAAGAACTGGAGTGATCCAAACGAGAGGAATTGCGTTCTCTTGTTTCAAATGAATCCACATTCCCAAAGCTTTTGAGCGAACGTGTGCATTGACATCGTGAATATGTTCAAAGATGTTATCTAAATATTCATCTCGTGTATCTTTTTCTTCTTGTGAAAGTTCTTCGCCATTTAATTCCCCGACTAAAATCTCAGTCATTACTTGAAGAACGCAAATACGAAGCAGATAAGATTCGAGATTCAAAAGTTCGTCAGCAATATCGCGAATGTATGGCATGACAAGCTTTGGTGAAACATTTCCTAATTCAGTGAGGAATGCTGAAATATTTTTCACAACAGAACCACCAGATGAGTTATCAAGTCCAGATACAATCTGATCGATGATCACTTTCACAATCGTTTGTATGCCGAAATTTTCAGCGAGAATTGGAACTCCATTTGCGATTGCAATTGCCGACATTTCACTGCTTTTCAAAAGCTCAAAAATTTGAATAGGAAAGACAAGCGCATGATTATAATTTTTGAGTAATGTTCCCAAGATTTGAAATGATGTATCATGCACATTCGAGGATTTAATTGATGGATGATCAAGGGTACGATAAGCGAAATCTCCGCAAAGATTCACAAAAGGTTCTTCGGCTATTGGTGGATCCCACAAACCACCCAAAGGCAATTGAAGAATATTAAATAGTTGAAGAAGAGCAGAATATCTCATTTCTTCCCACTTCCCTTGCGTTAAATCTTCGGGTGATTGTTTTTTACTTTTCTTGCCGTCATTTGTAATCACTTCTTTGTCAACAAACTTAACAAGCGTCACTTGCGAGTAGATCAACATTTTAAGAGCATTAAGCATGCCATGACGTTCTTTTACTGATGAATTTGATTGTTGAAGGAATTCAGCGAGTACTTTTCCTAACGCATCAACTGATTTATATAAAAGATCCATGGCGCGGAAAATCGTTTGAGATTGTAAATGTTTGCAATGAACTATGATGGAGTGGAAAACATCGTAATGATCAAATATAAATGTAGTTCCATGTTCTGTCAAGGCCAAACGGGCAACTGAAATGATAAATAAGCTGAAAATACCATTAAATTTTGCTGAATAAACTTACGTCTCAATTTCTCGCCGCATTCTTTCTCGTTTATGATATGATTAACGCAATAGCAGTTTCCAGTTGTGTTAAGCAAATCTTCGTGCTTTTGTGGAAGCACGAAGTCAAATTCCATATTTTAACGCTTTTAAATGGTTTTGCTCTATTATAACTAAACAAAAAGACAAAAAGTCAAACTATAAAAGACGCTCGTTTTGTGACGATATTTCTGTTTGTTTGAAAATGAATTTCCGTTATACTTTTGCATCATTTTTTGCATCATTCATAGATAAATTCAAAAAAGATTTCTCCTCAAATATAGAGATATATGTAGGTAACATATAAATTAATGATAATAAGATATTAAATGCTCAATTAAATGATGTTTTATTAATTAAAGTTAGAATGATTTTCAAAGCTTACAAGTTTTCTTGCATTATTAGAACTTAAGGAATTTACCATTCCATGTTTAATATGTTACAGTGTTATTTGAATTTGAATTTTCCACTATGGCCTTCCCCCCGGGGGTCGGATGCGTGATATGTGACCCGGATAAGCCAGTTTTTTCCGTGGACCAAAATTCAGGTTTTTCATACAAAGTGTTCAAAAACTTCTCCGCGTCCGAGAAATTTCTCCTTCCGCGAGATTTCACACTCTCCACCTGAAACTACTGATGCCATCACAAAAGAAGCAAATGTAAGAAGCAAACTTATCACGTTTTCCGGAAAGTTGTAAACATTGCGAGAAATAAAAATAAAATCAAGAAAAAAGATGTCATCAGACGAAGAAAGTTTTAGTGAAGTTAATCCATTAGCTCACAAGAAGCTTCTGTCAGAAATTAATGATATTGTAAAGTTTCAACATATAAAGAAGCCAGTGAGAAATGAGCCAAGTGTAAAGAATTCGGAATTTCATCTTGTAAAATCAAAATCTTTAACCGAGGATAATGAAGAAGAATCAAAGAAAACAAGTAAGAAAAGTGTTTCAATTTCTTCAATCGCTCAAACTGTACAGAAAAATACAAAACAAAAAGAAGTAGCTAAACAATTAAAGAATGCATTTAAGCATAAAAATGTTCTCGTAAAACCACTTGAGAAAGTTCACGCTGATCGTATTCAAAGGACAATTGCTTATGATAACACTAAAGCAAAATTGGCAAGATGGGATGCTGTAGTCACCAAAAATCAACATGCTGATCAATTGGTTTTTCCGCTAGACTTTGAAAAATCAAAATTTAAAAGCAAAACAGATCATGATGTGACACAATTTCGATTTAAAACACAAATAATGAAAGATATTGAAGAAATTCACAATGAATGCTTTCCAAAACCTTCAGAACCGGAATATGATGATACACAAACTGAAATGTTGACACTCGAAGAAATGCAACAGCGGCGTAAAGAATTAAATCGTTTGAAATTGAAAGAATCACAAAAAATCGCTAAAAAACGAATGCAAGGCAAGATTAAAAGCAAGAAATATCACAAACTTAAAAAAAGAGAAGAACTTAAAAAGAAAATGAAAGAATTTGAAGAATTGAAAGCAGCAAATCCTGAAGCAGCTCTTAAGGAGTTGGAAAAGATTGAAAAGCAACGCGTTCAAGAACGAACCACGTTAAGACATAAAAATACTGGAACTTGGGCTAAGAATCTAAAAGTAAGAAAATTATCTTGAGACTTTATTAAACATTTTAACATTTTTACTTTTATTATTATTTAATTTCAAAGGTTCGTGCAAAATATGATGAAAATGTCAAACAAGATTTAGAAGTCCAACTTGCTTTAGGACGTGAACTTACACAAAAGCAACAAAATATTGAATCAAGTGATTCAGAAGATGAAGAAATGGTAACAATTACCAATGAGAATGAAAATCCTTGGTTAGGTGGTGAGAAGTCGTCTGCTGACCCTCTTGATGAGATCTTCAGTGGATACAAAAAGTTCTGGGATGAATATAATTCAAATGTAAAGCAAGTGAAAAAGATTAAAGAAAGTTACAAAGAGAAAGACGAAAAAGTTGAATCTGACGATGAAGAGAAGGAAGTTTCTGAGAAAGAAGACGAAGACGTGGAATCAGAAGCCTCTGAAACAGAAGATGAAGACAAGGAAACAGAAGACGAGGAAAATTCAAGTGAAGAAGATCCATCGAGCTTCATTAACGATCTCTTTGATGAAGCTGAAGAAAAAGTCACAAAAAATATGGACGAGAAATTGAAAAATCTGAAACCAAAACTTCTCGAAAATGAAAAGAAGGGAAAAAAGATGAAAAAGAAACGAAAAGTGAATGCAAAAGATTCAAGTTACTTGCAGTTTGAGAAGAAAGCGAGGCTTGGTGATATTGATGAAGGTTTAATTGAAGGCGACATTGATAATGATGATAATAATGAGAAAGGAACAGCTCGAGCTCGTTCGAAGCAATTATTGAAGGAAGTTAAAAAGATGAAGGAGAAAAAGGCGAAACTTTTTGAAGAAATAAATCCAGACAGCTTCTTGAATGTAAAATCGAAACATTTAATTACAGCACTTCCTAAATCACAAGATTTCGATGACATTGACGAAGACGATGACGTCAAAGAACTTACGAAAGCTAACAAAATGAGTCTCGTTGAAGCATTTGCGAATGATGACATTGTCAATGATTTTGAGCAAGAAGTTGAAGACGAAGAGAAGAAAAGATTGGGAAATGAAGATTTGGGACTTCCTGGATGGGGAAATTGGGCTGGTCATGGAGTGAAAGAGAAGAAGAAAAGATTCGAGAAGAAACTTCCAGACATCAAGAAGAAACCACGAATTATCATCAACACAAATCCCAACGAGAAACTTCAGAAACATCTCATCTCGTCAATTCCATTTCCATTTAAATCAATTCAAGATTTTGAAATGTCAATGCGTTTGCCTATCGGTCGTGATTTCATTCCTGAAACTGCTCATCGTAAGCTCACAATGCCAAGTGTCGTGACGAAGGCTGGAACTGTCATCGAACCAATGTCCGAAGAGATTTTAGTGAAGAATCAAGAAATTAAAAACAAATTCATTAAAAGAAATAAGCGGAAGGGCAAAAAATTGAGAAAATGAATTTTATTCTGTTTTTAAAAATAATTAAATAAAGATTTTTTTTTATCTTAGTACTGATGATCAGCAGCTATTAACTTCTTACATTTTTCAATATTTCCAGCTTGCAATTCCAGATAAAAATCGAGCATTTTCAAACGATGAAAGATAATTGGATGACGAATGATGTTGAACAGTTTAACACGCGCCAAGTCATAATCGCCACGCATGACTAAAGATGTGATAAAATTATAACCGAATATTGCGTGGGCCTTTTCAAGTGTGTTGATGTTCCAATCTGGGGATGAACTCATCTCAAAATCATCACTTTTAAGTTCACTCATAATCTTCGGATCGAGATAATTTATCGCGTCTGTCACTTTCTCAAGAAAGATGCTCGCTTCAGCTGCATAAAGTAAGCCAAGCATTTTATGAGTGTCTGGAAGATTTTCCAGTTTTATCAACTCATTTGCATACTGCAATGCTAAAGTGTAATCGCCGAGTGTAAGAGCGACGTAACTTGAAGCTGTTAAAATGTGAATCTTCAATTTATCGATCGCCGTCTTTGTCAATGGTTTCGATGGATTGCAAAGAATACTTTCGTTAACTTTATTCCAATTATTGCCAAACATTGTGAAAGTTTCATTTTTAATGTTGCTTGTGCCTTGTTTGTCACTATCAAAACCATTTGCTAATTGCGAGTAGTAATTAATAAGTGTCAAAGCATTTCTTAAACAAAGTGAAGCAAATTCAAGATTTGGACTTGGAATTGCTGACGATCCTGGCTCGTCATTCACATATTTTTGGGGAGTTGGTGTGATGATAAATTTCCGATGCATTCCACTTCCAATAATGGATGAAACGATATTTTTATTTTGCGATTCTTGTTCTTTTAGATGTTGTTTGTGAACCATGATGCAAGCTTCAGCTAAACGCAACCATAATTTCGGATTTTTATGGTAAATATTGAGAGGAACAAGAAGACAATCGAAAGCATCTTTAGGACGTTGTAAATACAACAAAGCAATTCCAAGATTATAAAGAATATCTTGTCGCTTTGTTGCTCCAATGCAATGCATTGGAAGTTGATTCCCATGCTCTTTCTTAACAGATTCGATTGCCTTCTGATCGAAGATTAATGCTTGTTGAAAGAATCTCACTGCTAATGCATAATGTTTCACACTGAAATGTATCAATCCCATATTGTTTGCAATACAAACATTTTGATCTTCGCCATTTTTTGGAACTGTTATCAACTCATTTTTAAATTGCTTTGCAAGTTCTCGTGATGCCATTTGAAAATCATTGCCAAGAAAGAATTGATGAGCTTTGAGAATTGAGAAATTTGATGTTTCTTCGAGTGGAATGATAGCATTTTTACCGTTCAACAAATACGATCTGATGAGCACTAATCGGAAAAGATTTCTGAAGATTTCTTCTTCTTCATCGAGAGTTTCTTTTGCTTTCTCTAATTCAGGCTCGACAAGATCATCAGGCATCAAAATATCATCATTATTTATATCCAATCTTGTTTGAAGCATGTCAATGAGTTGATCGGCTTTCTTTGCTTGATTTGTGTCCAACAAGAGACAAGCAGTTAGCAGCCCAACTTTCTGCAGAAAACGATTCTCTAATTGATCGATGTGTTGCAAAATTCCTTTCATAATTTTTAATGCCGAATATGGTTGCTTCATATGAAACAGTAGAACAGCTTGATTATAATAGATTGGACAAAGATTTGCATATTTTATGTCGACAACACTTAATGTAAGATCCGGATTTTGAAGAGAAGTTAAAGCATTTCTAAATTGTTCACATTTCTTCAAATCACTATTGAGGAATTCACAAACAGCTTTGTTATGTGCTACTCTTAATGGATCGACCGCGGGTGAGAGCTTATCTAAGCACTGAAATGTTGCATTGTAGTTTTTTCTATGGCGAAAATTTACAGAATGAAAATATCTACAAAAAGACTAATTATGAATCAATATTAACTTACTTTTTAAATTCATTGGTTATCTGATTGATAAGTTCACAATCCTGTTCGCTTAAAGCGTTGGTTTTTTCTGCCATTGTTGAATTAATTTTATTTTAGGAAAATTATTTTTATTTTGTTTACCGCAAATTGATTTGAGAATTTTCGCGTCTTCGCATGTGAGTTTCGCATGTTTGACATGCCAATACTACATGCGATTGAATAAATTTCGCATCTAAGACGCAAAAGCCCAAAACAAAACAAAGTTTCTAAACTTGAAGAAAATGTAATTTCATAATCAGCCTTAGAAAAGCACATAACTTAATTTATTTGTTTTCATCCATTCTTCTAAAAGGTAATTTACAAATATAACATTAATTGAATTCAGTATTTTCAGTGTAACAAACGATTTTTGTTAAAATTTCTCTTTTTTTAGATGGAGCAAGATGACGAAATGCCAGAAAATGGTGAAAGTCTTCATCCAAGCGTAATCATTCACGTTGATTTTGATTACTATTATGCTCAAGTTGAGGAAGTTCTCAATCCTGACTTGAAAAATAAGCCAATTGGAATCAAACAACGTTTTCACATTGTCACTTGTAATTATAAGGCGCGAGAATTTGGAATTAAAAAAATGGAATTGATTAAAGACGCATTGAACAAATGCCCGAATCTTGTAATTGTGAACGGTGAAGATTTAAGCAAATACAAAACTTACTCTAAAAGAATATCAGATCTACTGCATACAATGATTGGACCTTCGGAGAGAATGGGATTAGACGAGCATTTCATGGACGTTTCGAAACAAGTACAAGGACAAATATCAAAAATGAGCAGAGAAATGTTAAATCAGTTACGTTTTACTGGTCCTTTTTATCCCAACGAAGAAGCTTTCAGTAAATGTTCATGTGGATGTGAGAATCGACTGATGGTGGGAAGTCAAATAGCCCAAAATATCAGAGACAAAATTCTAAACGAACTCAAACTCACATGTTCAGTTGGAATAGCTCACAATAAACTCTTGGCAAAGCTTGTTGGACAAATGAACAAACCAAATAACCAAACAGTTTTAGCACCAATGGCAGCTGCTGAGTTTATGGCTGAACTCAAAGACATACGAAGTATTACTGGTATTGGAAATCGAACAGCGAATCGAATTGAAGAGCTTGGAATAAAATCAATCTCTGATCTTCAAGAATGTGAGATTGACAAACTTCAAAAGAAGTTTGGAAGCGATATGGCGACAAGACTGAAGGAAATGTCGGTGGGTTGTGATTCAGTTGAAGTGAAACCTTCGGGAAAGCCGAAAACTGTTGGATTGGAAGATTCTTGTCGACCCATATCCATTCGTAGTGATGCTCAAGAGAAATTCCATGCACTTTTGTCACGTCTTGTCACACAAATACAAGACGATGGAAGAATCCCACAATCAATAAAAGTCACTGTCCGAAAATATGATCCAGTTAAGAAAAATAGCATTCGAGAAACGAAACAATGTTCTCTCATCCCATCCCACTTTCGATGTGCTGAGGGAAAAATTCAACTCGTTGAAGGTGCTGAAGATAAAATCATAAAAAATGTGATGATGTTGTTTGATCGAATGGTTGATCTTAAGCAACAATTCAATATTACACTTCTTGGCTTATGTTTCAGTAAATTTCAAGATCAAAAACGTGGACCTGGTTCAATTGCCAATTTTCTGATGAAGAAACAAGACGTTGAAGTGCAATCTATTACGAATCTTAGTAACGAAAGTATAAATGGTTCATTTGGTGACAGCTTTCGTTCAAAAACAGCTTCACCATCATCTTCAATTATGGATTATGAGACAATGTCAAACACTTCACTCGACTTTTCTGGATCTGAAGAATCTGAATTCGAACATTCTCCGAAGAAGCGTAAGAAGTTGAGCATTCTTCTTGTGGCTAAAGGACGAAGATATTCCAGTAATGATGATCTCGCATCACCAAGTAAATTAAATGTTTCAGCATTAAAGCTAAATGGCAGTGGTTCAGTGGAAACATCAGAAGGACACGTAATGAAAACAAATTCGATTCCAAGTCGAGTGATTTCACCACTTTGCATTAGCAACGAGCCCATCGCTTGCTCATCAACGAAATCTCCTGAACTTCCGCCTAATGTTGATCCGAATGTTTGGCAAGAACTTCCACTAGATGTTCAACGAGAGCTCATGAGAAGTTGGCAACCAGCTTCGGGAAGTCAATTAAAAGTTAATCCCATCGCATCACATTCAAAATCAAAACCAGGCGGAACATTACACAAATATTTTATAAGAAACTCTTAAAACGATTTTTGAGGCGAATAATAAATTTTTCTCTTCAAAAAGAAGTTTATAAATTTACACATTTCGTCAAACGGAGAGAATTTCAATTGATTTCACTATAAAAAGAAACGAAACAAATTTTTATGTAGATGTTAATAAAAAGAGAAAAGAAATAATAAATTATGAATTGTTTCATGAGCTGAAATGACTATTTGAATCAGAAATGAAAATACTTGTCAGTAAATATAAAATTTATTAATCTGACAATTAAAAAAACTTTACAACTTGCGAAAAAGAATCAGCATGGAAAAAGGTAATTAAATGTAATTTGTGGAATAGAAAGCTGTTCAACTTTTGCCTGACATTTTCATCTAATCTAATTTTTAAAGTCATCTTTGTTAAATTTTGAATGAGGCTCTCGATCGATGTACATGTTTGATAAGTTATACCATTTCAGCTTTGGAACAAACGATGAACCTGCGTCAAAAATGGATTCATCAATGATATGCATGATTAAATAAGTTTCTGTAAGGAAGAATTTCATAAGAATTTTTTATCTTTTTAAGTTTGTTAATCTAGAAATAGATAATAAAAATGTTGACTTCAATACACATTAAATTAGGTTTTATTATTCAAGTTTTCATGGCAGTCATTTTAACAGAATCGACTGTTCTTCTTGCACATTTCAATCAGCCATTTAGCGTATAATGTGTTAGTTGGGGAAAGATTTTTCCAGTAAGTTGAATTTGTTTCCAACAAGTTGATCTGTGAAATATTTTTAACGAAATCAGATGATCGTGAATATCAACTTTAAATAAAAACTTACATTGGGAGGTGGCACAGCTCGACTGAACTCGCCCATGTTCATGTGTTCCCAGAAAGCCAATTTCAAGTCATATTTAAAGCTGTCCGACATGCAATTCAAGCAAAGATCACATTGAGTGGAATCGCAAGTTTCGTTGCATGGTCTGTTCAAACATATATCAGGTGTTACACTGATGCTGTGATCATTCAAAACGAAGCTAGATTCATCCTCTGTGAATTGTCCCAAACTCTTGTCACTGATAGTCGTTCCAATTCCAACAAGATTGAGAAAATTGTAAACGAGATTTTCATAAATTGGTTTGTGTGCTCTCATTTTTGGATGTGCTTGTAGATTTGGACTCATGTTGACTTCCATCAAGTAAAGTTTAAGTTTCGCGTCGAGAATAAAATCAAATCGAACAAGTTCAATGAAATGATTTTTTCCATTTGCTGCTTTCAGCTCTTCAACTTTTTTTAACATTTTGGGTGCTTTTTGTAAGACTATCGAACTTATGGCATCTTCAATCTGATCAACAATGATTTTTGGATTTATTCCCTGTTCAATGAAATATAAATGAAGCGCTTCTTTGGCAAGATAGCCATGATCAGTGTACTTTCTTATCACCGGAAATTCTAAGCCGGGAATATAATTGTCACTGATGACATACGTGTCAAGATCATCAAAGTTGTTTGGATTGTAGGGCTTCTCACAGAATCTCAAATTGTAAGTTTTATCGTAGTAATAAACCCGTATTGGATCGACAGAAGATATTCCAACATAAATATTCAAATCGAACTTATGGCCATTGATAAGATAAGGATCTTCAACAAACACTTGGGCAAAAAACTCTTCGAGAATATTGTTGGATCTCGTGAAATTCATTTCTTCTACTGTCACTATTGACACACCACGATTTGCTTTGTTTTTCCGAACGAATCTTACATCTGGATGGTCCTTGGAATAACGTTGTATAGATAATTTATCTTCAAATCCTTTTGGTACATATTTTGAATCTGTATAAGTGGCGAGATTTGATTTTAAAGTCAGAGAAGGGATTCCAGGAATGTGATTAATTTTTTGATGATCCTTCAAGTTTGAATAATTTAGCTTCAAAGGTGAAATGCCATGATAGCCCCAAATGAAATCCCAATCATAATGAGGAGCATGTGTGTGCAACGGCACTTCTTGATAGCCTAACTTTTCTATAACATTTCTGATTGATTCAAACCGTTTTGTGTTGTTATCTGTTTTAAAAAGGCAAAAAACTTTTCCTTTGCTTCTTTCAGTATTAGTTTTTTCGTTATTTTCTATTTTCACTTTATTATTAGAATATAAGTTAGTTATTGATATCAATATGACGGCGAAAGCAATAAAATTGAATGATTTTGAATCCATCATTCAGCACTTACGAATTTGTTTTATTTCTTCTCGCACAAATTTCTGACTGAACTTCAATCATCGAAACTTTTGAAAGAATACTTTAAGCTCAATATAAAATAATTTATTAAATATAAACAGAAGTTAATTATCAAGTTCATCTGCTCTTAATGAGAACTTTTTCAAGAAAGAAAACAATAAAAAGTAAACTCGTTAATAAGCCCAGTTTCATCAATCCTAATTAGATATCAATTTCCTTGTCAATTTCCAATATTTACCTACATGTGTTATTAATTAATAAAATTTACAGATAAAACTTTTTTTTCTGCTTTCAACATGATAACTTTCAACTGCAGTGATAACTTAAAATTTGTGTAGGTATACGAAAACTTTTCATTTAGGTAGTTGAGATTAACTGAAAATGAAATGAAAAAGAATAAAAAAGCTTCAACTTCATGATTTCGGTTTGCAACTCTGACTTTTGGCGCTTAAATTCATGGTTTAGAATTCTTTTGTTTACATTTAATTTTCTATCTTGAATATTTTAAAAGCTTTTAAATTCACACAGTTCATAACAATTCCTATTTGATTATCTAATAAATTCTGTTGTCTAACAATGAACTTGCATTCTTCTGTAGTGATTCATGTTGACATTGATTACTTTTATGCACAAGTTGAAGAAGTTTTGAATCCAAATTTAAAGGACAAGCCATTTGGAGTGCAACAAGGACTGAATATGGTGACATGTAATTACATTGCTAGAAGCTTTGGAATTAAAAAGTGGCGACCAGTGAAGGAATGTTTGGAGAAGTGTCCTGATTTAGTTCTTGTAAAAGGTGAAGATCTAAGTGAATATAAAAAGTTTTCTAAGAGGATCGCCGAACTTTTGCACGAAGAATTTGGATCAACAGAAAGAATGGGATTGGATGAACATTACATGGACATAACAAAACTTGCTGAAGACAAACTTGCGCTTTTAACAGATGAAGAGTTAACAAATATTCGTTTTGCTGGTCCTTTTTATCCCAACGAAGAAGCTTTCAGTAAATGTTCATGTGGATGTGAGAATCGACTGATGGTGGGAAGTCAAATAGCCCAAAATATCAGAGACAAAATTCTAAACGAACTCAAACTCACATGTTCTGTTGGAATAGCTCACAATAAACTCTTGGCAAAGCTTGTTGGACAAATGAACAAACCAAATAACCAAACAGTTTTAGCACCAATTGCAGCTGCTGAGTTTATGGCTGAACTTAAAGAAGTTCGAAATATATTCGGCGTTGGTGGCAAAACTGCTGAAAGGATCGAGGAACTTGGAATAAAATCGATTTCCGATCTTCAAAATTGTACTTTCGAGAAGTTGCGAAATTATTTCACTCAAGAAACTGCAGTGAGACTTAAAGAAGCTGCTTTAGGAATCGACAATTCAGTTGTGAGGCCTTCGGGAAAGCCGAAAACTGTTGGGTTGGAACATTCTTGTCCGCCAATTACAATACGAAGTGATGTTGAAAAAATGTTTCAAGATTTACTTCCACAGCTTGTCGAGCACATTGAAAACGACGCAAGGATTCCTGAAGGTCTCAAAGTCACAATCAGACAATATAATCGCGAAAAAAAGGCTAGTTTTAAAGAAACAAAGCAATGTGTCCTTCTTCCATCTTATTTTAAACATTTCGATGAGAAAATAAAACTTTCAGACCATGCACATGATCTAATCATGAAGAGCGTCATGTCGACATTTGATAAAATAATTGGCAAGGAGAAGTTTTATATTAATTTAGTTGGATTATGTTTCAATAAATTTCGAGAACTTAAGCGAGGTACAAGTTCGATTGAAAGTTTTTTAAAGAAGAGAAAAAGTGAAGGTGAAACATCAGACGATAATGACCAAAGTCCACCATCAAAGCGACAGAAAATTGTCAACAGGAATTCAATTCCAGCAAATGTAGATCAAAGTGTTTGGCGTGATCTTCCCATAGAACTTCAACAAGAACTCATGCGAAGTTGGCAATCTTCTTCAACCAATGATAATTCATCTGATATGATAAAATCTTCAACTTTTGCTTCGGAATCTTCTCAGGGTTTAAAATTGAAATCAAATGGCAACTTAAAAAATGTGAATACTTTGTACAATCATTTCAACAAAAAATAGAACAACTGAAAATCTAATAAACTTTCATTTCTAAATCGTAAAACTTTTTATTTTCTAGAGGTTTTTATTCCCAACATAAATTTTTTTTCAAATACATACAGAACTTTGTTATATCAGCACTAAATAACTAAACTTTTCAAGCTTTCATTGCAGTCATTTTTTTAACAGAATTGACTGTTTTTCTTGCACATTTCAATCAGCCATTTAGCGTATAATGTGTTAGTTGGGGAAAGATTTTTCCAGTAAATTGAATTTGTTTCCAACAAGTTAATCTGTGAAAGATTTTTAACGAAATCAGATGATCGTGAATATCAACTTTAAATAAAAACTCACATTGGGAGGTGGCACAGCTCGTTTAAATTCGCCCATGTTCATGTGCTCCCAGAAAGCCAATTTCAAGTCATATTTAAAGCTGTCCGACATGCAATTCATACAAAGATCACATTGACTGGAGCCACAAGTTTCGTTGCATGGTCTGTTCAAACATATATCAGGTGTTACACTGATGCTGTGATCATTCAAAACGAAGCTAGATTCATCCTCTGTGAATTGTCCTACATTCTTGTCACTGACAGTCGTTCCAATACCAACAAGATTAAGAAAATTGTAAACGAGATTTTCATAAATTGGTTTGTGTGCTCTCATTTTTGGATGTGCTTGTAGATTTGGACTCATGTTGACTTCCATCAAGTAAAGTTTAAGTTTCGCGTCGAGAATAAAATCAAATCGAACAAGTTCAATGAAATGATTTTTTCCATTTGCTGCTTTCTGCTCTTCAACTTTTTCTAAAATTCTGTGTGCCTTTTGTAAGACTATCGAACTTATGGCATCTTCAATCTGATCAACAATGATTTTTGGATTTATTCCCTGTTCAATGAAATATAAATGAAGCGCTTCTTTGGCAAGATAGCCATGATCGGTGTACTTTCTTATCACCGGAAATTCTAAGCCGGGAATATAATTGTCACTGATCACATACGTGTCAAGATCGTCAAAGTTGTTTGGGTTGTATGGCTTCTCACAGAATCTCAAATTGTAAGTTTTATCGTAGTAATAAACCCGCAATGGATCAATAGAAGAAATTCCAGCATACATATTTAAGTCGAATTTGTGGCCATTGATAAGATAAGGATCTTCAACAAATACTTGGGCAAAAAACTCTTCGCGAATATTGTTGGATCTTGTGAAATTCATTTCTTCTACTGTCACTATTGACACACCACGATTTGCTTTGTTTTTCCGAACGAATCTTACATCTGGATGTTCTTTGGCATAACGTTGCATGGATAATTCATTTTCAAATCCTTTTGGTACATATTTAGAATTTGTATTAGATGCCAGATTTGCCTTTTGAATCAGAAATATGATTCCAGGAATGTGATTAATTTTCTGATGATCCTTTAAGTTTGAATAATTTAATTTTAAAGTATTCAGGCCTGAGAAGCTCCAAATGAAATCCCAATCATAATGTAGGTCATGTGGGGGCAATGGCACCTCTTGATATCCTAGTTTTCTGATAACATTTCCAATCGATTCAAAACGGTTTGTGTTGTTGTCTGTTTTATAAAGACAAAAAACTTTTCCTTTGCTTGTGCTTCTTTCAGCATTCGTTTTTTCGTTATTTTCTATTTTCACGTTATTATTAGAATATAAGTTAGTTATTGATATCAATATGACGGCGAAAGCAATAAAATTGAATGTTTTTGAATCCATCATTCAGCACTTACGAATTCGTTTTATTTCTTCTCGCACGAATTTCTGACTGAACTTCAATCATCGAAACTTTTGAAAGAATACTTTAAGGTTTAAGCTCAATATAAAATAATTTATTAAATGTAAATAGAAATTAATTAACAAATTCATCTGTTCTTAATTAAGACTTTTTGAAGAAAGAAAACTCGTTAATCAGCCAAATTTTGTCAATGCTCGGATATTTCAATATTATTAAATATTTACATACATAACTGAACACATCCACATGGTTATCAATTAAATATTGTATGTAAGAACACCTGTGTGTGCAAAACAAAAACTTTATGGTTATTTATTAATATCAACTATCATAAGAAAATCTGATTCAATAAATAAATTAAAAAAGAAACGCAAAATCTAAGAAAGTTAATTTGATGGCAACCTTGAAACATTTTTGCTGAAGACACTACCTAGGAGAGAATAGTTGAATTTCTTTAGCCCTTAATATCTTTTATGTGTGTTCAAATAATTTTTTATAAAATAATGCCTGTACGTAGTAAGACATTTTTTTTCTTTGAAAGCCATATGTGGAGTTTAATTTTTTCATGGCTTCAATAAATAAATAAATACAAACGTAATAGAAATGTTTTAAGTATCTGTTTCAAAAGTCAAAATGTCTATTCTCAGCAGCCAAAGCTTATACTTGCTCGTTTTAAGAAACCCTAAACTAATTTCTTGAAGGCGGAACTTCTGAAAAAAACAATAAATAATAATTTTTTAATTTAATTTAAGAGACAAAGCAAGAAACTTGAATAATAAAAAGTTTTTAATTTTTAATTCAAAAATTTATAATATTATGGATCAACGTGAATAGAAATTGAATCTTAGTCAGAACTTTTAATCAGTGTAGGAACAATTTTGCTGGCTTTCTCCAAATCCATTTTTACTTTCGTATTTTCATCAATATTCGGAATTGGTGACTTAAATCTGTTATGTTCGGTAACGTTTAAATTTTCACTCATTTCTCCGACATTTTTTCCATCATTAATATTTAAAAGAGCAATCACATTTGATTGGTTAGATGTGTAAGCTGCTTGTGCAGCTGAACTTAAATTGCGTTGTGCTTCTAGTAGCTTAAATACAGAAACTTCGTTTTCAAAACTTTTCTTTGTCGTGAAACTTTCATGATGTGCTTCCGAAGTAGCTGCAAAATCATGTCTAAACTTCTTCGGTTCATCATCACTTATTTCAGCTACATGCGATCTTTTGCACGGATTTTGCAAGTTTTGAGCTTTTTTATTGTTGCTTGTTTTATTCTCATTCCAGCACAATTCTGTTAAGTGACCTTTTCTATTGCAGGCTGTACAATAAAGATGTGTCATTCGCCATGCCCGATTTTTCGGTTTGAAAACTGAAGCTAAAGTTGTTTCCATGAAATTGTTATTTTTTTCGAAATTCCGACGTTCACACTCAGCGATGATAATTTTTACACCGTTCTCGAAATTCAAGTCTTCTTCTTTCTTTGAATGATAAGTCAAGATACTTGTTGCTAAATTTTCTGGAACAGATCTTAACAAACACGCGACTTTTACATGCTCTGGAAGCTGAGAACCCATCAAAGTTAATATGTGAAATTTCGATCGAATATCATCAATGTGATTTCTTAATTCCCTCAAACTTGAACCAGAAGAAATCGGCTTGAATGCTTCGTAAACTAATTTCACTTTTGTAATAGCAGCACCATGGAAGAACTTCTCACGTAAGATTCTAAGTAGTTGTATTCCATTGTTTTCTTTCAATAGCGGCGCGACACTTGCGAGCACGTTTTGAGATATTGAATACACAATTTTTCGAAGTGACTTCTTTGCGATTTCTAGTTCAGCGTTGCTATAATTCTTTTTATCGATGTCTACCCATAAATCCAAATCTGTAAGCACAGCTTCTATTTGGAGACTCCATGGGTAATAGTTTTCTTCTCCAGTTAATTTTTCAATATCATTAGTATTGAGGTCGGCAGACATGATCGAAGGTAACTTTGCAAAAAAAATTCTGATGCTTGACAGGTTTCAATTTTGCTTGTGGATTTTTATTTGGTTAACTTCTGTGTGAAATAATATTTTCAATAATTAATTAACATCGTTCCTTATATCTCTAGAACTGAGAATTTAAGAGAAGAAAAAATTAATTTAATAAAGTTCCATTTCAAAGAAAAGCTCTAAATGAAACTTATTTTTAGATGAACAAATGTTTTTATACTTTTTTCGTAAGATTGTATGCGGTTGAAGAATAAAGTTTATCAGCAAGTAACTTTCTATGTGTGATAATTTAAATACACGAATGTGCATACATATGCAGGCAGCACGACTTGTTCCAACAGATCTCACACCGTTCTGTGTTCGCCATTCGTTTCACTTATTATTACCTATTATTAAAGTGGAAGGCGGAGTTTCTCATTATTATTTTCGGCTTTGTATTGATAATACAATTGTAAATTCCCACTATGAGTATTTGAGACTGTTTATCATCCCTTATACTTTGTAAGTTCTTCATTATCTGATCATTACGAAGTGCTTGAAGAATAAATGCGATAAACTATTTGTTGTCAGGACTATAAGTGAGTAATGTCAGTAGAAAAGTTCTGTTTTAGTTTTGAAGCTTCTTTATTCAACTTAACTTTGGTGGCTGATGAGACAATTCAGAATTGCAGTAAACTCTTTTTGCTTTACGACGCAAGATCATCAAAATTAGTCCATTGCGACAGCGTGGAAACATTAACTTCTCTTCAATGCTCAAATGTCTTGCTTAAATAATATTTTAATGATTTTTTTTTATACTTTCTCATTGATTGTGATTTGTATCATGATTTTTGATTAAATTATCAGTTCCCCACGCGATCATTTATTAGACTTTAATACATCGCCTTGTAGTGCGGTATATTAATGAACATCATGTCTGTCACAGGAGAAACTTACTGGAAACTCTGAACTTGAATAAAACTTTTATTCCAATGCCAGCGGTTGATCCGAGAATGTGATTAACATCTTGCAGATGAAAAATTTCCAATCATAATCCAATATATGATTAATTATATAATTCTTGTGTTTTCAGGTCACTCACAGTTCGTTGTGGCAGCTGCACTAAAATGAAAATTGCACCTGCATCATCAAATGTTAGCAAATGTTTTCATTTTTGAAAAAATGCTTGTCAGAACATCGATAAATTTCATTATTTGTTAAGAATACTGCTTACAACTACTTATTCGAAGGTAAAACAAATAACGAAATAAAAATGTTTAATAAATAAATGTCTAATAGTAGAATGTTCATATTCAGATATTTTTAATTTGCTAAAAGAACAACAGAATGTTTACTTCCATGATGTTTCAATAAACGGAGTATTTTATCAGCATTATCAACGTACGTGCCAAGGTTGGAAATTTTTTTTAGTCTGTATGGTTTTTGTAGAATCTCGAATGATGACTCTTCGTGTATCAACAAATACGCAATTTCCAACCAGACATTCTTACACAATTATATAAACCAGTAAGCAATATAGGTGACACTTAAAAATATCTGTTAAATGTTATCATAAGTCGTACGGCAACTTTGTGAAAAATAAACTCATTAATAATGTAAACCTTATGATGAATTTAGGTTTTTTATAAATGTTGAAAGGAAATGAAAAAGACGCGTTTTCTGACTTTGATCCGCTTCTTCTATTATCAGCTTATTATTTCTTTTTATAAGCCACGAACCCTAAACATATTCATCAAATCTTTCTCCCTAACTTCCGTTTATTGTTGATCAAACTGTATGGTTTGAAATATTTTAATATTGTCAATGGAAACTGATAAAAATTGAAAAACAACTTTTTGATATGAAATAAAATATTATCCTTGCAGATCTAATATAGAGTTCATCAATAATTTATTAATTTCCAAATCTGTTCAAAACGCAGTTTACAAGACTCAAATTTTATGTATCTACCATCTTATATTTGATTGATTTCGAGAACAAACTTATCTAATAAATTCAGTAATTTAAAAGTTTTTCGTCAAAAATCAAATAGTTTCTTTTTGTATTTGTTCAATTATAAAATTTATCTACTCACTTATTGTGTAACGAAAGCACGAATACGTGTAGAGGGATGAGTTGAAAAAACCAACACTTTTCAGAACATTAATATTATTAAATGAAACAACACAAAGAAAATATCTTTTTAGTATTTTCTGAGTATTTTTATCTACATAATGTGGGAATGAATCCATTTAATAAAATATTATTTGAACATGTCGGTTGTATGAAACTGAACTTTTTATAATTTTACGAGATTTCTTTTGAGTTCGACTCACCTTGCAAGACTGACAAAAGAAAGATTACTAAACTAAAAGTAATTTCATCTCCCTTTGTTATGAAAGCTGAGAAAAAATTTCTTAAAAGTTTCATGACCTTAGTCAACAAAAAGCCATTCAATATTTTACTTTTATCTTCTTTCACTTAAATCAAAATTTTAAAATAGTTTTGTAAGCAGAAATGCAAAATTAATTTTTCCATCAACCTTAATATTTATATTTCTATCCCCCTAAAATATTAAAATTCAAATTTTCAAAGCTCTCTCAAAGTTACTTATATACAAGAAAGCTTTCAAATACGACGTAAGTTCTTTCAAATTAGAATAAAAGAAAAGAAAATAATGGACACGAAAATAAATGTAAAAGAAATGTTCAGATTAGGAACATGAAAAAGAACTTATGAAAGATTTATTGAGAATGTTAAGCATAATTCTGATGATACAAGCTTCAGTAGCGTGGCATGTATTTGATTCAATCTACATTCTCTCTTTCTATTCTTTCACTTTCTAGTTATCAAACTAATAACTTTTATGAAAATTAATAATGGACTTATCTAATAGAAAGTAAAGAAAAATTGCATCAACTTTTATGTTCAAATCTTGAGTTATTCCGTCCTTAGAAACTTCACTTCATAATCACAGCAAAAACGATTTCTTAATTATCTCAAGAATAGTGACTAATGCAATATTTGTGATTTTATATTACAAAAATTACTTCCTATAACGAAATACTTTCAGGAAAAACAGTGGAAAAAATAGATTGAAATGAATTTTCATTAAAATTTAAGAAATGTCCTTCATACAGGAAAAAATTTAAAAGTGCGATTTAATTAAAAATGCTGGCATGTTAGTCGAAGGTTTTAAATGCATTTAATCAGAAACTTGATTGTTTAATGTTTATAGACGAGCATAAAAAGCTACAGCTTCTCACCTTCTATCAGCTACGACGGCTACTAGTGAACTAAATTTCAATCGCGTGCACCATCCTAGTTTGTTATTTCTTAATATTCTACTTTACTCCAATATCACATTTCGTAAGTTCAATGAACCTCAATGAAAATCACTTCAAATTGGATATCTCATTTCGAAGTCACGTCTTAAAATGCAATAATTTATGTTCAACTTATTTGCTGCTTGACACAGTGCATCCAACTGAACTACACTCGATCTTGCTGCTTTATTTCTTATTTGTTCCAGTTCAATCAACTTAAAGTCAACAAACACCAAGTGCTATGTCGCAATTTTCATACGCACGTGCACTGGCGTCATACATCTGGAATCGATTTCCGATTTTACGACTATGAAATTCTTGAAGCATAATTTGTTCCACTTTATTTCGATTAAAGTTTTGTGCAAAGAGATTTTCCAAGACATGGCTACATATCTCGAAGTTTCCAGCAGTTAATTGAAATGTTTATGGAAGCAGATGAATCCTAAAATGAGAAAGATTTCATTAATAAAAATTAAATCGAGTTAAATTTTATCAAGCCCACTGACCCTCATGATGGTCGAAAGCACGAAAGCTACATAAATGTTGACAGACACTTCTGCAGAAAACTCCCAAAAAAGATTATTTATGAACATCGAACGCCTTTGGTAATGAATTGAAATCATATTCAAATTTAAGCCACTGTTTCCAATGAATGATGATCCAAATGACGTGGACATGTAAACACCCTGCAGTTTTTTAATTAAGCAACCAATTATTTTATAACCAGAAAAAGATTAACCTTACATTCAGAAACCTTCCTTGGATGATTAAAAATCTGTGCAGAAGCTTCACTAACTTTGGCAATAATATTCTTGCATTGAAGAATATTTACACTTGTTGCATCAGTGACCTAAAAAATATTATCACGGCACATGTAACAACCTGGGAATCTCAAGATCCACAATTCCAGCTTTAATAGAAGATCGCTACTCATTCAATCCATCTTCATCTACATTCAAAATAATTCGTCTTGCGAAAAATCAGAATTTTTAATAAAAAGAAAAAATAAATGCTCCGAAGCATAAATTATTTAATTTCACTTCCGATCAGTTTGACACACGACACGGAACTAAATTTACTGAGGGAGGAGAATTATAATGTCGCACATGAGGTGTCGCTGCTGTCAAACTTCCCATAAGAATTCAAATAAATTGGCGGAAAAATAATTGATAATAAAAATTTATCCTAAAAGAATCTCCTTTATTTTACAAATATATCAACATCACAATGTTATGTAGCAAAAATTAAAATTGTGGAATTAAAATTATCGCTTAAAACCCTTAAAATTTTGGAATATAAAGCAACAAACTATGATTATAGTCAATTTTCAATGAACGGAAATGAATTTTAAAATAAAGGGTAGCAAAAGCATAAATTTACTGAATTGTCGAAAAGAACATATAAGTTGTGGTATTTTTTTTATCATCCGAGGTAATTTTCTCTCTTTCGTCAATTATTCCAACTTTCCTTTTTCTCAATTAAAAAAATTCTTGTTTTTTATAGCAAAAAAAGTTGTGATCGTAACAAGTTCAGATGTTAGTGTAGTGCCATCTGGTGTTCGACCCATTAAACTTTTCTTCAAGCATATTTTAACTTTTTTTTTACAAATCTGTAAATGGAAGTGTAAAAAGCAGGCAAACTTATAATTAAACATGAATTATCCGGAAATGCAATGTTGAAAAATTTTAAATTATTGAATTAAGTACCACATGAAAACTTTCTCGGCCTCTAACGTAACCATGTTCTTGTTTTGAAAGCTCCAAAAAGCTTCAAAATATGCAAGAGCTTTTAAAGGCTTCAAAATTAGCAAAAAAATTTAAAAGTTTCAGAAAGTCCAAAAGCTTTTTTTAATTTTCTCTTCCCTCAAAACATATTTTTCTATCTATCTTTTTTCTATCTACTTTTCTATCTTTTTATACAAGAATTGATGAAGAAATATGAAAAATTTTTGGATTATCGGTTTTTTAAATTTATTAAAAGTTGAAAAGTGTCACAAATAAGTATTTAAAATTATTATCGTCCTTGGAAGTTTTCAAACCAGGATAACAAGCGATCAAAATTTCTTTCTTGGAATTCAAAGTTTCGTTGCATGTATCCTCTGAAGTATTCAACATCAAACACAGAATCTTCTGGTAAGAATCGAACGAGATCAAAGATCTGAAATATTACACAAAATTTTAATGTTTCTTTTTGTTAAAAGATGAAATTGCAAAAAATTACTCTTTCAGCTTGTTCTTGTGTATTTGTGAATATAGAAAGCTGTCTTATTATGCTGACCAAGTTGAAGCCTCTGCATAAAAATAAAAAGATATTAATTTCATAATTTGAAAATAAAGAAAATATTCATCATACAGCGCATTCATTTCTTCATAGTTTGTTAAAATAAAATCAATTGTCATGTTATACGATACTTCATGCTCTCCAGCAAACCTTTCGAGTAAAACTTGTCTTTCAGGGAATCGTAAATTACTCGTTATGTCAATGATTTGATTTAAAAGGAATCCTAATAATTGTCTATCTTGACTGCACAAAAGATCAAACATATCATTGATTCGTTCAACCTCATTTTGTAAGAGAACTTCGTTATAAAAGTGCATCCAAACTGTTACGTTTGCTGACATGAATCCATTGCAACGGAAAGTAAATTCAAAATCCGTTGCTCCGACAGTCATCACATCAATTAAAGTGTTTAATGAATCTTCTAAACATCTTTCAACACCTGACAAACAACTCCAATAATTGATAACATCAATTGCCTTTCTATCAGTTATTTCTGTTTGTCTGTAAACAGGAGCCATTACGTTTTGAAAGAAGTTCAAGAACATTGAATGAATGATTGTGCCTCGTTTAAATATTTCCATAGTAAAAAATCCTGGTTCCGCTCGAATCCAAACATGGGGATTCTGTTCCATTGACAAATATCTCATCAAATCTAACATTGGAACGGGGCTCAAATTATATCCATTGGAAATAACTCTGTTCAAATCAGCAAACAAAGTACCACGATTTAAGAAAGGAATGACTTCGTGATCAATTAATAAAGCGTCTGTAATCATTCTCCACATCGTTTCATCATAGCCTGTTATGTAATATCCTGTGTCTCGAAGGTTGAATATTACCCAATCATCTTGATTCCATGTTTTACTAGCATTTTCTCTTGAAAGCTCGACATTTCTTGTTGTCATCCATAAATCTGCTGTTGTGTCATCGAAATTGGGATTGCTAGCAGTAGCGTAGTTTATGGGAATGTTAAACAATTCTCTATGGAACGTCAGAAAACCTTCTTGTGTCAGTAAAACGCCTTGATCTGAGTGACTAACAATCAATATGGGATATCCACGAATTTCAAACCATGGTCTCATCATTGCAGCAACATCGAGAGAATCATTTGGAAAGTCTTCATCAAAAGCTCTTTGCAATCCAACATAAAGATCTTCTGGTGATGCTGAATCAAACTGCATATCATTTAAATAGTTTGAAACGCCTTTTGTCCACGTTGATTCTGTTAAAGTCTCTAGAAACATTCTAAGAACAATCGCACCTTTGAAGTATGTGTTGAAATCAAATTTATTAATGACATCTTGAGGTGCTTCAACATATTCGTTTAGCGGAGGAACTAATTCAAAGATATCAACCATCATTGCGTAATCAAGATAATCGATAAGAAATTGTTCCCACTGCCGCTTCTCGGGAAACACGATATCATTAAGAACATTTTCATAAAGTGTTGCAAATCCTTCGTTCAACCTGATATAAATTTTTATTTGAAATATTTTCATAAATTTTATATCATTCAAGTACTTACCAAAGATACGACCAGGAAATTGGTGATACCAAATTAGCGAAGAATATGTGCTGATAAAAACAAAAAAGAATTCATAAAACGCTTCAAAAAAAAATCAAAAGTCTTACCGAATATTCGTGAGCAATCCGAATTTCTCGAATGTGTTGATCAAATGAATCATTTGTCAATTGAAGAAGAATTGGTTCACGATATGAAAGTAAACCCCAATTGTTTGCACCGTCACTAGAAAATTCAGGCATTGCTATTTGATCACTCTTGGGAAATGAAAATGGGATATTGAATAGATTTTCCATTTCTCTTAACATTCTTTCCCCTAATTCAAGTCCATTTTGAGCTTGTCCTTGTGCAATAGCATCAGGACGGGCGAACACATGCATTGGTAAGACAGCATTTCCATTACCAACAAATCCAAAGTTCGAGACAACAAACGAAAGAAGGAAAGTTGGAATAACTGGAGTTGTTCTAAAAATTGTTGTCATGTAGTCACCAGCGATAATGTCCATTGCAATGGGCATATTGGATGTAGCAATATAGGAACGATGATGGTAAATTGATAAGTCGATAGTTGTACGATATCTTATTTCGTCGTAACATGGAAATGCACGACGTGCAAAGATCGGTTGGAATTGCGTAGCTGCAAGCCAAAACATTTCATTTCTCTCTTCATCAAAATAATATGAACGGAAGAAACCACGATCCATAAAGAGTCCTAATATTCCCAAGTAAGTTATTTCCACAGTGAGTTCTTGACCCGTGGCTAATTCATCACCAAGATGGATTATTAAGAACTCAGTATTACTTTCATAAACATAGTCGACACTTGATGGAATTTGACTTCCATCTGGATTTAATAAAAATATTCTTTGAATTAACATTTGACCAGCATGAAGTGTTATAGTGTTTGAAGCCTCTAAAACTCTGATATCGATTCTAACAATTCCAGCAAATGTAAAGTCTGCTCGATGAATCTCAGTACTTAGGCGAATGTTGTAATGTAGTGGAATTGTATTATTAGGTAATCGATAACTATTCTGAAAATTAACATTCGATTCTGATCTCAACTGGTTTTCATATTTCTCATTTAAAACTTTTGTGGGATCTTTTTGTGTCAGTGCCATTTCTTTTAACATTTGTTGTGCTTTGAAGTTGTCTCGAATTTCATCATCCAACAAAGAATATGAGTGGACATTTATAATAACTGTAAACAGCAAATATAACTTTAACAAATTCAACATTTTACTTTTGATTTAGCAGACAAAATTTTAAAACTTTTTATGTTTCGAAAATAAAACAGCAACTGACTTGTTTGCGTTCAACTTTTTGCCGAAAAGAAGTCTTATCCAAAACTGATAATTTGCTCTTGAAGTTTCAAGTATCCTGATTATACTTAGATAATTTATTTCTTCAAGTGCTAATTGTAATGAAACTCAAGAGATTTTCTTTGTGATATCAATGATAAGAGTCTTAATGGAATTGGAGTCAAAGTTATGTAAAATGTGTGTCGAGGATGTAAAATCACAACTTTAATTTAAATCACAGCTTTTTAATTTTTCTTTAATACAATGTAAGTAGATATACGTCAAATATTTTGTAAATTGTAAAATAACGTTTTTAGTATATTTGTTATTGAGCATTAAATATTTACTTGGTTTAAATTTCCGTAAACATTTTTAGAAGGGAAATTTTAGAAGCAAAATAAAATATTTTTTAAGAGTTGTATGATATGTAGAAAACTTTATACGCTTAGACACAAGCTTACACATATGAATAAAAATTGAAGTAAATAACTGAACGATCTGTTTTTAATTTTACTCTTACATAGTTACTTTGTCCTTGCTGCAGAATTATTTACAGATGTCAAAAATAAAAAATTGCTCAATGTTTTTGCGTCATGTTAATTCAAGAACGTGCGTTGTTCAATGATTATACAAGTGTTATTCAATATTAACTAAGAATTCATAAACTATCATAAATTAAAACGACGTATTCTTACTCTTTATCAAACTAGCTCAAACTATTGAAAATGATTTATCGAAAGGATATTTTATTTAGAAGAAAGATATTTTAAAAGTACATTGGAACATGATTTTATTTAATTTTTCATGTGAACATTTCAAGATTCATAATATAAAATTTTTATTTAAAAATTTTCCACGTCGACATTTTAACAGAATCGACTGTTCTTCTTGCACATTTCAATCAGCCATTTAGCGTATAATGTGTTAGTTGGGGAAAGATTTTTCCAGTAAATTGAATTTGTTTCCAACAAGTTAATCTGTGAAAGATTTTTAACGAAATCAGACTATTGTAAAGATTAAGTCTAAATAAAAAACTTACATTGGGAGGTGGCACAACACGTCTGAACTCGCCCATGTTCATGTGTTCCCAGAAAGCCAATTTCAAGTCATATTTAAAGCTGTCCGACATGCAATTCAAACAAAGATCACATTGACTGGAGGCACAAGTTTCGTTGCATGGTCTGTTCAAACATATATCAGGTGTTACACTGATGCTGTGATCATTCAAAACGAAACGAGATTCATCCTCTGTGAATTGTCCCACACTCTTGTCACTGATAGTCGTTCCCATACCAACAAGATTGAGAAAATTATAAACGACATTTTCATAAATTATTTTTTGACCTCTCCTTTTTGGATATGCTTCCAGATTTGGACTCATGTTGACTTCCATCAAGTGAAGTTTAAGTTTCGCATCGAGCATAAAATCAAATCGAACGAGTTCAAAAAAATGATATTTCCCGTTTGCTGCATTTAGTTCTTCAACTTTTTTCAACATTTTGGGTGCTTTTTGTAGGACTATCGTACTTATGGCATCTTCAATCTGATCATCAATGATTTTTGGATTTATTCCCTGTTTCATGAAATGTAATTGAATTGGTTCTTTTTCAAGATACCCATGATCAGTGATTTTTTTTATGAACGGAAATCTTAATCCAGGAATATAATTATCAGTGATGACATACGTGTCAGGATCATCAAAGTTGTTTGGGTTGTAGGGCTTCTCACAGAATCTCAAATTGTAAGTTTTATCGTAGTAATAAACCCGCAATGGATCGATAGAAGATATTCCAGCATACATATTTAAGTCGAATTTGTGGCCATTGATAAGATAAGGATCTTCAACAAATACTTGGGCAAAAAACTCTTCGCGAATATTGTTGGATCTTGTGAAATTCATTTCTTCTACTGTCACTATTGACACACCACGATTTGCTTTGTTTTTCCGAACGAATCTTACATCTGGATGGTCCTTGGCATAACGTTGTATGGATAATTTATCTTCGAAACCTTTTGGTACATATTTTGAATCTGTATAAGTGGCAAGATTTGACTTTAAAGTCAGAAAAGGCATTCCAGGAATGTGATTATGTCTCTGATGATCCTTCCAGTTTGAAAAATTTAAGTTCAAAGGCGAAATGCCATGATAGCTCCAAATGAAATCCCAATCATAATGAGGAGCATGTGGGTGCAATGGTACTTCTTGATAGCCTAACTTTTCTATAACATTTCTGATTGATTCAAACCGTTTTGTGTTGTTATCTGTTTTAAAAAGGCAAAATTTCAGTTGTTTTCTTGAATTTTCTTCAGTATTTGGAAAACTCTGATTTGAAATCGACAAAAAATCATGACTTTCTTGCATCTTAGAAAGTGCATTTGTGTTCTCAATTATTTTTTCAATTATTGACTTGTTAAGTAAAATATTCGTGATGAATATTGAAATGATTGAAAAGCCTGCAAAAATTATGGATTTAGAATCCATCACTGAGCTCTTAGAAAACGTTTTTATTTTTCAATTGCTAAATTATAACTGAACAGAATTAAACTGAAGTTGCTAAGGTGTCTATTTTTTGACTTTAATATTGAAAACGGAAAATGTAGTGTTATGTCTCGCACGTACTCTAAGCACNTTGATTTAAAAAGTTTTCCACGTCGACATTTTAACAGAATCGACTGTTCTTCTTGCACATTTCAATCAGCCATTTAGCGTATAATGTGTTAGTTGGGGAAAGATTTTTCCAGTAAATTGAATTTGTTTCCAACAAGTTAATCTGTGAAAGATTTTTAACGAAATCAGATTATTGTAAAGATTAAGTCTAAATAAAAAACTTACATTGGGAGGTGGCACAACACGTCTGAACTCGCCCATGTTCATGTGTTCCCAGAAAGCCAATTTCAAGTCATATTTAAAGCTGTCCGACATGCAATTCAAGCAAAGATCACATTGAGTGGAATCGCAAGTTTCGTTGCATGGTCTGTTCAAACATATATCAGGTGTTACACTGATGCTGTGATCATTCAAAACGAAACGAGATTCATCCTCTGTGAATTGTCCCACATTCTTGTCACTGATAGTCGTTCCCATACCAACAAGATTGAGAAAATTATAAACGACATTTTCATAAATTATTTTTTGACCTCTCCTTTTTGGATATGCTTCCAGATTTGGACTCATGTTGACTTCCATCAAGTGAAGTTTAAGTTTCGCATCGAGCATAAAATCAAATCGAACGAGTTCAAAAAAATGATATTTCCCGTTTGCTGCATTTAGTTCTTCAACTTTTTTCAACATTTTGGGTGCTTTTTGTAGGACTATCGTACTTATGGCATCTTCAATCTGATCATCAATGATTTTTGGATTTATTCCCTGTTTCATGAAATGTAATTGAATTGGTTCTTTTTCAAGATACCCATGATCAGTGATTTTTTTTATGAACGGAAATCTTAATCCAGGAATATAATTATCAGTGATGACATACGTGTCAGGATCATCAAAGTTGTTTGGGTTGTAGGGCTTCTCACAGAATCTCAAATTGTAAGTTTTATCGTAGTAATAAACCCGCAATGGATCAATAGAAGAAATTCCAGCATACATATTTAAGTCGAATTTGTGGCCATTGATAAGATAAGGATCTTCAACAAATACTTGGGCAAAAGAGTCATCAAAATATTTGCCCGAACTCGTGAAATTCATTTCTTTTATTGTCACTATTGACACACCTCGATTTGCTTTGTTTTTCCGAACAAATTTTGCATCTGGATGTTCCTTGGCATAACGTTGCATGGATAATTCATTTTCAAATCCTTTTGGTACATATTTTGAATCTGTATTAGTTGCAAGATTCGACTTTTGAATAATAAATGAGATTCCAGGAATGTGATTAATCTTCTGATGATCCTTTAAGTTTGAATAATTTAATTTTAATCTAGGCAGACCTGGGAAGCTCCAAATGAAATCCCAATCATAATGTAGGTCATGTGGATGTAATGGCACTTCTTGATAGCCTAACTTTTCTATAACATGTCTGATTGATTCAAAGCGTCTTGTGTTGTTGTCTATTTTAAAAAGACAAAATTTCGGTTGTTTTCTTGAATTTTCTTCAGTATTTGGAAAACTTTGATTTGAAGTCGACAAAAAATCGTGACTTTCTTGCATCTTAGAAAGTGCATTTGTGTTCTCAATTATTTTTTCAATTATTGACTTGTTAAGTAAAATATTCGTGATGAATATTGAAATGATTGAAAAGCCTGCAAAAATTATGGATTTAGAATCCATTACTGAGCTCTTAGAAAACGTTTTTATTACTCAATTGCTAAATTATAACTGAACAGAATTAAACTGAAGTTGCTAAGGTGTCTATTTTTTGACTTTAATATTGAAAACGGAAAATGTAGTGTTATGTCTCGCACGTACTCTAAGCACAAGAATAAAACATCCTATAACTCACACGCACAACATTCCGCATCATTCACACTACCACAAACTTAATTCACAACTTTTTTCACTTACTTTGAAATGATACAACAAATATTCACCACATGATTGTTAATAAAAAGAATATTATAACGAGTCAGAATATTTATTAATTAAGGTAATATATTTATTGTTTATAAAATGTTTATTATTTCAAAGCTTTTTAATTTTTTTTAATAAGATTGAAATATGCGTGAAATAGTTTGTGAATGATAAAATAANATATGCATTTGAAGTAACAACGTTAGGTTGATATGTTAGGGTTCAATTGATAAAACGTTAATTTTCGCTGATTTCTCATGGAAATGCCTATCGAATTGCCAACGGAAAAGCATCACAAAGCAAACTTATGTCGCCGACGTGTAGCGTGTGTGCTACTCGGGACTTAATCTTTCTTAATGACTTATTTACAAACGTCAAAAATAAAAAATTGCTCAATGTTTTTGCGTCATCTTAATTCAATAACATGAGTAATTCAATGATAATAGAAGTATTATTCAATATTGACAGACAATTTATTAACTGTCATAAATTAAAACGACGTATTCTTACTCTTTATCAAACGTGTCTCTTAACGAAACTTGTTCAAACTATTGAAAATGATTTATCGAAAGGATATTTTATTTAGAAGAAAGATATTTTAAAAGTACATTGGAACATGATTTTATTTAATTTTTCATGTGAACATTTCAAGATTCATAATATAAAATTTTTATTGAAAAGTTTTCCACGTCGACATTTTAACAGAATCGACTGTTCTTCTTGCACATTTCAATCAGCCATTTAGCGTATAATGTGTTAGTTGGGGAAAGATTTTTCCAGTAAATTGAATTTGTTTCCAACAAGTTAATCTGTGAAAGATTTTTAACGAAATCAGATTATTGTAAAGATTAAGTCTAAATAAAAAACTTACATTGGGAGGTGGCACAACACGTCTGAACTCGCCCATGTTCATGTGTTCCCAGAAAGCCAATTTCAAGTCATATTTAAAGCTGTCCGACATGCAATTCAAACAAAGATCACATTGAGTGGAATCACAAGTTTCGTTGCATGGTCTGTTCAAACATATATCAGGTGTTACACTGATGCTGTGATCATTCAAAACGAAACGAGATTCATCCTCTGTGAATTGTCCCACACTCTTGTCACTGATAGTCGTTCCCATACCAACAAGATTGAGAAAATTATAAACGACATTTTCATAAATTATTTTTTGACCTCTCCTTTTTGGATATGCTTCCAGATTTGGACTCATGTTGACTTCCATCAAGTGAAGTTTAAGTTTCGCATCGAGCATAAAATCAAATCGAACGAGTTCAAAAAAATGATATTTCCCGTTTGCTGCATTTAGTTCTTCAACTTTTTTCAACATTTTGGGTGCTTTTTGTAGGACTATCGTACTTATGGCATCTTCAATCTGATCATCAATGATTTTTGGATTTATTCCCTGTTTCATGAAATGTAATTGAATTGGTTCTTTTTCAAGATACCCATGATCAGTGATTTTTTTTATGAACGGAAATCTTAATCCAGGAATATAATTATCAGTGATGACATACGTGTCAGGATCATCAAAGTTGTTTGGGTTGTAGGGCTTCTCACAGAATCTCAAATTGTAAGTTTTATCGTAGTAATAAACCCGCAATGGATCAATAGAAGAAATTCCAGCATACATATTTAAGTCGAATTTGTGGCCATTGATAAGATAAGGATCTTCAACAAATACTTGGGCAAAAAACTCTTCGCGAATATTGTTGGATCTTGTGAAATTCATTTCTTCTACTGTCACTATTGACACACCACGATTTGCTTTGTTTTTCCGAACGAATCTTACATCTGGATGGTCCTTGGCATAACGTTGTATGGATAATTTATCTTCGAAACCTTTTGGTACATATTTTGAATCTGTATAAGTGGCAAGATTTGACTTTAAAGTCAGAAAAGGCATTCCAGGAATGTGATTATGTCTCTGATGATCCTTCCAGTTTGAAAAATTTAAGTTCAAAGGCGAAATGCCATGATAGCTCCAAATGAAATCCCAATCATAATGAGGAGCATGTGGGTGCAATGGTACTTCTTGATAGCCTAACTTTTCTATCACATGTCTGATTGATTCAAACCGTTTTGTGTTGTTATCTGTTTTAAAAAGGCAAAATTTCAGTTGTTTTCTTGAATTTTCTTCAGTATTTGGAAAACTCTGATTTGAAATCGACAAAAAATCGTGACTTTCTTGCATCTTAGAAAGTGCATTTGTGTTCTCAATTATTTTTTCAATTATTGACTTGTTAAGTAAAATATTCGTGATGAATATTGAAATGATTGAAAAGCCTGCAAAAATTATGGATTTAGAATCCATCACTGAGCTCTTAGAAAACGTTTTTATTTTTCAATTGCTAAATTATAACTGAACAGAATTAAACTGAAGTTGCTAAGGTGTCTATTTTTTGACTTTAATATTGAAAACGGAAAATGTAGTGTTATGTCTCGCACGTACTCTAAGCACAAGAATAAAACATCCTATAACTCACACGCACAACATTCCGCATCATTCACACTACCACAAACTTAATTCACAACTTTTTTCTCTTAAACTGAATTAATACAATAACTTATCACCATATGATTTTTAATAAATAGGATATTATAAGAAACCCACGTGATATTTAATAATTTATTTCAGGTAAATTACCTACCATTGACGACTTAAAATCTACCAAGCAAAAAAACAAAATGTCTAACGACAAAGATGGAGCGAGTGATGATGATATTCAACTTAACTTGACGCCTTATTGACGATAGTGAAGTCTCAGGCAGCAACTCTAAAAGCTCTCATGAATTCGTGTATGATCGCTATCGCGATACATATTACGTTTGAGAAATGGTTCTCAAAATATCTTTTCAAAGATGATGCGGAATGACTCGATGAGAAAACATATTTACACCAGCTTGGAACGCGTGGATATGAATTTTATCGTGATATTAAAAATCGTGAATAAAAAAAGTCGTTATTGCAAATCAGGCAATACTTATTATTTTTTAGTTCTCCCGAAAAGTGGAAAAATCAGAAACAACCTCAAACCAAGAAATTCTTGACTCAAGTGCATTTCAAAAACCAATTTCATCACCAGAAAGCACAAGAGATTTATTAAATGCACATTTCAAGATTGATTCAAATTCTGACAGCATGAATGAATTTTCAAAAATTGAAGTATTATGTACAATTAAAACGCAACAACGACATGATAAAGAAACTCAAATTAAGATTCAGTCTTAAAGAGACAATATTTCGCTCTTGATTTAGGTAATTGTCTGAAAATTCGGAAAAATTTGATGAAGATTATTTTACTTTTGTCGGGTGTATTTTACAAGCTAGTTAAAAGCATCGATTTTAAAATAATTACTGAAAGAGATTTCAGCAGATACTAAATTACGAACAAAAACTTTTAAATTTGCTAGAAATGCAGAAACTTACTGATGCAGGTGAAAGTTTTTCAGTAGATGATTTTCAATTTTACACCATAGTATCCAGGTATAACATTTGATTACATCATTTAAGTTCTGCTTTTTTCTCATTCTCAATGTAAAGTCAAACAACCAACACCTCACGGTACTCTGAAGGTACTTTTCGTTCGAAATGTTTTTATACTATTACACTTAAAGTCATTCATTCATTCTCATACTGTTCATGTTTGGGACGATCGAGCATAATTAAAGTTTCTTGATCGATTTAAGGTGAGAAAGAAGTAGAGTCTTTTACCGAATTCGGCCACTGTTCAATTGAGGCCACCCCTAATTGTGGTCTCCTTATTTATGAATTTTCAGCACCTCAAAATTATTTTGCAGCAAGAAAAAAAATATTGGTTGAAAGTTTTGGGAGCTGATATCATTTTAGGCTGCTTACTGGGCCTCTAAATGATTTCAATTTCCCAAAATAATTTATGTAATTTCATCATAAAAAATTACCTTTCAAAAACGCCATTTTTTCGTCTCGCTTCAAATTTTTAAGAGGCGAAAAATGGCATTACTTTAAGTTATTTTATTCATTAAAATTCACAAAAACATAGTGAATCATGTGCAGAAATGAATAGATGATGAAGAATTTCATAATAGTTCGTATTAAATGAACTATTAAAATATTTGCTCACACATTTTCGTGATCAAATAAGGCCTTACCATTTTTATATGGAGACGTGTTTGAAAATTTTTTCACCGTTAAATTTTCAAAACGTGAGCAATTCTTAGCATCATGCTAATTATTGAATTAAATTATCAGAAGTTCATTTTCAACATAAATTATAATCAATATAATGTGCTTTTGACATTACTTTTAAATTTCTTAGAATTTTTGATTTATTAACATAAAAAAAAAAATTTCTTAACGTATTTTCTCGATTCAAACACTGGCCTCAAACGATCAAGCAATGTGGCCTCAATTGATTATATATGGACGAATTAAGGACTTTAAGTTTTATTTTCGTGTGACTCAAGTATACGTCGCATATTTTTTCTCTAAAGACAAATTAACTCTNAGGTCCATGGATAGTCGGAAGGTCCATGGATAGTCGGAAGGTCTATGGATAGTCGGAAGGTCCATGGATAGTCGGAAGGTCCATGGATAGTCGGAAGGTCCATGGATAGTCGGAAGGTCCATGGATAGTCGGAAGGTCCATGGACAGTCGGAAGGTCCATGGACAGTCGGAAGGTCCATGGACAGTCGGAAGGTCCATGGACAGTCGGAAGGTCCATGGACAGTCGGAAGGTTCACCATATGTACCTATATGGACGAATTAAGGACTTTAAGTTTTATTTTCGTGTGACTCAAGTATACGTCGCATATTTTTTCTCTAAAGACAAATTAACTCTTTAAAAGTTGATTGATCTTTCAAAACAGAAAAAAGTTAAAACATAAAAAAGTTATTGACTCTCAAAGTCAAGATTTCAAAAAACTGGCTGTTTGACGAATTTTTGCTCTACATAATTAAACATTCAAACATACAATTGTTACATTCAGGCACATTCATTTTCAAGGATCACAACTAAAATTCACTGTCAATCATAACTAATTTATTTAAAAACTCGAAAATTCATCAGTCTCCTACATTCACAAAACATAATTCATTTTAGGGTTTTTTTACACATAACTGTTCAGGATCATTGTTTGATAGGCGACTTCACTATCTTTTGTCATCCACCATTTCCGGCAGAACATTAACATAAATTTAAATTTAATAATTGATGATGTAATTATTTCTGAAACATTCGCACTTGTCCTTATCTTGTTACCTAATTGTTTATAAATTCTTTNCTCTAGCGCCCTCTGGGGTCACTTAATTGAAATATGACATATGAAAAAAAGTTGCAGAATGCATTAAGAAACAACTTTCTCAAACACACCTTGTACCTAAACCTTATAGTTTAAGCTGTAATTAAGCTCTTTCACTTTTTTCATATCTTACATCTATCATGTCATGTGTGAGACATGCTCAAAATCTTTAACGCAATATTTTTGTAAATGAAAACAATAGAACGTTATATATACCATTTTTATAACTTAAACAAACAAAAAGTTTGATCTTTTTTCAGAAATCTTGATTGTAGCTGCAATATTTACATTTTTTCTTAAAGTAGGAATATTTTCGTTGCTCTTGTGATGCTATTTGGAGGCTTAATTAAAACAAAAAATTCCTCTGAGCATGAAAATCTAAATATGTCACAATTTAGTACTTGGTCTTAAGTTACATTTTTAAAAATATTACCGCAGGTTGTTTAATAAGTTTCCGAAAAAATCAAACTTATTGATTTTTTCGTTGCTCCCGTGATGGTGAATTTATTAGTACTTTTATACAGGTCTTTCTTGAGCGCAATACAAAACAAATTGAAAAATTGTAAATGCCATCTTAAACTATGGTATGTTTACTAAAAAGTTGCATCAAAACATTTCCAGAAAGTCGTTGTTTTAATAGAAAATTAGAATGATGCAAAATATCACCTAAATTTCATTATGCATCATTTTTTCTGCATCGCTGAACTTTCATAACGAAAAAAATCGGCTTCAAGTGTTATTGAAAATAATCAATGGATACTTTTAGACACTTTGAAGTATCCTTTGTCAGTAAAAATTAACGAGAGTCACATAGAAATTAATTTAGAAATCTCCATTTTCAAATTTGTGAAATAAAAACCTCCATATAACTGTTCAGGATCATTGTTTGATAGGCGACTTCACTATCTTTTGTCATCCACCATTTCCGGCAGAACATTAACATAAATTTAAATTTAATAATTGATGATGTAATTATTTCTGAAACATTCGCACTTGTCCTTATCTTGTTACCTAATTGTTTATAAATTCTTTATTATTTCAAAGCTTTCTAAGTATTATTTAAGATGTAATATGCGTCTAATATTTTGTAAATAAATTCAATGAATTAATTAAATGCAAAATTTAAAATTAAATAAAAAGCATAATATTTCCAGTATGTATGTTATAGAGCATTAAACATTTACTTGACTTACATTTCCGTAAATAAATGAGTTGGAAATTTTAGAAGCTAAATAAAATATTTTTAAACTGCTTTTTTAAGTAGACAAACAATAATATTATGAGAACTGTAGACGCTTGTACGTGCTTATACGATAGAATAAAAATTAAGTAAATAACTACACGATCTGTTTTTTATTGTACTTTTAGTCTTTCTTGATGAGTTATTTGCTAATGCCAAAAATAAAAAAAAATGCTGATAGGTTTTTCGTTATATTTTCTTAAATTCATAACATGGGTTATTCAAATGGATAATAAAAACGTGTCAATAAAAATTGATCAAAAATCTAGAATAAAGATGTTATAAAAGTACATTAGAACAGGATTTCGTTTGATTTTTCATGTTAACATATCAAGATTTTTGATTTAAAAAGTTTTCCACGTCGACATTTTAACAGAATCGACTGTTCGTCTTGCACATTTCAATCAGCCATTTAGCGTATAATGTGTTAGTAGGGGAAAGATTTTTCCAATAAGTTGAATTTGTTTCCATCAAATTGATCTGTGAAAGATTTTTAACGAAATCAGATTATTGTAAAGATCAACTTTAAATAAAAACTCACATTGGGAGGTGGCACAACTCGTCTGAATTCGCCCATGTTCATGTGTTCCCAGAAAGCCAATTTCAAGTCATATTTAAAGCTGTCCGACATACAATTCAAGCAAAGATCACATTGAGTGGAATCGCAAGTTTCGTTGCATGGTCTGTTCAAACATATATCAGGTGTTACACTGATGCTGTGATCATTCAAAACGAAGCTAGATTCATCCTCTGTGAATTGTCCTACATTCTTGTCACTGACAGTCGTTCCAATTCCAACAAGATTGAGAAAATTGTAAACGAGATTTTCATAAATTGGTTTGTGTGCTCTCATTTTCACATGAGGCTGTAGATTTGGACTCATGTTGACTTCCATCAAGTAAAGTTTAAGTTTTGCGTCGAGAATAAAATCAAATCGAACAAGTTCAAAGAAATGATATTTCCCGTTTGCTGCTTTCTGAGGGACAATTTTCTCAACAATTTCTGGTGCCTTTTGTAAGACTATCGAACTTATGGCATCTTCAATCTGATCAACAATAATTTTCGGATTTATTCCCTGTTCAATGAAATATAAATGAAGCGCTTCTTTGGCAAGATAGCCATGATCGGTGTACTTTCTTATCGCCGGAAATTCTAAGCCGGGAATATAATTGTCACTAATGACATACGTGTCAAGATCATCAAAGTTGTTTGGGTTGTATGGCTTCTCACAGAATCTCAAATGATAAGTCTTTGCATAGTAATAAATCCGCAATGGATCGACAGAAGAAATTCCAACATAAATATTTAAGTCGAACTTGTGGCCATTGACAAGATAAGGATCTTCAACAAATACTTGAGCAAACAAATCGTCATAAAAATTGCCCGAACTCGTGAAATTCATTTTTTCTACTGTCACTATTGACACACCACGATTTGCTTTATTTTTCCGAACAAATTTTGCATCTGGATGTTCCTTGGCATAACGTTGCATGTGTAATTCATCTTCAAATCCTTTTGGTACATATTTTGAATCTGTATCAGTAGCAAGAATTGATTTTTGAATCAGAAATGAGATTCCAGGAATATGATTAATTTTTTGATGATCCTTTAATTTCGAATAATTTAATTTTAACACAGGTAGGCCTGGAAAGCTCCAAACTAAATCCCAATTATAATGTAGGTCATGTGCATACAATGGCACTTCTTGATAGCCTAACTTTTCTATAACATGTCTGATTGATTCGAAACGTTTTGTGTAATTATCTTTTGTGTAAAAACAAAATTTCAGTTGTTTTCTTGAATTTTCTTCAGCTTTGAGAAAGCTCTGATTTGAAGTCGCAAAATAATCGTGACTTTCTTGTATCTTAGAAGGTACATTTGAGTTCTCAGTTTTTTCAATTATTGACTTGTGAAGTAAAATATTCGTAATGTATATTGAAATGATTGAAAAGGCTGTAATAATTATGGACTTAGAATCCATTACTGAGCTCTTAAAATAAGTTTTTATCATTCACTCGCTCAAATATAACTGAACACAAGTTGTTAAAGCGTATATTGCTTTGACTTCTATATTGAAAACAGAAAGTTCTATATTTTTCATCTGCTTAAACAAACTCTTAATGAACTGCCTTATGATTACAGGGAATAGAAATGAATATTTGATACGAATACTGTAAGATACTGAAAAAATACCTAAAAAATAAACTTTATAACATTTGTAGATCGTCGTCTTTCGTATTAAAAATAAGAAAATTTCGCTTATCAACAAAAGTTAACAGCGTAACATAGCAGTCATGTTTTACTAGAGATTGCAGGTTTAATTACCGTTCTGTACGCAGAATATTGGATAAATTGATCTTTATTATTATTATCAATCAAGTTTTAAAATGAACTACATTTGAGAGTGATTGAAGTGACATTTTCTTGTGTGTATCAATATTGTGAGTCATGGAAAACTGTAAATAAGAAAATGTGCTTATAAATAACATTACTCAATAAGGAAAAAGTTGTAAATAAGACATCAAAGGTGTTCACGCGGTGATTTAATTAAATGATGTCCAATGATTAAGTTTTGAAAGATTGTTGTTGAGCGGAAATTTCAAATTGAATCACAATCAGCAGATATGTGCAAACTGATGATATCATCTATAAATTAAAATTTAAAATTGTTTTTTCTTTTGATTTCAAACTTATCTCCGGTTTACCATCATAACTAAAGAATAATCAAAGTCGAACAGTCCACATGTCAGTTTAACAGGTAAATTTTTCACTTGATTCCCAAAAGCTTGCAGTTGTAAAATTGAATAATCTTCCTTAAAGCTCAACTTTGAAATCGACGTTTGTAGACGCTTGCTTTCGGAACTTACTCGATTGCATGCGTATAACATGAACATGACGGTGTATTTTAAGAATATGCCGAAGCATAAACATTCCACCGCATAAGTTTTATTAACATCGTTGAAGTAAAATGCTTTGAATGCAACGAAATTCGAAAAGATCGAGACTAAGAAGTCAGTTGCAACAGATCCCAATGCCAACACTCCAAAGATTTTGTTAATTAGTTGCACACATTTGATGCAATCAAGATGAATTGATTTGAGACTTAAAATGATTGAAGAATTTTCCATATTGTTCGACATGATAATTTTAGACTTCACTTCCAGAAAAAAGTGTTTTCTGTTGAGAAACACAAACATTTACAATCTCCACGAATGACATTAAAATTTTATTAACTTACCTCAATGTTTCATTAATTAAACTAATTTGTAGAGAAAGTAAATAACTGAAAATCATCGTCAAACCCACTGAAAATGAATTTTTCATGAAGAGAATTGAATACATAATTGATGTGCGAGGAATTTTTTCAAATAACTTCTTCATCACTATAAAATGTGTTGTAATAAAAGTGACGATACTCATTATGAACACAATACACATGACTTTAAATCGCTTCCAATTCGGGTTGATATTCATTTTACTGAAAGTGTTTGTCATATTATCAAGTAGAGTTATAAGTTTCCATATGTCGTGTCGAAAGTATAAAGTTATCGTCATGGAGAAGAAAGAGGACAAAGTTCCACCTGCTGCCGCTACACACGTTCCCATTGCAGCTAATATTGAATCTTCAAATGAGGAGAATTGGTAATAAATGCCGAAATAACCCAATGCAATTATAAACAAGAAATTTAAAATAAAACAAATTTTATCAAATATCGTAACTTTAACTTTTCCATCAACAACTGAGAAAACAGCGAAACCAAAAAATTTACAGAAACTTCCCACTTTAATAGCGACTTCACAAATTGAAACTTTCGACATTTTTGAAGCTTTTTCGTAAACTGATTAATAATTTCATTTGCTTTGTTCTTATATATGAGTCCGATTAATTACAATAATGGAGACATAATTTGTGATTAATATTTGTTATCGATTCTACCGTGTTTTTAATTAACTTCATTTTAATTATTTTTCTTTTGAGAAAAGTTCACTCAACTTATCTATTAATTTCTTACAGCAAAATCTTAACAACAAATGTTCTTAGTTAATTATTTTTGCCAATGGTTTTACCATCATTGTTGATTTCTTTAAAGTGTAATCCCATCCCTTCCATGTAAACCAAATTATTCCCTGCTTTGCAGAATCATCAAAAGGATCTCGTAAATAGAGACCGTTCAAGCCTCTGCCACAAGATTTCCACCACCAGCCTCCCTGTAAATATTGATTACAAAAATGTTATTTCTGCTTTGTTCAATTTTCTTTAAATAATATTACTTTTAACATGCTTGCGCAATTCAATGAACTTCTATCATTATCACGATTGTATGTTGAAAATGGGCTGTTATTAGCACCATACGTTAAATCATTAAATGAGTCACCAGCATTTCCTTCATAGCCGTAAACTTCGAGCTTATAATAATCAGCTTCAGAATGAATTTTAAATCGAGAATATTCAGCGTATCTGTAAAAATCATAAATAATTTATAAGTTCATGAATGAATATGTTCATGGCAACCTTTTATTTCCCTCAAAATCCTCAAGCTCAATTCTCAGAGCGTATTCTTCATTATTAGTCAGCATAAAAATATTTTCATTTCCCATCCAGAATTCTTTGGCTGGATTTCCAAATCCCTTCTTGTAGTCCGCCCAATCACGATTAAAGTTTTCTTTTGGTTCGCCAAAATAATCACGTCTCTGAATTACCTACAAAAGATGTTAATAAATAAATTGAATAGACAAGATATATAATAACTTATAAACTAACAGTCCACCCGCCGTCCGCAATTTCTTGTTCACAAAACACTTTTAAAAACCAGAATGTTGTCCCATGTATCTGAAGATAATAAACACCTGATTGTCGCATTCCAATATTCATCAATTCAACACATGAAAATCCCTATAACAGAAATGTAAATAAGTTCTATGATGACATTTCTTAATTAACTTAAAAGATTATTTCACAACTCTTTTTTATTTTCAACTCACTTTGATGTCTTTATTACGCAATGAATCAGTGAAGAAGCTTGTATTCAACATTGACGGTTTATTTTTAATGTCTGGATATACGATTCGACTATTTTTCATTGATGAATTGGTTTTGTTGGTTGTCGCTATGATCATTATTCGTTTCATGTTTTCAAAATTCGAAACAATATCAGACATGGGCGAATTCTGCGGTTTCGTGCAATTTTTATCTTCGATCTTTTCTGTGCCTTTGTTTTTTATTTTGTCCATAACCATAGACAATACTTCATTTATCAAACCAGTTTGATTATTGTCTACTCGTTCTTTCTTTTGAATTTTAATATGTTTTGGAGGAATCTCTCGAGAAATGTTTTTATCTTCATCGAACACATATTGTAAATAATATTTAAGATGTTCCAATTTTTCATTGATTTCGGTGAGATCTTCGCGATGTTTTTCTTCTTCTGAACTTGCTACTGCTTCATGAATATTGCCTTGATTTAAATCATTATTGTGTACATTAATTTGCTTTATCACTTCGTCTTTGCACCGATTTTGATTTTGAATAATCTGATTTGAAACATTAATTTCATCTTTTGATAATTTCTCATAAATTGACATAAACTTTGCATCAAAAATTGGGATAAGCACGTCATTAATCTTGTTACTTAAAATTTCATTTATTCTTCCTTCCAACTCATTGATTCTTGTTGTAAATTTTCCAATATTTTCATCAATTTTTTTATTGATCTTATCCTCTATTGACCAAATAGTTGCCTCCAATCTTTTTGCTATTTCTTCAACCTTAAACTCATTGTCAGCTCTTGTTGTTCTACTTTGTGCAGTTCTTCGTTCTTTACCAATCGTTAAATTAATTAGAAAACCACATAACATTAGCATAAGGATAGAAATTGTATTCAACTTCATTATTTGTCATTTCTGAATGAATGAATGAATGAATGAAAACGAAAATCAACAACACTCCAAACACTTTGACATTAAAACAGATTCACGAAAAATAATTCTGTGTTTTGAGAAGTTCTAAACTCTGAGACTTCTTATTTCGTACTAACGAAAATGAAGATGATGTCTCCAATTAATATTCAAATGAAAAGGAATTTGGTGAGTTTAAGGTGAAGGCTAAGAATGGTAAGCATTGACTTCTTGGGATTCCCTTTGGCATATTAAATTTTTAGGATGATCTTCCAGTTTCTGGAAAAATTTCTTTTCCTTTTATGTGTGAATTAATTTTATCTAGTTGTTATTATAATAAAAAGAAGCTGAATACTGCTCTGCTTCACTGACAGGTAGTCTTGCCCATTTGATTATTTTGATGTTTTTTATGTGTTTGCTATTTAGTTGATTCATTAGAAGATTTAGTGACAATAACTCAATCTTAACGTAGTAGAACCAGTTTTTCAATGATCAGATTAATGTTTTATTATTATTAATACATTTGAAAGTGTTTAGTTAATTTGAATAGCTTTACAAATTATTTAATGAAAATAGATTTGTTAACACGTAAAACAATTATTAGGATCATAATTTTGCTTTTACAAATAAAAGCTAACAAAAGATAATTGAAAATATGTGTTGTTAACTTTTATTAGTGAGATTAGGCAGATTTTGAAAAACAATCAATTAAACAGCTCAACTTTAGAGCCTACAAAAATATTTTTTATTGCGCTAGATTACAAGTTTTTTTATATTGACCCTATCATCATTGCTAAATATTTGATATTCGGGCGTGTTAATTAATTTATGAAAGAATGGTCGGTGATTTGTAGATTTGACACCAATATTTATAAGCGTGATCTTCTCGAATGTTTAAATAACCATCATTGTGAAGAGTCAAACTTTTTTAAGGTTGTAGATAAGTTTCGAGGATTTGTGAAAACATTTGTTCAAGCAATTGTTCCGATAAAATTTTCGCACTGTATACCCTGGCAGGTATCATTAAAAAAACGTGGTTATTTCATCCTTTTGATTATATTGTAATTTCTTCTATTTATAAAAAATGTGAAAAAAAATTCTGTACTTCATGCATATGATACTTTGCACCTCCCATACGATTTGAATCTTGATGTGATTGACAAAATTTGATAAGAAATATTTTATAATTTTGAGAATACAGCTTTATTGCATAAAAAAGATAAATTTTCAATTGTTTTTTCGTTACGAAAATATGAAAAACGTGTCGGCGATTGCAAATTGAAAATAAACAAGAGCCGTTATTTTGTTAAATTCAAAAAACATGTCTTTGATATGAAGCAAAGACACATTTATTTCCTTAATCTAACTCTGATACAGTAATAATGACGTGATCTAATCCCGAAATATATTTTCTTTTTAAACAAAAAGTTAGGAAATAAAAAATATTAAAATAATTAACTGGTTCGTTGGTCAATTATTATTAAGTTTAAACTAACAAACTGTTTATTATCGATTAAATTATCATAAAGGCTATAAAAATAAAATTCACTTTTTTACACGAAATTTAATCGTGAAATTAACTTGTTTGTTAACGTTTGTGCCGATATTCATGTTTAAAATATATCATTAAATTGATTTTAAGTAATACCAATTTAGAGATATCATATTTAGAATCATAGTAATTTGGGTAAATAGATAAACTCTTTAATGGTTTAAACATATCAAAGGATGTTTGAATTGATAATCAAACAATTTATCTGGAAAATCTTAAATTTTATTTGCTAAGTTTTATCTTGCTTATCTCATCGGTAAGATGGTAAGTAGATATATTCAGGGATCATGTCAAAACAATTTCACACTCACAGATATACGTGGAAAACAAAATGAAAATTCTTATTCCATTCACATAAAGCAACAGAAAATTGGAATTTCATGTTTTTTCATATCATGCAATCTTGTGGTGCTTCCATTGGGTTTGTTTGTTTCAGGAATTGAATAAAACATGTCATTTTAACTCCCATCTGTGGAAACTCTCGCTCATAATAAAACAAATCCCATATGTAATGTCATTGAAAGGCGGGCGTGAAAAAAGGAAACATTACGTGATTTTTTCTGACGACAATCGAAAGGCGAAAGTTGTAGATGGGAAGATTTTTTTTCTGTTTCTTCATGTTCAACCACATGGCAAAGACGATGATGGAAATGAGACGGTCTCGGTATTTGCTTTTCCTTTCCATGCTTATAAAACATTTCTACATGATTCATCGTGTATCTACTCCAATCTTCCCTACTTTCTATATGTGTACAATGCTTACATGTACCTAACTGAGAAATGTAGGAAGAATTTTTCTGCCTGTCTGCTTTCAGATGGAAATTATTAACGTCAAGCAAAATGGGAATACATGGAAATTTTCATGAGAAACATAATGCAATGTAAGTAACCTGTTGCAAAGCAACATAAATATTGTGTCTAAATATAAAGTATTCAACTTCCTTTCTGTTTCTCTGTGAATTGTTAATGAGCTTCAAGCTAAAACTACGTGACTATACTCGTACATTTCTAACAATGTGAATCATACGCATATGTATGTTGGTTAAAATCAATGAAAATTAACAAGAAAAGGCCATTATCAAGTTTTATTACAAATGTTAACCTGAACATCATATTTCATGTTTTATGGCTTGATCAGCTACAATCTTAATATATCCAAGGATATTTGTATAGTAAGCAAAAAGATTTCCCAGAAGCAAAGATAATAAGATTTATTACATTAAAGAAAGCGAATAGTAAGGTCGCATTAGTAGTTTATTTATTCGTCTCGTCTCTTCTTCGTCATAGGAAAACTAAAACCAGTAGATATGAAGTTCTATTGAGTTTTCCATTTAGAATATAAAATTGAGCAAACTGATGAACGATAAAGCTTTGAGTATCTGAGACCTTTAGTTAGTAAGCTGAGCTTATGGATTGAATTTCTCCAAGGTGACATTTGTGCAATGATATTAAATTGAAAACTGTCTGAAAATGTCTCGAACAAGATAAATGTTTCAAAAGTAAAAGATTCATCTTTTTTTGTGTTCTTCTTGAACATTATTAATTTCATAATCGATTTAAAATCGTATTTTAATATGTAAAACAACCAACTTCATAACTATAAATTAATATTATTGTCAGGTTAATTCTCGCGAGAGTAACTCAAGAAGTTATACAGTTGCCAAAAATATTCAAAATTTATTCGAAAATATTTATTTGCATTTCATTTCCGGTTGTCAAAATATGTCACATAAATTTTCAATGATTTTTGATGATGTGAAGTGAAGAAATGTGTTTCTACGATTCTATATTTATCTATATGAAAATTTAATTTGAAAAGTGAATATCAACTTTAACAAACTCCAAAAGTTGAAACCATACAAATTTAGATAGCAATAGAATGAGATTACATTGAATAAAATTCAAAGTGTTTCCATATAGATATGCGAAGCCAAAAGAACCGACTTTAATTTTATCAACGGGGATATTGGTTTTCGATTATATTGTTCTTCAACACTTTCCCAATTAAAATTTCTAATCAACTAGTTAGCTAAGCTAACAAACAAGGGAATATTTAATCTAAATAGGAAGCTGAAAATTTTGTGGTCAACAAGCATTAAATTAGAAAATCTCAACATAAATGTTTTCATGAAAAGTCCCAATATGAAAATTTTCCAGGGTTGTTACAAAACTTATTAACATCAACTGACATGATGTCTTAATAATTTAACACTTGATGTGGAAAATAAAAAAAAAGAAGTTTCAAAGTGTTTGCTTTGTTTGTATTTTACATTACTGATGCCAAACTTTTTAAAAAGCGCAGAAGAAAAGAAGAAATTTAACGAAGCACACTACTCAGGTTGAATGAATTTTATTTTTAAATGGATAGCAAAGAGATGTGAAAATGATGTGAAGGATAATAAAATAAATAGTTGAAACTTCTCATGTTTCCAAATCCTTTCTATATTTAAATTCTGGGGCATATCCTAATAACTTGTTGCTTTTTAATCCGAAAATCGCTCTCATGACAACCATTGTAGGTTATTAGATTTTAAAGGGATTTTCATTTACGCTCTATAAACTCGTTAATGAAATTTTGTATCTCAAAGAGCTCTCAGTCTTTTAAATATATTTTTATTTGAAAGCGAGTTAAATACAAATGATTCTCAGAATTGGAAAACAGAAATGAATGAAAAAGAAAATTGTAAGTGTGAAAAAGAAGGTGAAGAAAAGTTTTCTTAAAAAGTTTAACAAAAACTCAGCGGTCGAACAGACTTAAGTAGTTGAATAATGTTTTGTCGTAAAAGAGGGTTCATCGAATCCATTTTACTTTTTGAGACCGGTTGGATTTTTGTCATTGCTAGGTGATATGGATCCGCATAATAATCTTCCTCCAAAGGTGTAGAACAGTATGAGGGCGACACTTCAGTACAGTCGATTAGGCAGGCTTTGAATGGTGTCACATGAACTGTCGATTGATTTGGCTGTAAATGAAAACATGGGAATTTATTTCCATAAATAGAAAGTCTTCAATTTTCATTCACCAGTTTACGAGACTCTAAAAGTTCTCGCATTAAAAACACACAAGTTCGACTGCCAGCAGCAAAATTCCATCGAGACCAAGAAAAGTTGTGTGATAAAGCAAAACATGCCATACATTGGTAGATATGCATTTCCATAACATAATTTTTCTCACAACTGCTTTCTGTGTAGCAAAAAGCATCGTCGTCTGGAAAAACGTCACATGCAGAATTTCTCAACACCTTCATCAAATCTTCAAGCTTCATTGGAGAACCAATGACATTCACAAGAACACTCGGATTATTCGATCCCCCTTGGAGACTATTCAAAGTAATTCCCTTCTCCGTCACCATCACTTCCATGACAAGTTGTGCGGCAGTTAATGTAAAAATAATCGCACCTGGACTGAAAAAGTTTAGGAATTTTCTGTTTTTATTACTTACACGAAAAAGAAAAAAGCAAAAGTTAAACTTTTATTTCAAAAGTAAGGAAAAGGTTTCTTGGAGTTGAAATTTGAAACAGGAAAAGTACGAAAGTAAAGCAATTCAAACGAACGGAAAATAATTAAATTTGATATAGAAATCATAGATCAAAAGTTATTTAAAAATATATTAAATTACATTTTAAACTCTGGCTTGAATTCCCATGATTGGAAAGGAAAGTTGCTATAGCGATTCGAAGCGAAGGCGAAGCATCCCAAACGACCAGTTCGAAATTGTATCGTAAGTTTATCTTCATTAAATTTAACGTCATGAATATCACGAGTACTCCAACGACCCGAACATCTTTTCATATTGGCTTCTTTCACTAAAGTATCGATCATTGCATGAGTTACTGTTTCTTTCTCCTGTTCATCGTTATCGGTGTCAGATTCCGCTTCTGAATCGCCTTCCGATGAAACATCGAGAAGACTCTTTGAATTTGTTTTTGTCAATGATATGCCGGAATCTTTTCTGTCGATTCCCGTCTTTTCATTCACTTCCGTTGCCATCGACAGATTAAAAGACATTTCAGCAATCTTTTTTTCAAATGACGGAATCTCCATATCAATCAAGTCTTCAAGGTCATGCATGAATTTCGAGAACATGTAGACGTTCGATGTGCTTGACATTTGATCGGAATCAACGCTGTACATGCTTTCGTCATTCTCTTCATCACTTGAGAACTCTAATCCCGCTGACAACTCAAATCTTGATCGATCTTTCACCACTTTGAGGATTTTTTTAGTCTTGCAGCTGGGAAAGAGTGAACGGGGTTGACGCGTTTGATAAACGACATCATCAATAGTGTAGATTTTCTCTCTATAACATTTCCGTCCGATGTCGTACGATGTTTTCGCTTCGAATTTGATTTCATAGCCATCGGGTATCAATGGAATGACAAACTCTTCAAATAAAGGTTGCAAATTAATTTTCTTCGGTATGTCAATTAAATTGAAATCTTCCACAATCTTTATTTTCTGTTCCTTCGTTGGCTTGCCAATAACATTTTCTTGTTTCATTTCTTTAGCTTTTTCAGTTTCTTCATCTTTTCTTAATTCTATGTCGTCGTCGACATCGTCGTCCTTACGACTTTTTTGTTTTGCTTGTTCCTCAAGTGATTTTACTTCTTGGAACTCTTCTTCTGACTCGAAGCGACACACAATTGGTGGCTCAAACCATGAGACGGTATCCGGTAAACTGAAAATAAATTACATCCTGAACAGTCTTACAATGTCTTACGACAAGAGATAAATATTACTCAATATTAACTAACACCATCCGTTCCATATTTTCTTCCATGGTCTTTATTTCTAATTCAACTTCTTCTGGCTGGCGACGAGCACCGGGCTTGGGTGGTGGTGGTGGTCGATATGGATAAAACCAGCCTTTCTTCTTCAACTGCACCGGATGAATTACTACGGAAGTCGTAAAATGAATTAAGTTTCAAAAGAATTTTGGGGAAACGAAAACTTTTTCTTCTTATTATTGTTTGTTAGTTTGAGCTTTTCAACCTTTTTTTCTTCTTCCTTTTTTTCGGTTTCCGGGGGAGAAAAATAAAGAAATAAGCTTAAGATAAAAGTGAAAATAAAACTCTTTGATAAATTTTTCACAGATTTAAATTTTTCATAGCTTTCAAAGGATTTTTAAAGTAAAAGTTGATTTAAGCTTTTTAACTTGAATGGCATGAGATGAAAATATTTTAAACACGAAGGAATTTTTATATTAGATGGAAAATGAAAATAGGAAAATCAAAGCAGAGATTGAAACTTTGTTGAATATTTTTAGTAAGGAAATGCGACAAAATTTCAAACCCTGAAAGAAAATTTTAAAACTTTTATCGATAAAGGAAAAATTCTATTGTGCAACCTGCATGAATATTTCCTTGAAATCAATAAAAATTGTTATCAAATTACAAGTTCGCAACAGACCGCCCTCGTCGAATTTTACATCCTGTAAAGGTTGTTCGAGATAATCGATTTGAAAAATTCCTCCGGTGATTTTATGGCTTCTCAAATTCACTTCAAATTCATCAAGTTTGAGTGAATCCCGACCCATCTTGTTACGTTCAATGGCATTCAATTCATCCTCATATTCTGTGTACATCTTGTCGACATCAATAACTCTCGGCACATTTGGTTCATCCGATGCTTCGTCGGGTTTTTCATTGAAAATTTGAAAAAGAGCTTGCTGAAGCAACTCTTTCCGTTTCTTCCATTCACGTTTTGTTGTTTGTCGTAAAGTTAATTTCTTCCTGTTGCTGTCATCGTATTTGAGAATACCGCTTTGACAATAGTCACTTAGATGATCAAAGTTTAACCACAGACCACGAATTGCTGAACTGATGCACTTAATGACACTTGGCAAAAGTAAATTCATGTGCAATATTGGAAAGTCGATGCTTGTCTTCTCATCTTTAAGTTTGTCCTTTGGGTTCCTGTAAAAATGAAATTTAATCTCATAGGAAATATTTCTCAATTAATTTGACATATTTAGTTCACAATATTTACGTTGGCATTGGAAGTGGAACATCCCTAAGAGCATAAATCTCAGTTTTAAATACGAAAGATTCATATTTATATTTTGCTTCAGTTAATCCACTTAGAGTCATGTTGCGTTCAATATTACTAAGTATTTTGAATGTAAACTCATCGATAAACGATGACAAAATTGTGCGGATTTCAAGTTTCAACTTGAAATGTGATTGAACGAAAAGAAAGAAAGAAAAATGAGATAAAATTGGAAATGGAACGTCGTTCACAAGTTGCAGTGAAAAACTTTTATTATCGAAAGGAGAATTTCACTCACTTCTAATAAATCGTCCATTTTAGTGACCGACAACGAATATCGATCCCTAACAACTGCATCGATTTCATCGAGAATGCCAAGCACTTCTTTTGTTCGCTTAGCATACATGTCACCGACTTCTGGTTGAAGTTTTTTAAGATTAGCTCGTGTGAGGTCGACGACTGTTTGATCTTGAGTCAAAATACTCTGCTCGTTAGTCTTCAAAAGCCAATTGATTTCCTTTTTGTTCAACTTCTTGACATCATCAATCCACATATGAATATACTTTCGTAAATCACTTGGATCGTTAGCATTTGGAAGTCCATTACATCGCATATAACTATTCCATTCAGTCTCCAACTTCTCTTCTGCCAATAGACGTTTTATTTCTTCTTTAGATTCTGTTGAAGGAAAATAAGTTATCTAATAAATATTTTGTGTAATGAAGCGTCTTTATGCGTTGAAAGCGTTGAGGAAGTAATGAAATGAATAATGTTACTCTTCAAAACATGAGAGCTTTCCCGCAATTGAACGCGCCGTAATTTATTCTCGACAGCTTCTTGTTCTTGCTTTTTTTTGGCATCTTGTCGCTCTCGCATTTTTCGTTCACGATCTTCTTCCAGCTTTTTTAAACGTTCCTTTTCCATCTCTATGCGAAGTGTCTCAGCTTGCTCAGCTTCAAGCTTCGCTCGTTCTTTCTTACTCAACTTCTTCTTCGCCTGAATAAAATATAAGACACGTGGTGTGCTTATCCGAAAATTTTCTAATTTAAAGTGTCTACTACGTACCATCTTTAATTATTTATTAAAGCAACTGATGAGAGACGTGGGAATAAACCTGTTAGGCAAATAATTTTTGTTTCTGTTTGTTTACTGTTGATAAACAAGAAAACGGATCTGTTGTAGTTAAGGAAACAATATTTTGATACAATGTAATTGTTTAAAATATCGAATGACAAAGCAATTTGATTTGTTTAGTGACCAATTAAATGATATCAATTTGGATTATGTTGTATTTAAAAACTTACTTGACAACCATCAAAATTTAATTTTAAATAAATTAGAAGAAGTGGGAAAATTAAACGCTTAAAGTTCTTAAATTTGCTGAAATATTTTCAATTAATATTTATATCGAGAATATGTAAAATTCTCATTCCACTACAGTTAAAACAAATATATGCTTATGCTTATGCTATGTACATAAGTTTTGCATATAAATATTATAATCTAGAGATTAAAACACTCATTGTTTGACATCATCGTTCGTTCTCAACAAGAAGCGTTTATAATGAAACTGCTGGCAAAGTAATTAAAAATCAATTTGAAAATTGAAGAAACTCTTGAAACTCGTAAAAGGCTTTTGCAACTCAATTTTTAATCCTTAGGAAAATTGCTTATATAGGCAATCTAAGTAACATCGTATCAACATATTCGTGAACAGAAAGGATTATAAAATATCCAATTATTTCACTGCGTCTTTTAGAAAATTTTATTATGGAAAAATTTAAAATTTCCACGAGATTTCGAATGGATGAACAAATAGAGTATTAATTAATTGAATGAAAAGCTTTACTACTAGATGTGGAAAAGATTTTAATGCATTATATTGGCGTTAAGTCAGGGATAAAGGAGCAAATATATTACTTTTTAATTATACTTAAATTATCCATTGGAATGGATTAAAAACGCTTCTAAAAATAATTTAGGAAAAGGAAAAAAAAAATTGATGAGAAGAAATTCTTCTGTTGACATACCTACCTACCTAAATAGAAAACCACAAAACCGAATTCTCATCAACCACAGCATCATTTTTTGATCACTTGTGGTAAGTAAGTCGACCACATTCATCAAGTTTTAATTATTTCAATATATCGAGAATGAAACTTCACGTATTTAAGTAGACATAACAACAACTGCTGATGAGAAGTTATTTATTTAATCTTTAACATTTATTGTATCATCAAAATGAAATCAATCAATCAACTAACTGATCTGACATGTGACGCTCAAGTATTTGTGCATAGAAGACGAAACAAAAAAAGAGACTTAAGGTTAGTTTAAGGAAGAAGCTAAGCTAAGAAATTCCAAATTTTCAAGGTTGTTGTGCAAAGTAGAACATATTATTTCATTTTGTTTTGATGACATGTACTTTTAAGATGTGCATGCGTAACTAAAGCATAAATTTGAGACCACACACAACTTAAAAAACATAACAAAAGCATTGTTTTTTTGTATATGAATCAATAAAAATAGATTTAGACACTTAACAAAGCACAAATTCCAAAGCAAGGTGTGAGAGAATTCCAATTTTCCCAAGCTTAACTAAATTGAATCATCTTGAGCGTCTTAGATCGTAAACTTCATAATTTGATTTTCATGCATGAAGCATTTCAACAAATTGATGCCATATTCAAGTTGCCTGGTTGGTTGGTTAGTTCACGTCTAAACGATTGGCAAGGTTGAGAGCACGGATGACTGGCAGTTAATGTGAGGTTCAAGTGTCTTCTTCTGGTTGAACTTCAATTGATTTAGTCATTTAACTAACTTTCTGATTAATTCTCTCAACATTGTTAATAACTAATATTTAAGTCCGCTTATGGTAGGATTGAATCTCATTTAATATCATTAAAATTAATAAGCTTATGGGTTAATAACGCCCTCGAGGCTTCTCTTTTCTTTCAGTATTTTTTTTGGTATCAATAGCATGATAAATTACAGCTTCCGTTAATGAAAATGATTTGAAATTATTTAAAACGATTGAGTTGTAAGCTTGCATATCATGCAAAAATTGCTTCTAGTGTTACACAACAAATGGCCGTTCAATCAAACATCTTCATCGTTTAGATTTTTAAGATATAAGCACGCAACTCAATATTAAAAGATTCTCTCGCATAAAGTATCCAAAGCTTCAAAGTCTTATTATGAATGAAAAAGGCACACAAAAAATCATATGCCAGAGAGAGAAGAAGATTTATGATTTATGCATCATTTTGACGGATCGTAATCGCTCATAAACAAATTAGCTTTGCTTTTATGCTTTAAATAAGTTTATCCCATGATGATATATTCGGCTTCTGTGTCCAACTTTCAAAGTCAAGCGAGTAACAATGAAATTGAATTTCCTTTAATGGGTTCGTCGCTTCACTCGACACTGACAAAATGTAATAATTAAAATCATAAAATCATAAACTTTATGACTATTAAAGAATCCTTCATTTTAAGTATTCAAGTCTTTGGTTTTTATGATCGTCGAGAAAGTTTAATGAAATTCAAAAGAGATTAAAAGAAACTTTGAAACCTCATTAGGCGAGTTAAAATTTTCGATGCTTTTCATAAACTTGACTTCATTTCTCTTCTGTAGGGAAAAGTTTAATAGTTTGATTAATAAGTAAAGAGATGTTCTCTATATTTAATCGTACTTAACTCTGTCTGTAATTTATTTTTTGCTTTGCAATTGCAGTCACTCTTTTCATAACATAATTTATCTTCATCTTGTTTTCAAGTATTTTTTCAACAGAATTCAACTCAATCATCTCACTCTAACATTCTTTAAATGCTTTTTAAATATCTACGAATATTGATTGACTTGTATACTAAATGAATATTGCTTATTTAGTTATTTCTGGTGCACACCCATCATGACAGAAGAAGAATAAATCAAATTATTTATTCACCGTTCGAATATTGGAAGCAATTAACATTAACACGCTTCGCAACCTTCGGCTATGTAAGAAGAAAAATTTTCAGCAAACTTCTCCTGACAATGAAAAATTTTAAAGGAACAAAAGTTAATGATAACTAATGGTGAGGATTTGTGAATGAAAGTGAAACCTTTAAAATCTTCTATAAGTAGATATGTAGTCGAAGTGTTTGCAAAAGTTCAATAAGTGTTTAAAGTCTGAATTTGTCTGTTGAGTTAAATATCTAAAAATGATCTCATGTTAAGTGATGATTTCACACCATTAACAAGTAATTAATCTAAAATCATCTTAAGTTGATGTTCGAATCTTAAAGTTTTGCCATCTGCTGATTGATTCTCAGGATTGTTTCTCTACAGGTGACTGGAGTTCGGACTATAATTCCACCAACACCCTTAAATTGATATTTTCAAATTTTTTTGTGTTCCGTTTCATTAATTGATTAAAAATTTTTTAGTGTGGGAATTGATTTCTTACTCGATTAAACACAATTCAGTTTACGCTTGACAAATTATTTACATTATTTACTATCAGACATCTTAATGATGTACGATTTGGCGCGTGGTTGCTTAATTTGCTCGGTTCATTAAAAGATTTTTCAAGAATTTAATTTATTGTATTTCAAATGTCTGCGACTGTAGCATTCCGTTCTTAGGAGCAGAGACTTAATGAAACCATTTGTAAATATCTTGGCTGATTTTTTGGCATTCAACGTTTGATTTTTATATATTTCTTAGAATTGTAAACTTGTAAAGCGAAGTTAAGGAATTCTTTCACTCGCTCTATGAAAGGCAGAAACGTGCAAAAAAGATTATCGGGTCAAACGTAGATTCAGAATTTGAGTCAAGGAAAGTGTAAGTTACTCGAAATATTATATCGTGATCATTATTCCCAACCTTAAACTTTAAAAGTAGATATGAAGACATCTTCATTTACTTTTCAATCATATTTGCGCTTACAATGCGTTTCCGCCCTACAAAATTCATCAAAAATTCCTTCTATAGTCATTCAAACAACATGTTCTAAGTTTACTGCCTAGTCATCGATTCCTCAGACCGCGTCTTCGTCGGTTTCATTGAGCTTGAAACGACAATGTAAATGATTTTCTCAATAAATATATTTTGCCCTACTCAAGCCCACAACAAGTTGTAAAATTGTTTTTATTATGCAATTGAGACGAAAATAGTTGAGATTCAATCTTCAAAGTTACAATAAAACACGTTTTGATTCATCTTTTGTACTTCAAAAGTCATTAATCTAATTCTCTTTTCACAAAGTCGTGCTGTGTTGTTTTGTGTCTTTTACTTTTTCTTTATTTCATTTCTTTCGTAAATTACTTAAGTATGTAAACAGTAGTGAAGTGGTGAAATTTTTGGAATGTTTAATTAAATCAAGATCTTTGGACGTCGTTTTCGATAATTTGATATAAGATTGTGATAACATTTGAATTGAATTTATTGTTTAAGACCATAAGTAATTCAACTGCTGTACACGTCGTGAGAATAAAGTTTCATTTCATAAATAAGTAATTTAAATGTTTCTTCACATGGCCGCTAGCTAGCATCGTAAATTTTATTAAAACTCTCGCACATAAATTCCATCAGTTAATTATATGCTGTATGTAGGCATGTTTACAATCGTTACATTTGAAGCTAAGATTACCTACTTGTTATTAGAAATCAATCTTTTAAAGTTCACTAGTTTTAATTTATATTTTTTTGTTCCCTTTTTGTCTTAAATATTTGTTTGTTAAATAAGTTTCAGTTACTAATGCTTTGTTATAGATCCAGGAAATCATTTAGAAGAGTTCAAGCAAAGACTGACATTAATCTTGAGGATTGAAATTATTTTAAATTAAGACAAGTACTGAGATTACTTAAAAAAATTGTTAAACTTTCAGCATAGATGGAAAAAATAATTCAAACTGTGAAACTTTTTTTATGGGAAATTGAATAAATTTATTTATGTGCTTATAATGTTGATGTTGAGAGGTTTACTTATGCTTACGAAATATTTCTTGTTTGTTACTGTTTAGTTCGGAAATATTAACAAAGCCGAACGTTTATAAAGCCCTTTAACATTGTATTATTTAAACATAATTAGTATTCGACAAATTGCATTGAAATCCTCGTTGAATTTGATTTTTATCGCCCATTTAATGTTGCTTTGAAGAAATCATTTCATTTCGTAATCTCATCGAGATTCTTGCCAAGTCTTTTGTTTTTTATTCCGTTCCGATACGCTCTCGGTTTATTTTGTCAGTTCAAAAAACAATGATGATTTATGGCTTATGACAACGTGGGATTTCTTTCGCTTGATTGTTTAGATTTACTCTTTGGATGAATTTTGTTTGTTTAGATTTGAAAAATGATGAAGTTGGATGCACCTTATACGACTATTCCTGCTGATGACTTGTTGAGTGTTTCGATGCCAAACTTTAGACCAAGCCAAAGACGAAAAAAAAAATGTTGTGCACTCCTCTAGAAAATTAAAGTCAATTAAAGGCAACGGTCAGAGATGCGCCCAATTTTGGTATGTAGGTAATTTTGTCACCCGCCGTGAAATGTCAATGACATTGATGATGATCAGAAATATCTGAATGTTTTGTTTGCTTCTGGCGACACAATGGGAATCTTAATTATAAATCTTACTTTTGATACACACACGCAAATATAATTTTTGTTTTTGAGGATTTGCAGAAGAATTTCTCACATCTTGAGACGGCTGTCATATTAAGTCATTGTGTTGCTTTAGAGAATTAAACGAATGGAAATTTTTTTTCTTTGTAACTTTCAAATAAATGTAAACGAAGCTAACAGAGCAGAGAAGATTTTTGCATGATTATTTTGTATTTAGAATTTCATTTTTCATTCAACATTCAGCAAATCTCTTCAATAAATAAAGAAGAAAAAAAAGACAATGAGAATTTGAAATTAATGAAGAAATCAATTACAATTTTTCTTCTTGTTTTCTTTCTTGTTCCGGAAATCCATTAGCTTCCAATTTGTGGCTTAATAGGTATGAGTCACAATTTGGTCGCATTTTCATCATCGTGTAAACCGGCGAGAAAATAAATAAGTAACAAGTGAAGGTCGTGGCCACGCGTTTTAAATCGAAAACTGCTTAAAAGTGTAATTATTGTGATGAATTCTTCTTCTTATTGACGTAGGTAAATACCTATCTACATATGAGACTCGATGATTTGATTTTAATCGTGCTGTTCGACAAGAATATCATGTGAAGAACACCAATGACCTCAAATGTATGCTTAATATGATTACTACCATTAATAATGAGAAACACCATAAGAATCTATTTAAATTTACTTCAAAAATTTATCTTATTATAATTGTTACAAATGTTTACCATTTAGGGAGATTCTTAATTTTTAAAATTGGAGAATATTTTTGTTGTTCTAATCACGTTTAACCCCAAAAGTTCTCCATGAACTGAACGTAATATTTTTGCAACCGGATCTTTTGTATTCTGTTTTATTAGTTCATCCATAGTCGACAATACGTACATATGAGAACGGTTTCTCCGCTTGTTAAAACACTTTTAATTGAAAGGAAAAAATTGCCTGTAATATTTTGAAAGACGTTGTGAAGTTGTTATTGTTCTCGAACAGATCATTCGAAAGATGAGAAGTAAAATAAAAAATCACCGAGACTGACTTCAAGCCCGTCCAAACAACATACATGGCACCCCAAATATGTTTTTGGCGACTTGTTACATCCGCATAACAGAACCTTCTTTCAACTCTTTCGAGGCAAAAGTCAGTTAAATAAAGTGAAGAAGAAAAAAGCGATTGTATCTTGATTTGATTCTCCGAAGTTGTCAATGAACAATCGAAACGATTTCATTTTGAGATAATTTTTAAAGTTCATTGATTTCAAATGAAGGTTGAATTGTTTATTCTTCAATGTCTTAAATATGATTACATATAATGCAACATCATGAAAGTGAATTGTTTCACAATTCTTTATTTCATATTTTAATAAGCTTATTAACATCAGAAATTATCGATGGATTAAGAAAAGTTGTGCCGCATTTATCGTCAGCTTTAATAATGCTTGTGACGATATAAATTGGATCAAGGGACGAACATAAATACATAAGTGAATAAAATCATTTAAAATGCTTTTATGTAATTTACACGTGATTTTTTGATGAATTCATTAAAGTTTTCCACGATTTTTAACTGTTCACGAGATAATTGACCGAGATCGACATTTGAAAGATGTGAAGAAAGCCTCCGAAAGATTGATTGGCTTTTGAGGAATTTTAAACATAGATGCGGTTCATTTAAAGCTTGCAACACTTGTCAAAGTCTGAAAAGTTGAAATTAATATTGCTTAAGAAGTTCAAGTTGGAAGTTGTTGAAAACTTAAACTTCCAAAATTAGATATTTACTTAGATGCTAGCAAATTATTCAGCATTATCGATTCTTGCTAATTTCCGGCATTTGCATAAATGTTGAGACTTAGTCAAACTATCAATTTTAAATTTAATGAGATTGTCTCATTAACATCGATGTAAGCTCCCGTTAAAAAATTATTCTTGCACGCTTGTCTTATCCGATAAACGAAAAACATTCACAGTCGATTATCATGGTCTTCAACTTAATTTTATCATGCTTTTTGGATTGCCGCCAGTCACAGGTCGGCACAATCTCTCGTTGGTTTTCACTCTCACCACAACTCTCCGTTTTGTTTGGTTGCTTAAAGTCGCGACGCGTCTCACATGCGGTGATGATGGAGAAAAAAATTCAGTGCCGATTGTCTTAAGAAGATTAACATCAACAGGTTTAAGAAACGGTTTTGAGCGCCAGAAGATCTTTCTTGCGAAGATGTAGGAGATGAAAAGAGCTCGAGAGCATGTTAGATATTTCGAGTTTCGCATTTAAGAGAGCGATCGCGTTATGAATTTTTATATTTTGTTTGAAGCTTCAGCTAAGTGAAGAATCAAAAGAGAGAAAATATATTTCTTTCTATGAAACTTTAAACTTAAAATGTATAGAAGAATCGCATCCGCTATAAAAGTCTTCAGTTCTTTAGAAAAATCGATCAAGTTACGAGCAACCACCTTGCTGGTCGGGTATTAAAATTTTTCTTCAAGCGGGTGCAACAAAAGATTTCATTTCTGGAAATAAAAAGTTTTAATTAAAATCTTACAAAATATTTAAAAGTAAGAAATTCTCTTTTGTTTATTTAAGTACAAGATAAGTTAATTAAAAAAAGATTAAGTTTCTTTCTTTTTGAAATTCGCAAATTGCGAAGAAGTTTTATTAAAATTTTCATGTGAATCGTGAGGTTTTTAAGTGAATAAAATTTTATAAATGGAACACTTGAAGGAAATTGCATCACAAATTTGCTGGCTTTGAATAAATCAAGACAAAGACTTGAGAATATGAAAAATTTATTTGAAGTGCAACATTAACGATGGAATATGAACTTCAAATATAACAACCGAAAGAACCATCAAAGCATGTTTAAGATGTTTATTAACATAATCGCGAATCGTTCAAAGACACAAAAAAGTTCAATTATTTATTTTGCAATCTCATTATAATGTGGAAGTTGAAAGTGTTATTCGAATTGTTTTGGATTACTCGTGAAATGATTTCAATGAGAGAAACAAACAAGGACACTTGATTGAAATTGAAAAATTATTTGTATTGTCATTGAAAATTACTCCAAAAAAATATAATAAAAATCGGGGAAAAAATTTAGTGAGACATAAAATGCAGAATTTAATTGGGAAAAAAAGATGATTTTTGAATTATTCATGTTATTGAAAAAACAACAAAAAATCACTTTAGAGAAATTTTACGCAATTTGAAATGTCGAGAATTTTCAACATTTAGAATTCACTTTGAATTGTTTTTTTATGTTGAAATCCTCAATAAAAATGTTATTAACATAAAACTCGTAAACTATCGATCGAAAAATGATTTGAATAAATTAGATTATCTAAAGATATTTTTAGAATTGCATCAACAATTTAAATAATTCACATTCCGTTTATAGATGATCGTGATATTTGCTTTCGCATTGGGCCTTGCTTCTTTAGGGCTCGTCAAAGCCGATGTGAGTCATCTTAGACAGAACCCATTCCAACAGCAGTCTAGATCAACCTTTGCATCATTCGGTAGCGGACAGTTTGCACCAAACTCCTTTAATTCACACAATGATGCAACAAACTCAAGACAAGCCCATAATGCTGGTAACGATCAGAATCTTCAATCTCGCTATTGGTGGATGAACACAGAAATGCCATTTTCACAACCACACAACACTGAACAGATTTATTATTCTGCTGCGGGATGTAATGGGTGTGCAAGCCGCTCATTGAACACTTTACACAATTCACAACACTCCACACAATCAGATGCATACAATCAGAATCCATTTATTATTAATGTCATAGACGACTCACCACCTACGCAATTCAATTCTATTTCAGGATCACCAAGAGAATTCAACAATTTTCATTCATCACAGCCTTTTGAATCGGGAAGAATTCGACAGTCATCTGACTGTGTAGACACTAACTCTGCTTGTGTTGCGTCTAAATTCTGCATAAATGGTTTCATCGATCAATCAGCTGAACAAAAAGCTCGTGGCTCGGTGAGTTTAGTCAAAAGTTTATTCTTTTTGTTTCTTCTTTCTTGTATTGGGATAGACTGAGATTCATCATCATCATGACAACTAAATTGTCTTCAGCCCACTTTAATTATAACTGAGACACCTTTGTGATGATGATGCTTCTTTTAATTTGCACTGCTTCCATGTACATACTCAGTTTAAAACCTTAAAAGTTAAACAAAAAAAGTAACACGGCAGCGTTACACTTATTCAAGTACTTAGTTATAATAGATGATGATTTATATGATCCACAGCTAATGGTCAGAAAATTGTTTCAATTATCGCATTCAAAAGTAATTTCGTATGAAAGAAACAAGAGTTAGTGTCAAGGTCATCTATCGTCATACTTTAATTTAGATTTCAAGTATGAGCTACTTCTCCTTTGATCCGAAACTCTTTCAACTCTTTAAAGAACATGAAAAGTGAATCAAGATTGGTAATTTAGATCGTGATCTTAAGCTTATTTTTTTATGTTTGCCATTATTCTTGATTGATGATGTTTTCTTGCCTTGATTTCTTGATGCATGAAATTTCAATCTGACATTATTCATCATAACTTATTTCACAGTTTCTTTTTCCTTCTTTTTATAATTTTTTTCTATTACTTATTTATTTACAGTCTAGAAAATGTTATTCACCAGAGGTTTGTTGTCGATTCGCTCATCGCAAACGTTCACCATTCAACCAAGACAATGCCGTGTCAGAAGCACAATCAACTTCCGAAGTTTTAACGAAAGAGGGATACGTTGTAAGAAAACCAACAAATCAATATTTGCCAAGTTTCCAACCATCGCCATCGAATGGCTTACCAACAGTTGTTAGACCTCGACCTCCTGCTCCTAGACCGCAATACACGCCAGCACCTCCTGCTCCTAGACCACAATACACGCCAGCACCTCCTGCTCCCAGACCGCAATACACGCGACCACCGCCACAACCCAGACCACAATACACACCAGTACCTCAACAACCTCGCCCTCTTCCCCCAAGACCACCAACTCCTTATATTCCACCACAACAGCCAAGACCAGTTCCCCAAAGACCATATCAACCGCAACCAAGCATTAGCAGACCTGTTCAATATGACCCAGCCCCAGTCGTGATTCCAGTTGGTTGTTCTGCTGCGATGAATTGTACAAGCATTCAATATTGCACAGCATCTGGTGTCATCTCAAAAACGCCAGTCAGTCTCTCGCCTCAACAGGAAGCTTTCCGTGTTCCATTAACGGACTGTCGAAATCCATCAACAAACGAGGTTGGAAAGTGTTGTCGTGATCCAGATTACGTCGATCCATGGCCAGTCGGCCGTACTGGACAGTATGTACCTGAAGAAATCAACAGTGTTTTCAATAGTGGCGCTTACAAGCCCGAACCAAGCGGCCCACTTTCAGTTCGTGTCAAACCAGACGGTTACGTCATTCCAAAACCTTCAAACACTCAACGATTGTACTTGCCACCAAATTCCAACCGAATTTAATTTAATTTTTTTTTCTTTTACTTTACACTTACCATCGTCACTTCATTTCATCGTTTTGAAGAATGTCCAACCCATTAAAATCATTGCAAAAGTTTTCGCGTAGTGTGAGAAGAGAGAATAAAACTTTTCATCACATTTCAACGCATCTAGTTGTGTAGATGGTCAGCTGTGATATTTTGAATCATTTTTAATTGTGCATTCTACCTGACATCATGAGAAAAATGACTTTGCGTTGATTTTTCTTTCTTCTCATGCCGCGAATCGTGTCACTCACGACTTTCACCAAACATTGTTTTTCTATCTGCCGTTCATAAGTATAAATATTTCTTAAAATATGTTTAAGACACAAAATGTATTTGATTTTTTGTTTATGAAATGTTTTGATCATGTCATGTCGAAATATTTCTTTTTTCATATCTTTGTAAATTTTGTTTAAAAAGAAAAAGAAGAAAATTCAGCATTATTTTTGATGGAAAAATAAATATTTCAGCATCCAAAATATTTACAATGAAAGCTTACAATAAAACATTCACTTTGATTATTAAAATGTCGTTTATCTTTCTCATTGTTGAGTTATGAAATTAATATGAATCTTCTAAAGATTTGAGAGAGTCTTGCATATGATAAAATATGTTCTAATGATAAATTCAAACACAACAGAGACTGAATCATTAAAGGAAAAGGTTTTAACTTATAAACCTTCTCATGATGTGTAATAAAATTAAGCTCAATTATCTGTAAAACCTACAAAATCAAAACATTTATGCTGACATTAATTACTTCATGTTTTCTTTTACATTTTTATTGCACATATTTTGTCTAATTTAATATTTTTATTACTGTGAACAAAACGAAGTCATTGTTGTGGCAATAAGATGGCATGGTGGCCATCATATAAAATCATCAGGGGAAAAATTCATCGACTTCTTTATAAATATTTATTTGAAGTCTTTATGGCTTCATTCACTACATTTGGGTTGTCACTAATCTGACTGCTAATCAAGGGAGACAAAACTATAAAACCTTTTTTGATTTAAACAAAATTAATCAGATGATTTTGGATTAATATCTTATTGATCTCAAAAGAGATTGAAGTTTATTATGTCTTAAATTAGTTAGCACAATCTTCTATTGACAGGGAATTATCCCTTAAATCAATGAGTAATCATTCATTTGGAATCAATTTTATTCAATAACACTTCAATTTGAGATTATGTTGAGATTATTATGAATTTGTTAGCGACATTTGACACTGTAGCTTTAACTAAAATTGATGTCAGCCTAAACTTTTGGTAACTTATTCGATAAGAAGTCAGATTAAATTACTATTTCTTCACAAGTTGATGATTGACCTAGGCAAGTGCCAAGATTTATTACCAAAAAAGTTATGATAACTGACCTAATATTTATGGAATATGAAACTATGTAATTTAATTCTCCTAACGATGAAAGTTTCTTCGTCGGAAAACATTAAGAGATTGTTCGTGCTTGCTACATCGTGTAGAAGAGGAAAAAAAACTTAATGATAAGATGAAAGCGAGAATTTTCCCTAAACTTCTCCAATGAGCAATGATGATACTTATCAAAAGTAGCTTTCAAAACTTTTCAATGAATATGAGAAAAATGAAAAAATGCCTTGAATAAATAACTTAAGAAGTGGCGAAGTATTTTTCATCTTTCTTTAAATATTTATTTACGAATGCGGAAAAGCAAATAACACTAATTATGAAAGCTTATCTAGCGTAATCAAACATTTTAATTCCTCTGAAAGCTTCTGTGAAAATTTTCTTCTGAATTTTCCTATCTTAAATACGATGACAATTATAAACAAAGAATTTTTGTAAATTTATAAATATTTCCACAAAAAAAGAAAACATTAATATAGCTTGCTTGAAAATTCCACACAAAAAGCGGAAACATTCATGTTTTTGCGTAAGTATTTACCTTTAAGCTCATAAATAAAAATCTTTCTTACCTGCTACAATTCCCATTTTGTTTTATGTTTTCCCAAAATTGGGTCGATTACAACATATTTTAAAGCTTAATGTTCCATTTAAATTCTGATCCCATAAACAGGTTTTGTAACTTTAAATGTACACGTAGCTTCCTCCAATATCTTTAAGTAGCTAGTTATGAAGTCGTGGTATTCATCCAAGAGAGTAACTTCTACGAATATTTGAAACCTCGTAGCAGGCTTCAATTTCATTGCTAACATTTTAAACTGTCAAATAATATTTAAGGGATGATAATTCAAATTTAGAAAAAATTCAAATGTATTTTATTCGGTTTATGGTGCACATTTCTCATTCATTGATTACATTTTATGTCCTTGAAAACATTCCATTCAAATTTATAGACATTTTTCAATTCTTTTATCTTTTTAAAATTCTGTTAGCACATCTTGTTCCATTATTCTAATTTTTCACCTGTGAAAAACAATGAGAATTTATTTATGTAACGCAAAATTCCAACCTGCAACGCACAAACAAAAAATGCTACGAACAGTTTCGAGGTTGAAAGCGTTGAATTAAAAGCTTTTTTACTTAAGCCTTTTTAATTTGCATAATGTACCTTGATATTCAATAACTCTTCTAAATTATGAAAAAGATTGGCGGTTTCAAATATTTAGCGAAATACGAAATTAAAAATAATGTAAATTATTGATTTGTTGTTAAGTATTTTCGCAAATTGTCTTCTTCTAATGAATAATTTTCAATTTTAATATCAACATTAACATCTTATAAATGAAAAACTTCAGTCACGTATAAAACATTAAAATAATTCATCCTTGGAATTTGATTTGTATGCGCAGTTAAACTTTCAACAATAATGTATGAGAATTTGACTTTTGCAAGTCTACCATCTTTTCAAGTAATAAATTTTGTAAGTAATGAAAATGTTGAACCATATTCAGAATAAATGAAATTCCCTTTTATGTATTTCTATCTAGTAGTGAATTTTTCCCTAGAAAATGAATATAGGTCGTTGCATGACACAAGACATCAGAAATAATTAAATTTATTTGAAATGATCTGTTGGTCGTAAATTTCCTTTGAACGTTGTCACATAAAATCGTGATATAATTTTTCCTTTCATAGCTTTTATGTTTATTGAGCAGCTGATTTATCTTGATTTCTGTTCTTTCAAAAATATATAAAATGTTGCAGAATATGAAACCTTGAGTGCATTGCACAATTTATTCTATCATAATTTAAATTTAGTTGTCTAAAGATTTAAAAATTGAATGAGAATTTTTTTGTTTTCAAACTATTATTAGATAATCTTTCTTTCAAAGCTTATTCAAAAAAGTAAAAAAAAAGTCATATCTGTCATATTTGTACCGTTGCAATGGAAAGCTTCTTCATATNTTCAAACTATTTATTAGATAATCTTTCTTTCAAAGCTTATTCAAAAAAGTAAAAAAAAGTCATATCTGTCATATTTGTACCGTTGCAATGGAAAGCTTCTTCATATAAATCCTAATTTTTATATTTAAACCTTGCTCTTTCAACATGCAAGCATATAAACTGATGAATATATTCTAAGCTCTGTCACGGACCGAAGCATAAAAGCTTTCTCATATCCATTTTTATTATGCAAACTTATTTCTATTCTTCCACCATGTGCACGTTCCAATGAAACAAACACAATTTTTTTTTGTTCTTATTCAAAACACATCGCATTTTCATTATGAAGTTTCACTTGCGCGTATCATGTTGACGTGCGCATTGCAATCACGTTTCAGTTTGCTTGCGAAAGGTGCTTTTTTTGTTTTGTAACGTTGCGAAATCAAAACCTTCGGAAAGAAAACTAGGATCATAGTAAACAAGGTAGAAGTGCATACATGCATTTAAAAAGTAAATTTAAAATATTTTTGGGATTTCTATTTCTCTTGTTATTCAATTCAAATTTCGAATGACTTTCATTGTTCTTTATTTTTGTACTCAGGATTAAAACGCATTCTTTGTTCAGGTCATGCCATCGTACCTGGTCAACAGAAAATCCCTGAATTTTATCTGATAAACAACACCGGAACAAATAACTCTCATCCCTACAGTAGAGTTGAATTTTACACGTAAGTAGTGTTCGGAATTGTCAATCTCAATTTAATTGATTCAAGATATTTATTCGCTTCTAAATCAAAAGTCGAAAATTTGGTTTGTCGATTTCATGCCCAACTCTGCCAACACTACTCACACGATGTCTCAAAATCATAAATTTTCGGTTGTCATAACCAGTGAATTCCTTCTTGCGAGAAATCTCACCCAAGGGCAATTTCATTGGCACTTTGTATGCAAATATAAATAAATACCGTCGTTTATGGTTGACGATATAAACAGTGCAAAATAAAATTTTATCATCGCCTATAGAAATTCAATAAGCAACCGACTTATGCTTCGGTTGATTTTGGATCTGAAGCTGATGTGATGGCGAATATGCATCCACCTGAATTATCATTCAATAAAGACAGATAATTTGTGTCAATCTATAGAGTGGTATTAAACATCACCATTTGCATGATGTTGCGTTTATTTATTCTCATCATCATGATTGAAACAAAATCTTTGTTAAAACACTGAAACGTATTTGTCGTTCAGATTTATCATCAAATGATTGAAGGTAAAATGTGGCGAGAAATGAATTTTGCACATTTAAAAATTAAGTTAAAAATAAATAAATTAATGTTGCAATATTTGCAAATATCATATTCAAATCATGTTTTCTCATTATTTAATATTAAATGCAGACTTAATTTCACAATTATCGAAATATAAGTTGAGGATTAAAATGATTTTATTTGGAAATGGTCTAGAAAATTAAACATTTCCATTCATTCCAATAAAATTATTAATCGCGATCCTACATAGTCACATAAATAGAAAAGGATTAAAATTTTTCATAATAAGCACGAAACGTTTGACATCAAATATTTAAGCTGCTTAAAAATAGATCAATGTCCATTGTCAACAGTTTACCCAATCGTCATATTCATGTTTAAAATTAGAGCTGAAAATTTTATTTTAATAAAATGTTATATAAAACATTTTCCTCCATGACATTTGAATTGAACTGAACAAAAGTTGACAAAGGTTGAAACATTGGATTGTTTAACATTTCCAAACCAACTAAGCATACAAAGAGAGGTTGCTGACACTTTTTATCAGGTCATAAAAATTCAAAAGTTCTGTTTGAATATGATTGATAAGAGTTAAACTTTGAATACATATGATATGAAATAATAAACATAAATATAAACTAGAAGCGATTTTCACAATCTCATTGTTGATGGTGACAACGATACATATCAGTAGCAACATTTAAGGTTGAAAATGATAGAAAAAATTTCTATGATTGGGTTTCACGTACTTATTTCTACATAACCAGCATTATGTATAAATTTTTATCATTATGAGTTTAACAATAACCCAAAGTTTTAATTTTCGTTTGTTTTTCTGCTTGTACGCATTTCCAATGTCTAAAAGTTAATCTTTCTCGTCATTTATTGTTATTAGCAAAGACCGCTTGACATTTATTCTAATCTCGAATAATAATTATGTTTTATCATGTTTCTGAAACTTTAATTCAATCGAATTGAATTGAAGTCCTACACCCACACTTTATCTGATATTTAATCCTATATAAACAGAAATTTCGATACATGACGTTACTTTGAGTATTAAAAAAAATTTATTAAAGTCTTTCAAAACTTTTAAATGCACAACACCTACAGTAGCAATTAATGTTGCTTTGAACATGACCCCTTTAAACCTGAAAATCCACGAATTTGCTCTG